CCACCTAACCATGTTTTTTTTTCTTACTTCTGATTATATTGTTTAAGCCTGTTTACTCAGATTTAACAGCTATCTGTTTATTTATGTGAAATAAAATCCTGGGTTCCCTTTTTCTTCCTTAAAATGGAAATCAAATATCGCAAAATGCCCCTTTTCTGAGATATACAAATATTTTTTTTTTTTTTAAGGTCGCAGTGTTAGGTTGTGGTTTTAACAAGAAAAAAAGGCATGCGTGGCTGTAACTTTGGTTTTTTGGTGACGTTTAGGGTAGATAGGTTATATTTGTGCTATAAAATAGGATCTTTAGTGCCCAACATCCAACTGCTTTTATTTTTTTTTCACCAGAATTGTATTACTTTTAGCTTTTGTTCCGTACAAGATGCATAATATTCCGCAACAGGCGCATACTCTGCACATATATTAACCCCATTCACGGCACACTTTGAAAAATTCCTAGAAATAAAACCACTATTCGATATTCAATATTCGGCTTTTTTTTCTGGATTCGGTATTCGCAGAGCCCTAGTTTATACCGATCAAGAAACAAGAGTGTGCAAACCATGTGAAAAGAAGGATGGCCACGGCTCTACGAAACCTGGTCGAAAAGAGCAAAGATTGTGAGCTCAGCACGAAAGGGAAAGGACGACTGACACAGGGCCTGATTCAAGAACCAACTCACTACTGTATTTGCACGAATGTAACGCGAGTTTCTTGCGGAATTACGTGCTCCAAAACGCACCTCGCGTTCTATTCAGCATTGAGTTGAGCCAGGAGGTCTGGAGAAAGCCTCCGGCTCAATGCAGGAGATCGGCTGGGAAAAGAAGTGTGCGAGGGAACTCAATAGCTATAGAGCCACGTGAAGGGGTGAAAACATAAAAAGCATTTTTATCGCTTTTGTGTTTGTACAACGCAAGCACAGGGCAGAAACGCCACAGCGCGCGCCATGCGGACACTAGTGTTGCGGAGTTGCCACTCCGGAGTTGGAATGACTCCGGAATCATTCCGCATTTTCACGACCCCCGAATGGAATGGGAATGGAATGGCAGAAACGTTGAGGGGAATGGAATGGGAATGGAATTAGATGCCTTTTGCCCGGAATGGGAATGGGCCCGGTTCTTCTATTTTTTTTTGTGTGTTTACTGTTAGTGAAATTGAGCCAGTCAGCGAGCCAGTTTCTCAGAAATCAAATGAGCGGGCGGAAAACAGCTAGCCGTCTTGGAGCTCTAACAGACTTATACTCAAAAAATGCAATACAAAAAAGAACTGTCAAAGCAAAGAGCAGAGGGGGAGGCGGGTGGGGCTGGTGGTGGTGCCTTTCGCACAGGCGACGGGCTTTACTGGCGTTGCACGAGAGCGAGCGAAACAAGAAACCAAGCACCAAGCAAAAGAAACGAAGGCATGGAGAATACACGCGCGCACAGACTGAGATCTGGGAGCGGGGGACGAATCATACATCGCAGAGCTCTGGTAACTCGTCGACACGGGCGCCGTCGAAAGACGATCAGTTATTGTTTCTTATAGTTCGAGGAGCGTTGTTTAGCAGGCGGCCTGTTGCCTTCCACGTTCATTCGCATGTGTTCCTTTGAAGTGCGAAATCTGGGTTTGCTTCGGCATTAAAACAAAGCGAGATTCACTTCTCTCTTCTCCTCTTGCGCTTTGCTCCGACGCTTGTCCTTTTATACTGCATTTTTACGTGTAGGTCCGCCTATTACTTGGTCTTTGTTCCGATGTTTGTTTTCTGTGTTATATGTTTTACATTCAGGTGGGTTGGGTTTACAAGCAAGCTAGCGGATTCCCGCTCATTTCCTTTCACTTTAGTCTCTGCCTACCGTGTTTCAGCTTGTGATGGACCGCTGCGGACGCTACGAGTCACCCCAGGCAATCCAGCACCGTGAGGGGGACTACACGCACGGCGCGTTGCTGCGCCCCAGGGTCACGCGACACTCAGAAAAAGGCACCGGATTGGTTTCAATGGCTCTCGTGCTGTCCGTTGCGGTCCATCGTAAGTTGAAGTAGATTGTTGCCACCACTCTTGTCGCGTGACCGAACTGACTAGACCTGTAGAAAGACAGTTTCATGACATGGTATATACAGTCTCTCGTGCTGTGGCGTAGAGGTTGCACTTTGTCAGAGGATGTGCTCCTACCACTGTACATGGAGTCGCCTCCAGCAGTATACTAGCCGTTATGCTGTGCATGTGCTTGAAGAATACAGTTGTATATCTTATTTCTGTGCCACGCACGAACTGGACATTTTTATGGTCTTATCAAACAAACACGCTCGCTGCGTATGTCCTAGAAGACAAATGCAAAAAATTTTGTCCAAAAAAAATTGTGTATTTAAGTTTTGCTGTTTGTTGCGAGCCACGATGTTGAAAGACCGACGTTTTAAACAAGCATTGAGATATCAAGGGGCTTTCTCGATGTTTGCATACTATCTAAAGAAACAGTTTGTGCCACCAGCGCTCCGCTTAGTAAAATCAGTGCTTTTTTGAGGAATTTTGAATTTTATTGCAATTGTCTATGCGTTTGATAATGTCAACTTTACGGTGCTTATACCGGCAACACAATGTAGCTGTCAAGAGCCAATTTTTAAGTTTTAGAGGAATGGAATGGAACGATTCAGCCATTCCAGGAGTGGGAATGGGCCCAGTGTCTCCATTCCTAGGAGTTGAAAGGAATGGAATTATTGCAAACTCTAATTCCCCGGAATGGAATTGGAATGGAATGGGGGTGCCCACTCTGCAACACTGGCGGACACTGGCCAATTCAAGCCAGGCCAAGTCAACACCAGGCAAGCCAAGACCACCAGGGAGGTGTTTGTTTATGCGGAGGGGCCAGAACAAGAATAAGTGTGATCATGTATCGGGGTTCAGCAGCATCTTTTAGTTTCTGCTCCAGAGTGGCCTGGTGTTTCTGCTTCGTGCCTCGCTTTGTTTGTTAGCTGCCGAGGAGCTCACACCGAAGAGAAGAAAGAGCTAGCGGTGCCGTGCTGCTGCTTATCAGCACAGTCGCCGATTGTAAACAGAAGGACCTGAGCAGTGAGGAGGAGTGCAGTCAAAACTGACATTTCTTCTGTTTCCATTGACTTTTCACTTCTGCTATGTCCCCGAGTGCGGGAAATTTATACGGCTTCGGCTCACGTTATATTTTTTTTTCTTTTTGAGGGCATCAAAACGTGCCCTTGCATTCGTGCAAAGACGCTATTATGGCTGGGCTATCCACAGCCACCCCAATGATGTCCGTGGCAAGGAGAAGGCCATCATGGCTACGTACTAAACCACTACATCGAGGGATGAAGAGCCACATCACGAGCTCTGTCTCATCGGGACAGACTGCACATTCAATTGTGCCAAGGGAGAGGCAGCCCCTCCACACAAGCTCCATGTTGAGGCAGCGCTCCTGCTGAGCACCTCTCAGCAAGGCAGCTCCTTCAAAGGTGCCAGCAGGGCAAAACTCAAAATGCCACCGAGAGTCTGAACAACGTCATCTGGACCATCCAGTCCACGAGTCAGTTGGCCTCTCTCCCAAGTGTTGAGAGTGCTGTTGCAGAGGCAGGTTTAATAGTGGCTGCAGAAAGGCCGCGCATGCCACGTCAACTGGGGTCAATCTAGGCTCTCTGCGACGAGCAGCCGGAAAGGACGTACGGCGGATCAAGAACAGCGTGCATGGTGCAGCTTCAAAAAAACTCAAGACAGTGGCAAGGCTTCCTTATCAAAGGACTACCGCCCAGGTGGATTCTAGGTGCCACATTGGACAGAACAAAAAAACTTTGGCATAATTTTCCCCAAATTGTATATTTTAGGCAACTGTATCGACTCAACCCTCCACCATTTCATGAACAACGATGATAGAATGCTTGTCTTTTGCATATAATACCCGAGACGTGGAGCAGTGCTATAAAGCTGTAGTCGGTTACAAGAAGGTAGGAGAAGCTCCTCCCACAAGCGTGATGCACCCGTTTCAAATCCCTCCCCAGTCGAAAGAAGAGTTCCCTGGAATGCTTCAATGAACAGGTAAGGGCTTCAGAGTGATGTCTCCCACTTTTTAAGAAAGCGACCTTTGCATTCATCGGAGAGGGAACCGAGCCCCTGCAAAGGGCCTTTCTATCCATCGGAGGGGGAACTTCCCAAAGCCGTTTTTGTTTCCATCTGAGAAGGAAAACTCTCCCTCTCGTGGCTTCCACAACGCTAAGTCAAAGTCCAAAGATAAAGCAAATATGTACAGAAAGGCAAAATCCTCTCCCTCGTTGGCCACGACGTCACGGAAACGATGGGACGCTATCGTATGCGGAGGTGGCCGAGGGATATAGGATTCCCTTTGAGGGGCATTTGCCGCTCCCTTCTTGACCTGTAACTTACTATATCAATTTGCGTGTGTCTTCCATAAATATTTTTTAATTAACATTTCTTTTTAGATGGTTTGCACGTAAAATCACAAAGAAATCTTTTCTCATTTTTTTTTCTACATTTACTGAGATTGCAAAAATAAACTAACAGCTTCATTGCACAGAATGGGTCTTTGTAAGTGCAGTGACATAAACATCATCCGCAATTTTCACCTAATCAACTAACTAATTTTGGGATAAATGTCTGAGTATACTTAATCTCATAACTTGGGAACTATAGAAGGTATCCTTAAAGTAATTGCTGTTTTGAGATTGACACAATTACCTACATACAAACTTTCACTCAATTTGGTACATAAATAGCGGATATATTTTTAATTGCCACGTTCCACCTTAAAAACGCAACCAAGTTCCGTGACACGTCTCTTTTTCTCAGATATCTCAGAAAGAGGTGTGTCACGGCGTTTGGTCACAAGGGCAAAAAAGGCCACGCAAGATTGTGATTTTGGGTTCTATAGGACGCTTAGGGTGCATAGATTAAGTTTACCCCACAAAAAGACGACCCTGGTGAAACCAAGTACAGCTATTCCCTGACAGCCGTTGGCCAACACGCCTGTGTAAATGACATGCAGACTCAGAGAGTGCCACACTACCTGGAGGTTGACGATGTTGCCGAACCGCGAGAAGTAGTTGTTGAGCTCCGTGATGGTGTTGAGGTTACGAGGAACCTTGCGCACTTCCAGCTCGCACCGGTCGTAGTGGCTGGCCGCGCGGTTGCGGCCGTAGTCTGGCCGCCCGCGGCCCATGCCGTGCGGACCCCTGGCAGGGACGAAGACATAGAGAGACGCGTCTAAATTTCACAGACAGCTGCACAGACAGCATAGAAAAGAACATTGCAAAATTTGCAGACTTAAGGGGAGACACTGCCCAGAAAAAAAAATTTCTGCAAAAAAAGTTGATTTTGAAAAATGACATCTTTACATCCACCAACATCTAGAGAGTACCGTATTTACTCGCACAATGAACGCACTCGCGTAATGAACGCACCCCTTAAGTCGGCTCTCAAAATTTCGACTTTTTTTTCACTCGCGTAATAAACGCACCCCCAACTCGGATGTAAAAATTTTGACCCCTCCTCCCACGAGCGCGCGAAATGAACACACTTTTTTTTATCCTGGTGCAGCGAGGTCGCGAATGCATGGGCAGCGTGGGCGAGGCGTTAAAAAAATTCCCAAAGATCCAACGGAAGCAAAAAAAAAAAAACATGGAGAGGAGCTTTTTTTTTTTTTTTGCACAGCGCAGTCTGGACTTTGGGTTCGCGCGCCGCCGCGCGCAAGGAGGCCAGAAAGAGAAGCGCTCTAAGTGAACGAAACAGTTTGCGAAAGGCGGCAAAAAGAAAAAAAAAAACACAGAATTAAAAAAAAAAAAGTTTTTTTTTTTTTTTTTTTTTTTTTTTTTTTTTTTTTTTTGTACAGCGCAGTTTGGTTACGGGGGGTCGCGCGCCGCGCGCAAGGAGGTAAGAAAGAGGAGCGGAGAAGCCCTCTAAGCAAACGAAACAACTTGCGAAAGGCGGCAAAAAGAAAAAAAAAAAAAAAAACAACCCACGGAACTGAGAAAAGAACAAAAAAAGAAAAGCTTTTTTTTTTTCTTTTTTTGCACAGCGCAGTTTGGTTATGGGGAGTCGGGCGCCACGCGCAAGGAGATAAGAAAGATAAGGGGAGAGCCCTCGCCTAAGCAACGCCTAAGCAAACAAGCAGCTTGCGAAAGGCGGCAAAAAAGAAAAAAAAAACAAGGAACTAAAAGGAAACAAAGAAGAGGTTTTTTTTGTTTTTTTTTTTTGCACAGCTTAGTTTGGTTACGGGGTCGGGCGCCGCGCGCAAAGAGATAAGAAGTTACTTCGATTTTTCAGGATAAAAGGTCCCTCCATTATGCGAGTAAATTCCGAGGCAAAAATTTTACTTCGCGTAATGAACGCCCCCCCTAACTTTGCATCGATTTTTCGGGAAAAAAAGTGCGTTCATTCTGCGAGTAAATACGGTATTCCCAAAAAGTTTCATTAATTTTCACTGTATAGTTAATTTTTTATAAATTATTTTCTGTCCACCAAAGCTATAGAAAAGGTAGGGTTTGGAGCACTTCGAACATATTTTTCTCCGTTCCACTTTTTGGTATAAATTCCATTTTAGTCAATCTATCGTTTGATAATGGCAAAACAGGGAAAGCTCATTTTTCCCTTTTCCTGACTGAAATTTAATAAGGAGTGCGGCTATGGAACTTTTTTGTCACTTTACGGATGTCTTTTGTAAAAAATGTTGACATTTTGTCGAAGGCACAGAAGACCAAAAAGTTGACCAATTTTGCAGAAGAGAAAATTTATAGAAATGAATTATTTTTTAGAAAAAATGTTCCATAGCCGCACCCTCTAGGCATTCTGCTACGTATCTAGTAAATAAAAATCTTTAATATCGCAATAGTTTTCTAACGATAGATTAACTAAACAACGTAGGCGTGTTGCTGATAGAAGCTACTCTCATTCCTTCTCATTTAACCGACAGACCTGAAATTTTGTTATACACCCTCTAGCATGACCACCAGCCTACCCTGTAAATTTTATTAATTTTAAGACGAGGGTTCAAAAGTTGACCCCCCTAGGGGGTGTGCCCCCTTAAAAAACTGCCCGTCTCTTTGGTAATCCCAAAGGTGCCGTAAATTCGCGGTGCTTACAGATACTTTGTGACAACAGATGGCGTCACACGATGCCCGACAGCACAGCACGAAGCGACGTGGCATCGGATCACGACAAAACGATGGTGTGCGACGCCATGGGGTCATGTCACTTGACCCCACAACATCATGTGGTGATGTTGCCGGACATCATGGCGACACGTCACGATGTCAATCGTCCCGCCGATGAAGTCGCATAAACACCGCAAAGTCGAAACATTAATCATTTAAAGAAAATGTGAACAAGTTCCCAATTGACGGGGGTCAAACAAGTGAGCTTTTGTTTTACACAAACAGCATCAACGTTATTCACGCACACAAAACTGTACATTCCTTTACCTCAAAGGCGCTCTAAATGCGTCGAATTTAGATGCTCTAGGGTGTCCCATGACATCAGGAAGGTCAGGTGAACCTTGTCAGTGTTGGGTAAAGTAAACTTAAAAGAATTTCTCTCTGGTGCATCCTCTGTGGTGACTTCGCGGACCTCAAGGGAACCTCAAGTGCTCGACGCACCCAGCGGTTGCGGACCTGTACGTCGCCGCTCCTTCCGCACCCGGTCTTCTTTCCCCGAAGAAAGGGCACGAGGCCGATCCATCGTGAATCCAAACTGATAAGAGCGTAGGAAAGAGCACGTGCAAAACAGACGAGGACAAAGAAGAAACACACGTGATGTGCGCAGCGCTCGTCACGTGTGTTTCTTCTTCGTCCTCGTTTGTTTTTTGCACAGTTTCCTACGATGAATTCCCACCAACTCAATTATCAATTCTTCTATAATAGCTGCAAAGGTTGCCGCCATCTAAGAGTGATGGCGGCAACCAGGTTGGTTGCCTGGTTACCGCCGTCGCTTATAGATGGCGGTAGCTGTCCAGAGGTTTGTGTAGGTTTGTGTCGACATTTCTTTGGTACCGGACACGACCCTGGGGAACCTAGCCCTTAACAGCTCCACTGTAAAAGTACTTAAAGTAAAGTACAGTAAAACCTCATTAATTCAACCCCCGCCAATTCGGACATTCGGATAATTTGAACTGCCGATCCGGTCCTGTCAAACGTATGTATTAGTCAATGGCAGCAAACGCTCATTAATTCGGAGGGAACGCGGCGCAGTACGGTTAATTCGGACAAATTCGGCAGGTGGTGCTAGCTACTGTCTGTTCCAAAGGGTATGACCGCTATCCATCCAAGGTGCACACGTGGTTTTTATGGTTTTCCCATGGCTCTTTGCTCTTCCGGTTCTCCGTGTTTCGCACCAGTTTTGCTCTGGATTGCCGTGCTTCAGCGCGTTACTCTCCTGGCATGGAAGCGACAGAAGCATAGCTGCAACGCAAAAAGGGTAGCACAAGTGACCGACGACTGGAATGGCAAAATCCCGACACGCGGGGCTATTGATCCCGAGCGTGCCAATAGCGAGTGACAGTCACGTTTTATGCCTCAACGCGGGGATCCTAAAGCCCGCCATTTTACCAGCTCTCTTATCCCTCAATTTTTCGCCGGCCACCCCTGCGTTGAAAAATGCAACGTGACTCGCACTCTCGCTATCGGCGCGCTCAGGAAAAATAGCACCGGGTGTCGCGATTTCGCCGCTCGGATTCTTGGTCAGTTGTGCTACTCGTTTTCCGTTGCAGCTGTACTAGGCTAAGAATTTAGCGACGGAAGTGGAAATACTGAGGGCCTTGAAGGACAGCGTCTCTCGACAAGTGGCGGAAAGTTACGACGTCAAGAGAAGCAGTTTGACCACGTACGTGAAAATTGAGGCCGATATCGAGAGCGAGAAGTTCAACGTGAAAAGAAAGCAGCCTTGGAAGGTGGTGCACCCGAAACTAGAAGAGGCCTTGCTGCGCTATATTGTCCGCACACGAGAGCTCCGACAGTGCGAGTGCGGTGAAGCACTCGACCGCGCTAAGGAAAGTTGCCGTCTCCGCCCAAGTGTCGTGCAGAAAGCAGGCGGCAATAACAGATTTCTTCTCAAAATAAAGGTACGTCATTGGGAAACATTTTCGCGCAGTTTTCTTTGTCCTTTCGATATTTCGGATAATTCGGACATTTTTGCCGGTCCCATGAGATCCGAATTAACGAGGTTTTACTGTACAAAGCCAATGAGACGTTACATACTTGAAGTAAAGTAGTAAGTACACTGGGTGTAATGTACTTTAAATAAAGTACTATAAATACAATGTACTTTCAAAGTATGAGTACTTTTAAACATAACCTTTTATGATTCCCTTACATTCCCTAAAAGAAATTTATGATTCCCTTACATTCCCTAAAAGAATAATTTTTAAAGCAGCAGCTTTATAGGACCTACCAACCTCGGGAGCCGTGTAAGCACAAAATGTGTAAGTTGCTCCATCTGTAACTGCTAAACAATCTTAAAAAGAAAAAAAAGAACCGGTGCCAGAGATCGAATCCCGGTCACAAGCGTGGAAGCCAAGTGCGCTGCTGATTGAGCTGCAGACCCAGCACGCAAGAAAGGGAGGAGCAGAAGCAGGTGGTGTGAGAGAGCGTGCAAAGCGGAGAGGGGGGAAAGGACCAGAAACAGGTGGCGTAGAAACGGCCCGCAGAAGAAAGAGTGGAAAGGGCAGGAAAGCGAGCTTCCCTCTTCGTGACCCAGCAAAGACTATCGGGGTGGTGCTGAACGGAAGCATACGAGACGCGACTAAGAGACGATGGTGTGACATACTCAGTTTCCAGACAAAATCCTGCCCTAGGCACCACCTGAACTAAGCACCACCCACCACAGGCACTGAAAGGGTAATCCTGTCCTAAGCACCACCCAAATTGAGAGCACTATCCACCCTATAGAGCTACCAGATTTAAACGCATTTGGCACAATGACCAAACATGCAGTCAATATTTTAAAATTGGTACGCATTGCCTCACGGTAATCGCAGATGCATCAGTTATTTTCGGAAACGGCGGCAAATGTTCAGTAAAGTCAAAGGGCCGCAGAGATAGTTATTTTACTCTCGCTGACAAACTATTGAACACAACAACCTTATAAGGCACTTATTTGTATCCTTCATACAGCTGCCATTACTTCACTCGAAGAAATGACATCTCTGAAGTGAATAGCGAGTTTTCAGACGGCGATACGCCACTTTCTTGTTGGAGTTTGGTACGCTCTTATGCTTCAACTCGGAGGTTGTATATAGCACTGTGAAAGCTAAGGACGCAAGCGCGTGATCCTCAAAAGAGCTTAATTTCACCGAGCACAAGAAGGCACTGCCCTGCAGATCAATGCACTCGTCCCCATGACTTCCATTACACAATACATGGAGTGTGGTCTTTGCCTTCTGAGCACGACAAAAGAAACGACTTCTGTAAAAGCTCTCTCCTGCGGCCACAGAAAGCATCATTTCGGGATACAAGTTTAGCAAGACCAAATTTGGGGAGAGTACTTTGAAGTCGGGAGGTTGCCTTTCCCAGAAAAGTACAAAAAAATTTAAAAAAAACCTCAAGTACATACTGAGAGAATTAGTCCAGTAAAGTACAAGCTTTCTAAACCTACTTGAAGTAGTACTTGAAGTACTTAAGGGGGGACGCGGGTCCTAAAAATGCAAAAAATCGCGAAAAAGTTCATTTTTCAGAAATCCTGTATTTGGGTGCCTTACATATCCAAGCACCTCTCTTCAAAAGATTATAGCGTAATTCAAACTCAAAGTATAAAAAAAACGATAATTACGTCGCGCGGAACGCGCCCAAAATCTTCCCGAAAGAGGAAACTGATGTCAAAACGCGCGCCCTCCGCGCCCCCCCGGTGCGCGCCCGTTCGCGGCCATTTTGGTCTCGTTATAAAGCTTGCTTCTTTGTCTACATTTTTGGCGCCATTAAAAATGGCGTCCGCCCGGGGAAAGCACAGAATACCGCGTTTCCCCGAAGAAAGAAACCGAGCTACCGATTGGCTAAGAAGCACGGGTTGCAGCGAGCGCTGTCGCTATTGGCCGAAGGGCATGCCTCCTCTCCTGAAATATGTCATTCTCCTCTCTCTCCTCTCCTTCGTCGCGGTGCGGAAGGAGTCGGGAGCAGCCGATATCGGTGTTTGTCGTCTGCTAGCGGTTGCGTTTTGGCTTGAAGCACGTTATTTTTCGGCGTTCGCCTGCTTTGTTTAGCTCGACGTCTTTAGGAGACATCGGTAGTTATCGCGATGCCTAGCGTGAAGCTTTCAACGCAGCGTGCGTACGGCAAGCGGAAGCGTCGGGCGTAGAACAAGAGGACTTCGCTCGTATCGCCAGCCGCGTTGCTTGCGGCGGACATGCGGCAAGTTCAGCTGTCAGCAGCTGCATCGTCTTCCGAGGTGCCCGCCCCTGATGTGAGCAACGAAGAAGACGACGGCTTCGGCCCTGGTGCGTCACGACTCGACTCGCATTTCTACACGGCAAGCGAAACTGCTCAACGTGCGGCGCGGACTGACGAGATGAAGCAGGATTTGGCCGCGAAGTCTGCCACACAACTTTAGTTTGACCTCCTCAATGTCACTGTCGAGGATAAAGAGACAGATTTCGGCACGCAATTCGTGATCGTGGATTTGAACGTGCTGAACTTGTTCTTCGCGACCACCAAGTGTGAGCAGTGCGGAATGGCCGCGCCCATTCACAAGCTGGTGCTTTGAAAACGTCCCCACGTTCCCCAAAAAAGCCCTTCTGAGGGCTAACCAATTGTTGCAGATGGGGCTGCTTTCCCTACCCGTGTCTCTCCCTTGGTATGAAATTCAAGCCAAAGGCATTCCACCCATCTAAAGCTACAATGTTGTTAGTTTTGCATACCCAAATTTCAAAGTCGATTTTCTCAGCTTTGGTTTTTTCAGCCTCTTCACTGGCCAGGAAGGCTTTTTGATTCACTTGCGCTCAACCGATTTTCATAAACTTGGTACCATATTCTTTGGAATGAACTAGACTGCAAGCTAAAGCTATTTTTATTATGATATTTTGTTGTATATAAAACTGGCATTTCATTATTGGACATTGTTATAGCCCCTATTGTATGTCTTCTATTCACTTTAATTTTTTTACATGATTATATGGTGCTAAAGAAATATAAATAGCTTTAGCTTGTATGGCATTTCTTTAGGAAGCAATTGATACCTTTTTTTCATTAAAATTTTAATAAGAAGGTTTTTTAAAACTTTTCCTCAAATTAGCTAATTAATATTTTATTTTGTTGATAACTTTTGACAAAGAGGAGATATCTGAAATCTGATTGCAGTTATGAAATCAGCACAATAAACTGCATGCCTGCGCAAAAAATCATTGAGATAGACCAATAAACAAAAAATAGTTTTTGAGAACCCACTTCCTCCCTTAAAGTACACTGGGCCTCGTAAAGTAACATCCAAATGTCACACGACGTGTCTGACAGTGTTATGTAAACCTTTTAAAAAGCCGTTAACGTGCCGTGAACACCGCGACATCATTAGAGTGGCGTCACCATCGAGGCTACATACCACAGACACAAAAACACCAAGAGCTGGCCTCATAAATGCGTCTAAAGGCCTGTTCACACACAGACCACGGCAATAACTCAGTGGTATTAGCCAGCGCTGGAAATAGCGCCGAGCTTCTTGACATGGCACCGACTTCGTACCACATTAATGCTTCATAAATGCTTAGCATCGGTGCTAAGCACACCTTACCAGTTGGGCATGGGAGGTCTGGGACCCCTCTCCCACGGACCGGGGCATCCCCTGCCTTGCCTCATCGGCGGAGGGGGCCCCTGGTGGTGGAGCGGCGGGGGCGGGGCCCCAATGCCGACCATGCCCTGCGTGGGCACTCCGGGCAGCACCGGGGCAGTTGGGGGCGCACCGGGGGCACCGCCAAGCACTCCCGCACCGTTGGACCCCTCCGCCACCCCGTCTGTGGGGCTGATTCCCGGAGGAGGGGGTCCCAGGGGCGGGCCCCTGGGGTCGATGACGGTGCGCGTCGGTGGGGGCGGTTGGCTGAGATCTGCAATCAAACGGAGGGCAACAATGGATGAGGTGGCAGTTGTCGTTATTCGTCCCATCTTTCTAAACTACGTGATGCAAGCTGAATTTGTGGTTCACACCTCTGAGATGTTATATATAATTTCATTTTAAAGCGCAGCCCTTAGGCGCCCGTTTCCGGCTTGAGCGGCGTCACCGTCGCCGCAACCGCGCGGTACATTATAAGCAAATTCCCCCCTAAATCTAGCAGGAAAATTTCCCCGCTAAATCTAGCGGAGAGAAATTTTCCTGCTAAACTTAGCGGAAAATTTTTCCCGCTAAATTTAGCGGAAAAATTTCCCCGCTAAATTTAGCGGAAAGATTTACTCGCTAAATGGCAGGAGAGGAGGAGGGGCATGGCCTTCTTTCAGTACCCTTCCATCCTTCTCCTCAAGAGCTGCACTCTAATTCAGTGTTACAGGGGATTGTAAACGGCTTTCATTTTAGGGGCGAAGCTCCTTAGAATCTAGCCTTGTCCGGCGTCCGTGCTTACATCAATTGCCATCCCATCTGTCTTCTTAAAAAAATAAAAAAAAATGTTTGCACAGTCGACAGGATCGAGCCTGTGCGGGGAGACCCCAATGGATTTCTAGTCCATCGCCTTAAAGGGCCCCTGAAAAGAAAAAAAAGTTTTTTTTTTAAGCAGTCTGGTTGGGACACGCGTGTCAAAAAATGAATTTTTTAGAGCAATATTGACGGCGAAAGATTTATTTGAAATTTTGCGCGAAAATTCCAGGTCATTCAAATCGGCTTCTCATTGGCCAATAGAATGAGTGACAGCTTAGATGTTGGTTATAAAATCTTCGTGATCTCTTGAAATCGCCTTTTAAATTACATATTTTAAGGTTTAAGAAACAATCCATCGAATGAATGTCGCAATTGTTTACAAACGTTTTACAAAATCGTAACTTCCGTTCGGATACTACGTCAAAACAACAAACATAAGCTTTGCCATTTTGTTTTCTGTCGTGGTCACCGTCTCGTAACTCGTCTCGCGTAGTTTTATCGCGTTTATATGTGAAGACCTTCTGAAGAGCGCGTGTTGCTTGTGTTATTTAGTCATCGTAAGTACTTAGGAAGTGGCGCGGGGTGACAGGTTTTTGTTTTTCTGCTCTTCTTTGCGTGATTCGTGTGTCCCATTTACCCCATCTTTCGTTTGTTGTCTTGAGCGCGCCAGTGGGATTTTTCTTTTTTCGAGATGTCAAATCCCGTAAAGCGTTTAGCGAAAGCACGCAGCACCGCACTCAAAGTTTAATAAAAAAAAATCAGTTACCACTGCGTGTCCTCGCGGCGGCTTGAAGGGTCGTGCGGCTCGGACGAACTCGTCGAGGCACCTGCTTCGCCGCGGCGAAGCGCGTGCCTCTTGAGCGGTTGTCTCGCGGCGATCGGAGCGGACGCCTTTCGGCTGGCGAGGCGTGTTCTCGCACGGGCGAAGGCCCAGCTGCTGGCAGCGTTACTCTAGAGCCAACCCTTACTCTAGAGTAAGATCGAGTGAATTTTGGAACACGGCCAGGAAGTAGCAATGGCTCTTGTGCGGGGTGCAGCCAAGCCAGGCAAGCAGCCAAGCCGATCCACTACGAAGGGGCGGGGAGTACCTCTCCTCCACGTGCCCGAAATGCCGAGAGAAAACAAGTGGAAAGGAGGTGACTACCGACTAAATTGCGTCGGGCACAATCAATATTGCTCAAAAAAAATTTTTTTTTCGTGTAAAATTCATTTTTTGACACGCGCGTCCCAACCAGACTCTTTTAAAAAAACTTTTTTTTTCTTTTCAGGGGCCCTTTAAAGGGCAACTCCGCTTAATTTCAAAAATTTTGAGATAGTGGCCGATTTTGCTTCTTGAAGCACTCAAAAACAATTCCCAATCCTTTGTTTCGCAAAAAATAAAATATTCTTCGTGTAATTTTACTCTAGCCATGATCACAAACCGAAACCGAAATGGTGGCAAAGCCGGACAACATTGTATATTCGGCATCACTAAGCATGTACACCCACGTGATATACAAGGGGAAGAAGAAGCTCCCCTCTTATCAGGATCCTCCTTTGTGCCTCCTGGATTAGCGCAGGCGTCGCTATTCTCCTCCCAGAAGATTATAGAAGATTAACCTGTCACTCAAAATTCTTACAAAAGCAGCTTCCCTCTCCTCCTTTTACTTGGTGTTCAAAAGTATGCGATGTAACACAAGCCGCGCTCAACGAGGCGATCGGCTTATCAGTAGTATCAATAGTCTAGCGCCGGGCCGGCCGAGCGCGTCACTCACGTCTTTCACGGCGCTGGCGCCACCCGTGCTCTCCCCAAAAAAAGAAACAAAATTGAAAAAAAAAAAAAAAGAAGCTGTACATGTTTGATGACGTCGCGGACGTGCCGGAAGAAGGAATTTGGAGGAAGCGGAAATGCAGCCGGGCAGTGTTGTCTGGCCCGCACGTCTCAACCAAAACCAGCGGATTCGTGCTTGTCAAACTTTGACAGCGATTTTAATGAACTTCCAGGCGGAATTTCGTGGTAATATTTGCCATGGGGGTCTGGTAGATGATAACAAAGAGAACTGTATAGTTTTGCACTACTGGAAAAGAAGCGGAGTTGCCCTTTAACCACTCGGCCACGACTGCGGGACAAGTAGGGGGCTCTGAGATGTGGTAGTAACTCAAGAGCTGGGGTTTCTGTCATGGATGAAACGTTGCATGTAGCCGCTCAGCGTCTATACAGGAGAGGGCACTGCGGTCAAATGCGTATATAATCGCGTTAAACTTTGCATGCGTTGGCTCAACGTTTATAGACGAGAGGGCGCTGCGGTCCAATGCTCAAATGCGTATCTAATCACGTTCCATGTCACACATTCTCTTCTTGACATGGATGAAAATGAACGAAAAGCTCGGCATGCTGCGGCTCAGCGTCTACGCAGACAGCAAGCTGCTCCGGGGTGTGAGAAGCTGCTGCAAAGCATCAAAAACCTATGAACCAAATCAGTATCATCAGCATCACCAGAGCCCCAATCAACATCATTCACCACGTAGAGATGCGGTTGTTTTTCTTTGTTTTTTGTTTCTTAGAGCGCAGCTCTTGCGCACTCGTCTCTGGGTTGAGCGGAGTCGCCGTCTGGGCGTAACCGCACGTTGCATCATGGGATGTTTTCCATAAAGACGTCACATGTTATGTCACATGTGACGTCACGAGAGAAAACTTTTCCCGCTAAATTTAGCAGAAAATTTTTTTGCTAAATTTGGCAGGAAACCTTTTCTGCTAAATTAACCCCTTAAGTGCCAATTTTTTTTTTTTTCCAAAAGCACGGTAACCTAAAAGTGACTTTTTTTTATATTGAATTGTTATTCCTCTAGTATTACACATAAAATTTGAAAAGTTTATTACGCAAAAATCAGCGGAGGCGAAAAAAATATTTGCCAACTAAAACGAGTGCTGCCATCCATGATCAGCGCCACAAAACGACGAGCCTAGCTTGTCCGGGGAATTGAGGGCTACCGAAAAAACCACAGGACGAGCTCATCCGTGGCATTTTTAGCCAGAAAGTGGCGCTCAGCTCGTCCAACGCACTTAAGGAGTTGAACGGAAAAACTACCCGCTTAATTAAGCGGGAAATATTAAGCATTGATATGGCACAAAGTCGGTGCAACAAGCTCGGCGCTAATTCTGGCTAACACCACTGAGTTATTGCCGTGGTCTGTGTGTGACATCACGTGACATCACACGTGAAGTCACGTGAAATTTAGAGGAAAAACTTTTCCGCTAAATTTAGCGGAAAAATTTCCCAGCTAAATTTAGCGGGGAAATTGATGTCACGTGACCTCAACACGAATTCAGTTTACCCGCTAAATTTAGCAAGAAATTTTTCACCACATTTAGCGTGAAAATGTTGGTAAATTTCCCAGTAAATTTAAAGGGAATATTGCCCCACTAAATTTAGTGGAGATATTTTCACTAAATTTAGCAAGAAATTTTGCGAAAATTTCCTGCTGAATGGGAGGGGAGAGGAGGGGCATAGCCTCCACTCCTCCTCAAGATCTGCACTCTAATTCGACAATGCAGAGGATTGTAAACCACTTTAATTTTTTTAGTTTTAACGAGACTAATACAGTACAGTAAAGTCACAGCGCCAGCTGCAACACGTCACATGGAAGTTGCTGGGCACCAACGTCGCATACATGCACCAAGGGGTCTGCGAACAAAAGCGTTCGGAACAAGAGTGACATCTGTTTTATTCCGAAAGCTATTTCGTTACGAACGCTTTTGCTTCTTTTTTGTTCCGAAGCGCTTGAAAGTGCCCTTCTCGGCTCAAGCCCTTGGCGTTGAGAGTGCTACAACAACCTATAGGCTCTTTTTTGTCTTTACGGAGTGCGTGCAACGGGCAGTGGGTACTACCAAGTCTCTAAGTATAGGGCAGTTTGTTAATGCCGGGCTGTAGCTCAATGGTAACGCCTTCGCTTGGTACGCAGTGAACCCCGGTTCAATTCCCGCGGGTAGCGGGCAATCTTTTTCGAGGATTTGGCGACATCGATGACGGACGCCCTACATTGCCAACTACACCACTAACCACGACAACTACTACAACGTCAGCAACTACAACATCAAAAACGGACGTCATTTGCAGAGGTGGGAAGAGACCATAAATAACAGCGATCGCCGTAAAATCATCTGTCCTTCCTGAACAGCTGTGCTGACAGCTCAATAACTACGGTGCCCGACTGCCACCGCACCAACCCGTGTTCGAGCTCTGCCGGGACTGGAACTTTATATGCTCTCTTTATATAAAATCTTAGCATCCTTAACGCTCCCACCGTGTCACTCGAACCCTTTCTTATAAAAAACGAGCCGTAGAACACGTCGTGCGTTAAATGCCCGAGAGCAACTCACCGGCAGGCGGCGGTCCGACGGGAATGAGCTCTCGGTGGGACGGCCGCTGGGGGTGGAACGGAGGGGGCGGGGCACCCGGGGGCGGGCCCCAGAAAGGGGGCGGGCCCTGGGGCACCCGCAGGGGGCGCTCCATGCCGGGGGCCTCGGGGTTGTAGGGCTCTGCACGTCGGGAGGAAATTTTTCATCTGGTGACCACTGGCTCCTTATGTCGTAACTAGACATAACCGGCCGGTGCTGATTCGACCGTTAGCCACGTTTTAGCGTTAATGAACTACGACATCTTGACCAAGCCGTTGTACGAGCTAAACACTTCCCACTCAACGAGGCTCAAGTAGGGCCACGTGAGCTATGAAAACGGGCGCCCCACAAAAATTTCCATAGCAACTTGCGCAGACGCTGTGACGTGGCAGCATGGCATTGGTCCACGCCACAACGTCCGCCTAAGTTGCTGGTGCCTGGTGCCCACTTTTATCGCTCGTGTGTCCCCGCTTAATAGTCCGCATCAGACAACTTCTTGGCCCGATGAACAAACTTAATTTTGTCCCGAGTTGTCATGTGCTGTATGAACAGTCCACGATAAACGACATTTTTGGGGGATAAAACTCGGGTCATACATTTCACAAATGTTTCATGTATGGCATACCTGCTTATGATCATTAGGCCTATGTAGAAAAAATCATCAAACATCTGCTTTGTATGTGTAGCCATTCATATGGCAAATCATAATTTTATCTTGTATCATATTTGGCCGATAATTCAAACAAAATTTGTGGCATCCTAAAGTTTGAAACAATGAGGTTCTACCGTATCTCTCTCTCTCTTTAGTCTTTGCTCTGAGGCAGATGATTCCGACAAAGCGAACAATGCCGGATGTCGGTCCGAAATGCGCGCTGGAGTGGAGAAGTTGACGCACCGAGGAAGCGAGGGCATGCTAGATAACGTTTGCCTAGCACATACTCCGTAAGCAAAAAAAAAAAGAGCCTCTTATTGTTTCCACAGCAAGCATGTTCTCATGATTTCGATCTAGTCCGTGCAAAAGTGAAACAGACCGGTTCCGCGGACAGTATTTAAGATGTAGCTACCTCCCAAGTTACACTTGCACAAAGACCTCACCCCAAACTAGCTTAGCCCACATATGCGACCGCTCGCCATTTCCGTCTCTCTCTCTCAGAGGCCTCGGTAACTCCGTTTACTGGGCAACTCTCGCAGAGGCTGGAGTTACGCAGGCTCCCGAAACGCTTTGATGCCTTCTTGGTCTCAATGCCCACCAGCTAAATGCAAACTGATAAATTTGCACGCATAACTGTACTACGGCGCAAACGGTGAAACCGTAAAGGAACTCCTCTGTGTGGTAATGAGTTCGTCGTAGAGTTTGCAAGACCTCTGAAAAGGTTCGGTAGTGCTCTGGTACATGCTTTTTATCCATCCCTTCGTCAGAGTAGATATTCAAGGCCTTTCACGAGGTGTCTGTTAGCGGAAGTGTTCTCTATCCGATCCCTGGCACGTTCTCCCTCGAGGGAAGTCAAGCGAGTGCCAGCCAGCTCCACATCTGAGATCGCCATGTTGCACACCGAAGCACCAGCATAGCTCATCCGGTCCCCCTCAAGAGTGGCACTAAACGCTACCCCAATGAAACTCGCATTTTCGACTACTGTGCAGCACACCGCAAGAAAAAGAGGGTATAGGAGAATGGAGGGTAAGAAGACAAAGACAAGTAAAAGAGGAGTTAAAAGAGGCAGTCATACGGCACACCGAGGAAATCACGTGACAATGGGCGGAGGGAGCGGAGGGCCAATCAGAGCCACTTACACCGGGAGAGCGTGGACAGTGGGCGCACGTCCCCACATAAAGCCCTTTTCGCATGGTGCAATTCTGTCGGCGTTTTTCGGTCTTCTCCAGAAAAAAGCGTGTGGACGCAGTTCACTTGTCATCTTTTTCATGCACGAGAGGCGTCGCAACAAAAAAACCCGAAGCAGAATTGCGCCACGTGAAATAGGTTTGCGTCGCCCCCCCGAAGAGACAACGACGCTCCCAGACACCAATGCCGCGGACGGACGCCGACTTCCCGGGAAGGACTGCCCGTTGTCCCAGCAGCATAAATGGCTCTGGGGGGCCGACATCCCCCTCCGCTAAGGTCTGTGCACTAACCGGCCGCAGCGAGGGCTTGGGACTCCTGGCTACCCGCCATCGGAGGCAGCACTTGGGTCAGCTGAGCCAGAGACGGCGGCACACCTGAGGAGGTCAATCCTCAGTTGGGAGAGAACACTCTGTTCACTCTTCTCTTTTGCAACCACACGCAGCCTCCAACGGTCTTCCAATGCCATGTGAGCGCGCTGGGACAACTTTTTTCGAGCTTCTCTTATTTCCTCCATTCCAAGTGGAGGTGCAAACCAAGCATAAACTCGCCTCTTCTTGGTGCGCTAGCAGCTGCACGCCAAATAGACCGACCTCGCTAAAGTACGAGCACAAGTGCATGCGGTTCAGGTTAAGCAAAACTCTCGGAAATGCGGGGCAGAAGGAAAAGGTTCATCAGTGAGGAAAGGGAAGAGGAAGGGAAGTGAGAGATGGCAGACAGCGGCTCGTACAGAGGCAACGTGCAAGCTCGGCAAGCGTCTCCGTAACACACCCGGGTGGCTGGTGCGACCCTCGGCACCGTCTCTATGTCCCTTCGACGTGGTTCCACCCCGTGACCCTGCACTACCCACTGCAAGACCCACTGTCAAGCCACCCGCTTGAAGGGCCGTCCGTCCCGATTCTGAGGCAAACCTTCGCTTCTAAGACGCGCGCCGACAAACGTTTTAGTCTCGCAGACTGAGGGCGCAGTATGAAGCTGTTGGTCGATTACTACAGTAAAACCTCGTTATAACAAAGTTGAAGGAGCGGTCGTAATTATTTCGTTATAACCATTAGTTTGTTATAGCCAATGTCCATTTCTTCCCACTATTAGCAAGCAAGGGGAATTATGATTGCTTTGTTATATCCCTTAGTTTGTTATATCCCGTTTTGTTATAACGAGGTTTTACTGTACTCTAGTCGCTGCCAGTGCGAGAATGATGGTGACGGCCCTGAGCTCTCCTACCTTCGATGATGCTTCGCTGTCTCTCGAGATTCCAGCCTGCACGTGAAGCCTAATTACGGTGGGAGGCATGGAGCGCGTGCTAAAGGCCGGGGATCAAAAAAAAATTGCGGTGGCTTAGCTTGCCTATGCCAGGATATACGTAGCGTGAGCTTATGCGCACAAAATTAGAGGCGCTATCAAGCGGCTCCGGTGCAGCGTCAGACTTGGGTACTGCGCAGCAGAGGCGCACAGCTGGGCACACGTCTGCCGCGGCTATGATGTCACTCCTCTGGAATGCGCAGACCGGCGAGGCAGGCGCGGCAGCGGCGGAGCACGCGGCGCCGTGCACCGTGCTCATTATGCGGAGCTCCGCTGCCGCCACCGCACGCTCCACATAATGAGCACGGCTCATTATGATGGTGACGCGTAACTGCTCAACCTCGGCCAGTGTAGCTAACGCTACAAAAGATGCCTTACCGTTCTCGCCCTGCAGTTCTCGTCCTGTCAGTGACTATGGTACTACCGTCAAGGTAATGCTAGAGCCACTAAATGAGTTATGCTTACACTTTGACCATCTTAGTGCTCAAAATCATTTTCGCCAGTTATCCCGAGACTTCTATCTCAAATCGCAGAAAACGCCTTGTTGTCCTTCGAAAATGTTGAAACCGGGCAAAACGAGAGTGCCCGAGCTTTACCACATCCTATCTGAAGCCCAGGAAGTCGCATTGGGGAATCCTAACAATTGTGAAATTGCACTCGCCCTGCACCAAGCACCAAAATGGCAGCACCCAATCGAGTGCCAATACAGTGCAGCCCACCTATAACGACAAAGAGAAAACCCGAAAATTCAATAGTTATAATCGATTACCATTGTATCTGGACTAGAAGCTGGGCGTTTCTAGTCTTCAAACTCTAGAAACTGATCGTTGTATCTGGCATTGTTACAAGTGGATTGCACTGTACTCGTAATGTCGGCTATTCGGTGACTCTAGGATATGCCAGGCTGGCAGCAAGGCGCGTTCCTCGTAAACGAACGACCAACGGTTGGTCGGCCAACGGTTGGTCAGCCTCGCACTCGCGATTAAAAGGCGCAAAGGCCCACTCACCCTGCGGTAAAGACGGCTGCGGGGGTAGTGCCGGTGCCGGCGGTGGGGGCGGCGGTGGGGGAGGAGGTCCCGAGAGTCCGAACCGCAGCACGGAGACGTCTTCCACGATCAGGGGGTCGTTGCCGTGGTCGAAAGGACAGTAGTCACCCCGCATGCAGTAGCCCCGTTCTGTGGACGGACAAGGAAGAAAAAGGTTGACGGAAAATATCGGTGACATGATGAACAGAACAGCGCACACAAAGACAAGGACAGAGAAAAGGAACATGCAGGACACACAAGCGCTGACTTGCAACTGAATTTATACACAAAAGGAAGAGGAGGTTCTGAAAGACACGCAGGGCACGTCACACGCGACACAACACCATTTAACTACAATGTCTTTGCCCCATAGTCCGATCTAAAAACAAGGTTTCGGTTTGTAGTAGTGTCACTGATGGGTGGCTGACGCAGCAGTCCCGCAGGCTGTTGATGCAATGTGCTTCCAAGATTTCGCGAGTCGTCTCGATAGTGTCCAATTATTGTTCTGCCTTCTAGAATCGGAGCAGACGAGCAGGAATTGCAATGAACGGGAAGGTGACCGCCCACCGTAGATTTTAGTGAACGATCATGCTCGAGAAGGCGATCGTTTAGGCACCGTCCAGTTTGGCCCACATAGCTTCTACCACACGTTAGTGGGATTTTGTACACCACGCCAATTGAACACGGCACATAAGGGTGGCTGTGGCGTTTCTGGCACTTGTCTTTGTTGAGGTTATCCGCTATCGAGCGAACCTTTGAACAGATTTGCGCCATTCTTTTAGGAGCCGAAAACACCACAGGCACCTCGTACCTTTGGGCTGCTCTTTTTAAATTATGAGAGGTTTTGTGCATGTATGGTACAACAACTTTTCGTTTCTGTGGATCTCTAGGTTTCTTTCGCTGAATCCCTTTAGTCTTACGTACTAAGGCCGCCACCACCTCGTTTGAGACCTGTGATGAGAAGCCCGACTTTTGGAGTCTCTCAACTTGAGCATTAAAACTTTCACAAACAGTGTGAAAGTGGGACTTCGTAAGTGCAGCCCCAAGTATGGTAACCGCAATCCCCCTTTTAACAACTTTCAAATGTGCGGATGTGAAGTGAAGGATGCCCTTTTTTGACCTAGGAGAGAAACTCCAGCAGATATGGTTTGTATGAAGAGGTAACGAAAGGTCCGGGAACTGTAACTTTCCGTCCGAAGGTTTTTCAACAGTGAATTTAAGACCAAAGCCGCACCTGGAAAATACGCTCGTAACCTTATCAACGTAACCACCTTCAACAGACTTGGGATACACTAGCAAAAAATCGTCAACGTATCGGAACACCCTCGACACTAGTGATCTGCTAAGGGCACCTTCAATAGCTCTATCGACACTTGCTAGAAAAATATCACTAAGAACGGGGGCCACGCATGATCCTATGCACACACCTGACCGCTGCGTAAAGGTATCATTGTTCCAGCCAACGATCATGGAGTTCAAATAGAATTGCAGAAGTTCTAGAAAACCTTATAAAGAAACACCACTAGAGTTTCTGAAGGAGAGCTCTCCTTGCTCTTCAATGCAGGACTTCACTGAGGCAAGTAATGCTTGGTGTGGAAGAGAATAAAAAAGGTTTTGCACGTCAACGCTGAACAAAGAGTGGTTGTTGAAATCATTGTTCTTGAAAGCTTCCACTACTGCTTCAGAATTGCTGACTAAAAAGGGGTCCTTGATTTGCAACCCTGATAGGTGTTTTTGAAGAAAGCCCGCCATCTGGCGCTGCCACGTGCCTCTCTCAGTGATGATGGCATGGAATGGGCAGGCTTCCTTATGGGTTTTCACACTAAAAGACACCTCAAGGTTAAGCCCTGTTGCTTTCTTGATGTTTCCTGACAAGCTTGTCAAGGAATGGCGTTCAGAGAGCTTTAATGCCTGCGCCTTAATCTGCTTGGGGGACACTTGTAAATCAAGTGTCCCCCAAGGACCCCTTTTTAGTCAGCAATGCTGATGCAGTAGTGGAAGCTTTCAAGAACAATAATTTCAAGCGTATTTTCCAGGTGCGGCTTTGGTCTTAAATTCACTGTTGAAAAACCTTCCGACGGAAAGTTACAGTTCCCGGACCTTTTGTTATCTCTTCATACATACCATATCTGCTGGAGTTTCTCTCCTAGGTCAAAAAAGGGCATCCTTCACTACACATCCGCACATTCGAAAGTTGTTAAAAGGGGGATTGCGGTTACCATACTTGGGGCTGCACTTACAAAGTCCCGCTTTCACACTGTTCGTGAAAGTTTTAAATGCTCAAGTTGAGAGACTCCAAAAGTCGGGCTTTCCATCACAGGTCTCAAACGAGGTGGTGGCGGCCTTAGTAAGTAAGACTAAAGGGATTCAGCGAAAGAAACCTTGAGATCCACAGAAACGAAAAGTTGTTGCACCATACATGCTCAAAACCTCTCATAATTTAAAAAGAGCAGCCCAAAGGTACGAGGTGCCTGTGGTGTTTTCGGCTCCTAAAAGAATGGCGCAAAGGTGCAAATCTGTTCAAAGGTTCGCTCGATAGCGGATAACCTCAACAAAGACAAGTGCCAGAAACGCCACAGCCACCCTTACGTGCCATGTTCAATTGGCGTGGTGTACAAAATCCCACTAACGTGTGGTAGGAGCCATGTGGGCCAAACTGGATGGTGCCTAAACGATCACCTTCTCGAGCATGATCGTTCACTAAAATCTGTGGTGGGCGGTCACCTTCATTGCAATTCCTGCTCGTGTGCTCCGATTCTAAAAGGCACAACAATAACTGGACACTATCGAGACGACTAGCGAAATCTTGGAAGCACATTGCATCAACAGCCTAGGGGACTGCTGCGTCAGCCACCCATCAGTGACACTACTACAAACCGAAACCTTGCTTTTAGATCGGACTATGGGGCAAAGACATTGTAGTTGAATGGTGTTGTGTCGCGTGTGACGTGCCCTGCATGTCTTTCAGAACCTCCTCTTCTTCCTTTTGTGTATAAATTCAGTTGCGAGTCAGCGCTTGTGTGTCCTGCATGTTCCTTTTCTCTGTCCTTGTCTTTGTGTGCGCTGTTCTGTTCATCGTGTCATCATACCAACTCGCCCAACTTACAACACTTCTGAAAATGTCGGGTTCCTTTCGGGCCGACACCTCGATGCAACCGATTAACGAGCTAGTGCTACAACATCTATGCTCGGCAGACGGTCATGTAAACAACGGTGTCCGTCGGGACTTTGGCGATTCGTCGACTTAATTTTGCTCAAATTTATCCCAGCCAAGCTCTTGAGTGAGCAGTACGTACCCTAAATTAATAAATAAATAAAATACTCCGAAAGAATTTAACAAAATGTCTTGTTTGATGCACGAGTACAATTATGAACCGAAGAAAGCATAACTTGCATTGTTTTTGAGCGAAATATTGCACTTTACATTGACTCGTCAGTCTGGTATATGATTTACTGTTTGCCATTCTCTTTGTTTCATATGTTATTTCCAGATTTCACGCACACAATTCCTCGTAGTCCTCTCGCTTCTCTTTAATTCCTCTTAATTCACCTTGATTCCTTTTAATTTGCTTTATAGTCTTTTTAACTCCCATTGATTACTCTTACTTCTCTTTAATTCCTTTTAATTCACTTTAAATTTTCTTAATTCGCTTCAATTCCTCTTAATTCGCGTTGTCATCCTTCTTAATTTCCTCCAATTCGCCCGAGTGGTCACAAAATGTTTTGGTGCCTTTCATGTCGCCAACGTGTTTTCACTCAAGGACTTGGAAGGTCGACTGAACGATGAGACATGTAAGGCCTTAATAAAATGCCAATTTTTCATTTGTCTCATGCCCCGGAACAACCGGTCAGTCACAGTAAGGTGGCAGATAGTAGGAAGGAAACTACACCAAACTAAAATATACCAACCAATCGCCATTCCACCCAAGGACTATGTTGAGAAGATATAGGACAAGCTCTGTTTTAAAATAGAACAAAATGCGAAAGGCTGTTGGAAAAGGCTATCGCCTAATCTCAAAGGAGCAGTTGGAGCAAAGCGCAACCACAATAGCGGTCCGAAAAGGAGCCGCACTGACCGTCGTAATCCCGGCATCGCTTGGACGCCTTGGCGTGGAAACCGGAAGGGGCCTGCTGTCCCTCCGCGGGTGCCGCGTTGGGCGGCGGTGGAGGCGGCTGCCCCGGCCGGTAGTCCGTGTCTCCGTGCGACCCCTCGGGGCCCCTCGTTTCGGAGGCGCCGCCGGAGTTCCGCGCCTCCGCGCGCGCCCCGTCTGCAACGCGAGCCACGTGACGTCGCAACTAGAGCCACTGACCGAATGAGACGCGCCCCGCAGTAACCACACTCCATCTCGGTGCTTACAGTCATTGTTGCCAGTCGTCTGAAACTGTATTTGAAATCGCACCAACCACTCTGACTGGAAAGTAAACATATTTGAAGACATTTTAACCCTGGAGAGGGGGGACAATTAGAACAAACACGACACTGATCTCTTTACCCAACCAGACAGAGATTTGTCTGGTAGGGTAAAGCTATATAGTTAAAAGGAATGATTTTACGCCTTCCGGATATGTAGAGACAGTCCCTGACAAATCAAACTCGCCCGACTTTCCTGGCGCAATCGATTAGAGGCGTATGTAAAGGCGCACTCACACTGAGCAAAAAACGCACGTTGTGGTCGACGTCGACGCCGGCGTCGTAAAATACGAAGCAGTCACACAGGGCCACCCGACGGCGTGTTCTCTCGTGTGTCGAGAGAACACAAACTTTTATTTGTCTGCTTCGCACGATTGTTGTTGCCTTCGCGATTGCATATGCGGTGGGAGACGACCGTCTTCACCGAATGGACAACGGCTATGCTTACATATACGTTTACACTCCGGTTATATGCAGCATTGGCAAAGGGCACGGACTCGAACGGGCAGCTTCTGAAGGTGCTCTTTTGCCGCGTTTTTGTGCAAACAAAGCACGGTGCTACGCCGGCGCGTCCCAGAGTCTTCCCGTCCGTACCTTTAACACTGCACGCAGCTTGTGCGAAAGTGTTTTCGATGGAAAACTGTTGTATTCCGCAGTGGTGGGTGCACACAGACTACACAACACATTGGGAGTGATCGCTCCCTCACAGTCGGAGGTCGGAACACACCGCAAACTTCGGTGGCAGCTTTCGCGAGAACTATGAAGAGTGGTTTCACGGCGTCGTACACGCACATAAAGCACTGCTCACAGTCAGATGTTCCAATCGGCTTGCTTCTTTTCACGCTGAAATGCTTCCATCCACGTTTGGCGACTGCATGTCTCCCTCGAACCCTCTTGCCTTTCGCCTTTATTGTGGGTCGAAAATAAAAACAGCGAAAACATGTCCTAACCGGAAAAGGACGACACGTCACGTCCGGGCGATCGCTGATTGGCTCAAGTGCGAGCGTCGAGGGAAAAATTGGGTTCCGGGGCGTCGTCTCCCTGAGTCGTCCTCCTCGGCGCGCAACTTTTTTTCATTACAAAAATAAGCAAAAAATCACTCCACGAAGCTCGTCTTTCCGCTGTGTGAATGCACCTTAAAGGCCACACTCTCGACTGTTAAGGACCGTGTGTCTTTAAACCTCTCGGGATCTCTTAGGACGAGAGAAAACACTCTGGCACCACCTATCGGGCAGTCATAAAACACGTCCCGTAGATTTCCAATTTTTCTTTCTTTCTTTCTTGGCTCGGAAATCTTTTTAAATGTTATAAACCACCATTTTTCTGAGGTAGTGCATACAATAAATCTCACAAACACTGCCAAACCTTTGCTCTAGTGAGGTGCAGTTCCAGGGTCACCGCATAGATGGCATTGGTCTGTTCTCTCATTGTAAGAGATTTTAACGAGTCTTAAGGCACGCGGTTCTAAGGAGTCGCAATGTCGACGAAGGCGCATTTTCAAATCATGACAACCAACAATAGAGCCCGCTCCGTACTAGAGCACCAAAAATGGCGGCACGCACGAGAATATTAGGGAACAGGGAGCCCAAAGTGTAGCTAAGCCAGTGGCTCTCGCTACAATGACATTCCGAAACGTCGCCCCGGTCTTTGATTTCATACTGAGCTGGCCATTGTGGATCTTGACTGAATGCAATTTTTTAAGGGGGAATGCTACCCAGAAAAAACAATTTCTGCAAATAAAGTTTATTTTGAAAAATGCAAGATTTACATCCCCCAAGATCCAGAAAGTTTCATTAGTTTACATGGCATGGTTAATCTTTTATAAATCCTTTTCGGTCCACCGATGCTAAAGAAAAGGTAGGAGCACTTTGAACGCATTCTACTCCATTCCACTTTTTGGCACAAATTTCACTTAAGAAAACTATTGTTTTGTTATTATGTAACTTGGATTCATTTTGATGAGTTTTTCTGGTGTGAAATTTTAAGAGAGAAGATATCTATGAGCTCATATTTTTTTATTTTTGTCATTTTTCATGCTCAAGAACTGAAATTCTGGACAAAGGATGGAAATCTAAAAAAAAATGACCACATTTCCACATGATGAATGATGTTGATTGGGGCGAAGCTCTGGTGGTGCTGATGATACTGATTTTATTGTTCATAGGTAGTGCTGATGGGGCTGATTTTTTTTTTTTTTTTATTGCTCATAGGTAGTGCTGAGTTCCGGGCTGCGTTTCGACTTCATTATTACCGCTTTATGGTCGGTGAAATGCAGAGCCAGTGGTTCTTCTAGCGGATCAGCTTGGATCCGCTAGAAGCCGTGGAAACGCATCTCCACCGCTTAAAGGGATGGTGAACCGAAATCTGGATTCCATAAAACACGGCGGCAAAAGCGCGTAACGGGATGCTACAAACACCAAAGCATCACTCATACAGCGATATTTCGAACGAATGAGCGTATTTTTCAAAGAAAGAGGCGCATTTGGCAGGAATGTTGGCGTCATGTTTCTCCGAGAAGGAGAGGGAACGGCCTCGCGTCTTCTCCGCCTCGCGGCCTTGAGGGAGCGAAGCGGAGAGAGGAGGAAACAAGGTATCTTCACGTCACCCGCATCGTCGGCCTGGTTCAATCTCGACCTCTTTTTCCGAACATACGGCCGTCCATTCGAGGTATCGCTTTGCGAGTAGCGTTGTAGGGATTGTAGCGTCTCGCCTACAGCTCCAGCATTGTTTTTTCTGAAATCCAAATTTCGGTTCACCATTCCTTTAAGTCAACGGTCCATATTAGAAAGAGAATGTGTGGTATGGAACGTGGTTATATACGCATTTGAGCATTTGACCGCAGTGCCCTCTCCTGTATAGAAGTTGAGCAGCTACATGCAACGTTTTATCCATGACATCCCCAGCTCTTGAGTTACTACCACATCTCAGAGCCCCCTACTCGTCCCACAGTAGTGGCCGAGTGGTTAAGGCGATGGACTAGAAACCCATTGGGGTCTTCACGCACACATCCGAATCCTGTCGACTGCGCAAACATTTCTTTTTCTTTTTTTAAGAAGACAGATGCGATGGCAATCAATGTGAGCACGGATGCTGGACAAGGCTAGACTCTAAGGAGCTTCGCCCCTAACAGTAGTATTTGTGTTTATGTGGCTTTTTTGTTGCGAAATATGGTGTAATATAGAAATATAGCTCCATAGCTATCTGCTTTGAACTGCCCTAAAGCAATATAAAGCACAAATTTACAAGTAATTTCAAAACGATAGTTTTCCTATGCAGACACGCCCACTTTCATCTTTGAACATTTGCAATTTTTTTGTACTTCACCTAGGTTAACAAAAATTGGCAGAAATGTTCTCTACATCAACAGAAGCAAGCCTTGTAAATGTCATTTAAATCAGACAAGGGGTTTAGATATTCACTTTTTGGGTAGTGTCCCCCCTTAACTTAAATAGACCTTTTGCCAAAATACCCATCATCGAGGAGAATTGCGGGAATGTTGGTGCATGCGCCGCAAACACTTGCCTTATCCATATAAAAGATTCAAAATAAATAACCCAAAAAAGCTCCATAAAAAGTGCAATTTGCTTTGGGTTTTTGCTTTAGAATGGGTACTGTATTTACTCGCATAATGAAACCCCCCCCCCCCCCAAAGGGTACCAACATTTGGACTTTCTCCTTTCGTAATGAACGCATTTCCAATTATCGGCTCCGCGAGTATCGAATTGCATCCAGCGGTACTCGTCATGTGGAACTTGTGCTACCCTAGGAATGCAACGTCCGACAGCCCGGCTCCTGCAAGGTATTCCAGCCCAAGACCACTTTCGAGGTACGGCGCTCGACATGCCCGTCAGATCCCCATCTACCCCGAAGGCGGCAAAGTCAAACTCACCCCTGGACCGGTTTCGCGAGCGTGGAGACCTGGACCGCGACCTTGAGACGGACCGCCGCCCACTGTGGGAGCGGTCGCGGGGCCCCGCCGACCGTCCCGGTCGCTCCTCCGGACCCCAGCGGTTGCGGGTGCCGTCCCCGCGGTGCCGGCCGCCAGCCTCATGGCGTCGCCGTTCGCTCGTTCGGCGTCTGCGTTCATCCGCGAAGCGGCGCCCCGAACGGCGCTCGTCCTCTCTGCAAAAAACGACAAAAAAAGTCGCGAGTCGCAACCAGAGTTCTCTCTTGCGGACGTTCGAGCCGAGATGGTTTCCACGCAGTGCCGCAGAATTAGCTTTCTTTTTTTCAGACTTTATTAAAAGTTCACATTATTTAAAGTATCAAAGCACAGTCTACAATTTGCTCACTCGAAACATACCACCGAAAACAATATGTACGTTGCTCACCAAACTTATAAGGAGGGCGCAAACTGCGACTTTTCTCGCGGGAGCTAATAATCTATGGGTGAAAGGTCCTACGCAATTCGGCCACTTTAGAACGGCGGGGCACAGACACCGATATCGGTGGTCCACTTCGGACCATGTTGGTGACAATATGATCCCATATGGACCATATTGACAGATATTGTCCAGATGCTTTAATATACGCGAAGAAGCGGGAAACAACCACTCGCAAGATCTGTATCTAGAACATTTCTAGCTTTATTTTGAACAAAACCACTCGTATTGTGTATAGCATGAAAATAAATAAATTTCACGAGTGCTCAAACAACTTGGCCTCATCGCGACAAAACGAACAGAGCTAGCCTATCATCTGCTTTCTTTCGCCGCATTTCTGTCGCTCTCTTTCTCGTTTGTGCTCTCGGGAGTGCCGATGGCGGCACTCACGATTTGCCGCATTCTACTCCTTTCTTTACCTCCTGCTGGTGGCAGCCAAGCAACGGTTACCCGACGTAGTGTTCCATAAACCATCGTGAAGAGCTACATTAGGAAGCCGTTGTTCAGCTCCTTCCAGGATAACAATGCCACGAGAAAATACAGTTTGCGCGTTTCCCATAAGTTTCGCGACACCGTTAGCGCAAAAACGACGAGGGCGGTTTTTTGCGTTTGACATTGGAAGAGTACTGGCGAGCGTCAATTTTGACCGCTTAGGTTAGTGTCCCAAATAAGTACTACGCACCACACTAGTAGTTTTGATGAAAGTTCTTCAATTTTAACGCAAAGTGGAGCAAACCTCCCAGCAATCGCTCGTTCGTGCTAACAATGCTGTGCCCTGTACACTGTGCGACAATTAGCACCAAAAATTCATTTCTGCCAGATTTTCCTGCTTTTGTTTGATAACTGAAATTCTGCTTCAAAACTACTTCTGCGGAGAAAAAGGTTAATCCAGGGAACCAAAATTGGTGGCCAGAGTCGTGTTCTTCAATATACTTCATGAGTGAAATGTGCAAAAGCGTCCGTGTCTCGTTCGCAACGACTGTTACACCCTGTACAGTGTAGACCGCATATAACGTATGTCGCGGGAGTCGCGAAAATCCGCACTATAAGCGGTATCGCGCTATAACCAAAACATCAATTTTTCAGGCCAAAATACATGCCATGAGATGACTTACCTTTGTAGAAGAATTTATTTTATGTTAGATGAAAAAATAAAGCTTAGTTTGAGGAAAGTCTTTATTTCACCAGACTAGTACACTTCTCTCTCAAGTGTATCACACATTTTGAAAGAAATGAGCGACTTTCGCCTGGCGCAGCCTTTTAACGGCGTCGCGGGTTGCGGACGGACGTTGCGAGCGTTCAGGATTGCTAACCCTAATCACTTTTCTCCGGCGATGAAAACGCGTGAAAATTCACATCCTTTATACGATACGCGCCAGTAATACCTTCAAATTGAGCACAGGCATGAAATGCTCCAAATAAGAAATTCGGGCGATGTTCGAAAACACAAATGCTTAGAAAGTACCACTGTAGTCGAAGTAAACAAACACGACGACACGGGCGTTTCTGCCGTCTTGAGAGTGCCGCCACAACATCGTCGCACGAGTAGATGGGTCTTCCCTTCTAGTACGTGCTGGGTTATCATAGCAACACACAACGAAAATTCAGTCAAGGATAGCGCCTTTACGCGGAACGATGAGCTTCCACCACGCCGTCTACGTCGACAATCACGACCGACGCCATGTTTGCGGATAGAAGAATCCGGCCCGCGACCAGTATGCAATGCGCGCGAACACTTTTTCTCGATCTGCGATTGGTCTGTCGTTGCGGTTGTTTCCAACATGTTCCAACGCAGCGGAGACGCACGCACGTGAACGACACGTGCGTGCGTCCCCCTGTCGCTATGGCAACTGAAGCCTCTCTCTTCGCTTCTCCCCGCTTCTTCGAGCAACCTACTAGCTCCGCGAGTGCCGCTTGCGGCTAGCGCCGTTATCTAGTGTCGCACAGGGAAGCGTGCTCGCTGCTCCGGTCGTCGGCGCAGTCGGCGGGCTGCTCCAGAAACCGCACTATAACCGGTATTTCCCTTCGCGCGCCTGCATTTTAAGCGGTATGTAATTACATGGAGTTCTATGGGAGGCGAACCGGTGGTTTAAAAAAGCCGCGTTATACCCGGTCCTGCACTATAAGCGGTTACGTTGTAAGTGGTCCATACTGTATAAGCTTACACTACTCACCTAAGTCTAGGACGACCTTAAAGGCCCGTTCACACTCTTGCAACCGAGTACAACCGAGAGAGACGAGACCTGTTGAAACCTCTTAAAATTTCTTAGGACGATGGAACACACTGGCACTCTGGCGCCATCTATGCAGTGTCCCTGGAACTGCATTTCACAAGAGCAAAGGTTCTGCGGGATTTCTGAGGTCAAATGTGCGTAACACCTACCATAAGAAAGGCTCGTTTATAACGTTCTTTCGAGCCACAAAAGAAAGGATAATGCGCCAGAGAAATAGAAAGTATGTCGGATCGCCAAGTTTACGCTGCTACCCAATAGATGGCGCCAGTGGGTCCTCTCGTTGTAAGAGGTTTCAAGGAGCCCAGTTTTAAGAGGTCGTAAGAGTGTTTCTCTTTTATAAAAAGTTTATAAAAAGGTACCAACAAAGTAAGAGGCGTATATTAGCGAATCCACAGCTACAGCACTAGCCACCGCGGGTAGTGTTTAAGTGTAGACATTCGTACCGGCTACGGTTCCGGCTCCTGCCTCCGACCGGACTGCGTGACCGGCTCTTTGACTTGCGATGACTGGTACGGGATGGCTCCCTCTCCTCCTCTGCAACCTGCAGTGTCCCATCCAACACCCATGAGCGTAAAATGCATTGGAACAGAACCAAAACTTGAACCCAAATCTATGTTGGCTTCTCCTGCCTTTTCGTCAACTGAGACGAAATAAGAACTAAAGCCAGAGTAAACAGCAAGTTAGGACAGGTGCTCCCTTAGGTGTATCCAAAACAAGCTCCGATGTGTCCCCTTTCCCCCCTACTTGAGCGACCCCGAGGCTGCGTGATGGAGTAAATAAAAAGTGGATATGCATTACAGTAGGTGTTACTGCGCATAACAATAGCCATCAGTGTCGCTTCTTCCAACAGCCTGGCAAAAAGCTGCAGAGTTTATGAACCCTTCGAGTGCCATGCCCAAGCGTACTCGCTAAGACATTTCTTGCCTCCTGGCATCACCTTTTTCCGGCAAGTCAAAATGTTCTTTTGCAGACGACTTCCCTTTCTGTTTGCTCCTTGGTTGCTCCAGAACGGTGAACCTTCGTCGTTCAACCTCGCGCCTTGTGGCAAAAATCTACAAATTACTAATGAACTCTGAATCCAATGACCGTGAAAACGAGCAAGTTACAGCTCTGAATAAAGAAAATGTTGAATAAGGCCGGCCAAAAAGAGTTGCCCCCAGATTGCGTGGTAAAAGTTTAATTTTGCAGAGTGCCTCGAATGGTACGGCGCGAGAAAAATGTCCTAGGTTAAAGGCACGCAGGCACTAATTAGTAATGTTGCGTCCACAGATAGGCTTTGATAAGCAAACATATATTATACAGCATGCTCTTGTATTTCTGGGACTGCAATTTGCATTCAGACTTAAGAGGCCTCTATGGCCTAAAAATAGCAACCGTAAGTCTTCACGCCTCGTGTTTTTTTGTTGTTTTTTTGTACCTTCAATTACACCGCAAAATTATCAAACCACAATAATCAAGATTTCACTTGAAAATTTCAATTTAAGAAGCTCGGATTTCGATACACACATTTTCGTGACGAAACCTGCGACGTAGCAAGATGCTACAGCCATTAACCGTGATGTCACGCCTCTTGCGGTTCCCCTCCTCACCAACATCGAGCCGCTCTGCCGAGACACTCGAGATGTATGTCGCACAAACCAGCAGATCTCTAAACGGTCGGACGCGAGAGCATCGTACCAATGCGAACAACACTGTCTCTTCCAATCTAAGGATTCACTGCTGAGATTGTGGTTGTCATCCCCAGTTCACAAAAGGCACTGCATTGGCACAGATTGGCGATCCTCAAATTTGAGAAATTATTGAGGCAGAGAAGATTGCTCGACTCTAGAACAAGTGTTTCAACGCCCCTTCCGTCTCTTTATCTGCCAAAGATTTGTACTATTTGGCCAAGTAGTCAATGTGATTAGTGCAAATTTCCAGGATCCTTTTCTCTTTTTGTACCATGGTCTTGCTTCTAACCAAGTAGTAGAAGAAAAAACGTGAGTTGTAGAAGAAGACAAACGTGTGTTTGTCTTCTTTCTACGTGTCCTCTTGTCCTTGTTTGTAATGCGCCATTGCTGCTAATATGAACCCAAAATGCATCAAGTGGCGCGGTAAACGCAACGACAACAGGTGGGATTGAGAAGGGCAAAAAAAGGAGATGGAAACCCAATCCTGTAAGTCACAGCTCGTTCATTGAGCGAGTTGCAATACGAGAATTTCCAGAGGCATTCGACGCGCCTTATTCTTCAAATCGCAAGCGGAAATTTCGTGGATGCTTCCACGAAAAGGGTCTGGTACCTGCCACGGATGTAAAACCTCCCTTCTAGGCTGGCCCTTGAAGCACCCACCTCGTCCTTGCGCACTCCGGTGACCCCCGGTGCCTTCCCCTGCTGAGCGGGCGCCACCACCGGCAGGGACGCCTCGGCCGCCATAGACGCCAGTCCCGACTCCTTGTGCGCCGGAACCACCAGCAGCTGGGCTGGTGCCGCAACCGTGGCGGGCGTCGTCACCGGCGGCTGTGGAATCGCGGGAATCAGGGGAGCAACCGCCGGGACGACGGCCCCCAGACGGGGAGGCAGCGACGGCTTGCCCTGCAGGTAGGACTTGGAGGAGAGCGTCTCGAACAGCATGTCCACAAAGGGCTTCGTCTCTGCGAGAAAGGACAGTTTCTTAACCCCAGGAAAGTTACAGCCGAGAGCTCTAGTTTCCCCAGGATCGTGTCCGCCAGCAAATAAATGCCCACAAAACACTCCGGACAGCTACCGCCATCTATGAGCGACGGCGGCAACCAGACAATAGATGGCGGCAACCTTTCCAGCCACTCTGGCTTGCCGACTTGCGGCCGGCCATTCCTTCGTTCTCCCCCATAGTACAGTTTTGCTGGTCCTTCACCAGACTGGGAAGGCAGAAAGTTCTTTCCAAAAATGTTTCCCAGTTGTTTGGTTTCCAAAGGCATAAAAAAAGCCTCAATGCGCAGGTTTTTTCGTAATTATCTAGAGGGACCAGATACAGTGTTTGCAAGCTGTTCAGGTTTAGAACTATCAAATGGAAGGTGAAAAGTTGTCACTTTTCTTCCATTCAGCTTCTTTTTGGCACATCCGAACATGAAGGGTTTTACAGTATTCATAGAGTATTTGTAATGTTCAATTCATATTTGGTTCGACACTTCAGCAGTTGACACTTTTCTCACGTTCGGACAAGCGACAAAGAATTTCCGCCGAAAAAGGTTGGCGACGATTTAACAACCGGACAGACAAACGGATGGATGGACGGTATTGGTTACACCCTCTGTATCGAGCCGTAGCTAGTGCCACCTAGCCTAGAAACACCGACGCCCCTTTATATTTTGCTTTAAAATTTAGTCCCAAAAGAAATCAGGGTGGCCCACCTTTCTGAAGGAAGACGTCTAGTTGGTCGAGGCATATGTCCTTGAGCTCCTTCTCTGTCTTGTCTTTCTTGACCAGCGCCATGACGTACTTGGCGAGTGCAGCGGGGTCGGCATCGCACCTGCGCAACATTCGCACTAATTAAGGGGTGTCCCCACTTTCGAGGAGGGATGTGCGTTGGCGCAGAGCCAGTAAGGCTCCAGCATTCTCGCAAACTGCGGGATGTCGGTGTTGACATTTAGCGACTTTCGACAGCGGGGCTCGGTGGGGGCCGACGAGTAGAGCAACATAGGCGTACGTGAAACGGCAGATTGTGGCAGCAGCGCTGTTAGAGAGGGCGACAAACTGATTCCTGCTAATAAAAAGCTGCTTCTTGAATGGGTGGACACAACACAGAGAACGCAGAATCCAAAACTATAAGGAGCGGCCCGAGGACGGCACATATCCAAGACTCTCTCAGGCGCCTTGGACGACATGCGCAACGGCCCAAGCCACAAAAAGCTAGGCGATCCCAATGCCCCGTTGAGGAAAAGTTGCCAGACACACAAAGAGAATACCGCCAATTGCAAAGGGATCCCACACCAAAGGACTGTTTATGCAGCCCGAGCAAAGCTCCCCCTGGGATGTCTACATCAGCGCGGCTCCGTCCAAAGGCGTTGTTGACACGTGATCTCGAGGAGCAAAGGGAGGGATTTCTCCCTTGTATGAATACCCCTTCAGCACCAAAATGTTTCAGTAGCGTCCTCTTATGGTTGTCACTTGTGACACGACTATACTTACTTAGTGCTGGCTATTTTTTGCCACATTGTCAAGGCTAGCTTGCTTCCACAGTACAGCAGCCAAGCACTGCTGCATAAGCAAGTGCCCTTATCTTGCAACTTCTTTGCACATGCTAACGCAACTAGCCTTCACAGAGCTGGAGTACTGCGGAAGTTACATTGGCCTTATTGCAGTGTGTCGAACCGAAAAAAATACGGGTTCGGTTACGGTTCAGATTCAGGTAAAATTATTTTGTTCCGGTTCAGTTCCGGTTTGATCAATTCGATCCGCGAACTGGTTCGAGGTGCTGAACCGGTTCGCGAACCGGTTCGGAAATTATAAATGACAAATTGCAACATCAAAATAAATTACAAATAAAACATCTGAAATCAGCACATACGAAACGGGATACATCGTAGTGTAAGGCTCAGGGATTTCTACCAGGAATGGTTTCTTTATGTGCACTCAAAGGTTACCTCACCGACGTTTACACATTCGGACTTCATCTAATTGGGTCTGACGCAGTAGCTGTAAAATCCGCGACCTCCTTACAAACCCACTTACAAGAAGAACTCGCTAACTATCCCGCCACCTCGGCATGTAAGCAATTGAAGGAACAGTGGGGAGAAAATACAGCTTTCTTTATTTGAACTTGCCTGCGGTAACTCAAATTAGACCCTTAAAGAAGTTTTCATTAAACAAGATACGGAATATGAAAAACACTTCACCGAACGCAACGCCAAAAGGACGTAATAGGATAAATATTAAAATAGAAGAGTTCGCTGTCTCACAAATATGTTAGCTTCTAAGTGCCTATACGAAATCGGGTGCATTATTATCAAACTCCACAGCCTTTTATTTTCTCATTCCGATGGAAGCAAGCTTCAAGAACTCGCGCGTTCTAGAAACGTGTTATGAAATGAGCACACAGCAGCATTTAGGATTTACGAGATTGTAGAAAAATGAAATCCCGTGACGTGATTTTTTTTTTTTTTTGCACAGCCTTTTAATTTTTTTTTTCCGTGCAAGCCGCGACCAGCGCAATACTGGTTCCTATGTCAAGATTCATGGATGCAGCGTTTATATTCCTAAGGCTGAGTGGAGAAGAAAAATATGTAAGCGAGGTGTATGTCAGTTGACGGCACTTAAAAAACAAATGGCATTGATAGCACATTCATTGTCAACAGCGCGTGGCCGAACCGTTTTGACATGAGCCGGTAACCGTTATTTTTTTTTCCGGTTCAGTTCCGGTTCGGGTTCATCGCGATAAAAATATAACGGTTCGGGTTCGGGTTCAGTTCCGGTAAAAATACCGGTTCGGTTCCGGTTTCCGGTTCGGTTCGGTTCCGGTTCAACACCCTGCCTTATTGTAAATCTTTCTTTAGGGGATCAGATTCGGTATGGCTACAACATAGCCAAGATGGCTGACACCGGGTATACAAGGATTTGCCTCGGCGTAACGTGACAAACTGTGATCTTGGCTACCCATCGTTAGGCGTGTCGCACACTTTTGCCAACGATCACAGTCTGAAATCACTCTTCATCTATGAAAGCAGAATTAATTCCTTTTTAAAACGTCACGACGAGTGTCTGGCCAATAGTGGAAAGGCGACCACAGCGACGCTGCTTTTGGTCGTGCACGTCACCAATGGCAGGGTGCGCTGGACCATTCACAAGCGAAACGTGTCAATCAAGATCCAAGTGAATCCCAGAAAACTGCTTTCATATTTTCTGTTGTATATCCCTTCTGGTTATATCTGCATGTCTCTCCTGCATGTTGCTTCATGTAATGCCTGCTTGGGTCCCATAGAGGCCGGTGGCCAAGCGAGTTGGTGCACTCAAGCTCGGAAGACATGGAGTAAAAGCCCGTGGTGCAAAATCTGCGGACCCTAGGCTCGATCTCCACACCCGCTTGTTTTGAGCTGGGTAAGTATTATACCAGCATGCAGCTGTGAGATCTCACTAAGGCTTGATGCATGTCAAAGAACCCAGGCAGCAGTCCTACTACACTGGCTAAATCTTTCATCTAGAGCTTGGACCAGTGTCATCATACCTTAGATGCAGATCGAGCTCTTACTAAATGTATGTGCAATTTACTTTTGCCCACAGGGTAAAATAAAATGTAATTAAGAAAAATGATGGAAATGTAATTAGCCCATTATGCAACATTCGATGGGTGGAAAGAAGTTTGTACATCAATGCATGCTGTTATTTGATGCATTTGTAAACTGACCAGCACAAGTTAATCCTGACGAAATTGCACTTGTTTCACATAAAAAAAGAAATCAAATATTCCTAACCCCTTGCACCGGTAAATTTTCGTACTGAAGAGCTCAGATATTCGGTCCAGAAGGGCGGCATATTTGTACGTCACGAGGATAAGGGGTTAAAATTTTGACGTCCGAGTGGCTCTAGTTCTCCTCTAGAGTGCGCCACAACGCGAAATTGGAGGTTTCCCTCGGCCTGCCTCCAGTGAGCCAAGGTTGCCAACGACATCCCACGTTATAACTATCAGCAGCTGCTCATAGGGAAGTTGTGGATGATAAATAATTTCTGAAATTTCTGACTAAGGATCCCACATTTCTGGAGAGCAGCCTTTTCAAACTGCAGAAAACACTGAAGATAACTTGGAAGAGATAGACAATTCCAGAGTTCCACATGTATGCCACTTCAAGTTGACGAAATTTTCTCTCAAAGCAATCCAGGTTGAAATGAAATGCCTCATTTTGATACAAAGTTTAAACTTGTTTCGACAGTCCCAAGCAACAAATTTCAGTAGATCACACATTCCAAACTTTCTAAGCATGGTAAGCAAGCACTACTTTAGAACTTTTTTATATTTCTATCCCTCTGAGCCTTTCAAAGGGACTAATGAGCACCGTATAATTTGAGTCCAAATATTTGCACACTTTTGTGGTAAGCTACCTGTGCCATCAATCGTGGTGTAGCCATAAGGGTAAGCACATTTGGCACGCCTTGCAAAATTCGAATTCTAATCGTACATACCTAAAACTGGGCATGCTAACCTCGTTTTGCAGAAAGTTCTATATGTACTTTTCTTAGAACTCAGCCCAGAGGTGGTAAAAATAGTGCAAAACTGGTGGCAGGCATTTTTTATGACCTGCCGTAAAAGACCACTGAAGTGCCCACTTCGTTCAAGCACCCACCCTTAACATTATTTCCCAAACTTAAGAATTGTTTTAATTATATGTTAAGTACCCAATTTGACCGGATAAGCACCCATGTCTAAATTAACCCAGTTTTCAGTTCCTTCCGATATTTTATGGTGTTTGTCGTCTGCACACTGGTTTGCGAGCTTGCTCCCAGGTGGTCATCGTTCGTATATTTCGCTAAAATTATTACTTATCCCAATTCTCCTGCTCGTTGCCAGCCTTTAATAGGCGTCCTCAGCGTTTTTGCGTTCAGCAAGCCACCTGGGATCAAGCTGGCAAATCAGTGATCACACTACGAATGGGCTGGTATAGGACATAGAAAGTACACACACGGCCGCTGTTTTTGCTTTATTTTTAATATTTCACCACCTCCGAGTTGAGCTCTAAAAAAAATTAGACATGAAACATTTTGCGGAATGACCTTTGCATGTCCAGTTTCAGGTATGTTTGTTTGGAATTCATATTTCGCAAAGCATGTCAAATGTGCCGGTCCTCACAGCTGCGTCCTGCACAGTTCTCTTTCGAACCCCATAGGAGCAGAATCGTTATAATTCCAAGACAAACTGAGCACTACAATACTTCAATTATGCCCGACTTTTTTGTTCTTCAGCGGGAAACAGACTCGTGATTACATGCAGCTGCAAATATACAAAGTTCCTACAAAGCAAAGGCACCTATCAAGAAAAAAAAAAGGGTACATGCATAGTGCTGCCCCTTACAACATGCTTTCTTTGCATTAGCTTTCCAGAGACGCACCGATTTCATGACCGTATTTCACAGGAAATGGTTGATACCGAGACACTCTGTCCAATGAGAGGAGCTGCTTCCACAGCACTGTGATACTGGCACTTTGTGCATGGCAAAATTATGCTCACTTTTTCATTTTTGTTCTTTAATTCTGTTGTGTAGGCACTAATTCTGTTGTGTAGGCACTTTGTAAAGAAAAAGAAAATTTTTTACCTATACACAATACAGTTTTGTATATTGTTCAGTGAGGTATGCAACGAACCCAAACATTTACAACACCAAGGCGATATGATCGAAGGCTACGTCCTACTTTCACTAACTTCAAGTGGTGCAGCAATTCAACAGACGCTTATAAATAGGCATGCCTGTCAGAGATAAGAACTAATGTTGTGCACATTTTAAAACCAGGCATATACAGGGGTGGAACTCACGAAATGTACATGGGAGCAGCCACGGGAGCAGCTGAAACAGCTGTTTTGGAGCAGGTTGGGAGCAGCTAAAACTACATTCTGGAGCCGGCTAGGAGCAGCTCAGATCAGTTTTCATTGCACTTCAGCTTGTGCCTTAGACAAGCATGGGAGCAATTTCAATTGTGCTTAGCAGCACAGATGAACATGAGTGGTTAGGAACCTAGGTAGATGGGATAACAGTGTAACAAATGCGAAAACTTGAAACGTTGTCAGCCTAATGAGAACCAAAAGCAAGCACCACAAGTTTCTGAAGATAGTGTCCTTGACACTTTCCGAGTCGCTTTCAGCTGTTTAAACTGCAAACCAGCACTGCTTATCGCACAACCCACACATGCTCGACATAGTAATTATATGTGCGAACCACGTGACGTGCGCAAGCAACGGACATGGAGTTGCACGGAGGAGAGCAACAAAATTTGAGTTTATCCTATAGTGCAACCCAACATCGAAGCAGCAGACTATGAATAACAGAGTTATCGTATTCAAATATTCAAAGCAGGAGCAAGGTCGAGCAGATCTACCGCTCGCGTGAGCACTGCTGGCCGGCAAGGCTTTGGATCGGACCACGTTTAGTTCTATTAAATCACGATCTATCTTGCGGGAATGCGGTTCCAACTTCTAAAGATGATGTACTTAAAGGAATATTTTGCTCCTTTGTTTTCAACTGGCTGACGTCCAGATCCCGGGCCGCAGAGCCTCAGGCAATCTGACGCTTAACGACTCAACCCCACCTCGGCCAACTTGCTCAACCGCATACAATGAAGAATAACAATCCACTCATAGGTGGTGTAGTGCATGGAATCCGACCCCCGAGTTTTTTTGCACACTTCCAAGTCGGGATACAAAGGGAGAATAAACAGAACAAAGGATTGCAAGGCCGACCAAGCTAAACGCACTCATTGTTGCCAATCGAGTCGATAGAAACTGAAACTAAGACTAAATACAATTTTTTTTTTGGTGCACGTTTTGCGATATGGTGCATAATGGCACGAAGTATTGGCTGTGGCCCAGTTTCTGCAAAATGGCGCAAGATAGCGGAGACAAATGCGTCTGGCGCAAAATGGTGCAGCCGTTCCACCCCTGCATAGAGCCTGGTTTAATGCATAGATAGAATCTAGTGGCATTCAACCATTTTTTCTCTGCTTTACCTAACAGTAGTACTGGAAAGCATGACTAAGGGCACACACTTTACACCAAGCTTCCATTCAACTCATTTCAAAGCTGGAAGCTCACACTCGCAGCTTTTAGATATAGAAAAAGCAAAAGAATGTAGTTTACCATAACCTTAATTTTCTACCCTTAAAAGCACAAAAAAAAAAATTCTTAGACATTGTTCAAAGTGACGATGGCTTCAACAGACTCGGGGCTAGAAAAAGCCTACCTCAAAATACCGACCACGTACCCACGTCGCAATTAAGTGACCACCCCATACTTTTGAAACATTGAAATAAATGCAAAGGACATAAAGCAGCCACACCAGCAAACTTCTGATCCAAACGAGCTATCCGAGATGCTTCTTTGCGTGGGCTGTTTTTGCGAGCATGCCATTACTAAGCGGCGAAGCTTTATGTGCACCGGCCGGTGCAAAGTGGTGCTTTAAAAATTGGAGGTTCTGCCAGACCCTTGAAATGCTCCCATACTATTCCGTCGGATGAAATAGGGGCCAAGCAAAAGCCTACCCTACCCCTTCTAGAAGCTCTTTCACTCTCAAACCTGACATCTGCATTTCTTCGTAATATTCTTCGTTAGGTGGGCGCTTGCTAGGTGTTTTACGCTACCTTCCCAGGACACAAGTGACACCTGCATACTAGGTGCATCTCGTAATATATTTACACCCGGAAATATCTGGAATGCAAGCTTGTGATGCATGCAATGAGGAGCTTTTCCGAGACCGTAGGTACTTCTTCTTGCTTTTGTGTGCTCTACCTTTCACACTGAACAGCTCCACTGGTCCGTTGAAATCATGCACCATCCTCAAGTTGTAAAAAGAAACGCGATTATTGGGTAAGTGAATTCCTTCCCAATTTCATTATTTAACAACAAACCACCCACAAAATTTAAACACGCAACATCATCCCCACGAAATCAACAGAGTGGGCTTTCTGGTCACGAGACCAAATAACCCAGTCGTATCGATTATTTGAACCACAGCGTCGGCACAGAAAACACACGGTGCCATTCCGATCGCGTTAAAACAGATTGTTCGATTTTGTCATTTGTGTCTAAAAAGATACTGGGAGCCGGTGTATCTTAGAGCATATTATCCAGCAACAAGCGGCAGAGTCGAACGCAAAGCGAATGCTAAGAGCGAGCGTTCGCTTGGCAATCTCTGCGACGCTTCGGCACAAAAATATCTCATAAACATGCGATACGGTTAGCGCAAGATCGAATTCACAAGCTGCACAATACTGGCTGCCACCGCTACACGCCGAAATGAACCCGTTTGTGCAGTGGCTGAAAATCGACGGCGAGTCACCCACGGGACAGCTTGTTTGGGTGGTCACGTATGCAGGCACAGATGGGAACCGATCGCCAACGAACATCTCGACTCTTACTTACATGTGCTCTAAGCAACTTGTCAGCCAACTTTTGAGGGCGTCCGAGTTTTCAATGATCATGTTGCTCGCCGAAGTCGATTTGTTTTGTCCCGTTTGTTTTTACCAGCCGCTGCTTTTCAGTAGTGTAAAAGATCTAAGCCTAACATACAAGATGTGCTGCACGGTCTTTCTCTTTTCTTTTCTTTTTTGTGTTTCTTGGCTTCAAGTTCGTTTTGAACGGCAACCTTCTCGGGGACTAGTTACGATGTCGCGACTCTTTCCGAACACATTTCATGCACGTTCAGCGTCCTGCGCGACGTTGGGTTCCATATTATCTTGGTGGACACTTGGTGCAAGACGAAAATTTCAGCCGCGCACGAACTTGGGAAGATGGCGGTGTGCGGTTCCGCTAAACCCCGAGACGCTAACACAATCTGTTTATTAAATAAAGTTAATGACAATCATGCTTTAAAAGCATTTATTAACTTCATTTATAAAATTAAAATATTTATAAATCAAATATGAATTTATTTGTATTAAACTATTACCATCTGATTTTCTCGTTTTGTTCTGTCACCATCCTTTTCTGGTCTCCCCTTTTCCGACGGCCATTTGTGGGTCCGGGTAAGCATTTGCGATTTCATATTTTAATCCGTATTAATCTGATTGTATTAGCGAATTAAAAGCTTTAATTAGCGAGTCACTCGATGGAATACGTGTTAATAATTATGTCGGTGTAATGTTTTATGGGATTTGCGCACTACTTTTCTTAGAAGACTTGCCGAAAGACGTGCTGTTTCAAATCGTCACAGTCTGGGCACTATGTCTAGGATCTCCGTACTTCTGATGCATTTCCAAATGTCCTTGGTTGTCATATAATAAGTCTGTCTTCTCCAACCCGCAGCCAACATGAAGACCATAAAAGCGGAGCAATTCGTCAAAATCCCCGAGGGCGGTAAGTCGACAGCGAACCGGAGTCCATCACATTTGCGCTTGTTTCGTCGGCTGTTTTCGCAGCGTGTTTTGAACACTTGTGGCGGTTGATTTTCTATAATAGCCACCGGTTGATATTTTTCTGGTTGGGGACTAGAGTTGGGAATGTTAGCACGAGCATCTGTCAATACATCGGCAACCTCGTCAGTTCGGTGCCGACGTCGCAGCGGATGCAACACAAAAGAATGCGCTATGTCGCGCGAGTTCACAATTTTTGTGTTGAATTCGTTGACCACAACGCGCATTTACACGCAGGATTTTAGCAGCATGCGGGTACTTAAATAGCCAGTCTCACAAGTTGTGTGCCGCACTATCGAAGGACGGTGGCGTAGCGTTGCAGAAAGTTCCATTCCTGCGTGCGCTCCCTCAAATTTCACTACTTTCTAAAGCCACGTGCCTGCGCGAGTGTCTGCATGAAAAGGCGAGAGAAAACACTCCACAATTTGAAGCAGCCCTGGAACCCTTCCGATTTGTGCATGAAGGTTTTGTAGTATTAGTGAGACAAGCCCTCCCCATGAGTTGGTTGCTCGTAACATTGTCAGACTTGTTTCTGGCACACGATAAAGAATGATGCGTAAAAACATGCAGATTGGTAGTGTTCTATTCGATAGATGGCGTTAGCATGTTCTCTCGTCGTAAGCAGTCGATTGCAAATGTGTGAAGCAGTCTTTAGAAAGAGTATTTGAGCGTAAAGGACAAGTGTGTTAATGGTGCTGAATATGACAAAGGGATTGACAAGAATGACAAACGACAACTTCGTTGCCTGTCGTTCGTCGTCGTTGTCTGTCCCTTTGCCCCTTCCTCGTACTATAAACGACTTATTTTTTGTGGGTTCAATATTTGGCAGTTTAAAGGGACCATGAAATGACCTTTTTACTTTTTCCAGATAACTTTTACATTAAACCGTCAATGTTCACTGAATGCCGAACAGGCATCCGTTTTCGTCTCGGTTTATTAACTTCTACACAAAAAATTATTGAAATATCGACTTTTTCATTCTCTCCAACTGACCGCAAAACAAGCCGTGACGTAGGCCGTTTCCGGAACCGGAAGTTCTCTCGGCAGTAGGAGAATGGGAGTGTTAGCGGCAACGAGTTGGGGTGCGCTGATGTCACCGACGTAATTCCTGAATCGGCGCCTCTCATCGCCGCATCGCAGCTAAGCGAAATTCAATGAGATATGTTGCGCTACAGCGACAGCATGGGACTAGTCCCATACGCCGGTATGCCTGTTGGGAAGTGCAGCGAGTCTTCCGGTGAAGACTCCAGAAGTCAACCACCCTGTCATTGTTGGCAGAAGGGCCGGCCCATGTCAGTCGTTTGCAAAGCGACGTAGATGGCGTTTTTCGCGGCCTCGGAGATGCAGGAGCGAGCCGACGTTAAAAAAAATACGTTTGAACTATGAGTGTCAGCAAGAGCCACGTAAATACCTGTTTACACTCGGAGCGGACGCGCGCGCTTGATGGAAGTGCTGTATTCGCGCTGTTTGTAAGCGCTCCGGACCGTTCTTTTACTATTGCAACTCGATACTGACGCGACACTCGGCAAAGAAAGGTTGGACCGGGGTTGTACGTATACCTCCCACGAACTGTTATAGCTCGACAGTGACGTGCAGTCTGTCAGAATAAAAATGGCATACCAATAACAAAGTGTACATACCGTGTTACGAAGGTAATCCATACGGCGTTTATTTCAGCTCTATATCACACTAACCAAGAAGATAGAATCGACGAGAGTCCCTTTTCGACGAGTGTTCGTCAACACTGCCTCGGAAAACAAGGGGAAGAGATTGACCTCCTCACCTCTTAATCTAGAATTGAGGTCAGTGATCAAACTATAATACGGGAAGGGTCCACAAGGGTCGCGCGGGCATATTCCATTTAGCACGCCAGCCGGTCGTAGGCAGACGGTCTTGCGACGAAGCAACGCAGCGCCGAGTCGGAATGCCTGCTAGGCCTATACGCTTCGTCGGAGTCGGTGAATCCAGCGTTCTTGTTCGTCGTGGTCTGTTTTCAGTACTGTTTTCTTGCTGCTTGAAGTCGGCACGCGCGGGAAGAACACGTAGAAAAATAAACGTTCAGTCAGTCAGAGTTTTGAGAGGAAGGAAAACAAAGAAATAAATGTTCGTCGGTCGCCGTCACCCAAGTAACTGGCGGCCCTGCCCTACTGCGCACGCGCAGTAGTTGCTTCGTTTACCACACGATAGATGGCGCTTGGCTCTCAGCATTATCAAATTTGGCAATTTTCGCCACACATCTCTAATTATGCTACAAAATGTGGATCTGAATATTATTTAACAAAACTTTTAGGAAACATTCGCCGGCTATTTATTGTTTACGATCGCGGTGCTGGTGAGGTAGGCTCTTACCCAATAGGCGATGTGGATTCGGCTGACGTGCACCGATTCTGCGTATGCATCGTAGTGAACAGGCGAAGGAAGGAAGGCGCAAAAGAGTCCAGTTTTCTTTTAAAAGTTCTATAGCAAATAATTTTTTTGGGCTCCCTATTTTTGTGTTTTTGTGTTTCTTTTCACACCTTTTACGACGTGCGGTGGATGAAACTCGATTTTAAAATCATTTCATGGTCCCTTTAATGGAATTGTTTGCGGGAATTTTTCGCTAATTGTAGGCAGTTCGCGAAAATTGGGTCCTCACAAAAATTAAGTCATTTACGGCATTCTATATTTAAGCTTGGCACCATTTGTGGCTTACGGAACTAATGTGGAGCGTGTGCCATTTGTTGGAGGTGCGAGAGAGATTTTAAAGGGTAACTGCAAAGAAAAAAAAAAAAAGAAGTGTTTCTTTAAACAGCCTAATTGGGACAAGCATGTCGAAAAACAAATGTTCCGCGAAAAAAAAAAATAATTAGCAATATTTATGTCACAGGACGTAATTTAGTCGGAGCCAGAACCTCTCCAGATTTGAAACTCCCGCTCTTGCGACCGCCGCGGAGGAGAACTACGCCCCGCCCTTCGCTCTTGGATTTGCTCTTTTTTGTTGGCTGCTGAGTTGAACGACACAGCGTCTCGACTTCCGGTAAAATCTGGCAACAACGCACGCTAAACATGGCGCCGGTATTGTTTTGGTTTGACGGGACACGAGAAGCTCGTGGGTTTGCAAGCACGTTGCAAAGACGTGACCGGAGAAGTGCCCCTGTGATGTTCCCGGAAGACGGAGAGTATAATTCGTTGTGTGTGCTTTGAAAGCGAAGGGAGTCACAGGGTCCACGAGTGTGCAACCACAAGTTCACGTCGGCGCTGCATTGACCTCGGCGGTCTCGTTCTGTTTGGTGCAACACGGCGACAAAGAACTGAAATCGTTCGTGGTGTGTGTGGTGCAGTGCTTGGAAGTAGACACCCAATACGGAGCGCAAATTGGCTGTTGTGGGGTTGAGGTTAAACGGGTTCAGTCCCGTCGTCGTCAGCTGATCCAGGAAAACTGGTCCTGGAGGACGCGGCGAGCGTTTTTAAAAGTAAACGTCCCTTCGTTCCGTTTCAAGATGTGGAAGATTCCCGACGCATACCATGAGTAAAAAGCTGCGGGCGTTTTCAATAAAGTTACGTCGTTTTAATTGAACAATGAACTTCGAATTGGTGTCCTAAATTTGCCGTTTTTATGCTTAGTGTTGGACTGCATTTGCACAGCGACGTGTTGTGCTCATCGTGCGGTGTGAATAAATTTGGGCAAGATTTCCTACCTGTCCAATGATGCATGAACGGAGACCATTTTTTATGTAGTGAACATAGTGTTCTTTTTTTTTGTTATTTTGGGAAGAGGCGTTGTGCATTTCTTACGGTACAATCACTTGAAAGTTCAGGAATTAGGCAGGGCGAGCAAGCTTTCTGAACTTTGTCTCCTTGCCTCTCTGGCACTGTACCTAGTTTCAAGTTTCAGTAGACGTACCTACTAGCAGGTACAAATTGCTCTAAAGCAGGTAAAAGACTGGGAAGTCGGGACGGTGCAGACTCCGTGTTTCGCACTTTTCGCAAGGTGACTGGGGAAGTGCTTTTGCAAGCCTATGCGGAATATGCAACCGATTTTGTTATGCCCGTCGTTTGCGTCCCTCCAGCAAAATGAATATGTTAATCTACAAAGCCGCGATCACAAGCCAAGATTTACGATAACAGTACATATTCATTCAGACAATTTACGTAAGATGGTTCGAAAGCCGAGAAAAAAGAACTCGGCTAACGCTCCTGCGGACAGCTATTACGTAATCACCTGGCTGTGGCAGGTTTTTTACGTAACAGCTGTGTCTGGTCGCGGATGTTCGATGCCCCCGGGGCACCCGGTGCGAATCTCGACGGCCTCCGGAGCGATATGACAAGAACATAACTGGACACGTTTGTCGCTACGCGAACGCTTGATTGCCTCCAGGCAAATAACATTCCTTTCGGGGCGACATGGCTGCTGGAAGGCTCGCTGTCGGGATCACTCATCTGACATCTCCGAAAAGTCGGCATTTGCACGCGCAAGCGCAAAAAAAAAAAAACACGCTAAGCAAGCAAAGAGGGAAAGGAAAGAACAGGCTATGAAAGCCAAAACCCCGCTTTGCTAACACTGCGACAGCTGCTAAACACATACTACTTCACTTCAAGAAGTCTCGCTCAAGCACCTGGGTCAGCATGAAACACTGATCACTTCGGCGAAACGAGGCGGTTGCGGAAACTTCGACGGCCATGAAGGAATGGCGGAGTTTTTGCTTGTTATGGTATGAATCCAAACGGAAGTGCCCGTCTTGTAAACCTTTTGTAAAGAACAATAACTTTCATCACATGGGTTATTCTTTAAACGTAAAAATATGCCGCTCAAAAGGAAATTGCAACATATAACAAAGGTTTAACAACCAAGATATAAGCTGTCAATCAAATTCTTAGCCAATGAGAAGTATAGCAGCCAATTGGGGCTAAACGTCATGGAACACCAACTTTGTGGCGCGCGATTTAAAACGGACGAAATAGCCACAAACTAAAATCAGTCTCACGCAATAAATATTGCTGTAAAAAATGTTTTTTCTCGCGGAAAAATTGTTTTTTGACATGCTTGTCCCAATTAGACTGTTTAAAAACAACTTTTTTCTTTGCAGTTACCCTTTAAATGGTAATCGTGGCAGCGTGTGTTTTCACCATGCTCCGAGTGCTGAGAGTACTTACAAGTTCTTTCCTGCAGTGACGGTGTCCGTCCATGCCCGGCGCGTGCGCGTGAAGGGCCCCCGCGGGGTGCTTCACCGGGACTTCAGGCACATCCAGGTGGAAATGAGCATGATTGGCAAGAGGCGTCTGCAGGTGCGCAAGTGGTTCGGCATCCGCAAGGAGCTGGCCACGGTCCGGACGGTCTGTTCCCATGTCGAGAACATGATCAAGGGAGTAACCAAGGTTAGTGCTCGTGGAAGCGGCTCCACAGTGCCTGCGGCGCTTCTACGATTGGCGCGACTTCAAATGTGGTCTATGTCCGCTGGATGGCGTCTGCTTGCCTCGATCGTGGCAGTGGCACGGCGGCGGAGGCAAATGTGGCAGACACCCGTTTCGCCGTAGCTCACTCTCGTTTGGACGGTCCACGAAAGCTTCTGCGGCGACGAGTTGGGATGCTGCGACGACAGCTATACTCGTTTGCTCGTTTTTACAGGGAAGCTGTTTATGGCTAGGGTTCCGTGAATTTTTCATGTGCAGTGATTAAAAACTACACTCGCACTACCGCACGCGCGTGCCTTTTCTCTGTGATAGATTCAAAGTAAATAACCAAAACAAAGAATTGATGAACGTGCATGCAAGATGCCATTTGTTTTAGGCTTTAGAACAGTTACTGCTGCAGATGCCAGCAGGTGTGGCACGTGGAGCACCATTCTCTGCATTCTCCTTGATGCTTGGGTAATTTAGCAACATCTGTATTCGGTAGATTAGTAATCAAAAGGCACCATTTTTAAGATCAGTAGACTCTCGCGTAGAAAATGAAGATTTCTCAAAGATTTGCTGCTGTGCGACCTGCATTGGCCATGTCTACGCTCGTACTGCCCTCTCTTTGTCGTTGTTTCAAGCGCTTGTGTGCCTAGTTTCCTTCCGCTCTCCCGGCGTGGCGGTCCCGTCGCGTGTGTCTAGTTTTCTTGGGGCGGATCTGCGTCGTGTCTGTCAAGAGGGATGACCAGCTTTGCTGGGCAACCCCCTTGACAGAGTGGAATGGCTCATGATTTTGTCTTAGAAATTCTATGGTACGTTGAGATAGCGACATACGGTCAGTTCGTGCACTCTCGTTTGGTCAAAGAGAAGTGCGCTGTGCAGAACCTCGATCTCTTACGACGACGGAGCACGCTAGCACCGCTTACAAGGTGGCCCTGGAACTACATTTCACTTCAATGGGGGTTTTGCATCATTTGCGAGGTCAGATGTGCATAGCATCGCGAGAAGTGGTCATCTTTGACATTGTTTAGAGTTTTTCGAGCATATAGGGAAATAATGGTGCTCAAAAGAAAAAGAAATGTGCAGAATTTGTGAGTAGTGTTCCACCGCTTCCCATAGGTGGTGCCAGTGTGTTCTCTCGTAAGAGATTGATCACGCCGGATCTTGCAACGTCACTTGCTGCCACTCGAGCACCGCCTTCTGTGCAGGGTGCGACGGGACATTGAATGCACCCGTTGGAGACCCGTGCATTGCACCGTGGCAGCGTTTGTGTCAAACCCTGGCAGCGAGCTCATCCCGCCCTCGGTTGCACCTTGCAGGGCTTCCAGTACAAGATGCGCACGGTGTACGCCCACTTCCCCATCAATGTGACGACGTCCCAGAACAACACCCTGGTGGAGATCCGTAACTTCCTGGGCGAGAAGTACATCCGCAGGGTGCACATGCAGCCGGGCGTCACCTGCATCAACTCGCCTGCCCAGAAGGATGAGCTCATCCTCGAAGGAAACGACATCGAGCTTGTGTCCCGATCCGGTGAGTTTTCCCCCGCCCAAATCCTCCGGGAAAGCAAAACTGGCTCTAGAAAACTGGCCCAAAACGTCCGCTTATTAGGGGACGGTAACTGCCGATAAACCCCTAGAAATAGCCCTGAACGGCTCTCATTCAAATCGGGAAAAGCCGAAAAGCCCCAAATTGTAGCTGCACTTAAATAAAATAAAAACTCGAGCTTCACGAAAAACGAAATTATTTTCCGCCAACACGGAACGCAGTCCCCAATTAGCCGTCGGCGAGGCGGCTTCCTTGGGAACCTTGTCCGGTTTCCTTCTCTCGTCCGTACTGGCAAGTTTTCCAAATATTCAGATATGTTCCCGGTAGGTTGGGGCAAGTCCCGTGCTCTATTTTCTTCAACATGAACCTAATTGTTTGTGCGACGCCAGAAATCTATTTCGAACAATCCGAATCTATGGGGAAAAAGAAACCCGAAACAACGCCTTCATATTCAAAGGAAACTAAACCTCGGAAAGACAGAACCCTATTTATTACGGATAGGTACTTTGTTCAGTGTGTGCGGTACAATATAGACCAGGGGTGGCCAAGCTGCGGCTTTTCACCCGCCTCACTCCCGGTCACACGAGTACTTACCCAAAAAGAAAAATGAAAAGTGTTTTAAATCGAAAGACGGGGTTGCAGTTTGGTAGTCTTGTGCTACTGCTACCTTACGTACACTTGGATTGAAAATAGTTAGTTTCAATTATTGCTTTAAACAAAAGCCCACCCATTCTTGCGGCTCTTGAAAGTTTTGTGGTTTTGTTTGCGGCTCTAAGGCCGGGTTAGCCTGGCCACCTCTGGTATTGACACTGACGGGATTGGAATGTTGTCTACTTTCTACCTTCTACGACGCCCGTGCATCTCGTGAGCTTTGAGCACGCGCTGGGAACCTGAGAAAGGCACCCTGTCGTTGTCCTAGTGTCTGTGACGAGAGTGCACCGGAAGTCCCTGTTCGCAGTGGCGCGGCATCGGAGATGACGGCCGGACGAGGAACGTACAGCAAATTTTTATTTTAAACGAGCGATTTGTTGTAAGAAAGGACAAAAATATTTCCTTGACTTCCAGGGGTCATATCTTGCTCTAAATCGGGACTTCTGGTCAGAGTCCTACTGACGTGCTGAGGTTCATGGAATGCTTGCAGGATTCACATCATTTCTGTAATTGCCCATATCGTCCGGTTTCTAAAGATTGATTCGTCGTCACATATGCCGGAGCATTAATCCCACTCAAAAAGGATGTTTTCTGTACCTTGGTCGTCTAAAGTGGACCTCTGTGGCACAGTCACGTTGTTTTAGCATGAACGCTCACAAACGACTGTTTTTCCTTGGCTAAATCGAGCATTCTCTTTTTGTCAAACAGCAATGTACCTAAACTAGTCGCACTCGTTATTAGTAGGCAAGTGGTAAATGATTGAATGAAAGACATTCATTATCTGCTCAATGTTGCAGATGATGAAGGCATTTTGTTTCTCTAAATTGCTAATGAAAGCTCGGTAATGTGGTGAGTTGGGAGGGAATTAATTTTGCACCCTTATTACCCTCGTATCACTGGTACTGTTGTGCTCGAGGTCGCAAGGGGTGCTAAAGGAAAATGCTGGCCTTTTTGGCATTGATTCCTCGGAGTGGCACTGCTTTTACATTTTGCCAGCCCACATTTTTTGTTTTTTTTTGGCCAAAACGCAACACCATATTGGTTTGGCTTCGATGGCTCATATTGTTGTCTGTGGTCCATCCTTGGGCGGAACGGAGTGTGCTCATAGAATCTTCTCCACTGATTTATTGCGTCCTATCTACGGGCATCTGACTGAGGTAACTTGTTTTCTGGGCAACCGTTTGGCTTTCATTGCAGCGGCAAGGATCCAGCAGTCTACCCTCGTGAAGAACAAGGACATCCGAAAGTTCTTGGACGGCATCTACGTTTCTGAGAAGACCTCGGTGGTCAAGGACGAGTGATGGATCCAGCTGCGAGAGGGGAAGAAAATAAAGTGTAAAAACAGACTTAATCTTATTTGGATTTTATCTCTGCTGCCTCGCAGACTTGTATATATTTGGGGGGTGGGGGGGGAATAGGGACGGACAGTTTTTTTTTATAGTGCCGAATCTGGGATGATGCTGCACTATTTGACTAACCATTACTTTTTCACCTGATATTTTTATAATATATCGTTATATACTCGGCGACAACTTTTCTTGGCAATGCAGTGGAACATACTTCCCGCGTCCCCTCTCCCATTTTGAGTGTGCGCGGGCTCTCCCCGGAAATGGGGGAGGAGGAGAGCCCGCGCACACTCAAAATGGGAGAGAAGACGCGGGACGTACCTTCCACTGCATTGCCAAGAAAAGTTGTCGCCGAGTATAGTAAAGTTACCTCGGCAGTTCCGATGAGTGACTACTGAGCAAATGTGCGTAGGAGTTGTGTGGTTAATTCTGCTTTTCACTGGCTTTACCTTCCTATGATTTCCAAAATATTGTAACATTGCTTAGGTTTGTATGAGTAACAAAAAATACCATGGAAGATGACTGAAACCAACATGTTAGGTTGCTTTTTTTCTATTCTTTTTATACTTATGTTTTGGTTATTAATTTTAGTGATGGTGTGTGGCATATGCTGGTGGTTAAGAGCTAAGAAATTGTTCAAAATCTTTTTCCCAAGAAACTCCTACGCCATTTGAATAGATCATTTGCTTAATCCCCAGGCCTGCACTCGAGAAATCATGGGAATGGTGTCCCTTCAGCTCCCTAGTGATCGGTAATTTTGACCAATTCCACGGTTACACAGTTTTGGGTGTAATTTGAAGTCGCCCTTAATGCGCCATATAGTGCCCAAGGGCCAATCATATCGCTTAAAACTTCTTGTCAATATCGGCATTTTCGATACTGTGCATGCTGTCCACCCTTCAACCTGGATGAGCTGCTGAAATCTCTTACATTATTATCATTCTTGTGCAGCTTCAAAAATTCTGATATTAAGTTAGAAATGCTAAAATATGCTATAAACAGCCCCGCTGACTCCGAGCTAAATCCTGGTTTGAATTCTCTGCTTTTTAAGCATTTCCTGCTAAAACAATTGCGAGAATAATAATATTGTAAGAGATTTCTGGGCAGCTCAACTAGGTTAAAGGGTGGACAGCATGCACAGTACCAAAAAGGCTGACATTGACGAAAAATCTTAAAAGTGATGTGACAGCTTCTAGGGCTCTATTGGGCAGGAGATCGCTCCGACCCGTTTGTTTTCCCCACGCTCGGTGTTTACTCAACACAAGGCCTGTGCACATGCCGACAGGAGGCCTTATGGGCATGACCATGTCATCTTCTTCAATAGAGCGCGGGGCACAGTTCAGTGTAAAAAATACTAACAATCGACGAAGCGACGTTAAGTGCTGGATCTATCCTCAGAGAATGCGAGCTTGACCCACTTCGGCTTTTGTGCCGAGCTGGGATCGTGCATGCTGCATTGTTCATGCAGGCCCTAGTGGAAACAAAAGAGCCCCTCCTCCCCCTCGCCGGAGAACACAAACTCCAGCCGAACGCTGACGCCGCGTTCGGTTATGTCGGCCGAGCGCTGCGTCATTGTATTTGTTGTCCCCATCTGTGTAGTTGTTAAGTTAACCGCTTGGAGCGTTACGGTCTGTCCTCCTCCCCAATAAGGTGCTCGTTAGGGTGTCTCCGAATTAAGCTCAAAAACTGGAACCATATGATTGGTCGAAATTACTGATCACTAGGGAGCTGTTCCCATCATAGGCGTAGACTGAGGGGGCATCCAGAGCCGTGTATTGGGAGAGTTTGGCCAATAGGCGGAGCAAAGGCCGCCGCCAGCGCCGATTATTCCCCCCGCGCTTAGAGCGTAAACTAAATTTGTGACACAGCGTCGACCAATCAGGAGACCGCGACGTCACAATATTGCAAACGACATTCAGAGCGTGAAATAGAGGCGTTCAATCTCGGCCTCTCTGCTCCATCTCACAAATGTCAGCAGTGAAGACAAAGGTACAGGCGCGTGAACCTAGCTCAGCAAAACGCTTTTGTTTTTACGAGAACTCGTGCATAGGAGCCACTTTCCAAAGCCACGCGCTCGTGCCCATACCTTTCTCTGCACAGCTGATGTTGGCTTGTTAGAACAGCGTCCTGTGACTGGCGGAAAGAAAACAGTGCAAAGGGTGGGGCGTGCGAGCGTCTGGAGACGCGGAGTCCCGCTCGGCTCGTGCGCTGGCTTTGGCAGTGCTTTCATTCACCGTCTCAGCTGAGACGCTGTTTCCAGCAAGTTGGCCCTGGTTTGAAGCGCACGTTCGTTTATTCTACACTTGAATATTGGCGTGACGAACACCTCGCACGCACAAAGTTTTCAGTCACTGAGAGTCACACCTTTTAACTCTAGCGACGCTAAAACGGCTTGAATTAGTCGTGTCACAAATTTAGAGCTCACGACCACCGCTAGGGGCTGTTTCGCGGCCTGTGGTTGGCCCCGAGACGCTCGCCTATTCAAACCAATGTATGGCCAAACTCTCTCGATAAACGGCTCTGGGGGCATCGGGGCTCGTGCCCCCCCTGGTGAGATCCGGGGGCGGGGCAGAGCCCCCCCCCCCCCCCCCCCCCCCGGGCCATGATCCTTACCGAGACGCTGTTTACGTGCCATGTAACGAGCTTCTATAGTAGTGGCAGGTAAACAAAATAACACCCACGTTGCCTTTATTGACAAAATACATGAGAAATGGAATGCCAGCATGCTTTCGTTAGCTTCAATCTCCAGTTCTGGCAAAAAGAAAACGCGCAACAGCACCCCCCCGGGCCTGGGCCATTATCCTTACCGAGACACTGTTTATGTGCCCTGTAACGAGCTTCTATAGTAGTGGCAGGTAAACAGAACGCCCACATTGCCTTTATTGACAAAATACATGGGAAATGGAATGCCTGCATGCTTTCGTTAGCTTCAATCTCCAGTTCTGGCAAAAAAAAAACGCGAAGCACCCCCCCCCCCCCCCCCCCCTCCTCCCGGGCCTGGGCCATGATCCTTGCCGAGACGCTGTTTACGTGCCATCTAACGAGCTTCTATGGTAGTGGCAGATAAACAAAATAACGCCCACGTTGCCTTTATTGACAAAATACGTGGGAAATGGAATGCCAGCATGCTTTCGTTAGCTTCAATTTCCAGCACCCCCTGGAGAACTTTTCAGCCTGCCCCTTCCGGAAAGTCTACGCCGCTGGTTCCCATGATTCCTCTGGTGTGGGCCGGGGTGCTTGGGAATATTGCAAATGGTCTACTGAGTGTCAAGGAACCTTTCCTGGTCTTGGCATTGATGCAATAAAGTGTACCTTGCAGCCAGAAGAAACGTGCATGCTATGTTTCACATGGTAATGCATAGGGATGCCGCAAACTTTTTTCGAATCAAAGTTTCGATGATCGAATCAAGCGGTTCGAAAGATTTCGAACTTTCCATATCGAGAAATTCGACTGAAGTTGAATTTTCGAACTTATTAAACTAAGAAGTTCGACACTTTTCGAATTTTCAAACTTATTCCGCTGCAAAATTCTATGCTTGTCGAACTCGAACTTGGTAGACTAAAAAATTCGATGATTTTCGAACTTCTTGCACTTAAAAGTTCGAAGCTGTTTGAACTTTCCAACTTCCTACGCTAAGAAATTCGATAATTTTCGAACTTATTAATCTAAAGAATTTCAGCGATGTGATTGCTGCGCCAATTGCGCCAAACTGGGCCAAGGGGCTAACCCTGCTACATCCTGCTACATTTTGCCAAAATATGGGTAATCTGCGCCAAGCCTGCGCCAAAAGTTGAATTTCAGTCGTCTTTCAAAACCGAAACTAAACTGAGTATCGTAATTGAGCATGCTTGAGTTAGGAAGCGCAAGCGGCCCCCCAACAAGAAGTACCCTGTATCAATTGTCCATCCCGTCTTGCATAGTTTTTCCCGCCACCTCTCGTTTCACGCTCTCGTCGTTCACGTGTCTCGTATCGCGTTTTTTTTCTAAAAAAAAAATTTCAACGATAGACGCGGGCGTGTGTTGACGCTTCAGTGCTTCAGTCGTTGTACAAAGCGCTCTAAGTACTTTTTGACCCTGACTAGCGATGTCTCGTTTTGACCATAGAGTTATTTTGACCTGACTCGCTAAGGTTCTTTTTTTTTTTTCTGTGTGTGTTTAGCTTGTACCTCGCCTGCCCGCCTATCAAGCACGTGCCGCTGGAACCAGTTGTCGACGGACCGGAATGGCATGGTGTCTTTTTTGATCGAACAGCCATCTCTGCTCGCGCGACGAAGCACGTGCAAATGCAAGCCTGCCGAGGTTGCCCTCATATGCATGCGAACATGACTGCACGACAGGGGCACCAGCCGGGACGGTTGCAACCCATTGTTTTACGTTTGCTTACTTTTGACGAAAATCTGGCACGTCGGGAAGCAGTAAAACGGTGGCAAGCGGTTTTTCGGACTTGCTCGGCAACGCCCACAGCACTGTTCACTTGTGGGATGTCTCAATGTCTCTTTGGAGACATTGAAAGTGGACATTCCTCGCTAAACCAAACCTCGCTTGCCAAAGGCAAAGCGAGGTTTGCAGCTAGCAGCCTTTCAGAAAGTTTCGAAAAGCAAAAAGAAAAGCACCCGCTAAGACTCGTAATGCACCTTTGTCTTGTGTACAATTTCGCATTGCTCTGCAGTAGTTACGTGTTTCATCAGTCGGAGTAAATATCACAATGCTGTGATAGTTACTAATAATCTGGTCATTTTCAAATAAATTTTAATATGTGCAGTTTGGTTCTTATTTATCTACAACGGTACATATATATATGTATAATTTAACTGAAGCATTGCAAAATGTGTCATGTCATTGGCATTTCAGTTACATGTTGAAAGACTCCCAGGTGGTCGAACTTGACCATAATTTGTTTATTGCGGCGAGCGAAGTGTCCTTCATTCGTCCAGCACTTTAAACGAATATGTTTATTTTTCTAAGAATATCTGCTCCAAAAGCCACTTTTGCTGCTCCGAAACACTGTTTTCGCTGCTCCAAAACCCACTTTTGCTGCTCAAAAACAGTTTTTCCAGCTCCAAAGGCCACTTTTGCTGCTCGAAAACACCGTTTTGGCTGCTCCAAAAGGTGCTCCAAAACGGCTTAGGCCAATCACATCACTGGAATTTGAAAATTGTCGAACTCTCGATTCCTGAAAAGTCAAAAGTTCGACAAACTTCCAAGTTCGAAGTTCGTCGAACTTCGAAGGACCGACGGGGGTTTAATTTGGATTCAAGCAGTAAAGTACATTCGTAATTTTTTTTTTTTTTTTTTGCAATTTTACATGGGGTGCCGCATTCTTTGTGAAAGTCAATGCCGTTTATTTCAATCATCTGGCATGCCTGGTTTTAGAAAAATAGATTCCCGAAGGAGCGAGGAAGGACGATAGCCGCAACTATTTATGGTAGAGATGTTAAACTTTTTAAGAATGATATATATATATAGTTTAGGCGAGTGCCATCTTAAGATGTGATTATTGTTCAAGACGAGTTTCGAATAAATATCCAAACATGTTCTTACAAACAATTATGCCCTAAACTTGGTATTTATTTTTCCCCTACATTGTTTGGGGTATCGCATTTAAATTAACACCAGAGACGGCACATATCATTACCATCTGCAGAATACAAAATAATGTATTTATTGTTTTTTTCACGTTGGAGGAATAAATTAAAGGGATTGTCCAGTCGAAACCGGAAGTACTTAAGTTCTTGCGCCCGTTACGTCGAGGGAGCCTTCATACAGACAAACGTCATTTTTATTTTGATATATGATCTCCCGTTATTAATTAAACCTTTAATGATCCTATGTACGAAACGGCACCCCGAATTTCGCCAGTGCCAATGGCTGACATCCGTAGGTGCTGCGTGATGTCACAAAACGCAAAGGTTTGTCGTATGGTTGGGATAACAAGCGTTGGTCGATGGATGTCTTGTATTTTGTTTCGAATTATATAGTCTCCTAGGCAGTACCCTACTGAAATGCGGTTCTTTTAATGCAGTTTCCAAGCATGTGCAAAAAAAGTCACGCCTTTTAGCAGGACATCACTCGCAGACAGCCATAAGCTTCGAGCAAACGTATGCCGTTTCGCGCAAACACAACTGCGACGGACGCCGATCGAACTAGGGGCGCTTGCAAAGCAAAGGATGCAGATTTCGCCTCTGAAGCGGCAGTTAGGTACACGAAGTGGCATCTGGGTACACATTTCGGCGGATCCACTGGATCGGTGATGAGGCTGCGGGTCATTCCCTCAGAGGCGACGTCCGCGAGTCGAAGGCAAACCGTTCAAATGCATGTCGGACTCGTCACTTGACTTGGACGAGCTTGGTGAATCGTAGCTACGCTCCATTTTCACACGCGGGTCAGATATCGGGCTGCACGCGTGCTAAATACAACTCCTCGTATCATTTCGAGATTGCCAAGCTGTTGGTTTCGGTTTCGCTGCATAATCAAGGTCTCTGATTCGGCCAGGAAGTTAAGAAGGTTGCGGCAAATGCCCCTCAAAGGGAATCTGCATTCCGACGATAGGTTCGCGGCATCAGGATGATTTTGCGTCGGGAGTCACTGGCGGCAGCGCGCGGTCGGTATACCGGTCACCTCGAAGACGAAGGCCTGACGATATATCGTCTTGGCCAAGACAATTATCGACCGTAACTTTGGCGCCAAGTTGAAGCGAGATTCGGCAAAAAAAAGGCCGATTCTCGGTTTTTTTCCCCAGGCCCGTGAAAAATTTCGCCTGGGTGTCAGCCGTGTTCGGTGGTGGTGGCCTGTGCAACTTGTGAGCCCTAGAATGGCCACTGTTCTTTTTAAAACGAGCCAAAACTGCGGGAAGTTCGAAAAGAAGCTGCTCGAACTAATTACTGTGTGAACAGTGAAGGAAGTGACATAGGCAAGAAAGAAATTTCGTTGGTTGAAGCAGTCTTTATCGGGATCAAACTACTTCGTAAAAGCTCTTCTAATAACTGAACCCTCGTTTCGCAAACAAAGACAGACTACCACATTTAAAGCACAGGAGAAACTGCGTCGACCGCTGTCGTTCGGGCACATTTGCATTTAAAGAATTTATCATGAGAATCGAGAAGATGTTTTCTTTCTGTATCTATACACGCTGTCTTTTTGAATGGGGAAAATGTTTCGCATTAGATTTAGTACTAATCTTGTTCTTTTTAAATGCAGTAATTTATACCTCGGCGGCCATTTTGTTCTGTGAAAGCCGTTTACAACTCCCTGTAACAACGAATTACTGCGCAGCTCTTGAGGAGGAGGAGGGAAGGGTACTAAGGGGAGGGTAGACCCCTCCTCCTCCTCCTCCCCTCATTCTTTTATATGCTCCGGGGGGGGTCAGCTAACCTCGGGGGGGAGGGGGTCACGTGACCTCGGTGGGGGGGAAGGCGAGGGGGGTCACGTGACCTCGGGGAGGGGGCCACGTGATCTCGGGGGTCACGTGACCTCGGGGAGGGGGCCACGTGATCTCGGGGGTCACATGACCTTGGGAGGGATCACGTGACCTTGAGGGGTCACGTGACCTCGGGGTGACCTTGAGAGGGGTCACGTGACCTTGGGGGATCACGTGTCGTGGGGGTCGCGCGACCTTGGGGTGACCTTGGTCACGCCGACGGCGACGGCGACGCCGCTCAAGCCGGAAACGGGCCCCTAAGAGCTGCGCTCTAAAATAAGAAACCATTGCAGTATATTCGCATCAGTCGCTGGAAGGAAGAGTGTTCAGTTGCACTGGCAGACCAGATATCGACTCTCTTGCAGTCAGTACCCATCGAAAACTGTTGAGGGGCGTCTTAAGAGCCGGCTCCTTGAAACACATTTTCTTATCGGTCTGGAATAAACTCCACATGGAGTTTCGCGAAAAGGTTTAAAACAACATGCGTGAACCATCTGCGTTGCTTGCTTAACGCCTGCTTAACTTCCTGCCCAGAATTGTCCGTAAAACACGCTAAGGGGGCCCCAGTACAAAAGAGAGCTCCATAACCTTTCTTCCATCAAGCTCCAATTAAAAAAAAAAAAAAATCTAACAAAGGGCATGGGAGGTTGTGTTAAATTTTGTTGTTCTGGCACAGTCTTGTACAACGAGCTCACAAACGCCAGCTGATCTAGAGACGGGAACTTTATGGCATCCTTGTTTCCTTGTTGAGGAAAAGAGAATTAGAAGGCCGTTGCGCCAGAGGCTTTTCGTAGTGTTTCTTCAGCTTTCTGCCTAAAAAAAAAAAAAAGACTAACATTTCTAAATTTTCAGGGGCCAGCATGGGGCCCTCTGACAGCCTGGGGCCCAGGGCTGCAGCCCCTTTAGCCCGTACCTTAATCCGGCCCTGGGTTTTGGACGACGCTCAGCAAGTTTCTAATTGGAATCATATGTCTATTTGCACTAATTAAAAAGTTAATTGACAAATTTTACTTAATTAGCCGTCTGTCACCCTCCGGATAAGTGGAACTTTCAGAGCGTTTTTTAAACAAATTTCTGTACAGAAAAAACAACAACAAAAAACACCCTGCATATATATATATTTATATATACACATACACATACACATAGAAAGAGAGAGAGAGAGAGAGTTGAACTACACGATGCGACACGAGCCCCCAGACGTCGTCCCCAGATCGGAACTTGACGAAGTCGACAGGGCTGCAGAAAGTCGCTGCAGTCCGCACGTGCCGCCGCACGTGCGCGCGCACGCGGTGCACGCGCACAACCACCACCATACTCACCCGACTACAGTGTACTAGAATACTACTGCCGGAGCGGCGGCAGAGCCCAATACACGGCTCTGAGCGGCGGCAGCTCTGGCAGCTCTGAGCGGCGGAGCGGCGGTGGTTGGTAGCGGCACCTATCGCGAGCCGCTACCAACACCACCCCGTATTCTGGTACACTGTACTGAGACTGCAGCCAATGCCACAAGGACGAGAGCTCGAGGCCGCTGAAGCGTTCTTCCGCAGGAGGAGCGCTCGCGAGTCGCGCTGGAAATGTATGCTTCACAGCCAGGAGCGCGGGCTAGCTAGTGCTTGTAGCTTTGCCCGCAGAGAATCAATGGTCAGAACTTCAGCTTGGGCGAGTTGGTTAGTCATGATACTGCTTCACAGTGCACAAGAGCAGACACGTCTGATGTTGTGCGCTGTGAAGCAGAGAATCAAGCTTGCATTGTGTGGTGAGGAGGCGGACGCGTCGCTGAACAGCTGAATGCTGACTTTCCTTTGCAGTTTCCGAAGGCGAGACTGATTTAGAAGGATTTGGGTTTAGGACAGCGAGAGAAAACTAAACGTTGAATGTTTCAAGTAGAGAATTATGGTCAAGCAGAGGTTTTCTAACTGGTGGCATAGTGGCTTGTGAAGTTGCGCCTCCGTCAGCGGGATCTAATTTTTAGCAGCTTTACCATGTTGCAATGCTAGTAAAAATGGTTTGTTCGTGATGGCTGGAAAGTTGCACGCAGTTGCACGAAGTCGCACCAACTCTGTATCGTCTGGGTTAGTTTTTGAATCTTCGCGCGTATTCTTACCTAGCGGCGTTTTTGCGAACTACACAAATGCCCAAAATTGCGATTTTCGAAACAAAAACAGAACCAGTGAAGTTTAGGTTACGGTTGGTTGGTCAACGTTCAACCGTTGAACTGGTATTTGCTTTTGAAGCTTTGATTCTATCCCTACACTGTTAAGGTAAAGCAGTTTATTTTCACAACAACCCAACTCAAATATTACCCTTTTTTTTTTTTTTGAGCTACATAAGAGCGGAAGAGCATCGGGGATCGGCAGTTCGCGTCCCACCGCAACCTTCCATTGAACGAAGGTCATAACCCGTGGTACCTCCGAAAAGCTCCGCAAAGATGAGTTTCAACAAGCTCGGCGTCAAAAGTTTGGCAGTCAAAGACAAGCGAGTCATCATTAGGTGAGATTATTCAACTACCGGCTTCGTTGACTTGAATGAGACCGGGCTTGACGCATCGTTAGCTTGGTGGGAGTAGACAGCTAGGAGTGTGCAAATCGTAGAAACACTCTTTTTTATACTACAGTCAATCGCTTGCGTGAATGCCGAGAAGTCTCGAATGTGTATTTCATTGATTGAGAAGACTTGGAAGTTATTAGTGGACCTCACTGGTAAATTAAGGCTTCGGAAGATTTGTATAATTTCTCTGCTTTTGAAAAGCGGCCTTTAGGGTACTTTAAATAGGCGTCGAGGAGTTGGATAGAGGCGCTGGAAATAGAATATTGGCGCTTCCTGAAGCTGCGACCTTCAACAACCTTGAATGGGTTAAATTTTTGTTCATGATATGTGCAAGTAAACAGACAGAAACTGATCGTTTTTCCCCCTCGTTTTTTCAATTTCACTTCCAGGGTTGACTTCAATGTGCCTCTCAAGGATGGTAAGGTTGCTAACAATCAAAGGCAAGCATTCCCTTCTATTGGAAAAAAAGAAAAAAAAGTTGTTATTGTGTTAAATGCTAAATTCCATGCCAATTGACTTGATTGCTTTGCTTCCAGAATTGTAGCCGCCCTGGACACTGTGCAGTATGTACTGAACAATGGTGCCAAGTCGGTGGTTCTAATGAGCCACCTCGGTCGGCCCGACGGGAAGGTGGACAAGAAGTACACCCTCGCTCCTGTTGCTGAAGAGCTGAAGACCCTGCTTGGCAGGTAGGGTCTTTGACGGAAACATATGCAGGTCGCAAGTTTGTCTTTTCTTGCAATGATGTCAGAATGCCGAGCTCTTATTGGCTGATTGAAAAAAATAGCGGGTAGATCTCGAGGCATCTAGCATTGAGGTCTACCCACTATCCTTTCACTCAAAGCCTATCGGAGCTTGACGTCGTTCTGACGTCACCGCAACTCCTGCGCAAGAAGCAGACGACTTACTCTCCGCATCGGCTTGCGTTACGACTCGGTGCAATCAGAAATCTTGTATATTAATTAATATTTATTTGAGCTCAACAGAGCTGCACAAAATATCAATTATTGTACGAATAAATATAAAATAAATTGATATTTATTTGAGCTCAGGAGAGGCTAGTAGCAGTGCCTTTTTGGCAGGGGCTGGTCTTTACATCCGATCTGGTAGCTAGAGCAGGGTAAACCCGGCCATTGGGAAATATACGGACAATCCACGCTTCTCTCAAGTCGAGACAAAAAGCTGGACAATCGAAACAATTCTTCTTGGCATGTAAACGTTGGAGAGTAGTGCACATGTCACCGACCTAAAAGACGGTGTGGGAAAGCGGCCAGTTCTTTTCTAAAGTGATTACAAGTTCTTCGGTTAAAGCATTTAAAAAAATGAGGCAACCGCCAAATTACAACATCGAGCTTAAATCGCAAACAAGTTTCTTGGTTTAAACGTCTAAATTTGTCAATCGAGCTCTCTCACAAAAAAAAAGGGGGGGGGTTTAAACAAAATGTCTGTTTTGCAAATAAGTTATTTACAACAATATTGGAAAAGCAGTTTGATTAATGGCACTGCCCGCAAAAGCTCGATGCTAACCTGGGCATTCCGTAAGCGCAGCTTTGTTTCGGGGAGCTAGTTCATTCGAAAACCAAGATCTGTAATGAAGACAGCTTCCTTGACTTACCGGTGTACCATTAACCTGTGAAGGACACTGCAGTCACCGATGGCTGAAGAAATGCAGGGCTTGCTGAGTACCAAGCGTTATCCCTCTGCAGCCAATGAGAGTGTGGCATTCGCTGATCAGAACGCCCAAGGCCAAATCGCAAAGCGGGGTGATAATGCCCCTGCGTCCCGGATTTCACCAGCTCTGCTTCCCACGATGCAGGAACGTCACTTTCCTGCCGGACTGCGTGGGGTCGGAAGTGGAGAAGGCCTGCGCCAACCCGGCGCCGGGAACGGTGATTCTGCTCGAGAACCTCCGCTTCCACGTTGAGGAGGAGGGCAAGGGAGTGGATGCCAATGGCGCTAAGGTCAGGCACTCGGTGGGATGTGGAAGCGACTTCGGCCAAACTCTCAAAAAACTTCATTTTTTAGTTGCCTGGACAGGACATGCATGTCACAAATTGTCACAAAACAACCCTTAAAAAAAATACGGGAAATTTTTATTTTGTGAGGACCATTTTGATTTAGGAGCCATTCCAAAATATACTTTGATCTAATTTGGATGTTGACCCCAACATAGAAGCCTGTATCGAAACTGCTGTAATTAATTTTGCAATACAAATATTGCACTAAAAATGCTTTATTAGGGGAAATTGACTTTGGTAACATACCCTAATATCCCGACAGATACCTACCCCTATTACTGGCAAGATTTGCTATTTTTCCAAAAACAGAGAAAGACTTCTAGTAATTGCAGGGCCTTGTCTAATGGTGACCTTGGCAGAAATGGTGTTATTTAGCCACGGCGGGAGATATGCAAACATTGCTGACAGAGAAGGACAGTCTGGTGCATCCCTGCAGTCACAAGTTTACATGTCACAAAAACTCACATTTTTCAACTTTTTATCGCACACTGAAAGTTAGCTTAATTCCTCTCTATTTTCACCCGATTTGCTTTTGATCTTAGGTGGGCCTCGGGATATTACAATACATGTCATCTCTGAGCACTTAATTAATGAAAATTGTTTTTGTTTAGTGTTTCTTTGAAGAGGCACCTCGTAATTAATAAATTTTTCATGCGGAACACATAGTTCCTGGTGTGATGTCACAAAGTATGAAGGTCGTGGCGAGTCACTCTCTGTAGCTACGCAGTCAGAGTTCATTTTAATCAACCTGTTTCTGGTAATTTGTCCTAAAATTTATTTTCCATAGATTTTACTATGTTTAATCGTTTATATTTGCACTAAATGGCATACAGTGTCGAAATTAGTTTGTGGACTATCTTCACCGCACATGACCGTGGAAAAGAGAGCGAGAGCAGATCTCAACACTAGTTCTTGATCTACAATTTTTTGTGCGGAAGAAAAGCCAGATTTCAAGCTGCAGATACAGTTGCTGGGCTTTCATAGCTTGTGTTTCAGTAAAAAAAGAAATCTCTGCAGGTACAAATACCTCATCAGTGTCCCTTTGCGACCGACCTATCCCAGACAATACCACCAAAATTCAAACCTAAACAGACCATACCTCTCCCCACAAATCAGTTAAACAAAAAAACCAAAAAAAAAAAAAAAAAACCAAAAAAAAAAACCACATTTTTACGTGGTGAATGATGTTGATTGGGGCGAAGCTCTGGTGGTGCTTGCCTGCGTAGACGCTGAGCCGCAGCATGCCGAGCCTTTCGTTCGTTTTCATCCATGTCAGAAAGAGAATGTGTGGTATGGAACGTGGTTACATACGCATTTGAGCATTTGACCGCAGCGCCCTGTCGTCTATTCGCAACTCCAGCGTGCCACTCGCCCTCCCGTGGACGAGCGGAGAACTAGAGGAACGGGGACGGCAGCGGCGGCGCAGAAATGCTCCTGACACGCGCTGAAAATTGTGCTTCAAAGGCTCAGCCTTTGGAGCACAATTTTTAACGTGTGTAATGCTACACCACACGGTAGCCTACGATAACAAACTTACTATCAATAACCATAGAGCAGTATGGCCACGTGTTGCAATACACTAAAACCGAGATGGTGAGCAGTGATTTGCGAGCCTGTGACACAAAGACATCAATACTCTGAATGCCGCTCTTCCGAAGCTTGACGGTCACCGTGCGCGGCTCACTTTTTAGAGCATTAATGACCACGGCAATGCGCAAACACGATATCTTCATCACCTTCAAAAATATTCTGCCGCAAACAGTGACGTGGCTGGTGAGTAAAACGCGCTCGCCCACCACAAAGCTTCGCAAGTGGAGGTTTCCGCAACTTTTAAATATCAGCATGCTCATTTTGCTAACATGCATCAACATCTCCGTCACCTGTAATATGATCCTGCCCTAACCACTTCGCGTTTGCAGACAGATAAATCATTCTAATTGCACTGACCAGCGTCAGCGAGCAGGCGCACGGGAAACCCTGGAGAATCTATCCCCCTTTCTTCCGCCATCTTGGAACTACCGCCCTGCCACCTATAGGGCGTTGGAGTTGCGAATAAACGTTAAGCCAATGCATGCAAAGTTTGGCGCGATTATATACGCATGTGACCGCAGCGCCCTCTCCTGTATAGACGTTGAGCGGCTACCTGCAACGTTTCATCCACTACAGAATTCCCAGCTCTTGAGTTACTACCACATCTCAGAGCCCCCTACTCGTCCCGCAGTCGTGGCCGAGTGGTTAAGGCGATGGACTAGAAATCCATTGGGGTCTCCCCGCACACGTTCCAATCCTGTCAACTGCGCAAACATTTTTTTTTTGTTTTACACGAGCACATGCTTACGTGCTCGTGAGCTCACGATCACGAGCACCAGCATGATCGATGTGAGCACGAACGCCGGACGGACAAGGCTAGACCCTAAGGAGCTTTGCCCCTAAAACAAACCGCTTGTATGAGAACCTAAACATGCACTTTACGTTTTGGTCTTGCATAGTTGCCTGCGTCGAGTTGAGTGTGACGTTTAAATACACATTTATTTAATAAATCTCTCGCTTATGACAAACCTCAGGCACTGATATTAGCAAAATATGTACAAAACTTGAGTTTTTTTGCCGTGTGTTTACTCGGTTGAGAGGAAACCTGGAAATATTTTGCTTGCAGGTCAAAGCGTCTCCTGAAGCCACGGCTGCTTTCCAGCAATCGCTCACAAGCCTCGGAGACGTGTTTGTCAATGACGCCTTTGGAACTGCCCACCGAGCTCACAGGTGGGGAAGATCTTTTTTGTCTCGCAGTCATCACAATTAAGAAATTAGGAAAGTTGAATAGACCAAGTAGAGAAAAGTTCCTAGGCATTGTTTCTGCATCTCCACCAACCACTTGTGTGTTTTCAGGAAATATTCAAACAGTAGAGGAACAAGCAAAAACGGTATGCCACTTTTGGAGGTCCCCCTGCACTTCTGAATTCCGATACAGGATTTTGGAGTGAAGTGATCAACTTTCTGATGTGAGGGCTACAGCCAGGCTTTGGATTCAACATTCCCAGACAATTGAATGTATAGTAAACATACCCCTTTAACGATACGGCCACACACTTTGGGAGGAGGAGAGGGCATAACAAAGGGGAAGAGGTGTGTAGATAGCAAAAACACAAAAAATGCGTTTAAAAAAAAAAAGAATGGAGATTGGAAGTTTTAATGACAAAACATTGGCTGTCTCGTAGCTTTTTCTTCCTATTCTACATATGGCGGCACCTGGCGGCTGCGCTGAGGGTATTGAGAGGGGTGCTCACGAAAAAAAAGCTGAGGACGGCTGGGACGATTTTTTTTTTTTTTTCTGTGCTGTATGGCCTCTTGCGCAGCACCTTTGCGACATCTCCCCTCACATCACCCTGTAAGGTCTGCTACACATCGTTTTATTCCTTTTTAAAAATCATTTTAGATCAACTAACACTGCTAAGAAAAGAGGCACTGAAAAGTGACGCGTCGTCTGCACGTGAAGAAAGGTCCCGCGAAACCCTCTCGCAGTTGGCCAGGTGGCACGTGTGCATGCCCCTGAACGATCGGAGGGAAAGTGATAGGACACTTCCTGTTTGAAGTCATTTAAAAAGGTAAGGACTGCCTGCAGCACTTAGCTAACCCCGTACATTGTGGATTTGGGCAGACGTTTAAAAAAAAAAAAAAAAAAAAAAAAAACTTTCTGAAAATATTTTTTTTTTTTTGCAAATATGTAGTTTTCAAGCTTGAAATTTTTGGGCTATTTCTAGAAATCATTTTCAGTTGTTTGCAAAAAAAAAAAATATATATATATATATAAATGTTGGGGTGTTAGTAGGCACCCTTGAGCTAAGAGGATTACCCATCCCAGGCACTGAAAGACCGAGGGTTATCCTGCTCTTGGAACCGTTCGAACTAACCGATCCTATAAAGCTACCACATTTCAAAGAATTTGGTAGAGTGGCCAAACATGTTTTTTTTTTGAGTGTAAGACTGGCCATATATGTCCTGCACAAGGAGAGTGTATTTGTCTGAAGGTGTGATCTCAGAAAGATAGGAAGGTGGGCTGGTTGGAACATTGCAAGAATACTGAAAGCTCCAGGGAACAAGGACTAGAAAGAGTGTGCTATTAACAAAAGTTCACATTAAATTGAACATTAGAGTTAATATTCAAGTTTGGTTGTGAGTAGTGCACTCTTCTTTCTAGTCCTTGATCCCTGGCACTTGCTGTGCTCTTGTGGGATCTCTGGTGTGCAGCCACGCTAAACCTTCAAGTTCATAATAACATCGGGAAATTTGCTCTGGTGCAGCTCGATGGTTGGCGTCAAGCTTGCACAGAGGGCAGCTGGACTGTTGATGAAAAAAGAGCTGGAGTACTTCAGCAAGGCCTTGGATAATCCGTCCCGGCCGTTCCTCGCCATCCTGGGAGGGTGAGGAGTGATTCGTCAGAGTTCCTGGGAGTGTCGTCCACGGCTGATGCGGTAATATCCACTCTTTGGTATTACGACAGAGCCAAAGTGAAGGACAAGATCCAGCTGATTGAGAACATGCTCGACAAGGTGAACGAGATGATCATTGGCGGAGGAATGGCTTTCACCTTCCTCAAGGTCACCGAGAACATGCAGGTATTGCGACACCTCCAGCCAAAGATTTCTAATTTGTGGGGGGGGGTACCGCTTTAAATGGAGTAGCACCATCAGCTAGCTTTGACACTGTAAAGAAAGCCGGTATACCGTGGCTTTCCTTTGCACTGTGAAGGCTACCAGTGATGCGGCACTATTTGATTCAAACAGCTGTTTGCACACTTCTACTCATTTGCAAATGCCGTAGCTGAAGCTGAGCAAAACGCAGCCTGTACACCATTCAGCCCTATGCCGACGGTGCGGTCGGAGTTACGAGCTCCCTGAACCGTGTCTGCTTAGGGTGAATGGAGTATACACCTTTCCAAAATACACTCCTAGGCCGCCGCCATGTTGCTGATGCTGATGCGGCTGGTGCGACTCTCGCGCTCTCTATCAACTAGAAATTTTCTGCCACTCTCTGGGACTGTGAAGACCCGCTCGGCGTGGTTCTCTACCTACGTTTTTGCAGTTCTGCATTCGACGTTATCTTGCCTCTCTTGAAAGTTTCCACTTAATTTTTTTATGCGTGCTGCGTACCCTTTTTGAGTTATCTTCCATTGTGAGAAATAAGGCTGGTAAGTGCCTGCCATTCAAGCTTTTCTGCTCGACATTCACGGGAAACGAAGGAGGTGAAGGGCATCGAACGGCCCCCGATGCAATTTTGCGAACATTGTTCTCCCCCGTCCCAGAGATAATCCGCGTAGAAATGCTCAGTCGTCTCCAAAAATAGTTGTCCGGGGTGGGGTGAGAAACGGGTCAGTCGCGTTCGTTCCTTTGACTTGGTGCTGTTTTGAAAAAAGGAAGCTCTCCCCAAAATGCGCCCCAAAACAAAGTCATCTTGGATTCCGTCCGATCGTCAAGGTGTGACTGTCGTCGACTGTGACTCTGTTATTTGAGATCTATCTCAAATAAATTCTTTTCGGATTACGCTGCATCGTGTGGTACGTACAATATATTGTTAGAATGTTAACACTTCCTCAGTTGTATGTCCGTGTCCTGTCCATTCGTAAACACGTTATTTGTGAGCGTGAAAAATGCATGCCTTTCGATCTTGTTCTGTTGCAATTTATTTTTGACAGCAAAGCGCTTTGTCGCCTCACATGCGGCGAATCCCGCGGCGCCGTCAAAGCTTATCGTAAAAAAAAACAACAAATAACTAATTCCAGTCGCATTTGTTCTGTCGCGCGCGTACCCAACAAAAATAGTTTACAGTTTTTTTTTTTTAAATGCTTTCTCAATGTCCTCGGGAAAATACATGTACCATGGAACACGAAATACAGCGGGAAAAGACGAGAATTTAGCCGCCAGCAGCGTTTGAAACTGTGCCTACGGAGGCTGCGCCTGTTGAAATCACAGTCCACTCGGTTAGGGTTAAGGCTAGCCCACATGGCGCGTTTTTTAGTGCGTCTAGACGCGCGTCTTGGCTTGGCGCGCGCGCTAAGCAGGACGCGTGCGCCCAGTCAAACCACACGCAGCGCTACCGTGCAGCTCTTCGCGTCTGCGTTTCCGAAGCGTCTGCCCAACGTAGCCAGACGCGCTTAAAGGGGCCCTGCAATGACTTTTTGACTGGTTTTTAATTTGCACTGAACCTGAGCGTACTGAACGTAGTAACCGGTCGAATTCTTGAGCCGGTATACGACCACAGCGCCGCCGCGTACATTCGGGACCTTTCTACGCTCCTCGTTTGTCGTAGCCTCATCCCACTAGCCTTTTCTAGTATGCGCTGTTTTTTTCCGCCGCTTGGTAGCGGGTATGTCGACGGGTCATTTCTCGGTTCCGTACTTTCTAAACTGCATTTGTTTCTTTTCTGATCTAAAATAGTGAACAAAATCTACTTTCATACATAATTGAAACGGTTCGCGACACTTATAATTTGTATCTCGACTAAAAAAAAGCTCTTAGCGGCTTTGACCAGTGGCAAGCCCAGTACCAAGGACGTCACATTTTGCGCGCTTTCGGTACCGCGGGTCGCCCTCGTCGGTGGAGGAGGTTTCCGTGTCGTCTGGTTAAAATATGATGCACTGATATTTAGTTACTCTCTCCGTGCCCGCTGGCTTGCCCCAACCCCAAGAGACGTGGAAACCGCAAAAAAAGGTAGACGCTTAAATATGATTGCAGGGCCCCTTTAAGAAACAAAAGCAAATATTAAATAGAAATTGCGCGGTAAATGATGGCTACATGCCGTAATATTTAATTTTAGTAATAGTAAGCGCTCATTTTTATTACAGCAATCGCAATGAAGCTCAATTTCACTAATTTTCATCCTTTTTAGTGCGTACGCCTCATCCACGTTTCGATACGCCATTGGCATCACCATCGCCCGCGCCAAAACATTTACAGCTGGCCGCTGGCCGCTACATAGGTTACGTTGTTCCGGTTGTTGCCGGTAGTATTAATATTGTACCTTTGTCTCTCGGTGTCCTTATATTCTTTACATTTGGCCTGCCAGAGTGCAGGACGCTTTTGTACTTCGCTAGGTCCTCTCTGTTCCGCTGAAGCAGCGTCAGCCTCTCCCGCGGAGCAGAGAGGATTCCCTGGACTTGTGTAAAAGGTATGATAAACTGATATCCTCGGGGGGAAGGACGTAACTACCCATGTTCGCCCTGCTGTTAGCGTTGGCGGGGCCTAAAAGCCTTCTTTTATTTAAGGCCGCGAGCGTGCAAATTTTGTAAACTCCGCGCGCGCGGGTGTGTGTGTTTGCGTGCGTGCGTGCGCTCTGCCTTGGAATGGCACAGGGCTGCTACCCGTTTTTGTGTGTGTATCTTTCTGTTTTGAGTGTTTCTATTTATTTTCCTTTCCCGTATCCCTTTCCCTACTTGGCGGTGGGCTAGCGGGCCCACCTGTGCAAGGGTCTCAACCTTTTTGCCTAGCCTCGCACGCTGCCGAGTGGGTACCGCAATATTTGCAAATAAAAAGTATTATTATTATTATTATTATTATTATTATTATTATTATTATCGCCTTTGCCGCGAGGTTCGTGGCGAAAACTACAGTCCTACAGTGGCGAAAACAGTGGAGAAAATTCAAACGCTCCATGCAACTAGTGAACACGGCGGTTCGTTGGTTGTTGCCTTCTGGACGCAGCGCGAGACGCGACGCATGGACGCAAAATATCTGCCTCCTTCAGATACGCCGGAATGCGCCAAAAAACGCCGCGTTTCGTCCCGGCGCCGGAAGTGACGTCAAAGCGCAGGCGCAGGCGCGACGCAGACGCGGAGGAAAGCGCACCATGTGGGCTAGCCTTTAGGAGGGACGCCTGCGAGAGTCCAGCCTCAAACTCGATGACTAGGCTCGAAAACGGTTTGTTGCCCCTGGGGTCGAGTGTTTTTTGGAAAGGTGTATAGGCATGCACAGGTCAGCACGGCAGTAAACAACCAAAGTGATGAGCTCGATTGTTACATCTAATAAGTTGTCTCTCCTTATTTCTTAATGGTGCAGAAATCGTCAAAATACCTAGATTTTTCTGGCCAAATTTATCGCGAGTTCATTCAGGCGCAAGGTGCTATTCACGCAGCGCATACTGTTCTACGAGCCTCGATTTCCTCTGCAAATAATGAACGGCTGGGGTGCCTACGAAATGGCATGAAACCTCCATTGCGCGCATCAATCCAGTTCTGTGAATTGCATGCAACTCGTTTTATGAGGCTGTCGCACATGGAAAGATTCGAGCTTGCATATTGTAAACCATTTTACTTTCGCCCGTTCAATTTTTGAGAATTTTGCGAATTCTGGATTTTAGGAATATTTTGCAGGCACAGAATTTTACGATTGGGAGTGGTGCACTACATACTCAATATACAAGTTAATATATTTGCAGGGTCTATTTTTTGCAATGTTTTTAAAGTCGCTAAATTCGCGAAAAGAAAGTAGTTTACGGTGCCTTAGATTAGAGGCGGCGCTAGCAATTAATTAATGTTTGCTAGAGCAAATTTAGGAATCGGGCAGCATTACAAGCATATTTTGCCTTTGGTGGGCGTGCAGATTGGGGGCTCGCTGTATGACAGCGACGGAGCAACGATTGTGAACAGCCTGCTGGAGAAGGCGAAGAAGAACAACGTTCAGATCCACCTTCCCGTCGACTTTGTGACGGCCGACAAGTTTGACGAGAAGGCGGCCGTCGGGTCGGCCACCGTCCAGGGCGGAATCCCCTCCGGATGGATGGTGAGCTATTTGTCGCCATTTGCAGTGGCATTCGTGCACCGGGCCACTGTCCGCTTGCTTCAGACTCGTGAAGGGCGACATTTGAGTGTTATCGACTGCATTGGCGCTTCGGAGCTCTTACGACGTGAGCACATATTGGCACACTGGTGCCATCTGGCAGGTAGCCCTGGAACTGTTCCGATAACTAGACTGAAAGTCGCTCGCAGCATTATTCAAAATTATTTCGAGCACGCGGTGGAACAACAATGTGTAAAGAATGTGCAGATAAGAAGTGCTTCGAGGCTAGGTGGCACCAGGGTGTTTTCTCGTGTCACTGGCAGTGCAGTCAATCACATTATGATGCAAATTTGTGTGAACCAGCTTTAAAGGAGTCATGAAATGATACTGGGTTGGAATGATTGTGACTTTGCAGAGGCGTGCTGGTCCTAGCCTGGCCCTAGTATACTTGCACAGTCCGCCACTGATTCAGAAGCTTCTTTGTCGCGGTGCGAGGTTAAAAGGGGACTATTTCTTTCAGTCTTGCCTTTGCAAAGCTTGATGATGTAATTGTGGGATCGAAACCAACCCTGACGACAGTTGAGCGCAGCTCACAGATTGGACATGAGAACTGCGCGAGCAGTCGGCTTGGGCTCGTAACAACCAATGCCTCGGCGGACACTCGGGTAGTGGCTCTTGTCCATCCACTGCGGTGATGAGAAGAGCCGAACTCTAACAATGCCTGCAGCTCAGCACGCATTTTCTACTTTGCCAACCCCAGCGCATGGGTATGATGAACGTTGGTGGCATAGGATAGGCACCAGGCCACGTGGCCGCTTGTTCTGGCTCAGAGTTGAGGGGATGAACGATGCTCATATTTCTCGAATTATTTTGGCCACTGCCATTGCATAGAAAGAAAACCTAAGGCAAGTTCATTCAGTAATTAACATTAGGGAGTGATTCTAACTAGTATTTAGCAAAAGTTGAGAAATGGTTTCATGGCTCCTGTCTCTGCTGCATCTGAGGTGGGCTGGGAATGCAGCATAATTTAGGTGTGCAGAATAATTTGCTCGTTTGCGCACAAACATGTGCCACGTTTGGCAGAGATTCGTGCCATGGCATTGTCCAAATATGCCGTGAGCTTTGATGGCTCAAGTGTCGCTCGGAGAGCTACGGATTTTCCACTAGGCTGTGGCAAGGAGCTTTAATGATGTCTCGATCGCTATAGGCTTATCGAGTACACGTTAGATTTATCCGTGCTTCTTACGACGTGCCGCTGAGAAAACCATTAAAACTCGAGAACGAAAATATTTGCCACCTGCGCTAACGCCAAATCTGTTTTAGGGCTGCTTTCCAAGCCTGGAGCGTCGCAAAATGCTGCGACAAAAATATGATAATGCGGCCAGTTGTCTTTATCAAAGACCCAACCCCTCGATAGGATTCCAACCACCAACGTAATTTGATACTCTATCCCCTGTGCTAGCAAAGTGGCTTCGATTACCACGGTTATAGTTGGTGGTATGTGCGTGCTTGTTTCGCCAGAAAGATGTCGAAGCCTCAATGGTAGGAGGAGCTCAAAAGACGCTGCCCATTCCGTCTCCAACTTTGTCTATAGGATGAATATTAGGGGGCATGATCTATAGGATTAAGATTAGGGACGTGCGGTCAATAGGATTAAGATTAGGGGACGTGAATATTAAATTCTTCGATTAACTTAGAATGTTGAATAATCTAAAGCAGGGGTCAGGTAATTAGCGGCCAATGCATTTGGCCCGCGGAGCAATATTTAATGGCCCTTGGCACGCCACCAAAAATGCCTCCCTCCCCCCCCAAAACACAAGGACAAGAGGTACGTTTGGTTGCTGAAATGGTATTACCAGCCGTATTAACTCTGAACAAGTTCGAGAGATTTGCCGCAGATAGAATTTGCTGATCAGCCGACCCTGAGACGAGCAATAAGCTGAGGGATGCACTTGTAACGAACAACTTCGTTAAGTTTGCTGCTGGCCTCCCTGAATTAAAGTTCTAAAATCTACGAAATCTTGCAGCAGCCTTGACTGAACTGTCCACTACAGCACGTATATATCTGCAAACATACTTTTTATGAGATGAAGACTGTGAAGTCAAATGGGGCTCTTGCGAATGACAGACCTCCAAAATGTTCTGCGAAGCTCGGTTAAGAGTTATAATTGGCTTCAAATCGCATGGCCGCTTGTTCTGGCTGCAAGTTGAGGGACTGAACGCTGTAAATATTTGCATTTTGGCAAGCAATATTGAGCACTTAACATTTTACTAAGAGGGGATTTGAGCAATCTTTTGTTACGTGTGCCTGAATCAAGATAACATCTTTGCATATCAATTTTAGTATGTGAAAGATTTTTCTTTTAATCTTCAATTTCTACAAGTTTAACCCCCCCCCCCCCCCCCCCCCCTCCCCCCACACACATCTCAGTTTTTCTCTCTGGCCCACTCCATCTCCGCTTTGCAACGATTTGGCCCATGGCAGGAGAATTGGTGGCCGATCACCAATCTATGGCGAGGGCATTTACTCGCAACGTTTTTATTCTCGCATATATTGAGACACCAGACCTGTGTTAATGAGAATAAACAAGTATTTAGAGCTCGCGTCCTCTTTTCTGGCAGGGGTTGGGTGCGGCACACAAAGTCTGTCAGCGTCGGTCGGTCTCCTCTTGGCGTACCTGCAGTAATCCCTTGATACTCTTTCATTAACACTGGATGCAGTTTGAAATGCTTGACAAGGGGTGCTTTGGTGCCTGTTGGTGTTCGAAGTGTTGGGTTGCATGTGATGCGTTGCGCCATTGATGACGTCAACTTTGCAAAGTGTTTCTAGATGGTGCCCCTCCCTCCTTCTTTTGTCTTCCCTTCGTTTCTTTGCTTCACAGACGGCTCGCCACAATATTGTCCATCCACCATAATACGAGGCGAAATAGCGCAACCCCCGACCTGCGATGGTAGTAGTAAAATCAGTTGAATCGCGGGTTAAGTTGTCAGGAAAGGACGCTCAAGCTGTATATTTTCACAAATGACGAGGTGACGAAACAAAGAATAACCGAGGGAACTAAAATTTTAATGGGGCAAACTTGCGCCCAAAACAAAAAGAAAACAGAAGATAACAGCAGAGCGTCGTGGGCGTCGGCGTAGCAGCAAGATCGAACGTTGGAGTGAGAACTGCGGCTTGCCACGCGGAGCCCTTTATGTACACGCGTTAACTTCTAGAACAATCGGTGTAGAAGGTTCAGCGTGTAGAACATTCGGACGTCGAACACACAACAAGGTTTTTGAATTTACCAGAAATTTAAATTGAAAAAATAAATAAAAGACTTGCCGCTCCTGGGAATCGAACTTTGGGCTTCCGCTCGAAAGTCAGGTGCGGTAACTACTCGGCCATGCAGGCACTCGTTCGGCGATGCACGTGGCAATATTACTGAGACTGCATTGTGATGCGTAGTGGTTTTGATTACCTTCGTTCACGGAAGCTAATTGTGGCAGAACTAGTAAGTGATACTACTGTAGTGCTTTCGAAAGTGTTCTCGTATATTCGATTTGTTTCGAATATTTATTTATTTATTTATCCAATACTCGCAGCGCTTTTTGGCATTACAGCGGGGAGGTCACATACGCCAAACATTACTTGAATACACACAAGCAGGCTTCTTGTGAAGTGCAATTGGGTTAAATGACGGCAAGAGTACTTACTCGCAGAATGAACACACTTTTTTGTCCGAAAAATCGATGCAAAGTTGGGGGGTGCGTTCATTACGCGAAGTAAAATTTTTGCGTCCGTATTTACTCGCATAATGAACGGACCTTTTATCCTGAAAAATTGAAGTAACTTCTTATCGCTTTGCGCGCGGCGCCCGACCCCGTAACCGAACTAAGCTGTGCAAAAAAAAAAAAAACCTCTTAAATTCTTTTTTTCTTAGTTTCTTGGTTTGTTTGTTTGTTCTTGCCGCCTTTCGCAAGCTGTTTTGTTTGCTTAGGCGTTGCTTAGACGAAGGCTCTCCGCTTATCTTTCTTAAGGCCGGTTCAGACACTTGCGTTTGACTGCGTTGCGTCGAGTGCGGAAAGCTAGTCACCGACACATCTGTGCTTCGTATGAAGCGTGGATGCAATCCAAGGAATCATCTTGGCACGCGATGTAAGCAGCAGGGATGTCCTGGTTTCTCGCTGCCGCAACGCAGTCAAACGCAACTGTCTGAACCAGGCTTTATCCTTGCTCGCGGCGCGGGACCGCGCGACGCACGACCCCCCGTAACCAAACTGCGCTGTGCAAAATAAAATTAAAAAAAAAAAGCTCCTCTTTTTCTTTTGTTTTTTTCTCAGTTCCGTGTTTTTTTTTTTTTTTTTTTGCCGCCTTTTGCAAGCTGTTTTGGTTGCTTAGAGGGCTTCTCCGCCCCTCTTTCTTACCTCCTTGCGCGCGGCCCGCGACCCCCCCCCCCCCCCCATAACCAAACTGGGCTGTGCGTGCAAAAAAAAAGAGAAAAAAAAAAAGCTCTGTTTTGTTTTCTTTTAGTTCCGTGGATATTTTTTTTTTTCTTTTCGCCGCCTTTCGCAAGCTGTTTCGTTCGCTTACCGCTCATTCACACTGGAAGCGGATCCGCGTTCGCAAGGCGGTTGCGAACGCGGTTGTATAAGATCCAGTGCAATTGCACGCGCACTCGATGACATCAAGTGCGCGTGCAGATGTACTGGATCTTTATACAACCGCGTTCGCAACCGCTTTGCGAACGCGGATCCGCTTCCAGTGTGAATGAGCGGTTAGAGCGCTTCTCTGCTTCTCTTTCTTACCTCCTTGCGCGCGGCGGCGCGCAAACCCAAAGTCCAAACTGTGCTGTGAAAAAAAAAAAAAAAAGAAGCTCCTCCATGTTTTTTTTTCTTGCGTCCGCTGGATCTTAGCGAATGTTTTTAACGCCTTTTGCTAGGCATTTTGTTCGCCCACACTGCCCATGCATTCGCGACCTCGCTGCACCAGGATAGAAAAGTGCGTTCATTTCACGCGCGTGGGGGGAGGGGGTCAAAATTTTGACGTCCGAGTTGGGGGTGCCTTTATTACGCGAGTGAAAAAAAAAAAGTCGAAATTTTGAGAGCCGACTTGGGGGGTGCGTTCATTACGCGAGTGCGTTCATTGTGCAAGTAAATACGGTACATGGAAGCAAATTACAACTTCGCAACACACAGCATCACTCTATATCAACAAATGACGGCAGGATAGTTTATGTACATCAAAGCAGATCTCGAATCCGCGACACATATTGCATAACTTTTACTTTAGCAACTTGACTGATTCCAGGGCAGAATAAAAGGCATCGTTCGACAAAATTGATATATGGCAGAAGGTAACCGGTTCCATTGGAAAATTGTTTTCGGGAAGAAAGCACTACTCAAAACTGCCGTCCTACATCTGTACTCACGAACCTTATGAACGTGATCCACTCGGGCGGTTTGATGATGTGGTGAGAAAAGAGAGGTGTCACGTGGGATTCCGGTTGGGGAATGATATATACTGTGAAAAAACTTGAAGCGAACCCTTGCTCTACGGTATTCAAGTGTACCCCACTGTAGGGTCTGTTTGGCGAGTGACACGCTAAAATCTCTATCTTTTATTGACCTTCCCAATACATAGTGGGCCGCAAAGTTTTGCACCCTTTCTAGTTTATCAGTGATAGTCGGCGGGTCCCACACAGTGCAGGCATATTCTAAAATAGATAACACATTTGTTTTATACAACAGCTCCCGGGTGACTTGAGAAAAGTTAAGCGTATTTCTGCGATATTCTAAATGATTCTTCATTTCGAATATTCGAAAAATGGCGAAGACTTAGTTTATGAGTCAAATACAACGATGCATTTTGTTCCAGGGGCTAGACGTGGGAAAGCAAAGTGTTGTCAAGTTTCAGGAGGCTGTCAGGAGAGCCAAGACTATCGTTTGGAACGGGTGAGCTGGACTCGTGAACTTTACCGTGATTCAGGGTTGACGTGCCCGTCGTCTCGTTTCCCCCCCAACTGGTCTCAAGGCCCATGGGAGTGTTTGAGTGGGACAACTTTGCCTCTGGAACAAAGGGGATCATGGATGCCGTCGTGGAGGTGACTGCCAAGGGTGCGACCACCATCATTGGTAAGGCCCAGAAGCTGTCTGCTTAAAAAGAACTGCCCATCTCTGGTAAATACTAAAGGCACTCTAAATGCACAGCATTTAGAGGTTCTATGAGATGTCACGTGACGATCGTCACGCTGATGACGTCGCTCGCATAAACACTGATGTCATCACGTGATGACGTCACGGTGAACCTTTTAGAACGCCGATGATGTTACATGAACACTGTCATCAGCGTGATGTCACCATCGACATGCCGGTGACATGAAAGTGCCAGGACCTGGCCCTGTGCATCTTGATAGGAACTGGTTATTTGATGGCGTGAATTTCAGGTGGAGGCGACACGGCGACGTGCTGCGCCAAGTGGAAGACCGAGGACAAGGTGAGCCACGTCAGCACTGGGGGTGGTGCTAGTCTGGAGCTGCTGGAAGGCAAGTGTGCCCTTTCTTTTCCAGACATTTTCGATTCAGTTCGCCGTTGCTAGTTTCGGCACGCTGCGAAGCGTGCGATCGTCTCCAAACGCGACAGTGGATCTCGCCTAGCCTAGAGCCACCAGATAAACTAAACTCGCAAAATAAGGAAACTTTATCTTTCTCGGTGCTTAAAATCATTGTTGCCAGTTATTCTAACCTTTTCCTGAATGCACAGGAGACACTTTCTCGTCCTCCAGAAATGTTGGAGCAGTCTGCGACAGAGCAGAATGATAGCGTCTGGCTTCGGCCGGCATCGTGTCAGAAGCTCAGGAAGTTGCATTTTACAATTGTAACAATTGCCAATGCACCCACTCTAAACTAAAATGCTGGTGCCCACAAGAAAATGGAGAGTCGATGCTTGAGGTGGAGCTGCGGCTCTAGTGCAACCATTCGGGATGGTTGCTCTTGTTTAATGCTTTGTGTGTCGATCACATGACCTACAGTACTGGATCTCAAATGGGGTTCTGTGAAGCCCTCGCCTCAACCCTTAAACCCTTCTTAAAACATTGGAAAAAAAAAAAGTTTTTTTGTTGACCCTGGCCAGGTGGTTGCAAGGTAACACCCATTATAAAGTGTTCAGCCGTTACCATCTAGCCATCCATTCATCCTTTTACTTGATGCTTCTCACTTGTCCTGTCCATAACAGTAAGGCCTGCTTCAGACGGGGCAACTTTCCCAGCAATTTAGGTGTTTCTTGCGAGTTGTTCAATGGCATCTCCTAGATCCAGCTGCTGCAACATGAATTGCTCGTAATATGTCTTGCTCGAAAAGGACGAGCAACTTGGACAACTCGGAGATGTTTGAAGCGGCAGCAGCCAATCAGGGACGCGACATTTTCATCCGACACCCTCGTGGCGGTGATGATAACAACTAGAGACTTGCTTCTGGATTGAAATGGATAGTTTTTGGGAATAAACAGTTTCAGAAAGATGAGTTAGTATTCTCAATGCCATTTAAAGATATAAAAACATATTTATAGCGCATAACTGCTTATCTAAATAGTGCAAGAAAATTAAAATCGGACGATGATGATGGCCAGTCGTAGCAATTCGGTTGCTGTGTGAACGCGGGCGACCCGTGTTGCTGGTGTTGCGACGTCAAGATCCTGGAAGAAATTGCCCCGTCTGAAGCGGTCCTAAAGGAAGCCCTTTTTGCGCTGCAATTAGTCTTCTTATTTTGTACTGCCCCCCCTTCCTTCGTTGGCATGAGGTTCCCCACCACTTTGGCGGGGGTCCCCAAGGGGTCCTAAACACATCCATGCTTGAGAACCACTGATCTTCAGCATGGACCCGACGGTGTGTTGCCCTTTAAAGAGAACGCGCAAATTGGTTTCTTCGACAGAGTTAGGTAAAACTGAAGCGTAATGAGATGGCACGTTTTTTAGTAAAAATATGAAAGGATGAGTTGACTAGAGTAAAAACATATAAAACCATTGAATTTTAGGGTGAGCTTCCACAACATTAATTTTGGCAAAATGAAGGGGATGTAATGTAAGACAGTCTTATTTCCTTTTCCTTCCACCCGCTTTTCTATCGCAAAAAATGCCATACGCTAATCAATCTCCTCGCAAAAAAAAAAAAAAAAAAAAAAAAAGAAAAAAGTTTAGCTGCACGTTTGTAGCAAAATGCTTTTTTTTTTCTGTTAGACTCAGGCGCTCATTTTTTGTACTTCAAAGTATGATGAATGCACCCTGTATGAGGCCTACGCACTATTGGGTCCAAGCTCTGTAGCATAGTATCCAAGACCTACTGCTCACGAACAACAGGACAAGTCCTTTCAGTGTTGGGCCCTTGGCCTCGACCGCACTTATCTGCACGTGACCATAGTTCGGGAGCAAGTTGCACGGTTGCTACGCCTCAGACTGCGTCACGGCGGCTCGTGACCGCTTACAATGAGAGAACCCTCAGACGCATTTTGTCGGGTAACCCCGGAAACGCTTGTGGTCCACGTAAAACTAGATTGAAGTTTCTGCTCTATTTGCGGGATCAAACCTACACATGATGGGCGAGAAATGCTCGCTTATAACATTGTCAAAATTATTTCAAACCCGCAAAAAAAACAAAAAAAAACAACACATATGGAGGTGGGAAGCAGTTCACATCTACCAGATAGATGGTGTCAGTGTGCTCTCTCATCATTAGTGGTCACTAGAGCACTATATAGCTCTTACGGAGCAGACTAGCGTAATCCTTTGAACCCCGTGTTTTGCCGACAACATGGCCGACAGAGCGGCTCGGCGCGAGTCACGTGGTACTCAGGGTTCCAGGAGGCGGCCTGCCCTATGGGAGAATACATGGAGATCGTCACAATACGGCTGATTAAAGAATGAACGGCGAGTTCACACTTTTCAAAACTAGTCTGTCGTGAATTTAGTAAAACGCTAAACACTTTATCTAAGCTTTAATAATATCGGATGCGTGTGTAAATTTCGAGAAGGCAATTTCCGAGGCAATGGCGTTTGAAGCAGACGATTTTTGCTCGCAGCGGAGATGGGCTTTTCGGGTTGGCCGGAGTGGGTCACGTGAATGGTGTGACGTCGCCGTGTCGTCTGCTGCGTGATGCTGCTCAGGCAATTTTTTAAGAAAAGTTATGTCTTTGCGTGGCACAAAACTTAGCGCAAATTATTCTAAAATGTTCCATTATTATGTCAGAAACGATTGCCATTCCGTACATCCCCACAATACTGAAGAAACAACGATTTTCTCACGTTCTCCATGCATTTCTGACCGCAGTTGGAACCTCCAGGCGTTCGCCACTAGTCGCCGGGAGACTGCGTCCTAGATTGTGCTACTCTGCTCCGAAGGAGCTATATAGTGCTCTAGTGGTCACGAGCCTTCCCAACACAGTCGCTCGAAGTGCAAATGTGCGAACCAGGCTTTAAAGGGGTACGGAAACAAAATTTTAGTGCCAATCTTTCTGCATAAATTTGGGCTAGGGACAGGCACCACCTCAGAAATACAGTGTAGACCGCATATAACGTATGTCGCGGGAGTCGCGAAAATCCGCACTATAAGCGGTACCGCGCTATAACCAAAACATCAATTTTTCAGGCCAAAATACATGCCATCAGACAACTTACCTTTGTAAAAGAATTTATTTTATGCTGGATGAAAAATAAAGCTTACTTTGAGGAGAGTCTTTATTTCACCAGACTAGTACAGTTCTGTCTCAAGTGTTTCACACATTTTGAAAGAAATGAGCGGTTTTTGCCTGGCGCAGCCTTTTAACGGCGTCGGTTGCGGACGGACGTAGCGAGCGTTCAGGATTGCTAACCCTAATCATTTTTCTCCGGAGACGAAAACGCGTGAAAATTCGCATCCTTTATACGGTACGCGCCAGTAATACCTTTAACTTGAGCACACGCATGAAATGCGCCAAATAAGAAATCCGGGTGATGTTCGAGGACACAAATGCTTAGAAATCACCACTGTAGTCGAAGTAAACAAACACGACGACACGGGCGTTTCTGCCGTCTTGAGAGCGCCGCCACGACATCGTCGCACGAGTAGGTGGATCTTCCCGTCTAGTACGTGCTGGGTTATCATAGCGACACACAGCGAAAATTCACAGTCAAGGATAGCGCTTTTACGCGATGAGATGAACGCCGTCTCATCGACGATCACAACCGACGCCATGTTCGCGGATAGAAGCAGCTGCGCGACCGGCATGCAACGCGCGCGAACACTTCTCCTCAACCAACGCAGCGGAGGGACGCACGCACGTGGACGACACGTGCGTGCGTCCCTCCGTCGCTATGGCAACTGAAGTTTCTCTCTTCGCTTCCCCCGCTTCTTCCAGCAACCTCCTTGCCCCGCGTGTGCCGCTTGCGGCCTTGCGGCTCGTCTCGCGCCGTCAGCGCCGTTATCTGGTGTCACACAGGGAAGCGTGCTCGCTGCTCCGGTCGTCGGCGCGGTTGGCGGGCTGTGCCAGAAACCGCACTATAACCGGTATTTCCCATCGCGCGCCTGCATTTTAAGCGGTATGCAATTACATAGAGTTCTATGGGAGGCGAACCGGTGGTTTAAAAAAACCGCGTTATACCCGGTCCTGCACTATAAGCGGTTACGTTGTAAGTGGTCTATACTGTATCAGTATCGCGACGTAAAACACAGAACTAATTTTAAAGCTAATTAAACGATTTCAAATTCACATCTGGTGGATGCTGGGAAAGTTCTCGTGACATCACTTGTGGCATAGGAGCAGCCGCGTTCTGTGGCAATACGGCGTGCCGGCAGAATTAGCCTAGGCCTCAACGCATTTGCAAAGCCTTGGCGGAGAAAGCCAAAGCGTAGTCGGCCACAGTGAGCTCGTTCTCGTTGCGGCTCTTTGCACGACGCGACCCGAGCATGCTTCTGGCACGGCCGATATTAGTTGCTGCGAGTCGCGAGCTGCGAGGCGACAAAAAAAAGGATATGTTTGAACTACGAGAGTGTCGGCAAGAGCCACGCAAATACCTGTTCACACTCGGAGCGGACACGCGCGTTTGATCGAAGTGCTGGATTCGCTCTGTTAGACCGCGTTTCGGTAAGCGCTTCTGGACCGATCTTTTACGATTGCAACTCGATACTGACATGACACTTGGCAAAGAAAGGTTGGACCGACATCGCGTAGCTCCCACGAACTGCTATAGCTCGACAGTGACATACTATAGCGTCGTGTCAGAATAAAAATGGCACACTAATAACAAAGTGTACATACCGTGTTGCGAAGGTAATCCGTATGGCGTTTATTTGAGCTCTATATCACACAAAACAAGGAGATAGAATCAATGAGAGTCCCTTTTCGACGACAGCGTTCGTCACCGCTGTCTCAGAAAACAAGGAGATCGAGATGACAAGGGGAAAAGATTGACCTCTGAAATTTAGTTCAGGGATCAAACTATTCATCCGGGAAGGGTCCACAAGGGTCGCGCGGGCATATTCCATTCAGCAGGCCAGCCGGTCATGGACAGACGGTCTTGGCCAAGGACCGCCGGAGCAACAGTGCGCCGAGTCGGTGTTGCTGCTAGGCGTACTACAGGGTGAAACAAGGAGACGCCAGGCTCTTTAAAGGGACACTGACAGGGTATTTATGCTCGCCGAGGTTTTTAGTTGTACGTGACATATGAGAGCTCAACTACCCAGAACAGAATTTGCGGCTCGAAATTCGGTTTCTTTCCGCCCGAAAACCACCGATCAAGAACTGGCTGGTTCGAGTCTCGCTCACTCTCTTTTTCGCGGTCACGGGCCGTTTTCTAAGGTATCGATGCGACCACCAAATTTAATCAAAGTCGTGGGTCACTGAAGGCACACACTCAATATTAAAAATAGAAAAAATTATGAAACCCATTTTTTGTGGCTTCTAAAAAGCTGTAAATACGTTGATTGAAAAAAAAAAGTTCCACAGACAACCGGAAGCATTCTGTGCGTTCGTCGTTTCGCGTATCGTGGGGCTCGCGGGGACGGCGATGGCAGCGGACGAGGGACGTGGGACCTCTATTTCAGAACTGTCATTCGCGGTATCGGCGAATTCTGTCTACCGTTAAAAAAGAAATGTGGGACTGATCAAAAGAATTGGTATTCATGCCGTACGACACGCCCGACCACCAAGCCGATTTGCACGAAGACGTCGCCGAGCCGTCGCTCCCTTCTCGTGGCTGAAAACATCGCTCGCGCAAACGTCAAGCACGACGTGTCCACTTCGAGTTGAATATGCACGCGTACGATTTCTTTACTAGGTGCGAATGTCCCCAAAGCGTGGTGCTTCCCGTCTTCGACCCGGGAGTGCTTTTGCTAGAGAAAAATCGACAGCAATTTACCGGCTGGATTATTACTAAGAAAAGAGATCCACCACTAAAGAGATGCCCCAGTAGCTCAGTGGGAAAGACGTCCGGTTCACATGCGGTAGGTCCGGGTTCGATCCCCCGTGATGCTATTTCTTTTTTAAACATTTTCCGATGTTTACATATCTTTTTATTTTTTTTACAATCATCACTGAAGAAACAAACAAAAAATAACAAACAAATGTTGTGGACAATACTTCGCTGAATTAAATGGTATGGGATTTCCGTTTTGACACCTGCGAACTCAATGTAATTACTTTCCACAAGATGCAAGGAGCATATAAATCAGGTAGCGTCCGCTTTCCGAGGTGCCCGTATATGTTCTACAGGAATTGCAGCCAGCCATTGGTCCCGATCCCGTTGATCTTTCGGAAACTCTGTCGCACAATGCCACTTTTTTTCGGATGCAAGACATGTGAGCCAGCTCTTCACGCAACATCTTGGGTGTATTCTTTTCGGAGCCAATCATGGAAATTCACCACGGGCACTCACTACTCATCTCCAACTCCTCAATGTACAAAACAACTCATCTTGGAGTACAGAACAACGAGCGGAACAAACATAACTGCAAAAGTATCGCACGGCGAGCAGTTCCCGCACGCCGCATGTCGTGTCGTCTGCTACGGAGAGGAGAAAAAAAAAAAAAAAAGACAAAAACGCACGGTTGGGTGTAGCCACGTGACTTCCGCCACTCACTCTCCCCTCTCCACTTCTCCGACCTCCGTCGGGTTTCGGTTTCGGCTTCGAGCAGTTGCGTCTTTTGGCTTTATTAAAAAAATACGCTACTCTGTTGCAAAATATTAATTGGGTAGTCCTCCGACACCATAATGAAGCGCCTGGCAAAAAATAAAAAATTTTTTTTGAGGGGTGTCAGTGTCCCTTTAAATCGACCGGAAAATTCGGTTTCCTAACCTATCGCGCTACGACTTTGTGCAGCGTTGCCCACAGATGGTGCATTTTTTTTCTGTAAAATTTGTGAAAAGCGAACTTACCTGAGGAAAAGGTAAAGAAAGAAAAAGGCTTAGCTCCTATGGAAACGCAGCGACGCCACCGGTCTGCAAACAACACGGCGCCGTTTTGCTCAGGAGACAAGAGATGGCGCAACAAACGCCGCCAACGAACGAGCATACGGCGCCGAGAGCAGGCCTTTTTAGCAGACAATCTTTTCGACTCAAAAGCGGCGCGCGTTCTGCAGGCGGCGACAGTTGCAGAAACAAAAAAGACAGGTGTGGTAACAGCAAGGAACTGCAGTTCCTTGTCTGCTAAAGGGCCGGCTCTCGGCGTCGTCTGCTTGTTCGTTGATGGCAGTTGGCGTCACGACCGCTTGCGCCATCTCTTGTCTCCCTCGCGAAAACGGCAGTGGCGTCGCTGCGTTTTCATAGGAGCTAAGCCTTTTTCTTTCTTTACTTTTTCCTCAGGTAAGTTTGCTCCACAAATTTTACAAAAAAAATGCACCATCTGTGGGCAACGCTGCACGAAGTCATAGCGCGATAGGTTAAGAAACCAAATTTTCCGGTCGATTTAAAGAGCCTGGCGTCTCCTTGTTTCACCCTGTATATTCTGCCAAGCTCGTTTGGTCGGTAGAGTCGTAGCCGTTGTAGCCCTTCTCGGGTGTTCGTGGATCCTTTGTTCTTGATCGTCTGTTTCAAGTACTCCTTCCTTTTTTCTTGCTGGTTGAAGTCGGGACACACGAGAAGAGCATGTAGAAAAATATATGTCCGTTGGTCATCGCTACCAAGTAACTGAGTGATGCTGTCGGCCGTGTTGATTCGATCGTAAAAAGTGCGTAAGACAGCTTCGGAGCTGTCGTAGGATTCTGTCGTAACCTGCGCAAAAGTTATGACAATCTTGTTTCGAGAATACGGGTTTTCCCTCAAATTTGTCGTACACACTTTTTTCGTCGCGAGTTCGCTTTTGAGAATCCGGCCTCAGAGCTGGTTTGGTCAGTGGTGCCGTGGTTGCAGACTTGCCGTGGTGCAGCGTGCGTGCAGCCCTTGCACATCTCAAACGGCCACGTTGTCACAGGTCGTAAATCGTCGACGCGCCACCAAGTGGCAACGCTCGTAACCACAACATCCACGCCGTAGCCTTTCCCGTCTGGCACAAGTGACGTCACGAATGCGCCCAATATCCCAAGACTCATCGCACTCTCCGATTGCTGGTTTTTGAGCGCACGCCCAATTGGGCCCCTCAGGATGAAAAATATAGCCATCCGTTCAAAATACAAACGCGCGATTATGATTTACGGATATCATTGATCATATTGAACCTGTTTCTGAACATAATAGGTGTATTTCAAGTTTTGCTTCAGTATCCCTTTAAACTAAAACAGAGTGTAGAACTGCGGTAACTAAAAAGACTAACATGCTTCCTGTCCCGTTGGCGGCTGCACCGATCGCACGAGCCTCGGTGTAGAATGGGTACTGACGGGCTGCATCTGACTAACACCTTTTAAAAGTCTAGTGAAATGGACTTTCCAAATGCTACGCAATAGTAGCTGTCCCCTCCTTTCCTACTTTATTCGACAAAAAGAAGAGTGCTTTTTTAAAGTTCCTCGTCTCCCACTTGCAGGGAAAGTGTTGCCCGGTGTCGCGGCCCTGTCAGATGCCTAAACGGATGCGCCCGGCGTCGTCCGTACGTTGGGTCGTTCGTCGTCCCCGTCTTTGGTGTAGCGAGGAGCGGTCGTATGCTAGGAAGTTCCTTGTCGTTTGCGTGTATTTATGCCCAATAAAAGTGTCGCTTGTGTCAAAATAAATTGTCGAGGAAGGAACTTGGCATTACTGTCGTTAAAATGTTTGGCATGCTCTGGTCGGCGTGCCTGCGTGTGGTGACCAGTGTGGCGAGTACTGTCTCGTGGACGCTTTTTCGGGTTGATATTCAAAGAGCGCGCTGGCCTACTGCGAGATATCCACGTGCGCGACAGGCAGCTGGTTTCCCTAAAGTTAGAAAAAAAAAACTAAAGGGGAGACAGTTACGCTTATGTCAAATGTATTTTATTGGCGTGGCAACAGCGAAATAATGTTTTCTCCCATACTGGAGGTGACAACATTAGAGGTGGTGGCACCCTCGTAGCCTATCAGATTAAAATTTATTGCGTGAAGACTATTGTAAACAGCTGTTTATTGTAACAGTAGTACTACCAGTTTCGGTGTAGAAAGGGTGTGGTTCTATCGATTTTCAGGAAAGACTCTTCCCGGAGTTGCTTATCTTTCCGACGCCTCCGGTGCTTGCTGCCCCTTCAGAATCTGCGAGGACCGACGCGTTCATGCCTCGTTGGGCATCCTGGCCGGCGTGGCGGTTCTGTTCGCCATCTTCTGGCTGAGACGTCAGCGGTGAAGGGATGTGCGCTAGCTCCTTTTGCCACTCTACGACATTCCACACAAACGCCCGTTCTGTAACGCAGCCTTGCTTCTGGAAGCCGTGCAGCTTCCTAGGTGCAGAATTCATGTGCACTATGTGTTGTACACGCAGCACTGCATATTGTCCACACTGTGGCAATGAAGGCATGCGAGCTTTTTATCGCATAGTGCCTGCATGTTGCATGGTAGCTAGCCCTCCAAGGTTGCTTTAGATGATCAGCTTCTGCTAAGGCTTTTGAGGACTGGATAGCAGAAATTACGAGGCATCTTAACGATAGCTGAGGACCATTTTTGGATTGCAGAGTTTAGCTTGTGAATGGCTAATGGATGGTGTGTATGGTCTACGAGTGGGCAATAAATAGGTTGTGTTCAATCGCAATGCAAGCATTTCTTTCCAAGGGAACACACCCACCCAATGTAATTTAAGAACTAAAATAACCAACATCTCTTCTGCAACAAACAATTTATTAGCACAAATGAAGAGAAATGCTCATCCCCCAAAATGGCATTGCTAACAAAGACTGTAGTTGTATATATCAAAAGCATGTGTGACAACTTATAAACAAAATGGTGTTTGCCCCCTAATAAATGCCCTCTGTATTCTGACAGTTACTAGTAGTCATCACAGTGTTTCCAAGTAACGGTATTCTTGGCTATATAGTTTTAAAACGAAAAGTTACTATACATAATCTACAATTACTTAAGTATAATCTCATCAACATGCATCACAGCTGCAGCTTGTTCTTTTAAAGTGGTCTCAATAGCAAACTGTTCCAGAACAACAAGAGCACACACACACACATTCTCCTAAAAAAAACAAAAAAAACACATACAGTAAAACCTCGTTATAACAAAATGGGATATAACAAAGCAATCATAATTCCCCTTGCTTGCTAATAGGGAAGAAATGGACATTGGCTATAACAAACTAATGGTTATAACGAAATAATTACGATCACTCCTTCAACTTTGTTATAACGAGGTTTTACTGTAGCACCATAACATGAAGGCTTTTCATTGGTACAAAACATGTAATGACTAAAAATGCAATAACTAAAATCTGGACAACAAAGCAATGAAGAAAAAAATTTCTCGCACAACGCAATCCTCTAATGAAAGACAGCTATGAGGAGCGTGCAGAGCAGATTTGCTCTGCATGCTCCTCGTAGCGGTAGAGGCGCTACACAAAAACAGCTCAAAACACTCAATGCCTTGAGGCTGGCCTGGGGCTCCCAAAGTTGGACACTCGGAGAGATCGGTAACCGCCGCAATTTGCCTGCGCTTGACCTTGGTGGATTGCAGCACGATGCTGGGCAATCGTGGTAGTTTGCGATCTCGCTGAGTGTCCAGCTTAGAGCCCCTGCTCTCTTTGAACCTCGAACGACAAACGTTTGCAGTGGTCGTATTTCAGGAATCCATCGTCTGTCAAACCTCGCTACTGCACTCGTCGGAAGCACCCCCCAAGGACTCCACTGCTGCGCCCTCGCTATCGCTCGTCGCCATTCCTTCGTCCTGCGGAGCGCCGCTCGCAACTGCCTCCGCGAAATTGGCGCCCACGTCGACGTCGTCCTCCGCGCCAAGCGCGACCCGCGCATAGTCGTCTGTGTCGATGGACTTGCAGAAGTGGATCGCATACTTGAGCTTCTCTCGGAGGACTGCGCGGCACGAGTACCGCGGCATCTTGAGTAAGAAGAAGCAGGTGTAGCTCTCCGGCAGAAAGTGGTCCGCCGGACTGTACTTGTCCAGAACCTGCAAAGACGGGACCAGAGGACTTTTGCACGAGTCCTGGGATGTGAGCGTGTGGTCTCCGCGACGTACGTGGCACATAGAGATAATCCGAAATTGGAGCGTAGCTCCCCTTCTGCTCCTCATCTTCCCCTCCTCCTTCCTTCCATCCTCCTCATCCATGCTCTCCTCTTCTCCCACAGTTTCTCCGCTAAATTTAGCTGGAAAACTGATGCCACATGACCTCAACAGCAATTCAATTCCCCACTAAATTTAGCAGGAAATTGAATTGGTGTTGAGGTTACATGACATCAATTTTCCTGCTAAATCTAGCAGAGAAACTGAAATATAGCAGCATCCGCAATATCTTTTACCACGACACAGGAGTTTGTAATGAATTCTCGTATGTTTATAGTATCATGAAACGCAATTTGCTGAGTCTGCAATCGGCAGTATCAGGTCCCATTTCAAGTGGTTTGTAGCGGACGGCCTAGTGCTATATCACTTTTTTTATAAACCTTTGCTGTCACATTTCAAAAGTTAGCCCACCCCATGTTTTTCGTCATTTATCTCTTCCTTTTGGGTGGGCATCCTAGTGGGATTTTAGGGTAAGCATTAATTTCTCACTCTGGTCCCGTCAATCTGTTGGCGGCACACAAGTGGCTCTAAAGCCCATTGATCTATAGAATTTTATCGAGGTGTATATGCAGGCTGGTGGCTTTGATCTGTCTGGTTGTGTTTCTGTCACCATCAAAACAGAGATTGAGAAAGAACTATGCCAGGGGCATATTCTTGTCTGCCAACGACTCGCGAAGGTGACAGCACCCGATAAAATACTAAAGACTGCAGGTTCCTTACTGCCATTAATATGGCAGAAATTAAACTGCGATATGAGCCACCAGATGGTACTGAACTTGCGAGGGTCTATTGTGCACTGTGCCAACCTGAAGAACAAAGTCTCGTCCACGGAAGTCTGCGATGGCCCTGGGGAGCCGAGTGCGCCCCCAGACAAAGCGGAGAAAGAGCGACCTCTCGGCATTGGTGAACTCTTCCATGACATCCCAGAACCACTGAACCAGCAGGCTGTCTGGCTCGACACCCTTGTACGTCGCCACGGCTTTTAGGAGCTGGATCGGAATGTCGGGACTGCCGCACACCTGCATAGAGCAAAGGACAGTCTCAGTAGTGGAAGGGGATTCTCAAGTGGATTTAAGAGCAGAAAGGTTGTCCTACCTACAGTGAGGAAGATAACACTGTAGAACATGGAAAGCTAAAGTATAGTTTGTATCTTGGACTGAATGAGAACAGTCCAGCCCAAAATTAAAAATTTGTTTCATAGACCCTCCTTTTTCACAGTCTCCCCATTCATTCAGCCCCAAATTAAAAATTAATTGCATTATCCCTTCTACGGAGTAACCTCGCTACTTAATCAACCAACAGTCGGAAGAATTGTTTTGTGGTACCTTTCAACGCAACGATTTTAATGTCGAAAGAATTTGCATCTTGTACTTTCGACATTGTTTATCTTGTCAAAAAGGGCAGAAAACGCATCTACTCTCTTGGAAATTTTGCAATTCTGCTGCGTAATTGCCACATAACGTTTAGGGGGACTTGTAAAAAAATAGCAAGTTGTGCAACTACCTGCTCAATAAAAGGTAGTTTTTCTTTAAATCTCGTCGTTCCAACATGAATATAAATGCGTCAAGAACCTGGTGTCATCGACAAAATTTTTATTATACGGAGTTTCAGTGGTGCCATCTATTAGAGGTCAACAAAACCCTCTATCTGCTACTGCGAAGAGCCACCAGAAGACGGACGGCTGCAGAGCCAGGTGGCGCAAGCACGTGGTTGCGAGTGGGTGAGTTCTCGCTGCTCACTGATGGCGGTAGAGCTTCACCGGAAACCTACGCGTCCCCCTTTCACGTCACAGTGCACGAGACTCGGCAGATGGTGAAGGAGTTAAGAGGTGCCAAAAACCTCAATCTTTGTCATTTTTTAAAATAAAACCTAGGACATGCAGGCTAAAGCGGTTTTTCGTTCTTTACTACAGACGGGTTGAGACACCAACTCCCTCAATTATTTAAGCAACGCACTGAAATTGTTGCACAGCTCCTTCAATCATCCCACAACGAAAAATTGTTTCATAGGGCCATGTACATGGTTACATGGCCATTCAACTAGCCCAAAATTCTAATTTTCATGGTCCCTTCCACGCGGTAACTCACCATTGTTTCCAGCTCGTAGCCGGTGAAAAGAGAGAGCATGGGAACTGGGATGACCTTGGACATGCCCTCCCTCACGGCTGCCACCTGTCTGTCAAACTCGTGCAACCTGAAACAGCGAGTTGCAACCTCTGACCCATGCCCAACTTTTCTGTGTGCCAAACGCGCAACTGCGTATTGCTAAGGCAGAGACAAAAGGGTGCCTTTTTCGCCCACAATGTGCAAAGAAGTGAAAGCGATAGCTGTAGCATGTTGGTGCAATGCGAGCAAAATGTTGTCGTCGCATGCCTGAGGACGGCACGCAACGACACCATTTTGCCCCCATTGTGCAAAAGTGCTATTGCTTTTACTTCTTCACAGACTGTCGGGAGAACCTGGCAAGGCGCAGGTTTTTCTGGTGTTGTTGAGCGGTGAAGGGCAAAGTTGACGTTCAGCAAATAACGGAGAGAGTGCAGGGAAACAAGGCTCTGTGGGAAGCCGGGTGCAAGGCAACGAGTTTTGGCAGATCATATTTTACATTACAAGTTGCATTCGAGAAGTAGAGGTGTTATAGTGAAATCGAATGCGGTGGAAATTTCTGAAACCCTCAAACATTACGTCTACCAAATGGATACTGCCAAAGTGAGATTTCGTATAATGCGAGTAATGTTTGAAAACACCTGTCTCGAAGTTATCATTAGCACACGATGCCTCCTCGTCGTAGCGTCGTTAGCGACGGGCCGTCGAGGCTCTCCCCTCTTGGCACGGAGCAACCGATGGAAACACCCGACCTCTCTCCTTGCGCCACGAAGGGAGAGAAGAAGGGTTTTTCCATTTCCGCCGCGACAACAAACGCCGACCCCAAAATCCCTGCAAGGTGTCGCGGGTTAAGCTGTCACTTTAAAAAATCACCTGGCTTAGACATTCCGTCAAATGCGACGGAGGTACAGTAGCACTTGATGGGTCCTTTAATGAGCAGCACTTGCTATTGGAATGATATGCAATGTGACACATGATGAAGGTATTACAAATGTACAAAGGACTTCACCCATGCTCCCCTTTTTGAGGGCATGGCACAATTTTCTGTGAAGCACAATCATTTTGATGTTGAAGTGCGCCTACTAGGCTATTCCACTAATACATAGTTCATACCCTATCACGTTATGCAGCCCACGTTCCTATGCAGCGGAAGGGGAGAGAAGGGAATGTTGTGCACTGTTTAGCCCCCCCCACTCAGCGCGCCACTAAGCCATTGGTCATGTGTAGTATGACATCAAACAGACAGCTGTGCTCCGTTGATCAAAAAAACCTTCTCCCATGGCCTCACTTTGGTGTGGCCAACATGAGCAAGCAAGGTCCTTGAAGGTTTCCCATATAAAGACACACAGAGCACAAGTTTGTCCGCAGGGGTTGCGGTCAAGTCGGAATGCCATTGGTTCTGATTTGAAGGACAGGGGGTAGACCTCGAGGCAGCTAGCATCGAGGTCCTTCCAATCGGAGCCAATCGGAGAGCTCATCGTTCTGACGTTGTCGCAACCCCTGTGCAAGAAGCTGGCACTGGTTCTAGCGGACCATTTCAATACAAACGTGCGCCCTGCACTGTTTCAGAGCCGTCACCTGTAGTTGATGGCAAGTCGGACGTATTCGGCGCGGTTCTCCACCGTGGTTCTCTGGTATTTCGCGCTCAGCTGCACCTCCTGGCCCGTTGCGCTGTGAGTGGCAAACGGCATGTCCAGCTTCCGGAACGCTTCTGCCTCCATGTCCCGAATGCACATCAGACCTGCAGCGAGTCGTAGTGAGATTCCATGTGACAAAAACATCCATGAAGCATTTAAACGGAGGCTGTACATATTTTAGGGCTGGCCTAATAAAGTGTCCCGAGAGGCTTAGAAAAATGTTATTTCAGCCAACGTGTGGGTTCCGAATGTCTTAAGTTTACGTGAGCATAGGAAGACGAGAAAGAAAAGATTTCAACTTACTTTGATCATTCGCATAAAGCCAACTGGCGCAGAATGCATTGTGTGTTCATGCGTCCTTGACGCAAGAACACGCAATGCCTAACGGGCAAAATGGACGCAACAGATTTAAACGGATCTAAATGGGTCGAATGTAGTATAGTTCGGGTTTGGGTCTTTATTTACAAGTGCGTTGAAGTGGCGCCGCCGAACGCGGTGGAAACTTGGCCTGGTTTGCCAATTTGAGCAGTATCTGCATAGGGTCCATTCCCATCTTGGTACCGGACTGCAGACCAGCCTACCACGTGGTAAGCCCTAACAAGAATACTACGTCGACATAAACAAAGATCAATGCGTCAGTCGGCTTTATGCAAAGTATCGAGGCAAGTTATATTTGACACGATGTCCACGTTCCCGTCAATACTTCAGGCTCGGAGAAATTTTGCGCGCAACAGATTAGAACGGAAGAGCCTCGTGCTACAGACCTGGCACGTAGTCCCTGTCGACTTCGTTGAGATCGGCCGGCGTGAGGGGGAGCCCCACCAACTGCTTCCAGACGGGCTCGGCTAGGTTGAGGCTCAGCGGGCTTCCAGTGCGGATGGCAATGCCCATCAACATGCCTGCAGCGAGAGACACCACTCAACATAATGCAGTACCTACGCAGATTGAAGATGGCGTTCCAGACAATCTTTTTATGCAACCAGAGGTATCTCGCGAGAAAAGTGCTTCGTCAGCTGCAAGGGCGGGCTTCTTTGGCAAGCTTGCCGAAAAGGTATGCTCATACTCTGCTGGTGAGGTACGTACTAGGTTTAATTATTGTAACCCAGGCAGTTTTATTTTCAAACTTTTATCATTTCAAAACTGAAGGAGCGCTGAGCGTCGGCCACGTCTACGAGCCTCGTAGACATGGCCGACGCGGGTCGCATAGCGGCAAATCTTTGAGAAACCTTTATTTTCAACAAGAGAGACTACTGATCTTGAAAATGGTGCCTATTGATAACTAATCTACTGAAAATGCATATCCAAGTGATGAGACATATAAGCTTTTGCATAAATTTAAGCTATTTTGCATTAAATTTGGGACCCGAGTTTTTGCTGACGCACACAAAAAATCCACGGAATCCTAGCCATAAACAGCTTTGCTGCAAAAAGCATGCGTGCGGGCACACAGACCGAGAGAGAGAGTGACAGAGACTGAGTTGCACATGTTAGGTTGACCTTGCATCGGCTAGCACATTGCAATCCAATTAGAATGATCATGAGAAAACCCGAAAATATTGTTATAACCAATTATCCATGTATCTGGACTAGAAAGTCAGTGTTTCTGGTCTAGCACTCTAGAAACAGAGTTATAAGCGGTGTGTCATTATATCTGGTATTGTTATAAATGACCTGCACTGTATATCCGTTTTGTCTTATACGAGCTGGCCGCTTCTTTAATGAGATTGTACCATCGCTTTGCGCACTTTGAAACAAACAAAAGAGTCACTGTCGTTAAGCAACTCTCAAACTAAGCTGGAGGTGAAAACCCCATTTCTACAGTGTAGACCGCATATAACGTATGTCGCGGGAGTCGCGAAAATCCGCACTATAAGCGGTACCGCACTATAACCAAAACATCAATTTTTCAGGCCAAAATACATGCCATGAGACAACTTTGTAAAAACAACCTTTGTAAAACAATTTATTTTATATTAGATGAAAAATAAAGCTTAGTTTGAGGAAAGTCTATTTCTCCAGGCTAGTACACTTCTCTCTCAAGTGTGTCACACATTTTGAAAGAAATGAGCGACTTTTGCCTGGCGCAGCCTTTTAACCGCGTCGCGGGTTGCGGACGGACGTTGCGAGCGTTCAGGATTGCTAACCCTAATCACTCTTCTATGGAGATAAAAACGCGTGAAAATTCGCATCCTTTATACGGTACGCGCCAGTAATACCTTGAACTTGAGCACACGCATGAAATGCGCCAAATAAGAAATCCGGGCGATGCTCGAAAACACAAATGCTTAGAAATCACCACTGCAGTCGAAGTAAACAAACACAACGACACGGGCGTTTCTGCCGTCTTGAGAGTGCCGCCACGACATCGCCGCACGAGTGGGTGGATCTTCCCTTCTAGTACGTGCTGGGTTATCACAGCGACACACAACGAAAATTCACAGTCAAGGATAGCGCCTTTACGCGGAACGATGAGCTTCCACCATGCCGTCTACGTTGACGATCTCAACCGATGCCATGTTTGTGGATAGAAGAAGCCGGCCCGCGACCGGCATGCAACGCGCGCGAACACTTCTCCTCGACTTGCGATTGGTCTGTCGTTGCGGTTGTTTCGAATGCAGCGAAGGGACACGTGCGTCCCTCCGTCGCTATGGCAACTAAAGCCTCTCTCTTCGCTTCTCCCCGCTTCTTCGACCAGCCTCCTTGCCCCGCGAGTGCCGCTTGTGGCTAGCGCCGTTATCTAGTGTCGCACAGGGAAGCGTGCTTGCTGCGCTGGTCGGTCGGCGGGTTGTTCCAGAAACCGCACTATTACCGGTATTTCCCTTCGCGCGCCTGCATTTTAAGCTCTATGGGAGGCGAACCGGTGGTTTAAAAAAGCCGCGTTATACCCGGTCCTGCACTATAAGCGGTTACGTTGTAAGTGGTCTATACTGTACCGCAGGAAAAAAATACCCGCGGGCTTTGCTTTCCCTCAGTACACAGATGCTCGGTATGAAGCGCACTCAACAGGGCCAACTCGTGGCGATCAACACTTCAAAAAGTATGAATATTGCAGTTTATCTCGAAGCGAATATCGAGTAGCGTATTATTCGAAACCACCGTTAGAAAATTCTAGTATTCTCACAACACTAATAAATCTAGTTGTATTAAAATTAACTGAGCTAAGAGCTGGACAAGTGGAAGGTTGGGAACAACCTTCGTGAGTTCAGCTGAGTTTTCGTGCCTGGTGCTGGGTAGTGAAGGCTGGGAGAAACTATTCCATATTCAATTTGGAAATATTCGGCCAAAACCACTATTCTCAAAATCCACTATTTGCACATGACGACCTATTGTTAGGAAGGCACAACCAAAGTCCACACAATGGGAAAGCTCTACTGATCAAAGTTAACTTGCACCGATGCACCTGAACAATATTCCCCAAGACTCCAAAATGATCAAAGACATTGAACTGCTTGCCTCTTTTCTATATTACTAGACTGCTCTAAATGCATAGCATTGGTAGGTCCTTTGCAATGTCAAAAGACGTTGCGGGCTCAAGTGATGTCGCAGTGTCATTCAACGTTGCAGCAGAAACGAGGACCCCGGTGTTTCCTCTCACGACCCGTCGCCGCTCCAGCCCTACGATCGGCAGCCATGTGCTGTGAACACTGCGACGTTGTCAGTGTGACGTTACCAGCATGTGAGCACGGATGCAAATCCCTAATGGCTAACCCTGTAAAGTGCTAACGCATTAAAAAAAAACAACTGCAGAAGCGGCGTACGTACCGAGGAAGTGGTACATGTTCATGTGAAGCTGCGTAGCTGCGGCCGGGTTCAGCAGGAAGCAGTCGCGGTTGGTGCCAGCCTCGTCTCTTCCGTTGGGAGTCAGGATGAGCAGTGGCAGTGAGCCGTTCTGCAGTTCGTCGCACATCTCGGCGATGGACTCGCTGTAGCCGCCTCCACAGTCGTCCACGCTCTCGCCGACAAACTTCACCTTCCAGACGCGGTGTGGCAGCAGCAGGCTTTCTTGCGTGAGCAGCGACATCTTGGACACCATCTGACCGAAGACTGACCTGGGGAGAAGGCAAAAGAAGGATGTATAGTAAATGAGTTACACCAACCAACATCAATATTTGGCGGTTTTTGGGGCTACCCAAAGTAAACACGTTTTGGGAATACCCAGGCTCTTCCTTGCATGCTATTCATATCTTGAAGTTAAAAAATAGCTATTGAGAAAAATGGAACATAAAGGTTATTCCAAAACCAACAATAAAATTTTCCTGCATTCTCCAGTGCTGCCAGTAGAGCCTCTTGGACCAAATTTACAAATTCAAGAACTTTGCGAGAAAAAGAAAATGATTGACTCGTAACATGGGTTACAAGCTCATCTATTATAAGTAAGTGCTGAACAAAGTTTGAGGCAAATAAGTGATTATCAGCATTTCGCCAGAGCTCCTGTTACCTACTAATTTAAAGGCATCCCCAAAATGTATGATGCAAACAACATAACTGCAAGCTGCAATACAGACAGAGCTGGGCTTAGGCACATATTACATACACATCGACAAGTTACGCTATCCAACTTTTTACCAACAGAGCCTGACCACATTTTTGGCAGGTAGCGAGGTAATGTTGAAGCAACTTGTTTGCTTTGAAAGGTAATGAATGTTGAAGCAACTCGTTTGCCCATCACCTTTCAATCTGTCAATGGTTCGTCAGCCAAACAGTGTTTGCAATCATTCAAAGTTTTGTTTTCGAAGACCACATTGACGCTTGTGCGAGCTATCTCGCATAAAAACTTGGTGAGGGCAGAATCGGGCCCGACAAAACTGCCACAGGTTCCGTCGATGCCTACACGAGTTTTACCGAAGGTATAGACCGTCACGAGAGTTAACCAAAAGCCAAGAAAATTTTAGATGGCCAACCAAATTTAGTTTTGATTCCCCAATACAACCTCTGCGATCTGACATTAGTAAAACTTCAAAATTACTGTTATTTCACATCGGTTGAAGTGTACGGCAAGTAAAATGACGGACTTGCATAAAAACTGCCTGGCTTCGCGTCAAATGCAATGAGGGTGCGCACCTGAGGGTGTTTTTAATGAGCAGCCCCTCCTATCGGAACGATGTGCAGCGTGACAAGTGGCGAAGGCATTGTGAATGTGTGCAGGACTTCTTCGTCCATGCTTCTTTGGGGACATTCCTCTGCAATGCATACAATCTGATTGCAAACCATGCCTACGAGATCCTTCTCCTAATACGCAGTTCCTAATACGCAGCCCTCGCTCCTACACAGAGAGGAGAGTGTTGGCGCATCGCCCCCGCTCCCCCTACTCCACATGGTGCCACGCCGTTGGTCGTGAGTACATCGAATCAACAGCTGCGTTCTCACGACCTTGCTAGGGTGCAACCAACGCCAACACGAGCAAGCAGAGTGTGTATAGAGTTCCCACATAAAGCGCTTTAAAACGCGGACCTGGTGCCGTGGGGTCCTGCCAGTCCGTTCTTGGAGCGGGACCGCTTCACTTGGATCCTGTTCAGCTCCACGACGGGACCGTGTTGTCTGTCGCGGACCATGGTGGCCTGGACCACTTTGCGGAAGGCGCTCTCCTTGCCCGATGACACCAGGAGCCCCCGCAGCCGGTCCAAGCCCTCCTGTTGGACCTCGCTCGATCCGGACAGGTCGAACATGGAGACCGACGGAGCAAACAGCTCTGAGAAGTGGTACAGGAGCGCGTAGCGGTTGCGCAGTGTTGGGACGGGAATGTCTCGCAACAAGTCGTACTCCAGCGGCACCGAGGGTGGCATCCTGCAAGTTAATGAAATTGAGGTTTAGCTTGGTGCGTGCACTGAATTCAAAACTCGCATTGAAAGCTAATATATACCATATTAATATGAGACAAAGAGAGATTCTTTATTTTGGCACCAAAGGTACAATTATAATGAGGGAGCTGGAAAGAAAACTGCCCGTTGGCAGCTTTCCGTAATGCCATGGGAATGTTTTTCCTAGACACAAGTTGAACCACCTGAGGCATGCTGTCAATGTTAGGAGTCAACCAAACTGATCGCTCGGGAAACCTAACGGATGGACGCAAGTTCGCAGAAGCCGTTGCGGAGGAAATTACTGGATCCATCTACTCTTCCATAAAACTGCACGGATGTGTCGGAGAGATAGACGATTGGAAACGTCATCTATACTTGAGATCAAGGGGTTTTGTTCATTCGGAATAATTATAACGCCACGTCAAGGTGCTACATCTGCTTGAAAAAAAAGTATCGAAATGTTAGAAGATATTTTTAACACAGAATGTGTTTTATCAGCCGATTTTCATGGATCACACAGAAAGAATAAAACACTAAAATGGTCGAAGGACAGGCACTTGCAGTTCTTTCAATGAGCAACGACACATTTATCAAGGATAATAAATGATGATGATGATTTATATGATGCCCATTGCACTATGAACACCACATTTTGGTCACAGAAGAATTGAAGGAAAGCGAAAATACTAGCAAAAGATAGCTGAATTTCAATTGAAGACAATTAAGAATTTAAGAAGAACACAAGAAGAAAAATAATGTAAAAAATATAAAGATTAAATCCCTGAAAGAGAGAAGAAAATTAAAGGAGGATTTTCCTAGGATAACTTTGGAACAAGGAATTCCAGCTCTTTTTTCGATAATGAGAACAAAGGTTCTGAAACAGCCTTGATCATAAATGCCTCAAATATGTCTCGCCCATATTTGTCTTTGTGTGAACCAAGCACTGTAGTGTTTATAGCTAGGGTTAAACATCATATAAATGTGTCGTTTCCGAAATTGGTTGTAATTTTTGAACAAGCCAGTTCTGAAACTCTGGCATCTGGTACGGATTGCTAGCGCTACATTTGGCAGCTTTGGGTAATAATCCGTTGGGGTAACTTCGTTGCTATTTTTGTAGCTTTTAACTGCAACACGCTACCTTTTCAAAATGTAACTTGTACCTGTAGTTCTATTATTTTTTCCGCAGTAATGACGAGAGTAACAACATTACTTTTCACGATTTCTTCAGCATTGAGATATGAACGAGTATGATGTAGCCATTCCTTGCACTTTTCAAATGATGAGTTCCAACATTTTGAGTGACATGTTTGCCTTGTGCCAACTTACATCAAGTTGCACTTTCTGTAATACTTTGCAAAGGGGGGCATTTTATACTTTATTTTTATTTTACTTTATGTTGTAGTAACTGTAAAAGTAACTTCATTACTTTTACCTGAAAGTAACTAAGAAATGACTTTACCCAAGACTGATATTTAGGCAGAGGCTAAGCGTTCAACGATGCACAGTTTATTTTTGTAATTAATCCTCGGATGCTAGAGGTTTTTCACAAAAGAAGGTTCCCAGTGGTCGGGTTTTGTTTCCAACGGATTAAAATTACAGGAGGACACTTAAGACGTGTAGAAATGCGAAAGCATTATAGTCCCACGGGTGAAATGTTTTTGAATAATGTTTCTACACTTATTAAAGGCTTCACAGCTTCCGCGACAAAGCATCTCTGTTGCTGTGCACATATCGAGGACAACGTCAAGGACGGCATCTAGGAGGACGACGTCAAGATTGGTGTCTAGGACAACTTCTAGGATGACACCCTAGAGATCGACGCCGGGTATGGCGCCTCAAATGACCTCTAGGACTACGCCGAGGACGACCTCTTGAAAGACCTTAAGGGGGGACATGGGTCTCTGGAGCCAAGAACACCCTAAACCCGCTTTCTTTTGAAAATAGCGATGGCTGTTGTCCTTCCGAGTTTACCAGACTTCTAATTTTGTGGATGAATATTTGGGCTATAAACCAGTTAATAATGTCTATGCGGGCTGAATGTGCTTTGAAGTTGACATTGTTTTTACAACACAAAATTTTTGGACTTGTTGAAAATTTGCAGGAGGGATATCTCAGCATCCAGAGTAGATAGAAATACATATAACCTTTCCTGAAATCTGTAGCTAAATGTACGAAGCATACAATGTTGAGAGCAGATTTTCTAATACAAGTCAATAATATTTTCTATTTTATCTTTTGTGTTATTACTTGTTAGCCATGCACTGAGCACTGAACTTCAATGTGTGGTAAAATCACTAATAATGGGTTTATCTTAAAAGTACTTCCAACATTGTATTCTTTACACTTTGTAGTATCTGGCCATGTGTTAAAAAGGATATTTCGTTGAGCAGTTTTTTTCCTATCATCCCTCCAAACAAAGGCAGGCAAGTTTTAATTATCTTGAGGACAATTCTACTGACTGAGAAAAAACGACCAGATATCTGAAATCAGCACAAAAAGTTGAACAAGCTTGTGCAGTTTCAATGGGTTCGGTCATAGAATAAGAAAAAAAGCTCCAAGACAAGTGTTCCCCCCCCTTAAGGCCGACTTTGAGGATGATGTCCTAGAGGACGATGTCAAAGACGACTTCTAGGACGACCTTAAGGACAATGCCTGGAGGACGATGTCCAGTACAACGTTGAGAACAATGCCTAGAAAACGACGTCAAAGCGTTGTCCTTGAGCATACGATTGAGCGGCGCGTGTTAATGTCAGGCCAGCGCATACCCGCGTCCCCATCTCCCACTGCGCCACCATCACTTCAGGCAGCTCCTTAGCCACTATGACGGCGTTGCTATGGAGTCACATGACGCGCCGCAGCGAATGAGAATTTATGGGCTCGTTTCGTTGTTATAGACAGTGCTGGCTTCACTCCATGGGACAGTGAATGCCCTCGCATTAAAAAAGATAAAGAATCAATGCACAGGTTCTTTTAAAATTACCTAGCAAGAGCACGTACAGCACTCGAAAACTGTTCAGGTTTAGGAGCATCGAAATGAAACATTGAAGCCACAGAGCTATAACTTATCTTTCACTCCGTTTCATTTTGGTAAGTTTGCTTCCGCGACATTCCGGCAGTTTCAGATTCCAAACCGGAGGCACCTTACAGAGCTTCTCTATTGAAAAGTAAGCTCTCGTCCTCTGAATTTAAATCTGAGAAGCGCTAAAAGTGTGATTTAGAAGAACCGGTGCTCCGTTTGCCACTACCACCAGAGCAGCCGATTCGTGAAGTGACCGTCTCGCACATATCACGTGCGCAGAGCATGAATTCCTAAACTATAAATATCCCCAGCAAAGCGAAACTGTGTGCATGTATAATGTTTATAGTTTGCCAAAGACAAAAATAAATACCAATAGCTCCCATGGTGCGTGCAGTTCTGTGCGTTCAGGTGGGCACTTTCAAAAAGTTATGGCAAACTGCTAGGCTATTGCATTGTATACCTGGAACATTCTAGCATCACAAACGTTTAGCGATACTCCGGGTTTCCAGATGCCGGACGTCTAGGTTACCGGAGCTCTGCAGCGTGCATCATGTGTGCACTTGATAGTTGCTTTCAGAATGAAGCGATACTACCGCTAATCGGGGTGATAAACCTGGCGATTTTCCAGAGGCTTCCATACTCGTGAGCTCCCCTCCCTCAATGCAGGCAGATTGTTGAGCTCCTCCTCTCCCACTTGTCAACCAGTTGGTGTCGAGCCTTGCGGTCACGCTTTTATCCGGGTTTCACGAAATGCCAAACACCTGACCAAACAATTCACGTTAATATGTAATCGCCACCGAACGTGTTCGGCGACAACCGTCAAGAGGTTATGCGAACGCGGTGCGTTTTATTTCGGGGACACCCTGCAGTTTGTTTGAGGCCCGTGTTAGCATCCCAGATGCTCCCTCACCTTCCACCGGCACCCACGGCGCCGGGATTGCACGTCGACCAGGCCACTGTGTGTGCTGACCCGCACGACACCCTGTTGATCTTCTTGCCCTGGAGCACGCTCACCAGCCGGGGCTTCTGGATGGCGTTGACGCTGCCGTCGCCCAATTGACCCTCGTCGTTGTCCCCCCAGGTGAACACTTCCCCGCTGTCCGTGCAGGCCACGCAGTGAAGCGAACCCACCGCAATGCACACCACTTTCTTGCCTTGCAAGGCGGCCACCTTCTTGGGCCTGGGCAGGGGAAGGATTCTCGTGGCATAGGCTAATTACGGTTCAAGCCTAACTAGGACAAGGTGAGGGATGTCACCAACTTGCCGTGGTTTGACTTGAACTTTTTAATCCAAAACAAATATGCATGTGTGGGATAAATTTATAAATTGAGACGAAAGAACAGAATTCCGAATGTCCCCCAAGGGGAATCGAACCCATGACCTCAAGACTGTGAGACCGACACTCAACCATTGCATCGTAGGGGATATTTGAAAGCCTTCGATAACATTTCTTTTACAAACCGACACTACTAAACTTGCAAGTAGCACGGGCAGGTAGCTTCAAATTTTGGTCCCACTGCACAAGGGCTCGCGCAGCCAAGGTAGAATTCAGCAAGAGCTTGCGCTTGTGTCCACAATTGTGCGAGGGTTCTGCAGCTTCCAACAAAGGACAGACTTCTGAAAGGAGGCTACGACACAAGTCGTAGGCTTGCTGTAACTGCAACGGTCGTCTACAATGCCTAGTGAGAGAAAGGAGTGCACAGATGAGGACATCGCTCAACAGATGCAGTGGTGCGCCGAAGCTCAGCACGTTTGTTGTGCCAGCGAGACGCCAGAAAAGAGAGAACTGCCTTTGGTTAGGCACAGGGAAGCAAGGCGGGCTAGTTCTGTTACGAGTGAGGGAACGAGGGTCATCTCAATTTAATCGCCAGAGCATTTCTTTAAAAAATTACAGGAGGACACTTAAGAGTACTTACGTGTAGGAATGCGAAAGCACTTTAGTCCTGTGCGTGAAATATTTTCGAGTTATGTTTTCTTCTAGCATTAAAGGCTTCACGGCTTCCGTGACGAAGCATTTGCATTGCTGTGCACATATCAAGGACAACGTCAAGGACGGCGTATAGAAGGACGTCGAGGACGACGTCAAGAACGACATCTGGAACGACCTTTAGGACGACGTCCTAAAGATCGACGCGAAGTACAGCATCTAGGACAGCCTCTAGGACATTATCAAGGACGGTGTCCAGGATGCCGCCGAGGATGACCTCTGAAATGACCTCAAGGACGTCAAGAATAGTGTCTAGGACGACGTTAAGGATGACGTCCTAGAGGATGACGTCAAGAACGATGTCTAGGATAACTTCTAAAACGACGTCGAGAACGATGCCTAGAGGACGACCTCAAAGGATGAACTCAAGGAAAACACCAAGGACGGCGTCATCCTTGAGCATACGACTGAGCAACGCGTGCCAACGTCCATGCTAGCGCATACCAACGTTATTAGATTAGCTCAGTTACGGAACTGCTCATAGGTGCCGCATACACGAACAGTACCCCCCCTCACTCACCACGACTCGCCAAGCGTCGCTCGTCGCGCCGCCAGACGGCTGCTTTGGTAACTGAATCAGGATACGTACGTTTCAACGTTACTAGAAACGTAAAGACCAATGGAAAAAATCTCTTTTTGTACAAACTTTTATTGGAGTTTAGTACAAAATGGGGGGAGCGCAATGTTTTCTAAAATCTTCAGTTTGCAAGGTTTTGCAGTACAATTAATATTGTTTTCATACAACCATGCCTAAGCGGCGATTTCAGGTAGCGCGTCCCGACCTAGGCTCATCTTAACTTCGGGGTCAAATTTGCGGCGCGCCCGCTGGGGACACGGGGGTGGCATCCCTGTGACTCTTTCCACTGTATCTGTTTCGGCTCCGAAATGGCCGATTGAAGCCAGAACAGATGTTACGTGCAGTTCCTCGAGTGACCGCTGCAAGATAAATGGCGGCGTTGTGATCGCCATTTGGTGCTTCAGCTGGGCTCTTCGGAACGCATAGTTATGAAACAAAAATATAGATGGCACTTCGATCGACGCTTGGCGGATTGGGGTGAGTGAGGGGGGTACCCCTCCGCGGAAGTTCCACAATTGAGGTAATCTAATAACGTTGGCGCATACCAACGTCCCTCCCTCCCGCTGCGCTGCCAGCGGTTCGGCTGCCTCCTAAGCAACAATGACGTCGTTGCTATGGAAATACATGACACGTCGCAGTCAATAGAAATTTGTGGCTCGTTCTGCTGCTACAGACAAATGCCGGTTTCGCTCCATAGGACAGTTAATGCTTTCGCATTAATAAATTTAACGAGGAACATTTTGTCGCTAAATTTAGCGGGAAGCGTTTCTCCGCCACGTTCGGCTACTTGGCTACGAAGATGACCGCACATTGGCGATCGACTGGCATTACGAGCCGGGTGCGGCCGTACCTGCGCACGTGGTCGTCGGTGCCATGGCCCAGCCGGTGGTAGTCCCCCTTGCCCCAGGTGTAGACGCTGCCCGAGGCTGTGAGGGCCACCGAGAACTGGGAGCCGCACTCCACCCGCACCACCCCGAGGCCCTGGAGCAGCTCCACCCGCAGTGGCACCTTGCAGCCGTCCGAGCCGCCCCGGCCCAGCTTGCCGTAGTCACCGTCGCCCCAGGACCAGACGCAGTCGTCCTCAGTCACACACAGCGTCTGGGCGTCCCCGCTGCCGCACGCCACGCAGCGCACCCGCCAGCCCGAGAGGGCCTCCACCTGCAAGAGAGACGAGATTCGCGAGTCTATCCAGAAACAATTGCTGCAGAAACCACTATTGTTGGTCGTCCATGAATTGTGATAGCATTCGTCTAGACAGTATTCTTAAACTCATTTGAGGGGGAGGGGGGGGGGGGGGGCCAGATAGCCCTCACCGGAAAGGTCGAGGGCCTAAGTAAAACGAGGAAGCGAGGGGGGGAAGGTTCAAAAGATTATAAAGAGACTTCTTGCTTGATGCTTTTTGTAAACTCGGTTTTGTCAGTGAGACCTTTAGATTTAGTTTGTTTACGACTACTTTGGGCCCTGGCTTGATGTGATAACAAGAGCTTAAATGATGCCACCCCACCAACATGCTGGCATTTTGAATAGAACAAGAGAGCAAGTACACTGTCTGACGATAATGATTCCTGGAGAAGGGAACAAGGGGGACAAAGGACAAACACAAATCTCCAAACACAGCTTGCATTATCATCAAGTGCACTGTCATTCCATTAATTGCATTATCATCAAGTACACTGTCATTCCTGTTGTTTAATTCACTCAGGAATTAATGAAACTCAACATGTCTCTAAAAACAATCAGTTAATTTGACAGTGATGATTTTTTTATCACAACACTCTGATGGGGATATGTTTTTAAGGTGAGAATCCCAAGCTCGTAGCTTCGTCTTTGGCAGTTGTTTCTGCTGATCGAGAGTTTGCGCAGCCAAAACGCATCCTTCAACGAATAGCTCACGCTTGCAGCACAGTAGTGGAATTGTTGAACATTACAAAAAGCGGGGAAGCAAAAAAATAAAATGAAACAAGGGGCAAATGAGTGCAGATAGGTATAAACAATGTGATTATATTAAGATAGGCCCGTCTCGGTCGTGTCCAATAAGCTCGGAGAAGCACAGAATGTGTCGCGAATGACCCAGACACATGCTGTGTGTGTGACGTCATGAAGTCATGTGATGTCAGTCACGTGATTTCATGACAATACAGGACTTCATGATCTCACATGACGTCACAATGTCACGTGACCTTGCGACACCACGAGACGCCATGGTGTCACACATTGTTACGATGTCACATGATGTAACGGTGTCACACCCTAGTGTCGGCTGATGTCACATGACCATGTGAAGTGGCATGTTTCGCGACGTTGTGTGTTTCTTGACGTTAGAGTGTCCGATGATGTCACTGTGCGACATGATGACAGTGTCGCATAAAATGATGATCTGACAGTTCCCTCTTAAGATTCGCCGCCTCTCCAGCACCACAGTCAGACAACTGCAGTGGGTAAAAAAAATGTCAAAGGTTGGCCCTATAAATCAAATTTGGGGGTTTTACGTGCCAAACCTACGACGGGCATCTGGCACGCCCCAGCGGAGGACTGAGGATTAATTTCGACCACCTGGGGATCTTTTGACGTGCAACCGAAAGCTCGGTTACACGGCGCCTTCTTCGCAATAAGCCTCCGTCATATTGCGGGCACCTCGGTCGGGATTCTTGGCTTTATAAATGTTATGCACTTAAAAAGTTCATTCGTGGTTCCTTCACAATTTATTGGAAAGGTGTAAGCAAGATGCGTGCATTCTGGAGGTGACAGAGACGTTCACAGCCAAAGCAAGCTTCACCTTCTTCGGTCTCAGCTGGTCGTCACTGTCTCCGTGGCCCAGGCGTCCATAGCGGCCCTTGCCCCAGGTGTACAGCTCACCCGAAGCGGTGATGCAAGCGCTGTGGGCTCCACCGCAGGCTACGTCCACCACCTCTTTCCCTCGCAGCAGCTCAATCACCCTCGGCCTCTCACACGAGCTGTCACGGGTTCAAGCACATCCTCCATAACTAAGCCAATCATTTTCTGTTTATTCATAAAAAAAAAGGTATATTTTGGCAATAAGTTTTTTACACAATCTCGAAACTGCAATTATTAGTAAGGAAAAAAGACTAATGGACAACTAAGAGCTCGAATTTAATTTAGAATTTGCATACAACCTTATACTGCTTCACACTTATGATAATGGGAGAGTACTTGCAAGCCCTAAACAACAAGTTGGAACATGCGCCAAAGTCAGAGTGCAGTCGAACACAGTAGTCATCCGGAGTTTTTCATTTTCTTCTGTATCCGGCTACCCGATTGCCATGTGCGATGACAAAAATTGAATTGTTCTCGAGAAAAATGTTTCTGCAATGAGGAAGCCAAGTTGCTCTTGCTTCTTTCGCAAAATTCAGCCGATAACGACCACCAGCATAATTTAGACCACCGTCATCCAGCTCTAACCTGAATAAAACAAAGACATTGTGACAAAGCATGGCAATGGACTGACTGACCAAACTGTAATGCCACGATCCAGCAACGTTAGTGTTTCTGCTGATCAAGAGCTGGTAGGACGCTTGATTCTAGGTAAGTGCCCGACGGATGTCCCAAGGGCCGTTCACACACCTGCGTTTGCTTACGACCGAGTTCTTGCAATCTTTCATGACGAGAGAAGACACTGGCACGCTGTGCCATCTATGCGGTGACCCTGCAACTTCATTTCACTAGAGCGAAGGTTCGACAATATTTCCGAGATCAAATGCACGTACCATTCATGAGAAATGGTCGTTTATAACATAGACAAAAGTTTTTCAAGTGGAAAGAAAAAATGCTGATCGAAAACAAATAGGAAATGTACGGAAATGCCAAGCTTTACATGGCTACCCGATAGATGGCGTCAGTGTGCGCCCTCGTCGTAAGAGATCGCAAAAGGTTTTAACGTGCTCAGTTGTAAGCACTCGTCTGTGAACCAACTTTAAGAAAGGAGGGTTTTGACAAAAGAGGCCCTTGCTTAGATAAAAAAATTTCCACATAGGTACAAGTGTTTTTCGGTTTTAACCAATTTTGTGTTTTTGACACCAGCAGATGTGGATCAATGTTTTTCGGTTAAAGTCTGCAGCCTATCGATAAGCCAGAAATTGAGTGTTGCCGCGCGAATCCTAAAGCTCGAAGGCCTCGAAGCGCATGGTACCTCTTGTTGCCGTGTCCCAGCTTGCCGTCGTCCCCCTCGCCCCAGGAGTAGACCTCTCCCTCGGCGGACAGGGCGAGGCAGTGTTTTCCGCCAGAGTTCACCACCACCTTCTTGATGAAGACGTGCTGCAGGCTCTCCAGCAGCGTCGGGCAGGACACCGACTCGGTGCCGCCAATGCCAAGCCGCCCTCCGGCACCGTAGCCCGTTGCATACACCTGCAGAAAATGAAAGTCCGTGCGCAAAAAAAAGTTATTATGTTGCACGTTTGTTTAGATAGTGTCTGGTGCCTCCGCTGTGGAGGAGAAATCTACAGCAGGCAGGCCAAAAAGTCCGCAATCAGTTTGATAATTCCATAAAGCAACTAAGAAATTACGATTATGACACTAAAAAAGTCGCCGTATCTGGCTGAAGCTGACGGGATAGACTCAAATAAACTGTCCTCTCACAGGAAGTTTTTTTGCCTCTCTGGTATCTTTAAGACTTCCAGTAGTTATGGTTGTGTTTGACGGCAAGAAGTTAGTCCGTCCCAATATGGGTGTCTGCTGTGTTCGCTGTAGACGAGAAATTTAGCCAGTGCAGTACAACTATGGAGCCTGGGCTCTTTGACACCACTGCACACCAGTGGCGTCAACGGGCAGGGGTGGGAACTGATGCCAGGATCCGTGGGATCTGCCATGCGAGCTTTCGCAAAACCTACTCCGAGCTGCGGCGCACTAACACGCTCGGCAACCAGTCACCCCGGTGTGCAAGGGTGGCTACAATAAAACACACATGACATAAGGAATCTTGCAAAACAAGACCTAGACTAAGCATATCAGCCTGACATCAACCGCTGACACTGCTCGATGCGTGTTGAACCAAGCAGCAGAAAAGTTTACTCTGCTGGTTGCCCAGCGACCTTCTGAGCATCTTCTTGAGTGAGGCTGGAATGATCATTCACAGAGTCTGAATGTCATGAGATTTCTTGAGTCCACACATTGGAGAAAAAACGAGACAGTGATATAACTGTCTAAAAATACTGCAGCGAAGCGACTGTATAGATATCCAAAAAACGTATAATAGATGGAAAAAACACTACTGACAATTCTAACACAGTCAAGTCAAATCATTTGACTATAGCGGATAATAATAAATGAATGGAGCTATATTATGAATACGCGCCGCAGCCAGAGAAGTTCTTGAGAAAGACGAAAACTTGGGTTTAAGAACTGATTGGTGAATCAGCTCACATCACTCCTCATACAGCGCGGCGCACGCACGATGCTCGTAGACAGGACTGCGAGCAGATTTTCAAATTACATAATGTCATTCGATTGAAGTGACATTAAATTTGCTGCGTGGCAGAGGTAAAACTAGGTGCATTCCAAGCTGGAAAATGGCAAAGGACAAACTACTAAACAAGAAGAAGCAGATATGCATGTGACAATGAAAGACGCTAAGCCATTCCAACAGTAAACTCTCAGTTTAAAAGAGAGGCTTTTGCGAGCCTCAGAATTCCAGCCGACATTTTGCCGAGAGACTACCTTCCTCGGAGCTTTCTCCTAGCAAAAGGTTGGTCGGCTCTCAGGCTTCTGGGGGCACCTTTTTCGAGTCCTTCCTACGAGCTTTGACCAACTTCCACTAACCTTCAGTTTTAGTAGTAGCCTTCAGCAGTCGTCAGTTTAAAGGCTAATACTAAAACAGACATTGGCTGTTTCTGGCATTTTGCAAAGACGTGCCAAATGCATAGCATCTATTCGCAGTCCTCCTGAAGGGCAGACTGTTTTGTGAATATATAAAGCCATCTGTGTCACGACATAGTGTCACGTGACATCACAGTATTATGTGAGATTATGGTGTCCACAGACGTCACAGAGGACCTTGAATACTATGCATTTAGAGCACCTTTGTGACGATGTCAGCGTAAAATCACGTTATAGCATCATGTGAAGTAACTGTTTTATGACAAAATCGCGGTGTCACATGACGTTGCAGTGTCACATGACATACCAATGTCACGCGATGCCGCGGTGTCATATGGCGTGACAGAGTCGTGCAATGTTGCTGTGTCCTGTGACACCAGTGTCACATGATGTCTTGGTGTCATATGACAAAAGCATCACATGACGTCATGGTATCATGCAACATCGTGGTACCATGTGATGTCATGATGTCACATGACGTCACAAAGGGCCTTGAATACTACATAGAGCGCCTTTGGGACGACGTCACAGTGTCACGTCACACTGACATCATCGAGGCTAGATCCACAAACACAAAATTCCTAAGAGCTGGTCTCATAAATGCTATTCATTTAATAGTGATCAGCCGGAAAGGTGTATGGCACGGACAAGTGGCGAGGAAAGTGGCGCCCACCTTCCCGTCGGCCGTGACGGCAAAGAGGGTCTGCTCTCCCCCGACGACCTGGGTGGGGTGCAGAATGCTCAGGGCCTCGCAGGGCGTGGGCAGCTTCACCTTGGCCCCTTCCACCCCTCCCAGCTGACCCCGGTGGTTGTGGCCCCAGCCCAGGATGGTCCCGCTGCCCCCCCACGAGAGGGTCCAGTCCTCGGGGCGCCTGCACACACCGGCGGGCCGTTAAGGGGCGACATTGGGCAACAGCTCTTACTAGTCTGCCTAAATTACAGTGTTTCCAACTGTTCCGTTGGGGCTATATAGTTGCAATACAAGATGCTAAGTTGAGCCAGCAGCCAATCATTAAACCTAATGAAAAAGATTACTGAGAAAACAATTTACATAGTGCCCTCTATGTTTGTATTCTTTTATCTTGCTGCCTAGTTCCTGTTCTTTCTTTTTCCTTAAAATACAGGTGTTTCTTTTTAAGCTTAAAGGGCAACTCTGCTTCTTTTCCAGTAGTGCAAAACTATACAGTTCTCTTTGTTATCATCTACAAAACCCCCATGGCAAATATTACGACGGAATTCCGCCTAGAAGTTCATTAAAATCGCTGTCAAAGTTTGACAAGCACGAATCCGCTGGTTTTGGATGAGACGTGCGGGCCAGACAACACTGCCCGGCTGCATTTCCGCTTCCTCCAAATTCCTTCTCCCGGCACGTCCGCGACGTCATCAAACAAGTACAGCTTCTTTTTTTTTTTCAATTTTGTTTTCTTTCCCGGGGAGAGCACGGGTGGCGCCAGCGCTGTGAAAGACGTGAGTGACGCGCTCGGCCGGCCCGGCGCTCGACTATTGATACTACTGATAAGCCGATCGCCTCGTTGAGCGCGGCTTGTGTTACATCGCATACTTTTGAACACCAAGTAAAAGAAGGAGAGGGAAGCTGCCTTTGTAAGAATTTTGAGTGACAGGTTAATCTTCTATAATCTTCTGGGAGGAGAATAGCGACGCCTGTGCTAATCCAGGAGGCACAAAGGAGGATCCTGATAAGAGAGGAGCTCCTTCTTCCCCTTGTGTATCACGTGGGTGTACTAGGGTGCGGAAACATGTAGGCACCCTAGGGTGTACATGCTTAGTGATGCCGAATATACAATGTTGTCCGGCTTTGCCACCGTTTCGGTTTCAGTTTGTGATCATGGCTAGAGTAAAATTACACGAAAAATAATTTATTTTTCGCGAAACCAAAGATTGGGGATTGTTTTTGAGTGCTTCAAAAAAAAAAATCGGCCACTATCTCAAAAATTTTGAAATTAAGCGGAGTTGCCCTTTAAGGGGCAACTCCAGTCGATATTTTCGAATTTGGGATTACGACTGTTTCCAGCTTAGGCAGTGTCCCTGAATTACGAGGTATCATTTTTTTCCCCAATAGAGAAAAAAAAATGATACCTCTGTTGTTTTGGGGACCAGGAGGGGTCCCCAAACAACAGAGGTTGAGAACCACTGCTCTAAGCTGTGGGCAACCTGGGGATCCAAGGCATTCGACCAGGTTGCCCGCACGCTAAATCGTCCATAGTCATTTCTACCGCGAGGGGGCCACGTGAGCGGTGCTCCGCCACCACTAAAAGGCCAGTGCAGCATACACGCAAGGGCTTTTGGGTTGCGGTTTGGGCGATAATGGTCAACGAATGACTACAGGTTGCTGAACCAGCGCGGTGTGTCATTCTCCGAGGCGGGTAGCAGCGAGGTCAATCCTACCAAGCCTACAGTGGCTTCAGTGCAGCCAGTTGTGCCCAAGCCATCCCTGGCCCAACAGAACCAGGAGACACAAAGGAAACTGACCTGTTCACCCAGTGAATGAGCTGCTCGTCGTGCTCCTGCCTGAAGACCGCGTGATCCTCGTGGTCTCCGGATGAGATTGCCTCGTCGTCCGCCTCTCGGTCGCCCAATAGGTCCATCTCCGAGGGCTCCATGGCCAGCTCCCTGATCCTCTGACGCACCTCCAGGCAGAAGGACGGGGGCAGGGTGGTGCGGTGCACCAGAGCCGTGGCGACCCGTGACGCGGCGCAGTAGCGCCGAAACCAGGTCCACCGGTGGCTGTCCCCGGAACAGGGCAGCGAGTCCAGTCCAAGGTCGCACGCCAGCGCTACCAGAACCTGGAGGCATCATCATGCGGGTGAATGGTCAACACCAGGGCCACTAAGTCAGACACACAGCAGGGTTTCTCAAAATTTTCTGTCTCCAGGAATGCATATTACGGCGTTAGCTGCATAGCCCCAGAGCAATGAGCAGGAGGTGCCTCTGTCAGCTGCTAGCAGCGCGGCTGGTGGCCGAAAAGGGCAAGTCTGGGAATTGGCCATGTCACTGAGTGACTGGACACGAGGGCTGCATCACGTTCCAGAATGGTGCTCGGAGATTCCAGCTCGAGATAAGGTCCAATGATAGGGGCTGAGGGCTGTCTCTTGGTTGAAAAAATACTCCACAAGATGTGTTTTGTTGTTGTTTTTTCACACTTTTTATTCGAGACTCATAAGATGGCACCACTTGTTGAACTTCATTGCCCGGTGGGTTTTGAGCTTGTTGTACTGGGCAAGCCTCGTGTCGCCTAAAGCAAACAGAGCATACAGCGCCTGCCGCACCTAATTTTAACACCAGAAGAGGGCGCCACCTGCTCGCCTTCAGTCGTCTCTTTGCTCGCCCTGGCTCTTGGGATGGAACAGATGAGCTGTTATGTGCGTGATCGACCCTGGTTCACGCGAGAACTGGTGTCTTTGCTGGTGGCTTGCCACAAGGTCCTCCAGTCGTCGTTCCCAAACAGTGACTCGATTGCCTTCGAGCTACGTCCCTATGCAGTATTCGTGCTGGTGAGATCCCGTACCATTCTGCACTCCATTGGACCTCGTGGGCGAGCGTTTTATATCCGCTCTAAACCTTTCATGCAAAGATAGGGCGGCCAAAGCCTACACCAAAGCACCGTGCAATGTCGTCGAAATAATGCACCCGCTGATGTTGTCCATTCGCATCGTGTTATGTGATCGTCCGCGCAATTTCCTTTCTTCCATGGCAGCCAAGGGACCCCTAGAGGTCTCGGCATCGATGATATAAAGCACTCCAGAAGCCTACAAACTTTGCGATTGTAACTTGTACTGCGAAAATTATGCGCCGCACAGAAAAAAGGTTTATGTCATATTGGTCTCTGCCAAAGAGCCTTTGGCAGTGTTTGGCAGAAAGGGCCTATGGCAGCAAAAGTCAGTGCTCTTTCATTCTACCCGTTCTATGCCAAAGGGCCTATTTAAGAAAATGGATAATGTTCAACATCATTAGATTCCAAATTGCATCCGAATAATTAATTTTTTAATTAGAACATTTAAAGGGATGATTTCAATCTGAGACTTTCTGGGCATCATCGAACACCACTAAATTGGTGCACTTTACAAAAACGAGGCATGCGTGGCATAATGTGTTTTTAAGCTTTCTGCCATAGTAAAATTTACTATGGCAGAAAAAGGTAGCGTAAAGGGGTGAAGTTACATTTAATTTTTAATTTCTTTAGTGCATCAATAATCTGTAACATTAATTTTCCTCCTCTTTCTATCTTCACATCATCATCCTCACTTATTATTCCGTGAAGGCCCAGGGGGCATTATACGAGGGAGTGAACACTTAAAAAAAACCAAAAAAACACAATTATATAAGCTAATGGCTGCAGAAAATTTCTTAGTGTCAGATAAGGAAACAATTACGTCAGGCAGCGAGTTCCAGTCGTCAATGGCCAATGGTACAGAAGACATCTGATGAGTGACGGGTGACGATGAAATCGGACGGAGTTTGCAAGAATGGTCGAGACGAGGGAAAATGCGGTAAGGAGGTGATAACAAACTTTGTCTAAGATGACTGCTGTAACAAAAGATCCGATGAAGAAGAGAAAGACGAGACACCCAGCGGCGGGGAGAAAGTGTGTTAAGTTTGCTGATTGGCGAAGTCCTGATATGCTTGCGTAAGGGGAATAGTCGGAATAAATAAAACGGAGGGCTCTGCTTTGAACGGATTCCAGGTTGTTAGTTAGGTACGTCTGCCACGGTGACCTTATGGAAGAAGCAAATTCTATTTTAGTTCCGACCAAGGTAGTGTAAGCTAGTTGTTTTACTGGGAATGTAGCTTGTCTGAGGTTACGGCGAAGAAATCCGAGAGTGCGGTTAGCATCGGCGATGACAGATCGTATGTAAGTGGTTCACGACAGGTGACAGATGAATTCCTAGATATTTAAACGCCCTATTTCATTTTTGTGTTCCTCGGTGAATGCATTAAACACCCAGTTGGAGTAAGCGCTCTGTCCTGCCCCCTCTTCTTTTCCTTGCTGTTTGCACTTTTGATTTTTAACAATGTACAGCCAGCTAGCCAAACATTTCATTTTGATTCAGAAAATGGTAGTTTCCAGATGGGAGATGTTCAGGGTCGTCCCGTACTGCCCTACTAGGCCTAGCCCGTGCAGGAAACCCACCTTGAAGAAGTCGCTGTGCATGAGGTGCTTGCCCCCCCTCACAATGGGGTCCTCGTACTCAAACTGACGCAGCAGGGTCTCGGGAAGGGCCTTGAGTAGGCACACCAGGGCCGTCTCACTGGGGCCCTGGAACACATTTAGAGGCACCACCTCGAGATGCCCTGTCATTACGACATATCCACGAATCCCGCGGAACAAAAAGAATATATTCCTGTTCCTCGCTGTGGTGGTTTAAACGGTCGACTATCGAGAGTTACAGAGTTTAATAACTGAACAAGACAAACAATGTAAATCTACCGACGTGCAGTAAAACCAACTGCACATGTCATGGGCATTTGCAGATGACCACAGGGAGCAACGAAGTTGACAAATAAGTTGGAGAGAAGGGCTCGCGGGTACATTGCAAGAATACTGAAAGGGCTGGGGAACAAGGACTAGAAACAAAGAGAATTGTACAGGCTCAATGATGCTGACAAAGACGAGGGACCACAGAATGTGTCCCACACAATCCATTCTCTGTGTGTGGTGTGTGCTATTTTTTATTATCCGTTTTTTCTAATTTATTTTTATACTATTTTTCTCACTTTTTAAAATTGATCTCACAATTTCCATTTCCAACGTGCCGCTCTTGCCGGCATGTCTGCATTCCAATGATACCATTTCCCCTTTCAGAGCAGCTGTGCTCGCAGCTCAGTGTCCCACTGCCAGCACACAGGACCAAGGTTTGAGCCCCGCTGGGGCGCCTCGCTTACGCTGGTATTGCATGGGCCCTTGTAAGCTTTACATATAAGCTTAGCGTCGTGGAACACTCCCAGCGTGTCGGTTCTTCATAACAATCGTTCATGACGATTTTTTCCCAGAGAACGACTCATAAACCATACTCTGTGTTTAAAGACAAACAGAGTGCTCTGCTTGTCTTCTTTTAAGCCCTTCTTCCCCGCTACTTTCAGTATTCTTGATAGAAAAGGCTGCAGGTGCTTTGAGCGCCATGCTCTTTGTTACTTTGGACACCTTAAAACATAAGCAGGCTGTAAGATATAATACTGATACATACTCTAAACAACTTAATTTTCGCGAATCGCCCACAATTCACGAAAAATAGGTCCAGCGAAAAATTCTGGAAAAATATAAGCACAAAGAAATCTATATTGAGATCTCACCGCATCGCAATACTTAGAGCCCACGAAATATTCCAAAACTTCAGCTTTGACCTAAATTGCGAAATATTGAGCCCGCAAAAAATAAGTTGTTTACAGTATTTGCATTATTGCAGCAGCTCCCAAACTGCATAATTAACAATAGCGTCATAACTGCCAAGTTCGTTCTGCCAGTCACATTCAAAGGCAGTGTGGATGCATGATATTCTTCTGTACTGACACGATAGCAATGCATAGCTCTCAAAAAGTAGTTTTTGTGAATCGTGAAAACTTGCGTGGCATAGTTGCATTTGATATGAAGGTGAACGCGCAATCGTCAACAGCTCCGTTGTCGACGCCGCCACCGCCACTACAGGACAGTCAATGATTACATGTTCATGTTCGTATAAATTGTGACTGTACAATAGAATTCGACCACCACTCCATCAACTTGAAACAAACGAGGCAAGGCACTCACGCTCGGGTTCAAGATCGTCGGCTGCTGCTCCGGAGACAGGTCGGATCCGCTGGGGCTGTGGACTAGAAGCTGGGAAACATTGAGAGTCTTTCCGACTCCGGCGGTCATCAGCTGCCTCAGCTGATGAAGCACCCACATTCTCTGCAGCGGTGCTGAAACAGAACACGTCAGACCATTGAGTCTGCATTGTGCCACACAGGACGGCCACAGGCCTGGATTCAAATCTGCATAGAAAGTGCCCATTCAAACGAAAAATATAGTCGCGCTCGCAATTACAGAGGATTTATAGTTACCAACGTTCAGTCCTAAACCCACACTGATCGGGATCATAACTGCAACAACCAGTCAAGAACACATCTCATTATGTGTCCCAAAAAAGTCTAAATTCTACCTCAGCTTGTTTATAAGTAGGGTTCTGTGTTTTTGGTAAATACCGATAAACCCCCAAAAAATTAACCGCCGAGTCGGTTTGATCAAAATTGGGAAAAACAATAAACCCAGAATTCGAGCTATCCTTGAAGGAGAAAAACTCAAGCTTTACAAGAAGAAATTTTTATATATGGCTTTGCTTCCAGCTCACTTGGAACACAACCCCCAAGAGACTGCCCTCGAAGCTGCTATTTTCTTCGGAACCACCCCAATATTTTTTCTTTTATCATCGGTACGGGGATGTTTTGCAAGTATTTGGGCCACATGTTTGTTCCTTGAATGTTGGGGAATTCAATGTCCGTGCATTATTTTCTTCAACATAAACCCCGATAATCCCAGATTTCTCGTCAACACCCAAAATTAATACCGAAAAGACCGAATCCGTGGGAAAAAATAAACCCTGAAAAAACCGCCATGAATTTGAAGAAAAATAAACACTGAAAACATGGAACCCTAATTATTAACTGGACAAGTCTGGACGCCCAATTAGCTATGCCCAGCTAGTCATATCATTAGACTAAGCATTTAGGTTAAGTAAGGCTCGTATCAAATGAAGGCACAAAAGACGCTCTCTTCATGGTAAAGACTGATCTATGGAGTGAAGGTGTGGCTATACGCTCTGTGCAGCAACTATAGAAGGCGCTTTAAAAAACGCAAGACTAGCGGAAGAGCTGGCGTTAGCTGTGGCGGTGGAAGACTCGAATGGACGGATCTTTGGTTCTTTGAGGTGTTAAGGGTGATGCTGTATTAGGGCTGAAGCAGACCTGCAAAGGTTGATCTGGCTGTTCTCCGCTTCTTATATATCCCAAGAAATAAATTTATTGTCTTCAGTACATCACAATGTACGCTGGCTTCCAACGAGAAAGTTTAGCGGATTCTAGAAGGTGTAACCACTTCACTTTTTGCACAAAATCGCACGAGGCAATGATATCCTGAAGTGAATCTTCTACGCATCCACTAAGTTTACGGTGAGAAATAAAATTCAAGATTATTTAAATCACAATTTCATTCGCACCAATTTTACCGTAATAAAATTTTCGACAAAACACCTTAAAAATGTTTTTCTTTCGACATAACAAATTTCAGAAATAAATTTTTTTTATCGCTGATTTGTAATTTGATGTTGTTCCTGCACATTTATTTTGGTTTTCATGAAAAAAGACACTAAGCAAACAAAAATGAATACCAGGCTGAAAACGAGCAAACTTGGGTGCCCTTCTGTGCTTATGGGAGAGGCGAGCTCTGTATTTTTCCTCCATTTGTTTCATCAATTATCTTACCCAAACAAATCAGAATGCAAAGAGAACAAAAACGATTATTCCACTCTGTGGAGGTGCATGACCAGCAAAGCTGTTCAGCACACGACACAGACACAAAATTTTGAGCAAAAACTGGAAAAAACCAGACAAAGGGACCGCCACCCTAGGAGAGTGGAAGGAAAGGAAACTAGGCACGCAAGCGCTTGGAACAACGAAAAAGAGAGAGCGGTGCGAGCCTCGTAGACATGGCCGACGCGGGTCGCATAGCGACAAATCTTTGAGAAACCTTTATTATCAACGAGAGAGACTACTGATCTTGAAAATGGTGCCTATTGATAACTAATCTACTGAAAATGCATATCCAAGTGATGAGACATATAAGCTTTTGCATAAATTTAAGCTTTTTTGCATTAAAATTGGGACCCGAGTTTTTGCTGACGCACACAAAAAATCCACAGAACCCTAGCCATAAACAGCTTTGCTGCAAAAAGTATGCGTGCAGGCACACAGACCGAGAGAGAGAGTGACAGAGACTGAGTTGCTCATGTTAGGTTGACCTTGCATCGGCTAGCACATTGCAATCCAATTAGAATGATCATGAGAAAACCCGAAAATATTGTTATAACCAATTATCCATGTATCTGGACTAGAAAGTCAGTGTTTCTGGTCTAGCACTCTAGAAACAGAGTTATAAGTGGTGTGTCATTATATCTGGTATTGTTATAAATGACCTGCACTGTATATCCGTTTTGTCTTATACGAGCTGGCCGCTTCTTTTATGAGATTGTACCATCGCTTTGCGCACTTTGAAACAAACAAAAGAGTCACTGTCGTTAAGCAACTCTCAAACTAAGCTGGAGGTGAAAACCCCATTTCTATATGACATTCATTTTTTTCCTTTTTTTGCTTTTTCTTTTGGTTCTGCTCAGATATTGTCACTATTTTGTTTAGAGTCAGCCTCGGAAGCAATGGCAACAGTGGCACCGCGTGCATGGAGCTCACGGAAAACAATTTGGAAGGAATGGACTGTTTCCACAAGGTCTGAGGAATGATTCCTATTTTGCTTTGCTCAAGTACAACAGCAAATAAAGCTTCCTCAATGAACAAACAAATCAAGCTCCTTTTGTTCTATGTAGTATGACGTAATTCATATACCTAAAGAAAAAAAAAGTCTTAAATTAAGCAGCACTTTACAGTAAAACTAAATTTACAATGGGCTTCTCACTGACAGTGTTTTCAGTGATTGGGCAGACTGAAGAATTAACAACAGGTTTGACTTGAGCTAGTTGGTACATATAGGATAGGGTGAGCTGAACCGTTACAACCTAGGTAAAACTGAGAGGAGAAGCAGTGTCTATGCCTTTTCCTCTCTTGGTTTTTTCTACGTTCTGACTGTTCAGCCGACCCCATCCAATATGAAGAATTAATTTCTAGTGTTTTTCAAAGATAACTAGTAAAATCAAAAAGTACTGTATTTTAGGTAAATTGATTTAAAGGGATACTTCAAATAAATTTGAAATATATCCGTCGTGTTCAAAAATAGGTTGAATAGGATCCACGATATCCGTAAATGACAATCACACTTTTGTATTTTGAGCCTGGTGGCTGTATTTTTCGTTATGAACGGCCCACTCAGGCAAGCCCTCGGAGAAGGCCCAGCGGAGAGCACGTGACATCCAACGCAATTGTGACGTAGGTCGTCTCGAGATGAGCAAAACTACGGCGAGAGTGACGTCCAGAGGATGGCCTAGCCGTTCCAGCTACCGAAGCGGCTGCTTTTGTACGAATTTTGAGTGACGGGTTAATCTTCTATAATCTTGTAGAGAGACAATAACAACTTCTCGGACACACAAAAGGGAATAGCTGGGAGAGGGGAGTCCCTCCTTCCCCTCTTCTCTCGTCGTGGCCGGAGGCGAGACACTCACCGTCACCAGCTGTCAAGGTTCCTAAACAGGCATTACGAGCGAGGCATTAGCGACATCCACCAGGTGCTCTTTGCTAATCGTTTAATTCGTTTTAAAATTCTTTTATGCGACTTTTTTAACAAGATATTGGTGTGTTCGATGTGATACTGCTCCTTTGAACACATATAGACCAAAAAATAAGCGCCAAAATTTCGTTGTAGTGTCCCTTTAAATAATACATCTTTAATTAATATTTAAATTACAGTTTTACCCCATAAAACCTTAGAATGATTTAGAACCAACTAGTCCACGGTGCATCCGATACTGGTCCGGAAATGTCACAGTATGATAAGGACGTCTTTGGAGGGCGTCTCTCCAACAAAATAAGCACTGCATACCCGCGAGAGTGGGATGGGATTCCAGTCCGTCTCATCGGTGCTAAAATAAGTAGGCATTTTTTAGGTACACAAAAATGAATACAGCGCGCGAAATGGCACAGTACAGAGCATGTCTGCTGTGCCGATACAGTGGCAGACATGACTGGGAGACCAGATTTCTTGGGCCGTACTGTGCGGGTCCATCCTCGTCGCTGCCCCATAAAACAGTGGCGAGTTGAAAAACTATGAAACTTGGTCCCCTCAAAAGACGACGCCTAACTCTCGGAGCATTTAAGGATGCAGCAGTTCATACTGTCAACCCGGTGCAGCCACACTGCTGCGACAGCAATGTGTACCAACGTACGCAGCATGGTTTCGTTTCAGCCTACCTTCGGTAAGTAATGGCCGGGTGGCGGCGCGCCGGTCATGTTGCACAGTGTATAGGAAAGTTAAAGTATGCTTGCACAATACAACCTTGCTATACTACCATGGTAAAGTCCTTCTTTTTGTTTTCAGAAAAATCTTCACTATATTTTAACTCTCAATATATCTTCACAAAGACTATATCTTTGCTATTTTATTTCTTACTACAGACACGTTCAGTAAAGGCATTTCAGGAACTGATATAGCAAGAAAAGTGACCTAACAAAACCTTTTTCCCAAAACATAGACTTTACTATACCTGGAATTACTCCAAAAGATTAGGGGAAGTTAGTCTACAACAAATTGGTCAAACAAGATTGCATCTTAATTTCTCACAGACGAGATAGAATAATGAGAATAGCAATAAAGCGCTGAACTGGGCAAGTTGAATGACATCATACACGATGGAGAAAACAACTAAAGAAGCACGGACTACAAAGAGCAGCATTGTCCTGTTTGTTCTTCTTTGTAGACCCCGTTTTTTTAGCTGTTTTCCCCATCACGTATAATGAGAGTAGCGCACACAAAAGACCACAAACGAAAGGAGCACGTGCAGTGCTGTGTGCGTGCTTCTTTCTTTCGGGGTCGCCTTTTTCCAGCAACCAGCCCGAGTTTCAGTCTTGGCAGGAGCGAGGAGGCCTCACCCAAGTAGCTGAGCTGAGCGCAGGCGGCGAGTGCAGCCGCCAAGCGAGACGCAATGGTCCGGTCGGCGCAGCTGCGAAGGTCCAGCAGGCAGACGACCAGGTCCACCGAGGGCCGCGAGAGCAGGGCCCGGTCCGAGAGGGTGTCGGCGGGGCCGCCCCCCGCGGCCACCACGGGGTGCACCGTGAAGCGCCAGCCCCAGCCGTTGACCGACCCGTCGCTGCTGAACTTCCAGTGCAGCTCGTTGCCTGGGATGCGCAGCTCGGGAGACCAGTTGGACCACTCGCGTCCTGCAAGCACCTCCGCTTGTGTTCGGCACGAACCTTGCTCACTTTCCGCCAGCTTACTGGCACTGGTGGACCCAAGTATACTCGCGCGCAGGAATGGGCAGTATTTCAAATACAAGTACGTATTTGAAATACGCATTTCAAATACTTTGTGTATTTTGCATTTGTATTTAATTACATATTCTGTAATGTATTTGACGTGTGTCTTTAAATACTAAAACGTGGGTATTTCAAATACAATTGTAATTAAATACAATTTTGTGGGCGAAAATACATCCCTCAAATTTATCGTCACTGTCCAGACCAGAAAGAAAACTATGTTCTGCACCGAATGCAGTGTCTCTCTGTCAAGCACAAGCGTTTAGTGACTTTGTGATTACGGTGCTAGTCCAGGGCAAGAATAGTGACGAAATCGACGTTCACAGGCAGACTGGCTAAATAAGTGCCTGCAACAACTTGTGATGCTTTCCAGCCTGATTTCCATCCATATTTTTGCCTGGAACATTCTAAATGCGCGGGTCGTCCAGATTTTCGTAACTGGTGCGAGTTGCAACAATAAAAAATTCTCTAGCTAGTGCTGCGCGTCTTGGTCGTTTCGGTTTTTTGTTGGTCTATACCAAAATGTTATCGACAAAAAAAGCTGCCTGAAGCTCTGTACTTTTTTTCACCTATTACGTCCAAGCTGAATACATTTTTTTGTGATTATATTTCTATTACGTTACTAGAGCCTCGCACACGAACTCCCGAGTGTGTGATGCAAAATTAAAATGAGATACCCAGAAACCCGTTGCAGGTGCCCTGAAGTCGCTGACGCAAATTTTGAGGAATGTATTTGGAAAAGTATTTGGAGGGAGACCAAATACATTTGGTTGTATATGGATCTTCTACTTAAATGCTTTTTTTGGAAATGTAATTAGATTTGTAATTAAATACATTTTTGACAAAGTATTTTGTATTTGTATTTTGGTACATATTAGCATGCATTTCGCCCATCCCTGCTTGCGCACAATGCCACTGAATGAGAAACTTCTTTGTTGCCGCATAACTTCGAGGACAAGAGCGAACATTTTCTTTCCGTTTCTCCTTCGCAAAACTCGACGACCAAGTGTGGGAACCTGCGACGTTTTGGAAATAGCCAAACCTTAATGTATGAAACTCGGCGCGCGCCCTGTGCTTTGTTAACCCCTGCATGTGGCTACTATAACTATTGTCACGGATGAAGGCGACGAGATAATGAATACTAAACTGAAAATAAAGGTTTAATCAGCGAATATTCGCGACTCCAGCGACCTATAGGGGGCGCCACCACCAAACAAACATGGCGGCTGAGTCCAGGTCGCGTCGGATCGGCCGGGCCGCCTGAACAGGTGGCGCGTTCAATTTAACAGGTTTTCTTTTGTTTAATGCCCAATTTTATAGGTATTTGAACTGAGACGGTTAAGTGTAGCCGGCGCACATAAACTTGCAAAGCATAGTTTTGTTTTCCCGGTGTTTTTTGTTCTTTTCATGTCAAACTTTCGTTTCGGAGATTTCGTTTAAAACCGAAACTATGGGCTCCGGAGAGACGGTAATATACTAATCAGTCCTGATCATCTAAGGAAAGCGGCGGTGACTACAAGATTGTTCCACCAAGAGTAATTTTCAGCTAACTCTCATGCCTCGACCATGCGACTTTTCTCCCGCGAAATCGAGCTTTTGTGCGTATCCGTGTTTAAGAAACAGCTCCAGTCGTCTGCTCGGTCAACAACACAGGCTGCAAGAAAATTACGAAAATTAAGCAAGCGCTTCTTGAGCCAAGGACCATAGTAACCCGCTGTCGCCCCACTAAGCAGCTGATGCTCGTATTTCAATTCAGGTTTTAGTAGCAATCGAGAAGTCATTTTGACGAATATGCGGGTTATGTACTATATTACGTACTATGTCCCACTAAAGCAATATTAGTATATTCTTATGGTTGAAATATGAGCTTAGTTGACTAGCTATTAGGTGAACTGCTGAATAAAAGTATATTTGAGACAAACTGAAGAGAGTCTTCATCGGAGATTCACGCAGAATCTCTCTGCATTTAACTTTGCTTCGAATCCTGAACGGAGAAAATGAGTATTTTTTGTGGCCGGTCAAGCTGAGCCATGAAGACGTATATTGCTGCTGGCTTCGACGGGGGTATAATATAAATATTGGACGCGCGATAGATCATAATGCCATGACAGCTTATAACTTTGCGAGACTCGTCCCCCACCTTTTGAAAACAGACACTTTTCCGCATTCTTCATTTGCAGCGAGCAGGTTTTCCTGAATCAAGTAATTTTGAAATCAGCCCAACTCCTTCAGTGTGGTCCAGAGACTTTTTCGGCGAAAAGCAGCCAAAATGAATAGCCAAAGCACCGACCGGCGTGGGTGGCTCAAACTTGAAGCTAACCTAACACAACCAAACTCAAGAAAAGCAGCTATCGAGCTTTCCCATTCACTTGACTGCAACATTGGTGTTCTCTCCAGTAAAACACCTCGTCTGTCATCCTCAGTCCACTGTTCTATATCCTTATAAAGAAACCACTTATCAGTTACCAAGTAGTCGTCACTTTGAATGTGATTCGAGACAGACAAGACATAAAAACGTTTTTCCGTGATTCCTCCCCATCCGAGAAATCGAAAGCACGCGACCGTGTGTTGTGGAGTAAACGGTCTTTCAAACACGTGATAGAAGGAAACAATCTACTAAGGCTTCACCACACTAATGAACACTCAGGCAAACTTAAGAAATTTTTGGACCTTCGTCAAATTAGATTGATCGCCGCCGCGCCGACAACACGTGTCCGCGAAAGCCACCTGAGACGCGGAGGGGCACGGAGCGACCTGGTCCGGCTGGTTCCCGGTTTTCCCGCTTGGTGGCGTCCGTTTTGCTGGAGTCGCGAATGTGCCAGAAGCACGAAAAGGAAGAACACACGTCGAGAAAGCAGCAGCGAGCATCAACGGCGGCAGCAGCGACCACTGCATGTAGGAATCGAACCCAGGTCTGCTGCATGGGAAGTGGACGCGTTATCACTGAGCTACACCACGGCGTTGACAAGCAGCTCTAAATTTAGGGTTAATGTATTACCCAGTGCACATTGCACATGCTCGCTGAAAATAAAAATAGCTTATAACAAAATGCCGTCATAGCACTCTCAATACCAAGAGCTTGTGCCAAGAGATGCGCTTTCACGCGCTCTAGAGCAAAAATGGAACAAAAGCGTTTGGAAAAAAGTAGAAAAAACCAAAATGTGTTAGGAACAAAATAGGCCTTCACGTTTCCCGGCGGCGCTGCGAAAAGGGACTTGTTAGGACTTGTTTTGGGTATGCCAAACTTAAGCATATCACATTGTCACACTGTAGAAGAGTCCCCCCGCTCTGGTGCGGGTCCTGATCACGAGGAAAATACAAAGAAACAACAAGAATTCAAACGCCGTCAAAGCACGGGTCAAAGCTAAGATGCTAAGAGCACGAGCCAAGAGACGCCGTTTCACGCGTTCCAAGAAAAGAAAGCATCAGCATGCCAGATATTCTGCCGTCACCACCCAGAGATAAGAGAGGCGCTGCTGGCATGAATTTGGCACTTTCAATTGTCTTTTGGTGTTAAATCTAGCCAGTTTCGGAAGCTAAACGCCGTTTTTTCCATTTTCCAGCACTACACGGAAAAAAAAAAATTAATCCCAGAGAAAGAGCCACAAATAGCGCAAGGCCCAATCAGGTGAGCTTGTACTACCCAAAATGAGGGCACTACAGTTTGTCCAAAGCTTCAGCGCAGGAGGCGTATTTTGTTTCAAACGCTTTTGTTCATGAACCCCGCAGTCCGTGAACGCGACACCAATGCCCAATGACTTCGCTGTCACGTGTCGCAGCTATTGCTGTGACTGTACTGTGGCTTAACACGGGACTTTTCAGTAATTTGGGTAACTGCCATTAGCTTATTATTTTGGGCAACTACCTAGTAAGTGGCAGCGTTAAGTTTGGGGAGCTCTGCACCACAGGCTATGCTAGGAAAACCCTACAGCATGTTTTGAAAACTTTTAGGCAGGAGAGAGCCACAGGTTTTACTAGTCATAAATTATGCAGCACAACCTTCCACTCATCAAAAAAGCTCACCTGAACGAGTGGCAACAATCCTGCCCGACCCATCCATAATCGACAGCGGATCGTTGCGGCGTTCCGTCGAGCACTGCCGGTCAAACTCCACATGTAGGCTTTCAGCTCCTGCAAGGATTTGACAGAACGCTAGCACAGAGTGAACCTTGAGGCCCTTTAAATGCTTAAGTTTTTTTTGGACCACCAGACCATGAGGTTGTGTGCATCCATCCGTAAGCACCTTCTAGCTACATTTAGTGGAACTGGGGTGTGTGTAGGTTTATACAGCCTGAACTTAGTCTGCCTCAACGGGCAACTTGTCTTTCAGCTGCAGATGAGAAATTGAGCCGCTTCAGTGCAACCACTAGCCCGGGGTCTTTAATGTGCACCACGCAGTAGTGATACACGACCGCACGCTGGTACGATGCTCATCCAGATTGCAACGGGCAGGGGTGGGGATTGAACCAAGGATCCTGGGTTCTGCAGGGCGAGCTTTTGCTCCACGTGCTCCGAGTTGGGGTGCACCAGAGCCGTATATTGGGAGAGTTTGGCCAGTGGGTGTGGCGACGAAGGCGCCGGAGAGGAGAAAAGTAAATGAAAGGGAGGAGAGTGCCGAAGGAGCGAGAGAGAAAGAAGGGAGCAGAGAGGAGACGACCGCCATTTTTTAGCAACGCTGTCGGAGACTGGTCCGAGAAGAGCAGTGCTAAGGCTACGAGTCATCTGCTACGGGCAGACTTTTTTTTCGCCTCAATAAAAGTTTTTGGCCATACGCCGAAAAATCTTCATTTATTAGCTTTTTAACTTACCGAGGAATAACAGAATGTCATTTTCTTGCCAGAGCAAGCGATATAAAAGGCAATAATCGAGATTTAGATGCCGATCCCACGCATTCCGCCGGGAGAATGATCGAAGATGGCGGCCCTCCCCACTCTGGTGGGAGCAGCCGGGAGTTCACGCGCATGCGCTCATGCCTCTCGCTCTACGCCGCGTGCTGATTGGCTCACTTGGGAGGAGAGCGCTACGGCAGCGAGATCATAGGCTGACCAAACTCTCCCCATATACGGCTCTGGGGTGCACTAGCCCAGTCGGTCACCGATCCCATCTAACTTTAGTGAAAAAACCTGATTTGCCGTATAATTCACGTTGTGTCACGCCATGCGACACCCTGTCACACGACACGATGCTGTGACGTCACGTGACACAAAACGTAACTTGACACCGTAAAGTCAAGGTGTTACGTGAGACTGCAACGTCATGCGACAGAAAACATTACAGTAATCCCTCGTTAACTCGAACTCGGCTATCTTGGAGTTTAAGTTGAAAAATTTCCTTGTCATAGAATGAACTCCCATAGGCACAATGCATTTACTTATCGCTTATATCAAAAAATTTTCTCGACCCATCTCAGATATCTCAAAATCTTGACAGCAAATATTAAAAAAAAAAAAAACAGGTTGGGCACAGCAAACAATAAACTGGTGGCCTAAACATTGGTTGAGGAAGAAACATGAGTCCAAAAACAAACACACACAAAAAAAGAAAAAGTCTCGTGTCATGAGCGCGGTAATGCACGGAGCAGCGAGCGCCTGAAGGATGTTTGTTATCTTACTTTTTGTTTCTCTCTCCCCTATACGGCTTGGCGGTCGGTGGTCTGGTGCCCGGTGTCGCTGTTGCCATCTGCCTTGCTTGCACTCAACATTATCTTCAACTCTTATTCTTTCATTATTTTTTTATTAGGCACTTCAGCTTTTTTTTTTTTTAGTTTTTGCTTTTTGGTTTTGCTGTCCCATCTTACGAGTGTTGCTGGTTAATAATTTTGTTGCAGTCATTTTGTTCAACCCGCCGCGCCTGCCGTGCGTGGGAGTCAATTGGCATGATTGTTGGAAATTTTCCATCCACACATTGCACGATCAGTGCAATGAAAATTCCATTACCTTGCTTATCGCGAAACTCTGCTTATCTCGAATGTTTTTCTGATTTTTACGATTTTGAGTTAAGGAAGGTTTACTGTACTTGACACCCCAAAGTCACGGTGTTACGCAGCACTGCAACGTCATGGGACACAGATGTCACACAACATTGATGTCACATGACGCTGCATCATGTGATGTGAAATCACATGACCACAGATCGAAAGGAGATCTCCCTTGAAGCCTGGCAGCCAGAAAGAAGACAGTTTCCATTGCAAGCCAGACAAAAAATTGTTTACCCCAAAGTCTACATCCAACAAACTTCTTCTGTCACACAAACTATGATGCAACAAACTCGGTTGTTCGAAACAAAAAAAAAGAGACTACACTTTTACCGTAACTGCCTGTCATAACAGTAAATTTAGATGCGAGTGAACCGGTCGCCTTCACTGCAAGAGATGAACACTGTACCTGAGATTCTGACGTGTCCAGTCAGAGTAGTGTCGTCGGTGTAAGGATGACTAGATTCCTGGACGACGGGCAAAGGAACCGAGCGTCGCGATTCAATGTCTGATGCCACATCCTCGAGTTCCGTGACACAAATCTCCAACAGCATTTCTGCAACCTGAGGGAGGAGGAAGAAAAAAAAAAAAGAAAGCCATTTACAACTCCCTGTAACGCCGAATTAGAGCGCAGCTCTTGAGGAGGAGTAGGGAAGGGTACTGGGGGGAGGGTAGACCCCTCCTCCCTCCTTGTCACCTCGTCATCCTGCCTGCTACTCCGCAACGGGGGCCACGTGGCCCCCGTGAGGTCACCTGTCTCCTGTGACGTCGTGGAAATCACGTGACCTCGGAAGAGGGGGGGGGGGGGGGGGGGGGGGGCAGGGTCACGTGACCTCAGGGGGTGACGTGACCTCAGGGGGTGTCACGTGACCTCACAATTACAGTAAAACCTCGTTATAACAAAATGGGATATAACAAACTAATGGATATAACAAAGCAATCATAATTCCCCTTGCTTGCTAATAGTGGGAAGAAATGAAAAGTGGCTATTCGCGACTCCGGCGACCTATAGGGGGCGCCACCACCAAACAAACATGGCGGCTGGGTCCACGTCGCGTCGGCTTGGCCGGGCCGCCTGAACGGGTGGCGCATTCAATTTAACAGATTTTCTTTTCTTTAATGCCCAATTTTAGGGGTATTTGAACTGAGACGGTTAAGTGTAGCCGGTGCACATCAACTTGCAGAGAATAGTTTTGTTTTCTCGGTGTTTTTTTGTTCTTTTCATGTCAAACTTATGTGTCGGAGATCTCGTTCAAAACCGAAACTATGGATCCGGAGAGACGGTAACAGACTCTAATCAGTTTTGATCAGCTAAGGAAAGCGCCGATGACTACAGAGTTGTCCCACCGAAAGTAATTTTCAGCTAACTCTCATGCCTCGACCATGCGACCTATCTGTCCGCGAAATTAAGCTTTTGTGCGTATCCGTGTTTAAGAAACAGCTCCAGTCGTCTGCTCCGTCAACAACACAGGCTGCAGGAAAATTACGAAAATTAAGCAAGCGCTTCTTGAGCCAAGGAGCATGTTAACCCGCTGGCGCTTCACTAAGCAGCTGACACTCGTATTTTAATTCCAGTTTTAGTAAGCAATCGAGAAGTCATTTTGACGAGCGGGTTATGTATTATGTATTACGTAGTACAGTATAGACCACTTACAACGTAACCGCTTATAGTGCAGGACCGGGTATAACGCGGTTTTTTTAAACCACCGGTTCGTCTCCCGTAGAACTCCATGTAATTACATACCGCTTAAAATGCAGGCGCGCGAAGGGAAATACCGGTTATAGTGCGGTTTCTGGCACAGCCCGCCGGCCACGCCGACGACCGGAGCAGCGAGCGCGCTTCCCTGTGCGACACTAGAGAACGGCGCTGACGGCGCGAGCCGCAAGCGTTGCGCAAGCGGCACTCGCGGGGCAAGGAGGGTGCTCGAAGAAGCGGGAGAAGCGAAGAGAGAGGCTTCAGTTGCCCTAGCGACGGAGGGACGCACGCACGTGTCGTTCACGTGCGTGCGTCCCTCCGCTGCGTTGGAAACAAACAACCGCAGCGACAGACCAATCGCAGGTCGAGGAGAAGTGTTGCGCGCGTTACATGCCGGTCGCGGGCCGGCTGCTTCTATCCGCAAACACGGCGTCGTGTGTGATCGTCGTCGTAGACGGCGTTCATCTCATCGTTCCGCGTAAAAGCGCTATCCTTGACTGTGAATTTTCGTTGTGTGTCGCCGGTGTCGCTATGATAACCCAGCACGTACTAGAAGGGAAGATCCACCTACTCGTGTGGCGATGTTGCGGCGGCACTCTCAAGACGGCAGAAACGCCCGTGTCGTCGTGTTTGCTTACTTCGACTACAGTGGTGATTTCTAAGCATTTGTGTCCTCGAACATCGCCCGGATTTCTTATTTGGCGCATTTCATGCGTGCGCTCAAGTTCAAGGTATTACTGGCGCGTACCGTGTGAAGGATGCGAATTTTCACGTGTTTTCATCTCCGGAGAAAAGTGATTAGGGTTAGCAATCCTGAACGCTCTCAACGTCCGTCCGCAACCCGCGACGCCGTTAAAAGGCTGCGCCAGGCAAAAGCTGCTCATTTCTTTCAAAATGTGTAACACACTTGAGACAGAACTGTACTAGTCAGGTGAAATAAAGACTTTCCTCAAACTAAGCTTTATTTTTCATCTAACATAAAATAAATTCTTTTCACAAGTGTAAGTTGGCTCATGGCATGTATTTTGGCCTGAAAAATTGATGTTTTGGTTATAGTGCGGTACCGCTTATAGTGCGGATTTTCGCGACTCCCGCGACATACGTTATATGCGGTCTACACTGTAGTTAGTACTATGTCCCACTAAAGCGATATCAGTACAGTATAGACCACTTACAACGTAACCGCTTATAGTGCAGGACCGGGTATAACGCGGTTTTTTTAAACCACCGGTTCACCTCCCATAGAACTCCATGTAATTACATACCGCTTAAAATGCAGGCGCGCAAAGGGAAATACCGGTTATAGTACGGTTTTTTGCACAGCCCGCCGACCGCGCCGACGACCGGAGCAGCGAGCTCGCTTCCCTGTGCGACACTAGATAACGGCGCTGACGGCGCGAGCCGCAAACTGCACTCGCGGGGCAAGGAGGTTGCTGGAAAACGCGGGGAGAAGCGAAGAGAGAGGCTTCAGTTGCCATAGCGACGGAGGGACGCACGCACGAGTCGTTCACATGCGTGCGTCCCTCCGCTGCATTGGAAACAAAGAAACAAACAACCGCAACGACAGACCAATCCCAGGTCGAGGAGAAGTGTTCGCGCGCGTTGCATGCCGGTCGCGGGCATCGGTTGTGATCGTCGTCGTAGACAGCATGCATCTCATCGTTCTGCGTAAAAGCGCTATCCTTGACTGTGAATTTTCGTTGTGTGTCGCTATAACCCAGCACATACTAGATGGGAAGATCCACCTACTCGTGCGGCGATGTCGTGGCGGCGCTCTCAAGACGGCAGAAACGCCCGTGTCGTCGTGTTTGTTTACTTCGACTACAGTGGTGATTTCTAAGCATTTGTGTCCTCGAACATCGCCCGGATTTCTTATTTGGTGCATTTCATGCGTGTGCTCAAGTTCAAGGTATTACTGGCGCGTACCGTATGAAGGATGCGAATTTTCAAGCGTTTTCATCTCCGGAGAAAAGTGATTAGGGTTAGCAATCCTGAACGCTCGCGACGTCCGTCCGCAACCCGCGACGCCGTTAAAAGGCTGCGCCAGGCAAAAGCCGCTAATTTCTTTTAAAATGTGTGACACACTTGAGACGTAACTGTACTAGTCTATTGAAATAAAGACTTTCCTCAAACTAAGCTTATTTTTTCATCTAACATAAAATAAATTCTTTTACAAAGGTAAGTTGTCTGATGGCATGTATTTTGGCCTGAAAAATTGATGTTTTGGTTATAGTGCGGTACCGCTTATAGTGCGGGTTTTCGCGACTCCCGAGACATACGTTATATGCGGTCTACACTGTATATTCTTCGGGTTGAAATATGAGCTTAGCTGACTAGCTATTAAGTGAACTGCTGAATAAAAGTATATTTGACAGACAGAGAGATACTACTTAAACTTAGCCAAATGGTTCTAGCCAGTAGCACGAAGACGAATGCAAACAAACTGAAGAGAGTTTTCATGGGAGATTCACGCAGAACCTCTCTGCATTGAACTTAACTTCGTATCCTGAATGGAGAAAATGAGTATTTTTTTGTGGCCCGTCAACCTGAGCAATGTAGACGTATATTGCTGCTGGCTTCGACGGGGGTATAATATAAATATTGGAGGCGCGATAGATCATAATGCCATGACAGCTTATAACTTTGCGAGACTCGTCCCCCACCTTTTGAAAACAGACACTTTTCCGCATTCTTCATTTGCAGCGAGCAGGTTTCCCTGAACCAAGTAATGGCAAAATCAGCCCGACTCCTTCAGTGTGATCCAGATGAGCTTTTTCGGCGAAAAGCAGCCAAGATGAATAGCCAACGCACCGATTGGCGTAAGTGACTGAAACTTGAAGCTAATCGAACACAACCGAACTCAAGAAAAGCAGCTATCGAACCTTCCCATTCACTTGACTGCAACATTGGTGTTCCCTCCAGTGAAACACCTCGTCTGTCGTCCTCTGTCCACTTTTCTACATCCTTACAAGGAAACCACTTATCAGTTACCAAGTAGTCGTCACTTCGAATGTGATTCGAGACAGACAAGAAATCAAAACTTTTTCCCGTGATTCCTCCCCATCCAAGAAATTGAAAGCACGCGACCGTGTGTTGTGGAGTGAACGGGCTTTCAAATACGTGATGGAAGGAAACAATCTACAGATGCTTCACCACACTAATGAACACTCGGGCAAACTTTAGAAATTTTCGGATCGTTGTCAAATTACACTGTTCGCCACCGCGCCGACAACACCAGTCCGCGAAAGCCACCAAAGACGCGGAGGGGCGCGGAGCGACCTGGACTGGCTGGTTCCCGGTTTTCCCGCTTGGCGGCGTCCGTTTTGCTGGAGTTGCGAATAACAAACTAATGGTCATAACGAAATAATTACGACCGCTCCTTCAACATTGTTATAACAAGGTTTGACTTACGCCGACGGTGACGCCGCTCAAGCCGGAAATGGGCGCATAAGGGGGGACACTACCCAACAGGGTTAAGTTTTTAACCTATGGCTTAATATGAATGAAATTTAGAGTATATAGTGGAAGTTGCAAGGCAGAATGCAGTGCAAAGTTTCAACACTGTACACATCGCGACACTGTTAGCGCGAACACGACATCGGCGCATTTTCGCATTGTACTTGTAAATAGCATTTGCGAGCACGAAAGTTTATCGCTTATATTATAGAACTAAGTGAGCTCTTTCCGTATCAATAATACTTGGATGACATCCCTTGGTTTCAAAGAGAAAAACTGGAAAAACCGGCGATCGCTTGTTCGTGCTAACAGTGTCGCGCTCTGTACATGAGTTGTAAAATAACTTGTAGTCATTTTTATCAGGAACACACCGACTTTGTTTTGGAAAACTATCGTTAGGAAACTAATGTAATACCGAACAAATTCCCACTCTAGATCTGCAGCAGAATGCCTAGAAAATGCAGCTGCGAAAAGAAAATTTCCAAAAAGGAATTTACTTCATTCTAACATTGCAGTGAAAAATTAAATAAATTTTTTTGCCTTTTATGGTCAAGCACAAAATCTTAACATCTTTTATAAAAGACATTCACAAAGTCAAAAACAATTCCATAGTTCCACTGCCCATAAAATTCCACTTAGGAAAAGCAATAAGCGAGTCTTTCCTCTTGTCCCGTTAACAAACGATAGTTTTCCTAAAATGAAATTTATGCCAAAATGTGGAACGGAGAAAAATGTGTTCAAAGTGTTCACACCCCTAGCTTTTCTTTAGCTTCAATGAACCGAAAATAATTTATAAAAAATTAACTATGTGGTGTAAACTAATGAAACCTTCTGGAAATACTCTCCAGGTGCTGATGGATGTAAATATGACATTTTTCAAAATCAACTTTTTTTGCAGAAAATTTTTTTTTCTGGGTAGTGTCTCCCCATAACAGCTGCACTCTAAAATGCGCTCTCTCAAAAGAAAGAAAGAAAATGATGTTGAATGGGGCGAAGCTCTGGTGGTGCTTGTCTGCGTAGACGCTGAGCCGCAGCATGCCGAGCCTTTCATTCGTTTTCATCCATGTCAGAAAGAGAATGTGTGGTATGGAACGTGGTTATATATGCATTTGAGCATTTGACCGCAGCGCCCTCTCATCTATAAACGTTGAGCCAATGCATGCAAAGTTTAACGCGATTATATACGTATTTGACCGCAGCGCCCTCTCCTGTATAGAAGTTGAGCGGCTACATGCAACGTTTTATCCATGACATCCCCAGCTCTTGAGTTACTACCACATCTCAGAGCCCCCTACTCGTCCTGCGGTAGTGGCCGAGTGGTTAAGGCGATGGACTAGAAATCCATTGGGGTCTCCCCGCACAGGTTCGAATCCTGTCGACTGCGCAAACATTTTTTATTTTTTTTAAATTGTTTGCCCTACATGAGCATGTGAGCACGTGAGCTCACGAGCACGAGCACCAGCAAGATCGATGTGAGCACGGACGCCGGACGGACAAGGCTAGACCCTAAGGAGCTTCGCCCCTAAAAAAAGAAAGAAGAAAAATTGCTTTTGTTTTTAAAATTTAAGCACATCTCGATCATACCCACCACACACGAATTTGCAGAAAATGCGTTCTGAATGAGCTGGGCACAAGCTGTGTGTGTTTTTATGGAACTCTAACATCACAATGTCATGGTGTGATGTGACAACAAGGTGTCACATAACATCATGACATCTTGCGACACCATGACACCATGCGACATCATGATATCACCATTACGTCGTGACTTCACATGACGCACGGTGTCACGTAACATCATGGTGTCACAATGCCATGTGACACCCTCAAGTCAAAGTCGTACAAATGAAATAGCCCCTATGGGACTACAGTAATACCTCATTAACTCAAACACGGCTATCTCAAAATAATGGTTGAGTCGTAAAATTTCCTTGTCATCAAATGAGCTCCCATAGACACAATGCATTTTGCCCTTGCTTATCTCGAAAGGTTTTCAGGACGGACTTTGGATATCACGAAATCTCGTCAGCGAAAATCGCAAAAAACCCCACAAAAAACAACTAAAAATGCCCCCCCCCCCCCAAAAATGCGCGGCATGCAAAAAAAAAAAGAAGGCGCATGCGCAAAAAAAGAAAAAAAAAGAAGGGAAGAAAACGTGCAAACGCAAGAAAACAAAACAAAAAGATAACTGCGAGTGCAGAGAGGATGTGCGATGAGACTCAAAACGTTTGTTGTCTTATTTTCTTTTTCAATTTTTTGTTTGTTTTTACGACTTCTATTTGGACAAGCTAATCGCAAGCCGAGATGCTTGGTGTCCCGTGCCCCCTTTCCCTCGAGCGTTTTGTTCCTCTCTGTCTCTTGTTTTCTCTTTGCTTCTGGATTCTTCCGTTCGCTTCCCAGTCGGTGGTCGTCAGTCTCGTGTTTCGCAGAGGCATCTCGTCCGTTTCGAGTGTCCCTACTCTTTGTTGCTTGTCCACCATTTTTTAAAATTTTTTTTTGTGTGTTTCGGTCGTTTTGCGGCGCTATGCGAGCGAGGGTCAAGTGTTCAATTCGGTCATCGGTTGTGAATTCTCTGATGTTGGCGCGTGGCTCGATTGACCAAGAAGAAGGCGCAGTCCAAACAGTGCAAATAATTGACGCTTGAGAGGAAAGTTGCTCTCATCAGAGAAGTTGATGTTGCCGCAATTGTTAGAAGTTTTACTTAGAACATTGCGCAATCAGAGGTAAAAAAATTTTGGTACTTTGCTTATCTCGAAATTTCGTTTATCTTGAATTTTTCCCGTTTTTATGACTTCGAGTTAATGAGGTATTACGGTATAATGCTTGTATGACCTTGACCTGCGCGTCAATCGAGCATAAATGCTCAAGAGTAACACGTTTCTTTTCTCGGGAACCCCAGCCCTAGAACAGATGTTAAAACATTTTAGAGGTAACAAAACAAGAATCACCTGAGGGTTTTCAAGAGCCATTGCCTTGAGCACATCAGCAATGGCTTCTTTGGCCGCGTCGCCGGCACGAGCTGCCACCGCCAGCTTCAACAGGTCTACCAGCGCACGGGCATCTTCGGCAGTCAGCCCGCTGGTGAACTCGTCCAGCAACGAGTTTGCGGCTTCGGGCTCTGCCGGCGTCACCTGAGAAACGAAAAAGTGGGAGCATTTCTTGTGATACAAAAGTCTTGAGATCTCATAGCACAAACTAGAGTCGCTAGAAAGCTACAGTCAGATTATCGGCCCTCTCTTCCCACACTGTCCGATGCCGCCAAAATGGTCGTTCGTTTACATGCGTAAACGAACGACCATCTTGGTTTACACCTGTTTACATGCCAGTGGCTTGTGGACTTAGAGCCGCACAGCTGCCATTTGCAATTCAGTTATGGTTCTGCGACGCAACCTTTTGAGAAGCAGATATGGTGTTCATTCGAAGATCACCACAGCATCATTTTTCTCTATAGTGAGCTGTTTTAGCAAGCAGGACCGGCAAAAAGCACTTTTTGCATCTTTCGTCGGGCACGCAAGCAAAAGCTGGTGACGTCTGATAACATTGTTTCAATGCACCAATATGGTGATACAGTCGAAGCTCGTTATGTCGACTCCCGTTATTTCGATCATCGCGTTAATTCGATCCTTCCGTTTAGCACCGTCAGAAATGTACAGGCTTCAATAGGCAGAAAACCCCGGTATTTCGATCTGATAAATATCCCCAACCCGATAATTCGTCCCGGGAGCCAGCATCTTCGTAACCGGGAAATATTTTTTAAGCTAACACTATAAGCTCAAAGGTTAAAACGGCGCCTCAGAACACAACACGCGTCCCTACCCATATTGGCAAACAGCCGTTGCAGCGAGCCCGCGCCTGATTGCGACACCTCCACAGACGCGCGATGCCCGTCGGCGCCCCCGACGCCTCGAGCCAGCGCGCGCTCCGCGAAAGGGCGCCCGCGCAGACAGGCGCCCTTTCGCCGGCGCATCGCGCCGGAGAAAGGGCCGATTTGATTAGTCGAGATAAGACCCAGTCAGAGCGCACCGGCCCGATCACGTGGGGAGGCGCGCGGAAGGAGACGGGAGCAACGAGAGGGAAATGAGTGAGCGATGAAGTGAGAAAGAACGTCGGGAGGATGGAGAAGGAGACTGGAGAAAAAATGAGCGAGCGATGAAGAGGGACCGCGCTGTCACGCGGTTCCTGGTTTCTGTTCTTTGGAGTGCGCGGCGTTTAACGCTCATACCGGAAAATGTCGAAAGAAAAGCGAGGAAAGTACTCTTCGAATGATTTAAAAACAAAAGTTCACATACTCAACGAAGTTAGGGAGGGAAAATTGTCCAGAAAAGAAATTGCCAAAAAGTATGACCTCAAGAAAAGCACACTTGCTACCTACATTAGGAATGAAGCAGCAATCGTGAAAGCTTTTGAAGAAGAGCAATTTGTGAATTCAAGAAAACGCCTTCGCAGTGCAGCCCATCCAGAACTCGAAGAAGCCGTTTACAAATGGGTGACAGAAGAACGCACAACCTTCCGATGACTGGAGACATGATTCGCGCAAAGGCTCAACAGTTCAGCGAACGTTTGGGCATCGAGGGATTCCGTGCTTCCGAGGGATGGCTCGCAAGATTCAGGGAGAGGCACTCTCTTATTTTTAAGCACGTGTGTGGTGAAAGAGCCGATGTGGATGAAGATTTGTGTGAAAACTGGAAGACGTCGGAGCTCGCACGTATTCTTGCGGAGTATGCGCCCGAGGACATATTCAATTGCGACGAAACGGCGTTGTTTTTCAAAGCTCTCCCCGACAAAACGATAACGTTCAAAGGCGATCCTTGCACTGGGGGAAAACGCAGTGCTCGTGGCAGCCAACATGATAGGCACGGAACGTCTGCCACTTTTCGTGATCGGGAAATCCAAGATGCCACGATGCTTTCGGAACATCCCGCGGCTTCCAACGGACTACCGTTTCAACAAAAAAGCTGGATGACACGTGCGATCTTTCAAGGTTGGCTTCAAAAATTGAACCGCCAGTTCGCGTCCAAGGGGCGCAAGGTCGTGTTAGTAGCGGACAACTGCAGTGCACACACAAAAATGCCAGAGCTGTCTATGATCCGCCTGATTTTCCTTCCACCCGCAACCACCTCACTCTTGCAACCAATGGATCAAGGAATAATCAAACACCTGAAAGGCTTGTACCGCAAGCATCTCATAGCAAGAATATTGCTTTGTCTGGACCAGGGTAAGCGCTATGAAGTCACTCTGTTGGCGGCGATTCATATGCTTGTTAAAGCTTGGACGGACATGCCAAGCCAGGTCATTGCGAACTGCCTTCGTCACTGTGGTTTCTCGTGTGATGGAAATACCGTGAGTTCGACAACTACATCGGTTACTACGTCTACATCGGCAACTGCATCGGCTACAACATCGGCAACCACAATTGAAGATGAAAACTTTGACGAAGAGTGCAGTGCTCTAATGTTCGCCCTACCCGAAAACGTTAGTTTCGATGATTACGTTGCCATAGATAATGAAGTGCTTGTGTACGGTCAATTGACTGACGACGAAATCATAGCATCGGTTCAGCATCCCGAGGGTCAGGAGGACGACAGCTGCGAGAGTGACGCCGAAGAGCCGCTGCCACGTCCATCTCCTGCCGAAGCATCCGCTGCGCTCGATGTACTTGCGAACTTCGCAACGTTTGAAGACACCGACGGGACGATGTGGCCGCACATTGAGGATATGCGGAAATTTGTTTTTGCGAAGCGTCTGACGGGAATGCGGCAGCAGAAAATATCGGCGTTTTTTTCTAAATAAAACTCCGTCGTCGCGGTTGGCTTTTCGCCGCTTCTCGTGACGTACGTCGTTACTCGTTTTTGATCGATATTCAATAATTCGACTCTTCAATAATTCGATCTATTTTCGAGGAACCGTCAGAGTCGAATAAACGAGCTTCGACTGTATATACCACACCGATGGTGATAGTTACAAAAAGTATGAAAGGAAGGAAAACTGGCTTAGAAGGGCAAGGGAAGAAATCATACTTTTGTTTGTTTTTGGATTCTAGGCTTAGTGACGCAAGCTACCGCCCGTTATAAAGGGTACGGCCGTTATGATTCTATTTGTCCGTGGCTGAAGCGTAGTTACCTTGTTCACTTCACGTGCAGCTTATGAAGTGGCTATAGTGCAAACAACTCAAGAAAATTTTGACGGACAGCACAATGTTCCCACCTGCTCCGAGGAAGAGAAGGTGGCTGCAAAGACGCTGGCAGCCGCAGATGACATCCGAGACGACAGGCTTCCGGAGCTCGGAAGCGAAGGCACCGACGACATCATCTCGGCCACGCGTGGGTCGTTCTCCTCCGTCAGTGTAGGTGCCTCCCGCAGGTCGGGTTTCCCTCGACTCCGGTCGTCCTTTGGCGCGTGAAAAGATGAGCGGCAATTAGTGAAAAAGACGACAACACAAGGTTCAGGTCGAGGAACAAGCAGAACAAGGTTTCAGTGGCAAAGTTTCTTGACAGCTAGGAATGCAGTAGGAGTTTGTTCGACAGTCGTGCTGACGTATTGGCCCCGCTTTTGGTTTCGAACAGAAATTGTGGAATGATCTGCAGAGAAAATGCTCAATGCCCTTTGGTTAGTTGGAGATCACGGAAGCCAGCAAATACTACGTGTGACCAGGGTGCCACAAACCTGCTTACTTCCTGCAATTCACATGACCACCAAAGGGTCTTAGTAAACCTTTTCTCATTCATTTAATTAGTTTAGTATTAAGAGGTGTTAGACGGCTGCATTCTGGTGTCTTCTTAGAAAATACGATTTTGGTCATTAAAGGACCACTCCGCTTCATTCTTGTTTTTAAAAAAAACAAACAATGTAGTTCTCTTCAGTCTTCCCTAGACAGAACTAGGTCATAATATTTGACGTGTGGTCATCTCAGGGTAGGAAGATTACATGTCAAATATTATGACCTTGTTCTAATTGATTCTTAAACAGTCCGGCAGACTTTAGAGTATGCCAAGTTGCCGAAATCGTATGACTCTAGCGGGACAATTGAGGTGCAATCAACAGCGCAGTCAAGGCTACGGTCTTGGCGTAGCCAACATTGAACTAAACGTCATCAACATAGCTACTTCTTGTCTGTTTTTGCTTCTCCGGGCTAGCATAACAGGGGACGTCAGCAGCGTCTCCTCTCAGCATTGGCCGAGAGGAGACGCTGCTGTTTTATAAAAGTTATTTAAAAAAAAGAATGATCGGTCAGTTTTGGAAAGGGGGGGGGCTTTAGGTTTATATTTACTGCAGCAACACGCTCATTGGCATGAAATGTTTGCAGGCTTGTGTTGGACAAACGGAAAGTCGAAGCAGCAACCGACCCGAGCCTGACTCCTTCCCGGAGGCGGACTGTCCAGAGATGGAGCGAGGTGGGGATCGCTGGAACCGGCCAGAGTCCTCCCGGAGTCGGGCCGGTGTAGCAGGATGTTGTCGCCCTGGCTCGCTTCGGTCGAATGAGGTCGACAAGCCAAGCCTGCCACTCCAGTGTGAGGCAGCAGTGCACTCACCACCATCTCCCTGTAGCCAAGTGAGAAAACAAAATAAATTTTAAGGATATCTTGAGCATACTCTTAGTTTACTTGAGGCACGTTTCAGGACCACGCACCTTACGAGCAGTACGAATTTGGTCAGACATAAATGGTAGAAAGGGTCGACAAAATCAATTGGCTGGCCCTCTCAACCCCCTCGCTTTTCCGAGCAAAGGTTGAGCTGTAATTCTGCCGAGTTAAGCAGTCAGCTGCACTGATTTTTGCATTGCTGCCAAGAACTGAAAAAGTGCTTGGCAGGGACGTGAAGGTACCATGAAAAATTGTGTTGAAAAGAGAAACAAACCATACTTTAGTTTGAAATTAAATGCCATGTCCGACATACCAATTTAGTTGAAGTACATATCCTTCAGTGCACTTTTTTAATATACTTGAAGTATGAAAGCTACAAATAGAAAGCGAAGAGCACGTTGGAAATCCGAAACAAAACATTCAAGGGAGAGACTTGCAACTTCAACACCTAGTTGCAAGAGATCCAGACCCTGTTGTCCACTTCTTTAAATGTTTTATTCCTCCAGGCTTTACTAAGAACTAACTGACCAACCATTCAATTATTATTTATTTATTAATAAATTTATTATTAAGGAAAGTAACTAAACCAAACTAAGGTCTCTTGATAAAATTACCTTTTTGCGTTTCATAGAAATATGGACAACTACTGTTGCGCGAATGGGTTAGACACGGGTTAGAAGTGAGCGCTGCACCGCCATTTGCTTCACCACTTGTAAGACAAACACATTGAGGGACTCTGACACAGACCTGCAAACTCTCGAATCCTCGAAAGATGCATTCTCACCTCGCGTGCACGATCTGAAGAGCCTGCAGCACCTGGTGCAGCGCCTGCTGCTTGGCTTCAACGCCTTCGAGCGACAGCACAATCTTTGTCAGTGAGGGCCTGCCCGCCTTGCCTCGCTTTGCATGGCCAACCAACGTGGCACCCCGCGAGGAATCTTCGGATGTGGACTCCCCGCCCACTTTCACCGGAACATCCGGAGAACCTTGTGACAAACATCATGGAACAAGGGGTTGCAAATACTGACACAACCACTCAAACTGGACATTCCTTTATTTGTACAGCAATTATAGGGCTAGCTCTTAGAGCCTTTGTGTCCATCCTTGGGATGTAGCCTCCATGACGTCACGACACCACGACGTCCAGTGATGCCGTGACGTGACGTTGTAACGTCGCGTCCTGTGACACCGCGACGTCACGCGGCACTGCAACATCACGTGACCTGACGTAAGGTCACTTTCCTGATCGTCATGCGACACTGCAAGATCGTGCGACTTGATGCAACATCACGTGTTCACACGCTTTTGTGACGCTCACGTGACATTGCAACGTCATGTGACACTGCAACATCGTTGGATACGACGTTATATCACATGGTCACACGCTTTTCTGATAGGAATTGCCACTTTTCTTCGAAGGAAAAAACGGCCATGCCGAAGGTGGGGGGGGGGGTTAGGGGGGATTGAACTGGTAAAAAGAAAAACACAGTGTTGACGGTTGTTAATATAGAAATTCAATTTATTTTTACTCGAGCTTCCCAAAGTTAACTCAATTAACATACAATAATACAATAGCACATGTAAGTACTTGAATACGCAACAGTGAACTCAATAGCATGCATAATAACCATTTAGTCAAAAGTAAAGTGCCAAAAACAAATCCCACAGCTCCACTCATCCTGCGCAGCAGGTATGAGTAAGCACTCAGGAAACCATTTCTATTTTGCACTTTGACACACACAGGCTACAATTTTGCTACAGATGTTTCCCAAAGACAGCCGGTGCATGTTTCAGCATATCTTCATGTTCAGGCAATAAATCCAAAAAAGTGCCAGATAAAAAAAAAACAAAAAACGATAAAAGTTAAAAACAAAACAAGAAATAATTTTTAAAACCTTTTTTTACATACATGGACGTATGTGACTGAAAAGAAAGCAAGCAAAAAAGCAGGAAAGGAACAGCAAACGCCGCGGCCACCCACCTCCGTTGACGGGCGATAGCACCACGCGTATTTGTCAGGGAGCCAACAATTGTTAAAAGTTGTAAAACCATTCCACCCCCTTTTCCGGAAGGCACAGACAGCTATCAGGAAGACAGGGCAGCTCTGTGTGGAAGCTGCATGTTTCCTGCACTCTCCCAGGCGCCGGCCTTCTGTTTTCTCCCATTTTCCTCTCTCATTTGCCCGTTTGCTGCCGCACCCACTTGGACATTTTGAACGATGCAGTCGTTTCTCAAGCAAGCTTGCTCATGTGTCCTCTGTACTTGGGAGTCCTCAACGAAATTCTGTGTACTTTGTGTAAAAAAATATAAAAAAATTCTTTGACAAGCATTTTTCGTGGTAGTTTTTTTTCTTTGACTAGAATAGATTTATACCCCCCTCCCCCAAAGAAAAAAAAAGGTTGTTGCATAGGTGTATTATACTGCAGAAATGTCCGTAGAACTATGTGTGGGTGGCACAAGAAACGAGAGGCAGGAAAGGGTAACACTTTGCCGAGTCGCGCTTGAGAGTCACGTGAACTGCCCGTGCCGCAGAGGTGCGAGCTCGGCTGCTCAGCCGCTGTGCAGAGAGATGAGCGAAGGTTGTGAAATCATGGCTGCCAGAGCAGCACCTATCGCCATTTTATTCAGACAGGACCACATCGCGTTGAAGCGAGCGAACAAGCAAGCCAGCAGAGAAGAAATTGCTGCAGAAACCACTATTGTTGGTTGTCTATGAATTGCGATAGCATTCGTCTATTGGACAACCTCAAGGACGACGTTCTATACTCTGTGTCACTAGTTGTGTGCAGTGCAGGCAAAGGCAACGCCAGGCAAAGAGAGAAAGGATGAGCACTAGGAATGTGGGACAAGAGAGGAGGGCAATGAAGGGCGAGGGGAGAAAAAGAGCACGAGGAACGTTAAAGATAAGAGGAGGAATTTCTCCTCCTCCCCAGCCTTCCTAGTGCTTGCCTTTCTCCCCTCCCCTGGCATTGCCTTCGCCTGTACTGCATGCAACTAGTGACATGGAATATACGGACGACATCAAAGACGTCTAGGGCGACCTCTAAGGTGATCTCTAGGACGACCTCTAGGATAACCTCAAAGACGACGCTGAGGATGACTTTAAGAACTTCTAAGACGACCTTGAGGATGACCTCTAGGACAATGTCAAAGACGACCTCTAGGACGACATCAAAGATGACATCTAGGACAACATCTAGGACGACCTCTAGGATGACGTCAAGGTCGTCAGGCCTTTCGAAGAGGGCGTGAATGTGAAGGAGTGTGAGAATGTGAGCTGAAGTGGTCTACTGTGCATACCTACTGTGCATTAGGAGGCCAGAGAGTATAAGAAATCCGGGGGGTTTCTTATACTAAAAGCTAAAAAACGATTAAAAGGGCGCGCGTGGGCACTGCGCGGTTCTCAGCAGCAGGAACGGCGCGCCGTCAGGGAGTGCGACGATTCAAATCTGTCGGCGCCTCTGTGTTATTTGTGTGACGTCCCTTCCGTGACCAAGTTTTCGTGACATCAATCTCATAATTTTGCACCCCCTTCCATGCACGGAGAAAGAAGTTGTTCTATGTAAATAAAAAGATGCGCATGAATATTTGAAAAAAAAACAAAAAAACAACTGGCAACTGACGGCTGGTTTTAGATACAGACCGGCAACCGGCCTGCCATCCAAAAAAAACGACCGCGCTGATTGAAAACCATGCGGGTGCCAACCTTTTTTTTCTGATGGTCACGCGACACTGACTCCATAGTGTGGTCACGTGTCGTCGGCTGACACTATGATGTGCTAATGCATTTAGAGTGCCTTTGGGACAAAGCCGCCACAACTTCCAAACACTAATTGACCCGTTCAACACATTGCTTCGACACGCTCGCCTCGACTTTCCCAGCAAATGAGAAGAAAGGCGGAGGCGGACTAACCGAGGGCGCACGCTCCGAGGGGGTCCTTGGCGACGGCAAACAGCACGGGGTCGTGTCCCTGCACCCTGGCAGTCTCGGAGGTGGTCCAGGCGACACTGTGGGACGACCCGCAGGCAACCCTGGTGACTTTGACGCCCTCCAGGCCGTGCACGAGGGCGGGCTTGCGGTTCACCGTCGTGTTCCCGTTGCCCTGTTGTCCGTGGTCGTTGTCTCCCCAGGCGTACACCTGCGCAGAATGTGTGCCCCGGTCGGAATGGTCCAGTTCATTTTTCGATGCAAAGCATTTCTGGGGTCAGCTCTTAGCGGTTTTGTGTTTGTAGGATACAGCCTCGATAGAGAAGAGGGGAGATGAGCCTCGGTGAAAGGGAGGCATCCCAGTAAACTTAGCCCATGGAGTTCACGTGTTCAGTTGGGGAACCCTTGCAGTATGGGGCATGGGCCGAGAATAAAGAAGCTCGTCACCTGTCCCTGATCCGTCACGGCCAGACAGTGGAGTGCTCCGACGGACACGTGAATCACTTTCTTTCCTTGGAGGCCCTCCACGAGCTGTGGCTTCCGCACGTGCGCATCCGATCCGTGGCCCAGCCTGAAGTAGTCTCCCTTTCCCCTGCGTGCAGGGATGTCCTTCATTGGAAACTCCCCCTTGGCAACACCCCTCTGACTTCCTTGCCTGATACTTTTTAAAATGCCCCGTGGTTAGTCACACCATACAGTTCAGTTCCTCTTTAACTCAACTTTTTTACACCTTTTCTACTCCCTTTTGATACCCTTCATTTTTAAACATCAAATGCTTAGGTCGTATTTTTCTTTTAATGGCAAATCAATTTTTTGGGGGGCTTGGGGAGGGAAGCGATTTTGATGTCGTGTGATGTCACATGACACTCAAACATGTCACAAAACGACGTGATGTTACGACACCCAAACACGATGTCACAGTCACGACACCCAAATGTAACATCACAGGGCCCCATGACATCATAATCTCACAATGTCATGCGGCATCATGATGTCATATGGCATTGCATGTGACACCAATGTGACATTACAGTCACATGATGTCGATGTCACGTGACATCTTGGTGTCCTGCAATGTCAGACGCGAAATTTATTAGGTAATGTAAATGATGCACCTATGGGTAAACATTGAATACGTGACCTTGACTTGTGTGTTGGTCGAGCCCAGATCTACAATGGGTTAAGGGGGAACGCATGCATTGAAAAACGAAAAATGGTGAAAAAACTTTTTTAGAAAATATATACATTTGGGTTGTTTGTTCTATAAACTATCTCCGATTTAATTGTCAGCCCCTACTTCATAAAAAATACCGTATTTGCACGAATATAACGCGACCACGAATATAACGCGAGGGCAGTTTTTGATGCCCCCAAAAAGAAAAAAAAATATTATTACTATTATAACGCGAACCGATGCCGCGTCAATTTCTCGCACTCGGGGGCATAGCAGAAGTGAAAAGTCAATGGAAATGGAAGAAATATCAGTTTATGTTTTGACTGCACTCATCCTCACTGCTCAGGTCCTTCCGTTTACAATCCACTTGGCGACTACGCACCTGCTTGTCTGGTAGTTCTTTTTTCTTCCGTGGGAACTCCTCGGCAGCCCACAATCCAAACAAGGCGCGGAAGCAGAAGCACCAACACACAAACACCAGACCACTCTGGAGCAGAAACTAAACAATGCGCTGGCAGAAAAAAGACTGCTGAACCCGATACACGATCACACTTCTTGTTCTGGTCCCTCTTCGTAAACAAATGCCTCGTGTTGCACGATTGCGTAAACGCGGTCGGTGGTCTTGGCTTGGCTTGTGTTGATTTGACTTGGCCCGGCTTGGCTTGGCTCGAATTAACCGGTGCCCGCATTCCCGCGCGCGTGCAGCGTGCGCGCGTTGTAAAAACACAAAAGCGATAGAAATGCTTTTTTATGTTTTCTATTCGCCCCTTCACGTGGCCCAATGGCTAGAAAATGCCCCTCCACACCCCCACTTCTTTTTCCATTGGATCTTTTGCATTGACCCGGAGGGATGACTTTCTCCTCTGGCTTTCTCCAGACTCGCGCGCCTCGTGGCTGAACTTGATTCCGAATATAACGCGAGGTGCGTTTTGGAGCACGTAATTTCGGAAAAAAACTCGCGTTATATTCGTGCAAATACGGTAATGTTAAAAGGTTAATTACAAAGCCGCGATAGCTTCCAAATGGTTGTCAAAATGCAAAACCAAGCCCACCCTCACACGATCCGCGCTCCCATTCCTTTTGGCCAAAGGCCGCCATCTTGGTCTAGTTTTGGAGCCGAATTCTTTCTCTTCCTTATGCTGGCTTTGAAAACAGCATTGTCCGCGTGGTCGCGACAAGGTCGGTGGTTTGTCCTCTCGCAATCGCAAAACTGCGATTGGTCAAGCGAACATTCCTCGAAATCCACGAGAGCCTTTGGTCGCGACGCATGCCGACCAAAAGCAAATTGACGCCTTAAATTTGATGGATGTAGGTATGACAAAAAACATAAAATTCAATATTGCACAAAATGTTTTTGTAAAGATAATATTAAAAATGGCTTTGTCTTGCCCTGGGGTATCTATCCAGAAATCATGACAACAAATTTCACACTGCCCCTATTTTTTGCGAATTCTCCAGGCCCGGAACAATAGAAGCACATGAACAATTATGATGAACCCCCATAACTCGAGTCCTAGCAGTCACAGGACCATGAAACTTAGCAGTTACTCTTGTGCTAGTGTTATGAACATACCCTGAAAATTTCATTGATATAAAAAGAAATAGAGCCCTTCCACTTCCCGTGAAGATGGAGGACCAGCGAAGCTGTTATTTTACGTCTAGGACGATGCCTAGAGGACAACGTCGAGGACGACCTCAAGGACGACATTTAGGATGGCCTTGAGGACAATGCCTGGAAGACGATGTCTAGGACGACATCAAGGACGACTTCTAGGACGACCTCAAGGACAACTTTTAGGATGACCTCAAGGATGATGTCTAGGACGACCTCAGGGATGAACTCGAGGACGACGCATGAGGACGACCTCTCGAACGACCTCTAAGATGACCTTGAGAACGACTTCTAGGACGACGCCTAGGACAACCTCGAGGACGATGCCTAGAGATGATAACAAAGGATCAGGACTTCACTATTTAATTATGCCAGGGAAGGCTGACCCACGCTGATTGCCCCCCTTTTATTTTTATATATTCATTTTTGCCACGACCAATGGGGAGTTTTCTGTCAACATCTGCAGACACAGTTTTCCCAGATCCTAGCACATAACAGCTTCGCTGCAAAAAGTTTGTTTTGGGGCCTACGTCCTTTCTTAAGAGGGCGGCCCAGGGGCCCCGGCCGTACCAGGTCCAGACTTGTCCCGCCCGGGTGAGGGCAAGCGAGAACTGGGCCCCACACTCCACTTGGCAGACGCCCAGGCCATTGAGACGTTCGACGTTGTGGGGCACGCTGCAGCCCTCGCTGCCCCCGCGCCCCAGCTTGCCAAAGTCCCCGTCGCCCCACGAGAAGACCTGGCCCTCGTCGGAGAGCGCCAGCGTCTGGGCGTCCCGGCTGCCGCACGCCACCTGCACGATCCGGTGGCCCGCCAGGGCGGACACCTGCACGGGCGACAATTTGCACCACTCGTACCCCTCACAAAGTATCTGATCAAAAACTAAATTTCTAAAAAGAAGGTTTGCTGCTGTATTTTGATTTCAATCAAACCGCTGTATGTAGAATCGCTGCATATTCTACAAGCATCGCGGTCATTCTCTTTTGCTTCTTTTTCTCTTGATGTTGCAGAGAATGCACGGTTGCAGAGACTGAGGTTGAGAGCATTGCGTGGGGCGACTCCTCATAAGACCCCTTTGACGGTAGAGTCTGTTTTCCAGAGATGTACTATCCCAGTGGTCAGGTTTTCTTTCCAAAAAATAGAGCATTAAGAAAATAAGAAATACAGTTTTTTTTAAAAATTATCTAGCGAAGGGGTTTTTAAACTGGGTTCCACAAGCTGGTCTCATGGGTTCCGCGAGCATCCAAATTGCCGTTCCCCCTTCTGGTTTAACCTTTCACGGACTGAGCCATGGATTGTGTTGGTGTTGTGGGCAATCTCACCCTTCACACTATAGTCGGTTGCAAGCTAAGAAAAAACCGGAAATGCCTCTCAGAGGAAAATGTAATCCTACGCCGAGAAACGCCAGCCAATCGTTTTCATGACGTCACAATTCCGTGGACCAATCGCAATCCTTTCGAAAAAAAAAAAAAGCTCAACATGGCTGCTGGCCTTAGCAACGCGACGCTAGCTTCTCGTGACAATTATTCTGCTTTTTTGCACCGTGTTTTACGTGCCCGAGGTTACGCCACGAAATCTTAATGGTATCAGCTTGCGTTTGCAGCAGTTTTTGCACGACAACGTGAGAATCCAGCGACGCTATCGCCAACGAAAATTTCGAAGCGGGCGCAAGGCTTAGCACTGCTGAGAGCTGGAAGACGGCATGTTAGACAGTAGGTCTGTTCGATTTGGCCAGAAAGTTCTGAACTAGTTCTGTCCGAGTTCAGAGGAGTGCAGGAGTTGTGCAGCGGCGGCGCAGAACCAGTGCAGCCACCGCGCTAGGACTGGCGCTGTGATCGGCTTTCCGAGCGGAAGCGCAGCTGGTGTCGTCTGCATCTGTTGGCTCTTGTTTCTGAACGCCAAGTTGTATGCTATACTTATTTGTTTGTGGGCTGATGAGACAATTCGTGTTTCCTTAGTTTTAAAGTATAATAAAGGAACCTTTTTTGTGATTATTTTTGATTCGCGTGTACTAAAAACGTTTTCTGCACGAAATGTGTTTCTGTCTGTATTTTTAACGGCCGTTCGGTTCCCCTCATTTCCATAACCGTTCGTGTCCTTCACATTCATTTAGCAATAGTAGATTCATTCCTAGTCTCTCGAGTCTCGCATTTCTACGATATGTTCGCAGCATCGGGATGATTTTGCGTCGGGAATCACTGGCGGCAGCGCGCGGTCGATAGCGGTCACCTCGAAGACGAAGGCCTGACGATAGCGTTTTGGCCAATACAGTTATCGACCGTAACTTTGGCGTCAAGCTAAAGCGTTTTTGCTGATTCTCAAGAAAGAACTGCATGGAACTACCAAGCCAATGCCGGTTCTCAGCGTCCTTTTTCCCAGGCGCGTTAGTGGGCGTCCAGGGCATGGGAGGGCCAATGTACTAAATCCCAGACCTCTGCAATCTATTGGAGTCGTCAGTACGCATCCAAGAGCAACTGAAGGCGGGGACTATCAAGAGCCCAATACCTTTCCCGTGTCGGTAAGGAAGAATATCAACACTGTGCATCCCCACATAGCATCAAAAACAAACAATTTACGTGATCCAGTATTTCAACACTTACCCCAGAGAGCAAAATTTACACGAGCAGGTGCCTAAAACGCTTTCAGAATATCATAATCAATCAAATTCCTTATGATCTCAATTCCGCGTCCACCGCGGGTACGTTATTATCATAATTGGGAGGAAATGCAACGTCCGTATCAGCGTTATTGTTAAACATCGCAGACATTTGAGCAAGAGCAGCGGGAAATGGCACCGCGAGCGGAGACGGACGAGGAGTGTCGTCTGCTATCGCTGTCTGCTCTTGTCGTCTGCTTCTGCACGGACGCTGAACTGACTCTGGAGCCGGTGCAAGATTATGAGGAACTGGGTCTGAACTCGTTCAGAACTGGGATGAATCGAACGCGCCAGTGCAGCGGCCGGGCAACTTCCGGTTGAATCGAATGCACCAGTTCCTGCACTGCTGAACTAGTTCAGCCAGTTCAGGCGAATCGAACAGACCTAGTATCTTGGACAGAAAATGAATTGGGAAGACGGTACATTGTACATGACTTTCTTTCTTTACTAAACAGCTATTTCGTTGACAAAAACGTATTCTAACTTATTTAAATGTCCTGAATGAATTAAATAAATATTGTAGTAGTTTAAGACACGTTTCCTGGAGGAAGAAAAAGCAACGTTGCTAGCGAACTACTTTCTCGACGGTGGAGGCACTTCAGATGGGCGCAATGCGCTTGTGGGTGGAGCTAAAAGATTGTTCTTAGCTTGCAACCGACTATAATATGTACCTATATAGGTTATACATTTTACATAGTGCCCCAGGTTCACCCCTCTGCCTTCTTACTCGGTCTGTAGTCCTCTGTTTTGTCTCATTCTGTCATTGCAATAAACTTTTGTTCACTACCTAAACACCTTTATTGCCCAGTATTATCGGTTGGCAACAAGAGAGGGGGGTTCCATCAAACTTTTTGAGGCTTGCTAAAGTTCCCTGGGATCAAAACGTTTGAGAACCCCTGATCTAGCAGAAGCACATATGATGCTTGCAAGCTGCTTAGGCGTAGAAGCATCAAATTAAAATATTTAAGGCAAAAATTTGTAACCTTTCTTCCGCTCCGTTTTATTTTGGCGCGTCCGCTTTCACGACATTCCAGCGGCCTCGGATTCCTAATCGGAGGTAGTTTAACGAACTTCTCCGTTGTGAAAGCGACAAGTTTTCTTCTTCGTGCGTGAGACGAGACGAACTTGCACCGTATCGGAGGGAAACGACGATCTTTCAGGTTACCTGGACATTTCCAAGTACAAGACAAAGTCGCCGCGGCAGCCCATAGTGAACTCTTTTCCACCGAAAAAAGTAAAGAAAAAAAAACTGTAAGCTTTCAGTCTGACTGGTATAGGTTATTTCCTTGGCTAGAATACAGCACCCAAGTTGATTCCGTTTTTTGATATCCCAGTAGAATGTTCTCTACCAAAGCGAATGAGATATCCACGTTTGGCAGCTGTGGCTACAGTTATCGGAAAAAAGCTCTGGACAAAGAATCTGGCTTTAGAAAGCACGAAACCTCAGTCACGCATAAGTCATGTCAAGATTCGTGGGCTTCCTACATAGAAATGAAGTCGAGAGGACCAGGCGAGTGAAGCGAACAAGTTTGAATTTTGAAAACGCACTGCGATCCTCCTCGTGGTTTTTCCGCTGACGAACTTGCGCACGTCCGAGATAACATTTTTTTTTAATGACACATTCGTTTAGAGTTTGCCATTTTTTAAAAAATAATCTGGATATTCACTGCGACAAACTAGACGTCATAAAAATAATGAGGTTCCTATTATACTCAATGGGATTAATTACAAAAGAAACAAAAGAGGGACATTTTAAGTACACGAGAGAGAGAATATGGATTAAATGATATCCAATGAAAACGTTTGATCTAAGTTCTATTGGATGATGCCTATATTCAGCGCTAAGCCCTCCACGATTGCGTAAGTATACTTTAGGTGAGAATTCTGCTCGTCAGCAGAAAGATTATTTATGAAGGAAGCTTCCCACAAATGTAAAATTAATTATTTCTCTCCCAGATCCATTACTCCTTCTTAGTCTGGGGTACTACTACGAATACAAATTTAAACAAAATACTTGTAATACAAAAGAAAATATTGCGAAGTATTTGTAACGTGTCATACGATCACTCTAGCGAACCTCTCTTTAAACATTTGAATTTGATGCCTGTAAATAGATTATATAAATATCGTTTATGCATGACCTATAAATCAGAAGTGCAAACAAATCTTCATGCCCTTAGTGAATCGGCGTCTCTCTCGCTAAGAGTAGCAACATATCCTACTCGAAACACGGAAATTTGGACGCTCCCTGTTTGCAAAACTAACTGCGGTGAACAAATGTTAAAATATGCACTTCCTCGAGTGCTTAATTTTCCTGTTACTCACAACATTAATCTTCCGACAACATCTGTAAAAAATATCCGAGAATTTTTTTTCTTTTCCAAATGTGATTGCTTAGTTGTCATGTTTCATAACCTAAATTTTTGCTGAATTGAATAATTGCTTTGCTTGCATGTGCTTTGATTTTGTTTGCCTCTTATATAGTCGCACCTTTTTTGTAATACAGTATAGACCACTTACAACGTAACCGCTTATAGTGCAGGACAGGGTATAACGCGGTTTTTTAAACCACCAGTTCACCTCCCATAGAACTCCATGTAATTACATACCGCTTAACATGCAGGCGCGCGAAGGGAAATACCGGTTATAGTGCGGTTTTTGGCACAGCCCGCCGACCACGCCGACGACCGGAGCAGCGAGCTCGCTTCCCTGTGCGACACTAGATAACGGTGCTGACGGCGCGAGCCGCAAACTGCACTCGCGGGGCAAGGAGGTTGCTCAAAAACGCGGGGAGAAGCGAAGAGAGAGGCTTCAGTTGCCATAGCGACGGAGGGACGCACGCACGAGTCGTTCATGTGCGTGCGTCCCTCTGCTGCGTTGGAAACAAAGAAACAAACAACCGCAACGACAGACCAATCGGAGGTCGAGGAGAAGTGTTCGCGCGCGTTGCATGCCGTTCGCGGGCCGGATGGCGTCGGTTGTGATCGTCGTCGTAGACGGCGTGCATCTCATCGTTCTGCGTAAAAGCGCTATCCTTGACTCTGAATTTTCGTTGTGTGTCGCTATGATAACCCAGCACGTACTAAAAGGGAAGATCCACCTACTCGTGCGGCGATGTCGTGGCGGCGCTCTCAAGACGGCAGAAACGCCCGTGTCGTCGTGTTTGTTTACTTCGACTACAGTGGTGATTTCTAAGCATTTGTGTCCTCGAACATCGCCCGGATTTCTTATTTGGCGCATTTCATGCGTGTGCTCAAGTTCAAGGTATTACTGGCGCGTACCGTATGAAGGATGCGAATTTTCACGCGTTTTCATCTTCGGAGAAAAGTGATTAGGGTTAGCAATCCTGAACGCTCGCAACGACCGTCCGCAACCCGCGACGCCGTTAAGGGGGGACACTACCCAGAAAAAACAATTTCTGCAAAAAAAAGTTGATTTTGAAAAATGTCATATTTACATCCACCAACATCTAGAGAGTATTCCCAGAAAGTTTCATTAGTTTACACTGCATAGTTAATTTTTTATAAATTATTTTTGGTCCACCGATGCTAAAGAAAAGGTAGAGGTTGGAGCACTTTGAACACATTTTTCTTCATTCCACTTTTTGGCATAAATTTCACTTTAGGAAAACTATCGTTTTGTTATTACGCAACTTGGATTCATTTTTATGAGTTTTTCTGGGGTGAAATTTTAAGGGGAAGATAACTATGAGCTTGTATTTTTTATTTTTGTCATTTTTCATGCTCAAGAAGTAAAAGTTTGGACAAAGGATGGAAATCTAAACAACTGTATTTGTGTTTATGTGGCTTTTTTGTCATGAAAGATGGTATAACGTAGAAATATAGCTCCATAGTTATCTGCTCTGAACTGTCCTAATGCAATGTAACACATGAAAACGACAAATTTATAAGTAATTTCAAAACGATAGTTTTCCTAAGCAGACACGCCCACTTTCGTCTTTGAACGTTTGCAATTTTTTTTGTACTTCACCCAGGTTAACAAAAATTGGCAGAAATGTTCTGAACATCAACAGAAATAAGCCCTGTAAATATAATTTAAATCAGACAAGTGGCTCAAAAATTTACTTTTTTGGGTAGTGTCCCCCCTTAAAAGGCTGCACCAGGCAAAAGTCGCTCATTTCTTTTAAAATGTGTGACACACTTGAGACATAACTGTACTAGTCTATTGAAATAAAGGCTTTCCTCAAACTAAGCTTATTATAAAATAAATTCTTTTACAAAGGTAAGTTGTCTCATGGCATGTATTTTGACCTGAAAAATTGATGTTTTGGTTATAGTGCGGTACCGCTTATAGTGCGGATTTTCGCGACTCCCGAGACATACGTTATATGTGGTCTACACTGTATTGTCCTGTTCTTATCTCTGAAATTGTTACCTCTTCTCTTGATTTTCTTTCTGGATTACTTGTGCCACTGCTGCCATGTGTAAGGAGGGGGGGCCGAGGGCCCGTCAAGCTGCATGATGCAGCTTTTTTCCACGGTCTCCCTCCATCATTTGTGTTTTGACGGAAAAAATAAACATTATTATTATTATTATTATTATAAACAACGAAAACAAGACCTCCCCACCCCCGGAATTCAGTATATTCATGCAGCGCCCCCCCAGAAAAAAAATTCTGGAGCCGCCCCTGGCCGAGAGGCGCAGAAGAGGCCGTGGCACGAAGAATGACATCCATGTTTTCGCATTCACAACTCATAAGAAGTGCTTACGTGTATTGAGCCCTTTATATGCGGTTTGTGTTTATGAAGGTTCTTATCCAGAGGACACAATAACTAACAAGAATACACTGAAACTTTCCAGCGAGGCAACGAAAGGTAAAACGCAAAACGAAGAGCGGGATTTGAACCCGGTTCATCCACGTGGGAATCGCTTGTGCTGCCTGCTCGGCCACGCAAGTGGCAGTGTTATATGCCTAGTTCTTGCCAAAGCAGTTCGCCTTTTACTGCTTCTTCTTTAGCAAGCTGGGTCGTTAGGATTGGGCAGTCACCTGCTTAGGCCTGAGCTGGGTGAGGTTGTCCCCGTGGCCCAGTCGGCCGTACTCGCCCAGGCCCCAGGTGTACAGCTCCCCGCTCGACGTGATGGCCGCGCTGTGCGAGCTCCCGCACGAGATGTCCCTGATGCGCTTGGACTTGAGGGCCTCGATCAGGCGAGGCTTCTCGTAGCTCCTGAAACAAGGCGCCGAGAAAATCGGACACCGCCGCGGGTGCCACTTCGCCCTGTCCTCAAAGCTACCCACTGCTACAACCGCTGACACAATGAGAATGGCAGAGCATTTTCCGTCCTCCAGCGTGCGCTCCGTGCCTTCCACCATGCTTTGGTTGCGCGCGCGCACTAAGTGCACCAGACGCAGAAGCATACTCAAAGGCGGGAAACTCGCGCTGGGACAACTGAAGCTCCTCCCTGCCGTTCTCACCTCGTCAGTGATCGTGTGTATCACAAGTGTAGAATATACCATAGGCTAGAACACGACTCGGACATTGGAGGACTGACAATGCAAATTATAGAAAGAATTGTCAGTTTGTCTTAGTAGAGATTCTCGAGAAATGCTAAGAACTGCAGCTCTCATTTTGGCGACTCTTCTCCCAAAAAAGCCTGGTGCTATTCGTGAAATGTTGACTGCTCTTCCGAGACTGTTTCAGATGTTCAGTTGAATACAGACCCTACCCTCTGCCACCTTCTCAAACCTTTGTTTAGTTTTGAGTCTCCGTGAACAATAAGTAGTTATAGAGCTCCTTGGAAAACTTGCGAGTTTGCATGTTGGGCAGAGGTCAAACTTTTGAACTACTCAAGTGATCGGAATGAAATTTGCAGGGGAGATTTAGCTTCAGATGTAGGTGTACTGTGCAAACTTTCAGCTCTCTGGGACAAATTTACATACCTGCATAAGATGATGTGTCACTTTTCATTAAGAAATCTATGATATGCAAATGAAGCTATTAAGCATCATTTTGACTGCTTGAATATAAAGTGGGGGATATGGGACCTCGGGCTATCTAGTTTTAACAACTTAAATGTAAATATTTCAGGAAGAGTTATTACCTCAAACTATGAGATGCATATCTGTCCACTGTCAGTTTTTGAAAAATTAGTTTTTTATCACTGAGGACTACAACCTAAAACAAAATAAAGTAGATAGCCCAATTCCTGAGTAAATTTCAGTTCAGAAACATCTTGATTGTGGTATCAGAATACTTTCACCTTCGAACAAAAGATTCCTTCGTATGAAATTTGCAGCAAAAAGTGGAACTGAGAAAAATGCATTCAAACATTGAACTTCTTTACTTTGTTACTGCCTCACAATGTGTTGAAAATATTTTATATCAACTTAACTATTTGGCATATGGTTATCAAATTTGGTGTAAAGGTGTATAATTAGTTTCTAAAACTAAAAACGTCAAAATTAAAAAATGAATTTTTTCAAAAAAATTTAAAATTTAGGCCCATGTCCCCCCTTAACTCCACCAATCTTTTTTGAAAGTATGACCTAAATGTAGGGTGTCTGAAATAACCAGGCTCGATTAAAAACGGGCCGTAAAAATAGGCGCCTGCACGTAGCAATCTAAACTTTTCGTCAGAGGTGTATTTCACAGGTCAATTTTAACTTGTAAAATTACAAAGCATAGCTCTTAATCTGTAAAAAAAAAATGGGGCCCCAGAATTTGTCAGGGTTAACGGCGGACGGCAACGCAAACGACCGAGTCGAGTGGAGGGGTGTGTTTGGTGCACATACTGATATAGATGGCGTCGAGAGCAGCGTCTGAAACTGTAGCCGACCAGTGAAAGAGAGCAGACAACACGCAATTGGAATCTATCGGCAGCAAAAACGCTGTTATTGTGCGACGAAATTTTTCTTTTCTTACTTCAAGTTTTGCTTTTATTGTCCGCATTTACTTTTAAAGAGCCACTGAGAAGAAAACAGGTTTTTTATACAGTGTAGTCGGGACATGCATGTCAAAAAACAAATTTCACGCAAAAAAAAAGTTTTTTAGGAATAATATTGACGGCGCAGGATGCAATTTAGTTGGTAGTCACCTCCTTCTCTCGGCATTTCAGGTACGTAAAGCAGAGGTACGAAGCTGTGACCATCACATTGAGGCGGAAAGAGTGCATGACCATTTCGCAATGTCATAGACTTTTCGCAGATAATTAATACGCAACTAAAATAAATCTTGCGCCGTCAATATTGCTCTAAAAAAATTTGCTTCGCATGAAATTTATTTTTTGACAAGCGTGTCCCAAGCAGACTGTTTAAAAAAAACATTTTCTTTTCAGTATTTTACTTTTCAGTAAAATTACAAAATTTCTTTGTAATTTTACGAGATAAAGGCGACCCGTGAAATATACCTTTGACGAAAAGTTTAGATTGCTACATGCAGGCACCGATTTTTACGGCCCATGTTAGATTAAGCTCGGTCATTGCAGACACCCTATAGACTACGATTGTATACATCTGACGGCCAGTGTGCAGGGTGGGCTTCACCGGTGAAATTCCACGTATTCTAGAGGAGAGCTCCTGCAGGTCCAGAAACCAGACTCACATCCTGTTTCCATGTCCAAGCTTCCCGTCGTCTCCTTCTCCCCAGGAAAAGACTTTTCCGTCCACAGTCTGTGCCAGTGCGTGTCTGCCTCCTTTAGCAAAGACAAAAACAAAATTCAGGTTTTATCGAATAAAATACGGCCCTTTAGCATATCCCAGAAGCACCCTAACTGCAAAGCATCCATAGGTACCCCAGACATGTCATGTAAGATCATGATGGGATGTCGGGTCACATCATGCGGCCATCAAAAAAGCACGTTGTCGTATGACCTTATGTCACGTGACGTCACAATGTCATGTCGTGATGCCACCCAACGTCATGATTCACAAGACGTCACAGTGTCATGACAATGCGAGGTGAAATCATGATGTCAGGTGGCGTCATAATGTAACATGATGTCACAGTGTCGTGCAAAAACCAATGGCAAGAAAGTTTCCTGTCTTAAAACTCGTCACCGTCCAACACCCTGGTCAGACACCAACTGTTGTAGTCAACACTACGACATCATCGAAGTGACGTCAAAGTAGACGAGGCTACATGCCATGGACAGGAAAACACTAGGAGCTCGCCCAATGAATGCACTCAAGAGGCAGATGCAGCTTACCCGAATGGACAGCCACCTTCCTGACAACGTACTGCCCGAGAGCGGTGAGTTGCCTTGGAAACGACACATTGTTGCAGTGGCCGAGTCCCAGGCGGCCGTTGGTGCCCTCCCCGCAGGCATACACTTTCCCGTCGTGTGACACTACAAATGAAAAAGGATCCGACTTTAAGCACATCTGCTCAATTTTAGGCTAGTGCAAACGGTGGATTTTGAGTTCGAAACAAATTTGAAGCAAATAGTGGTTATGGCCAAATATTTTCTAATCCAATGTCAAACAACTTTTCGAAGCCTTTTCGTCATTAAATTTTTGTTCAAGCATGATGCAGAGCAGTGATTACCGTGCACCATGTTTAAACAAAATTCTGCCAAACTCGTGAAGGTTGTTCGCAACCTTCCACTCGTCCACTTCTACACTCGGTTAATTTAAATATAACTATATTTATAAACTGTGGCATGTGAATGACATATGTATCGCAGCTCTCCTAATCGAGGGGATTTATAGATCTCCTTGCTATATGCACATATTTTTCTTCAATTTCAAATTTCGCAAAAAATCAAGCACGAGTGATGAACGCAGGTTGTCAGGACATTGCTTTTAACTAAAGCATAGAGTTATTATAATGTACGCTAGAGGTTCAACTGGCGCTAGTGTGCTGCTGCAAATTGAAGCAGACAGCAACCAGTCCGAAATTGACTTCCGGTAATGCATTTCTAAGGGAGAAAGCGAGTGCATTTTCTCTCTGCGCTCGATTATAAGGGCAAATATCACGAATAATTCGTACGTACTAGGCACATTGGAACATTTCTCATTCACGCAGGCAAAATAATTGGTCACTTACGGCGTTTTTATTTTAAATTCGTGACCTAAAAAACGGTGCTAAAACCGCTTCGTACGTGTATTTATGTGCACTGTCGGACACAGTTAGCGCGAACACGGCGACGGCGCTTTCTAGTATCGGGGATATACGTGTCAAACGAACGAAGGACACCTGGAAAACCAAAAGAGACGGCAAGAACTTCGCAGTAACACTGGATAAGTAACTCATTGTGCATGCAGACGATCAAAATTAATTTAAAGCCACGTAATATAGTCCGACTTCCATTAAATAAGTACTGCTTTATTCTTTCTACTCATGTGCGAATATGCTTGTTCTGGGTTCAAAGCATCACCCGCACGCTCCAAATATTTCCGAATAGGGAGAAGCCAGAGAACAGGTGCCCGAAAAAAAAGCTGTCCTACATAGGAAATAATAAAAAGACACACCTTTTGTGGCCAACATACTTTATTTTTTATGTTCAAATGTTTTTTAATTGATCGTAAAGATGCGCACGACGGAGTCATTTTCATATAAGGACAGGACGGGCATGTCAGCAATATATAAGCGCCACCGGAATGCTAGCGAAGCTTGAACACACTCTGCATTCCTTTCGATCGTTATTTTGCTTAGAATCGTCGCTCGTTTTTACGTACCTGCCGTGGAACAGAGGTTTGGGCCTGAAATATAACGAAGTTTAACATCGTTCAGCGGTAAAGAAAAATGCTGTAATTAAAGCAATTACACTTTCACTATACCATACACTATTCGGTACGAAAGAAATAACAAAACTTATTCATGTTGTTTTCCGGCGAAGAGGCAAAATGCACGTGCGTTTTCCCATAGGAATGCACAGGAGCACCGCAAAAGTAGACTGGTTGCTGTCTGCTTCAATTTGCCTCCCGGAAGTCGCATAGACACTAGCGCCAGTTGAACCTCTAGCGTACATTATAATAACTCTATGAACTAAAGTTCCGCGTTTTCGGTTTCTATTTTTTCCAAATTCGGCATACTTTTTTCGGTGTTTATTTTAAAATTCAATTTTCGTTTTTTTTCGGCGTATATTTATGCTCGCAAAAGTTTATCGTCTTTTTTCAGTGAATATGAAATAAACACCAACGGACACCGGATCAGATGATCCTTGTAGCTCTGATATTTGTGATCATTCAAAGAATAGCGGCACAGATGCATTGAAAAAGAAATTGACACTTTATTTGGCATATGTGTGCAACTGTAAAAGAAACAAAAAAAAAAACACACAAGGACAGACAAGTTAGATATGAAGCCTACGCCCAAAAAACATGGAACTTTACCTTCTGTACATCAGGATTACATGATCTTATTATAGTACACACACACGGACTTTCTCAGGTTCTCCTCGTTGATTCGCATTCTTTATTTCCTGTTAATATGACCCTGAGCTTCGAAAATGCCCTCTCAACGCTAACACTGGACACTAGCAGGCTGATGAGATGGAGCGCTGCCCGAGCCAAAATCGGCCAATCAACCAATTGTGACCACCAAAAGAGACACGGTGCGATGTTTTGAAGCACAACACAACATGCAGAGCTTGCATCAAGTCAGTCTTCCTTACAACGAGTTTGAAAACACACTCGTACATGGTGAAGTCATGGGGCATTTGGCACATCACGTTCCGACCGATGATGCGGCACATTCAAACCAAAACGTCGTGATGGCATCCGTGTATCTCATACATTCGGACACGTTTCGAGAGACACTGTCGCTCCACTTTTTCGCCACAGCTTTGTGATACGAAGGAAGGTCAAAGTGACCTTTTCCGGTTAAAACCGAATTTCCGAAAATGAATTCGACATACTTTTATCGGTTTTTATCGGTTTAAACCGGAAACTCCGAACCCTACTTTTAACACATACTCTCGCATAAATCGCAGCAGCTTAGCCCCTTGAGTGCACTTCTCCTTGTGCACTCAAAAGGCTAAGCTGCGGTAAAACAATACAGTGTAGACCACATATAACGTATGTCCTGGGAGTCGCGAAAATCCGTATTATAAGCGGTACCGCACTATAACCAAAACATCAATTTTTCAGGCCAAAATAGATGCCACGAGACAACTTACCTTTGTAAAACAATTTATTTTATGTTAGATGAAAAATAAAGCTTAGTTTGAGGAAAGTATTTATTTCACCAGACTAGTATAGTTCTCTCTCAAGTGTATCACACATTTTGAAAGAAATGAGCGACTTTTGCCTGGCGCAGCCTTTTAACGGCGTCGCGGGTTGCGGACGGACATTGCGAGCGTTCAGGATTGCTAACCCTAATCACTTTTCTCCTGTGATGAAAACGCGTGAAAATTCACATCCTTTATACGGCACGCGCATGAAATGCTCCAAAAAAGGCATGAAATGCGCGCATGAAATGCTCCGAATAAGAAATCCGAGCGATGTTCGAAAACACAAATGCTTAGAAAGCACCACTGTAGTCGAAGTAAACAAACACGACGACACGGGCGTTTCTGCCGTCTTGAGAGTGCCGCCACAACATCGCCGCACGAGTGGGTGGATCTTCCCTTCTAGTACGTGCTGGGTTATCATAACGACACACAACGAAAATTCACAGTCAAGGATAGCGCTTTTACGAGGAACGATGAGCTTCCACCACGCCGTCTACGTCGACGATCACCACCAATGCCAAGTTTGCGGATAAAAAAGCCGGCCCACGACCGGCATGCAACGCACGCGAACGGCTGGTTGGGCTTGCCAACGCCTTGCGCCGTGAACGACATGTGCGTGCGTCCCTCCGTTGCTATGGCAACTGAAGCCTCTCTCTTCGCTTCTCCCCGCTTCTTCGAGCAACCTCCTTGCCATCCTTGCCGAGAGTGCCTCTTGCGGCTAGCGCCGTTATCTGGTGACGCACAGGGAAGCGTGCTCGCTGCTCCAGAAACCGCACTATAACCGGTATTTCCCTTCGCGCGCCTGCATTTTAAGCGGTATGTAATTACATGGAGTTCTATGGGAGGCGAACCGGTGGTTTAAAAAAGCCGCGTTATACCCGGTCCTGCACTATAAGCGGTTACGTTGTAAGTGGCCTATACTGTAGCCGCAAAACCCGCAAGGTCCACAGGTATTGTTTCCCCACAGTGCACAGGTGCTCGGTGAGAAGCGCACTCGACAAGGCTCACCTGCCGCGATCAACTTTTTGAAAAGTATGAATATCGTAGTTCATCTCGAAACGAATATCGAATAGCGTATCATTCGAAACTATTATTCGAAACCAAACAAGATAAAGCACAACTCACCAATGAACAGGCTCTTGGAGCCTCCGGCAATGTGCAGCGGCTTTAGGCAGGAAATTGTCTCCGAGAACTGGGGCAATTTCACCTGTACAAAGATTATCGTTGCAATCGGTTTGCCATCAATATATTCCCCGCCGGAAAGCCCAGTCCAAATGCGATTCCATGCGAAACAATCTCCACAAGCAATCCTATAATGATGATGATGATGATAATTATAATGACGACATTGTGATGATGGGCATAATGATGATAATAGGTCCAATAAAATTATTTTTTATCATCATGCACAAGCAATCCCACCGTTACTATGAGAGTTCCGTGATAATTGCCTCACTATGCTACCTTTTTAAAAAACACAAGAAAAAGGAGCCTCCCCGATACTTCGAAAGAGCAGCCTAACAGACTTACAGTGATGTGATTGGCCAAAGCCGTTTAGGAGCACCGTTTGGAGCAGCCAAAACAGTGTTTTGGAGCAGCAAAAGTAGCCTTTGGAGCAGCCAGAAGAGTGTTTTGGAGCAGAATAAGTGGCTTTCGGAGCAGCTAAAACAGTGTTTCCGAGCAGCAAAAGTGGCTTCTGGAGCAGCTATTCTTAGAAAAACAAAAGATATTTGTTTCAAGTGCAGGACGAACGAAGGACACTTTGCTTGCCGCAATAAACAAATTATAGTGAAGTTAGACCACCTGGAATTCTTTCAACGTGTAACTGAAATGCCAATGACAAAACACCTTTTGCAATGCTTCAGTTAAATGATACGTATATATGTACCCGCTATAGGTAATTAAGAATCAAAGTGCTCATATTAAAATTTATTTGAAAATGACCAGCTTAGTAGTAAATAGCACAGCAGTAGGTTGACTATTGATAAAATAAATTAAAGCAGTCTCCGACTGATGACGCACATAACTACTGCAGTGCAATGCTAAATTCTAGCGCAAGGGGAGATGGCTGTTCGACCGAAACCGTGGCACTCCGCTCCGTCGCTAACTGGTTCCCAAAATTGTATGCGAAATGTAACTGTCCAGCATACGACTAAAAACAGTCCAGCGGCACGTGCTTGCCAAGCGGGCAGGCGAGGTACAAGCTAAACACACGCAGAAAAAAAAAAAAAAGAATCTGAGCACATTGGTGCAAGACATTGCGAGCCAGGATCAAAAAGTTCTTGAAACGCTTTGTGCAACGACTGAACTTGAGACAAACAAGCGCGCTGTGCGGGTTCAGCGTGCAGAAATTGCCTTCTTAGCTTTAGCCCACTTCTCTTCACCAACTTTCTTTCGCGGCAGATGTTTCACGTACCTGGGTCCCTCTCAAAAGAAAGCCTACGAGAGAAACCTAGGTAATCAATACTTTGACACAGCAGTCTTTGAGCAAGAGGAATTTTTGCAGTAGCGTATTAAAGAAGAACAGGAATGTTGATGAACATGCGGCGGTCCTTACGTTCCAATTTAGAAAGCGCCATATTCTTTTTTATCAGCGCAAGAAGCATAGCTTGATTGTTTAGATTCGGTGCGCTATTTGTGCATCCCGTATAAAACCCAAAAGTTCTCCGGCCTGCGCGTTCACTCTGGTCTATTTGTAGTAGTCCTCAAGGGAGGCCAGGTTGAGGCCTCGTGCCCGAGTCAGGGGGAGGAGGCGGTGCTGAAGATTCGGGCAATTCCAAAGAATTCGCAGCTTTCAGCAATGGTGGTACCGTGCTGTGAGAATCGCGCTCCCTAGCTCCTGGATGATCGGCTTCACAATAAAGGCGCTTGCCTACACCTATCCTGGCATGAAAAAAATAAAATAAGGCTCCAACACTGCTCGTATATAGCAAAACTAGCATTACTTAGCCGTCGCAGATCCAGCCTCGTACTGCTGTTCTAAGACGATCATCCAGATGACAGCCATTTTGATAGGCACCAGTGCGCCCCCTATAGGTCGTGAAAGTTGCGAATGTGTCGGAGGCAAACTGCGGACGCCCTGGCAGAGCAGTAGAGTAAGGCCAGGGTGGCATCATCGGGTCCCCGGCCCCAAGAGGCCAAGACTGCTGGGGTAACTGCGAAGCGCAGCGACGTGGGGACGGCAACACCCGACGTCGCGCGACCGCGGCGATTGGCAGGCAGGGACCAAATATAGTTTTCCCAAAGCCGTTGCTTAAAGGAGCGAGTTCTTCAGCTCACAAAGTACTACCCATGCCACACGGGCAACTCGAATGCCATTTACAATGAATGCCATTTGTGTGATCGGCGAATCAGCTTGCAATCTGCCGCGCGTGGAACGCGCTACGCCTGGAGTGTTGCGCGCTGATTGGCCATCCGCTCAAATGTCATTTGTTGTAAATGGCATCCGAGTTGCCCGTGTGGCACGGGTATAACTCCCGCTGCACAAAAACGTGGTTTCGTTTCATAGCAAGGCGGCATTTCTGGTACCCCATCACGTTGGCTTCGGAGCGTCCGCACACGCCTGCGTCTATATTTGAAAAAATAAAATAAAAAAAAAAAATGCGCGATAACGAGGGTGCGGAACGGGACATGGTGGAAAAATTTATGCAAGACCGGATGAACAATTGATGTAGGGTACTTTGTGTCGGGCGGCCGCTTGCGCCACCTAACTCACGCGTGCTCAATTACGGTTCTCACTTTAGTTTCGGTTAAAAAAGCGACAAAAACAGGTCCTTTGGCGCAGGCTTGGCGCAGATTACCCATACTTTGGCAAAATGTAGCAGGATGTAGCAGGGTTAGCCCTTTGGCGCAGTTTGGAGCAATTGGCGCAGCAATCACATCACTGGACTTAGCATTTTCAGGATCAAGCTAAGCAGCTTAGCACCTTCCAAAGCTACTCTCTCTTTGCAAAACACCGGCTGCCACTAAGCTCCTTTTCAAGTCCTTTCCACCAGTTTTGACCACATTCATGCATTGTTTGGACTAGCTTTCAAGCACGGCATGCTTGCATCGTAGGAAAGCCAGCCTGCCGAAAGCACACGCCCTTCTGTTCCAGAATGGCTCGAAATGAAGAAAGCAGAAATCAATCTTTAATCTTTCACATTCCTTCTCATTAAGTGTTCATCCTCGCTTATCTCGGCGATCTGGATTCCTTTCACATTCCAAATTGCGCTTCGCAGGTGTCCGTTGGACCTCAAGTCACTGCTTATGATGCGAGGACACACTGTGCCATCTGTCGGGCAGTCTTGGAATGCTTCCGGTATATTTTACGCACCATTCTTTCACCGGTGCTCTAAATAATGCCGACAATGTCATAAGCGACCAACTGTCACAGATAGTGCGTAGATTTCATCTCGCAAGTAAAGTATTGCAAGACATTTAGTTTAGTTATACGCAGATCGAAAATGTGTTCCATCATGGATGGTGCCAGTGTGCTCACTCGCTGTAATGCTCGAGGGAGAGCGGCAGGCTGACGCACGCGACACCGACGAGCCTCGAGTAGGTGCGCCGTGCATGCAAAGGTATCTCGGCAGGCTCGCCATCATTCGTGCTTAGTCCACGAGCACCGAGAGACTGCAAGCCTGCCAAAAATACCTCCGCGTGCAGGCTGCACCTGCTTAAGAATCTTTGGTCCTTTTTGTTTATTGCTCTTGTAAGACTCTGGCATACGAGCGGTGGTGTGAACTAGGCTTTTCAAAGGAAGCACTTTGAGATTTAGAAGCGTAAAAAATGTGCGTGCTACGAGCCAGCGCCGCACGGATTGAGGTGACGGGAGCCCACCTTGGAGCCCTTGAGCCCCCCCAGCTGGTCCTTGTCGTTGAGACCCCAGACGCAGGCCTTAGTCTGTAGGTCCCGGAAGCTCTCCGAAGTCCGGTCCCTCCGCTGGAACGGCCCGTGCGAGTTCACGGCGGCCGGTCCGTCTTCCCCGTCCTCCCCGTCAGAGGCCAAGTAGGGGAACGACGGCGAGAGGTCCTCGTCCTCCCCATGAGAACGGCCAACCACAGAGAGTCCGTGCACCTTGCACTCGATGCCGCCACTTCGGCACTCCCGGATCGCAATTTCAATGAAGCGGTAGTACTGTGGACAGAAACGAGAAAATTAAAATTACCATTATCAAATACTTCTTGCAATAAAAAATATTGGCTCTCTTTTTGGCATTTCCCAAAGGCATTCTAAATGCATAGTATTTATAGGGCCTCTTTGCACTCCTCCATTTGCGGGCACAGTAAAGAGGCAGCAGAAGGGCACATTGTGACGGTTCTGCGAAGATATAAAGCCGTCAGACTGTCATGTGAAATCACGGTGTGACATGTCATGTAACGTCCCAGTGTCACGTCATGTCATAAAGTCATGTGATGTCGTAATGTCACAGGACATCATGGCGTCACGTGAAGTCACGCAATTCCTTTAGTCACAAGACAGTTTTGCCTGACGTCATGATGTGAGATGACAGTGATGTCACTGAGGCTACATGTCACGGACTCACAATCCGAGGCTGGCCTTAGAAACGCTATGCATTTGAAACATCCGCAGCTTTTCACCACAGTGACCTAAAAAGTGACAATGTGATAGCTGTTAATACGCATAGTCACACAAGCACTTTTATGCATATGTACTCTTTATTTAGTCGTTGATGCACAACACAGCCTTGTGGTCACTGAAGTATGTAGAAAAGGATATCACTGTCCATGACTAAATCAAGACCGTTACGAGTGGCGTGTTGCATTACATCTGACAGCACATGCAAATCAAGTTTATAGGTGAGGGATGTGTAGTGGCGTCCTGCCTCGAACCACGGAAGAAGGAGAAGACACAGATGCCTGGCAAGAGCCAAGTGTGTGTGCTAGATGAAACAGGAAGGCAATTCTTGGAAAACCGTTTATGGACACAAAATATGTCTTATCAGCCAATTTTCATAGAGTTCTGAACGTTTGACTGTAGTGGCCGACTATAATGAAAGACCGACACCAAAAAAACATTACGCTTACAGGGAACCATACAGAAAAACTTGAGCCCTTTGGCAGGAGTTTAACTTACCACCTTGAGATTGTGAGCCAAGTGCTTAGCCAACTGAGCCATTCAGGGACGGTGGCTGAAGGGGCTTCAAGCCCGTGGATATGGACGGCCATGGGCTTGAAGCTCCCAAACCCGTGCAGCAAAGATAGAAATAGCTACTCGGTACATGAATTCTTTTACGATAGAATAGGTCAAGTCGCTGTATTAATTTTTCTCATAATGCCTCCCGGGTTTTGGAATACTTTTGCTTACAATGAAGGCACTAAAGGAGCCCGGTGTTAAGAGGACAGAAAAGAACAGCTTAAACAGGAAGCATGCTGCACCTCTCTGAGGTCAGCCAGGAGGGTGACTTGGCTGTCTGTGGATCCAATGTGGACCGTCTCCAGTTCCGTCATCCAGGTCAGGCAGGGACCGCCACTGACCACCACCAGCGATGGCATGTAGCTCGAGTCCGCCGGATCCACGGTCATCCGGAGCCGCTGGATCACTACTCCTTGATGCATCTCCAGCCTTATCCAGTGCTTTAGAAAAAGCAAAAACCCACAGAGCTTTCTTTGACACCAAAGTTTATAACAAACCCAGGCATAGGCTCAGGCTAAAAACGTCAAATATCTTAGTCAATGCAGTGCCAGAACTTTATTACGATTTTTGTTAGGACTACCATTCTAGTCATCTAGGGCAGAAATTCTCAACTTTTCAATCTCGAGGGACCCCTATCCCTGCTGGTCTCGACATTCATACGGTAACAGTGCAGAAGCCTACTAAAAAATGTGTTTATTCAGATACCTACATCATTTAGAGAGGGCATGACCGTACAGGGTTACAAGAATGGAATACAAATTATACAAAAATAACGACAGTACAGTCGCCGACTGATTTTTCGAACACCGCTAGTTCGGACATGTCCAATTATTGGATGTTTTTCCTGAACCCTCACTTAACCCATAGAGTTTAATGTACAACATTGACCGAAATTTCCGACAGCATAAAGCTCGTTGCTCGATATTTCGGACACAATTTGCGCGATTTCTTCCGTTCACAGCCACAAAACAGCCGCCGTGATAATGCTGTGACCTTAATCGCCGGCACTTCGCTTGTTCTGGTTTTGACTTGTAGCCTCGACACCACATACTCTGCAGTAGAGAAGCTGAACTGAAGTTACAGTCGGGCTTTCTGGTTCCACTATAGCCAACATGGCCACCATATGTTCTTCTTATGTTGTGTTTTTCAATTGCGACCACAAGATCAGCCGTCTGCTGTTTGAGCGAGTGTTTGAGTTGAGTTTTCTGTCCAATGGTATTGAAGTAAGCTGGGTAGGCAAAACATTGTCTCCAAACCATGCCAAATGGCACCAACTTCCTATTTTCTGTGTGCACCAATGAAGGTGCCAACAAAGCACGGCACCGTGATCACCACATCAGCAAACAGTGAAAAGTGACCAACATACGGCCGAAGTTGCATGAGAATTTAATATTGACATCAAGTGACCAGTATGAAGCAAAGTGGCGCGGAAATTTAATATTGCAGCTGAAATTCGTTTTTTCGGACTGGTTGATTATGCGGACAATTCAGGGGTCCCCTACGAGTCCGAAGAATCCATCGGTGACTGTCTACTCTTAAAAGGTAAGAACAAGCAGTTCACAACAAAACGCCTAACATGTGTCTTGTAAAGCTGAAAAGGACATGAATGAATTGACAATTTTATGACCAAGGCAATTACATTTGTGAAGGATGAATAGAAAAAAAAAGGGTGGGCAAAAACAGTGGTCAACCCCCGCACCTTTTTTTCATGGTCCTTTTTTTGCGAAATAAAATATAGAGACCTTGTAAACCACAATACACATACTACGGTAACTAATATTTATGCATCACTGGGTGGCTCAGATCTGCTAAAAGCGCTTAAACTGGAAGAATGCCTCACTTGAGGGATGACAAAGGAAAATTGGGGAACCCTGTGGAACACCTGCATTCCTATGAATTAACCCCGTTTGAGAATGCAAGTTCTAGGGGTTCTACAGAATAAGCCCCACTTTCCCCAAACATGAAGCCTGCAGGGCTTCTTCTCACTTGCCCTTTGCACAAGAGGAAACATCAATGCTGTCACGGTTGCCCCTTAAGCTAAACTCACAAAGGCCCCACAGCTTATAATTCATTACTGAAAGACAAAGTCAAACCTATGAAAACAATTCCATCTTAGCACAAATGAATGACTTCTTTCAGTGTGACAGAAACAGTCATAAGCGCCAACTACGGGGGGCAGCGGGGCTCATGCCCACGCCTGGGAGGCTTCACGGGGCTGGGGCAGAGGCCCCACTTCTGGCCCCTGGTCTACTGCCCAGCAACTAAAAGCTTGCAAAGGACAATTTTTGTTTCCTTTTAATTTTAAGGGGTTGGCACAGCTCTGCCCATTGACCTTACACTGCTGGCTATTTTGTGTCGTAACTTTCTGAGAGGGGCTTGTTTATGCCAGCTCCTTTTTCCTTTCAGGCTTTTAAAATTTGGACCTTGGGCCAGTGACAAGTCAAAGCTTCAGCGGAAATTGCCCCTCAAGCGGGTTGAGATGTACGGAATATGTTGTTTGAACAAACAACTTAAGTGCCCACTCCATTCTAGGGCCTCCCCCTCCTATCCTTCTTACTCTTCTCTCCTTGCCCTCCCTCCTCCCCCCTTCCCCCAAGAAAAACAAAAAGTCTAAGCTGCTGGACACGAGAAGAAACCTCAGGAGCCGAACAAAGAAAACACTGTGTTGCTAAAGAAAGAGAACTATGATGGAAATGGGTGCGCACAGCAATGCCGGAGACTCACCTTTCCCCGCGTGCCACAGCTCTGCCAGGCCGAACGGGTTCCGTCGATGAGACGGTGCAGGCTGCTCTCGTTGGAAGAGACCGTCAGGCTCTTGACGCAGTGCCCCCACTCCTCCAGGAGGGGTGCTCCCACGGAACCGGCCTGAGTGCCATCCAGGTCTTTCCTCTTGCGCGTCCGCTCGCCCGGGTAGCCCCCATACATCGGCAGTGCCCCTGCGGGACCACGAAATGGTTTTTGGCTTTTGCTTTGCACATTTGCAACCCATCCATGTCAGAACTTACCCACGTTGAAACCTGTCCACGTCAGAACCCGCCCAAATCGGAGCCTTGTGGGGCACCTTTATGTCCGGGGAACCCGATGCCCACCCCACCGCACGGCAAACGGCTACCAGCGAGGGCGGTTCCTGCACTGGGTTCGCCTTGCAAAGAACGATAATCATGGTATCCAACGGTGTTTATTGAAAAACTGGGGTCCCCAAACGAGACACTGCTGTCGAGCGAGCTGTGAACACAGTGTGCCCGCAGTGTCCCCAGACTTGAGAGCCAAAGGGATATTGCGAGCGGAGACAGTGGGCCGAGCTCACGCCGCTACCCGTCATCGCGGGAGTTCAGGCCAGAGCTCTCGGCAGACGGACATCCACTCGGAGGAGGGAAAGCCGACTGTCAGAGCCAGGGGAAATGCTGGCGTTGAGTCATTGCCAGTCGGACGGGCTCGTACGCCGTGACTCGACCCGTCGCCCGGAGTTCAGTGCAGGACTCCTCGCCAGAGGGCTGTCCACTTGGAGAAGGGAATGCTCGATTCTCCCACGTGATCTGTCGCGGCTCCCTTGAAACAGGAGACGTCCGGAGGAGTGCGAGAGAGTGGGCCAGCAGGGTGAATATCTGGCACTTTCCCTAAAGGTGCACCTTTCCCTAAAGGGGTGCCAAATGTTTAAAGGGGGATCATAAGACCCACTGGTTTGCCCTCCCCCGACGAGCCGTAAACCGCAGACGTTCTGGCCGGACTTGTTCGACTTCCAGCTAGCTCGTTCCGTATGGTGTTGGGGAGAGAACGCACCGCCGCTGGCCTACTCTCTCGTGCTCCTCCGGGTGTTTTCCTTTTCAAGGGGGCCACGATGGATCGTGCGGGACGGTCGGGCGTTCCCTCCTCCGAGTGGACGGCCGCCTGGCGGGGAATCCTGGACTGGACTCCGGACAACGGGTCGAGTCGCAGCGTGACCTCGTCCGACCGGTGATGATTCAACGCCAGAGATTCCCCTGGCTCCGACAGTTCCTCCTCCGAGTGGATGTCCATCTGCGGAGAGCTCTGGCTTCATCTCCTGCGACGACAGGTAGCGGCGTGAGCTCGGCACGCCGGTGAGGACTCTGTTCCCCATTCCCTTTGATCCTCGGGTCGGTAGGCGCTGCGGGCACCCTGTGTCCAGGGCTCGCTTGGCCGCAGTCCTCTCGTTGGGGACCCCCGTTTCCCAATAAATGTTGTTCGATACCGGGATCATCGTTGTTGGCAATACTTTGGCAAACCCGGCCCAATGACCACCCCTGCTGGTAGCCATTGGCAGTGCGGTGAAACGGGCATCAGGTTCCCTTTCAGCACCAGTCCCCCGCACGTGAAGATACCTAATCCCCCCAACCTGCCCAAATAAGAACCTGTCGAAGTCAGAAACTGACCACAATAAAACCCGCCCACATTGAAACTTGTCCAAATCAGAACTTGCCCACGTCAAGACCCATTAATGCTCGAACCTGTCCGTGTTAGAACCTGCCCATGTCAGAACCCCCTGATGTTAGAACATGTCCATGTTGAAACCAGTTCAAGTACGAACCCGTCCAAATTAAAACCCGCCCAAATTGGGAACCACATAAATCGGAAACTGCCCACGTTAAAACCCACCAATGTTGGAGCCCGTGTATGATGGAAACTACCTACATGAAAAACCCACCCACATAAGAACTAGCCCCCATCAAAACTCATTCCTGTCGAAACCGGTCCAAATAGGAAACCGTCTGCATTGGAACCCATCTATGTCCGAGTCGGACGTCCATTTTATGTCCTACTTGCAAACTCCATGCAAAGCATCAAAATGATGGCTGATGTTTTGCTAAGGAACTTAAGTTCTCTTTATGGATTTCCTATACCAACAGCTTCTGCCTACGATCCCTATAGAGCGGCACGTTATATAGTAAAATTGCTTCCAACTTAGTATATATTAAAGTAGTACAGACATACTTAACAGTTCCTGCTTCATTTAGAGGCAATCATAATTCAACGAAGTACAGACCAAACATCAAGTGTCTTCTCGGGAAAACAAAACACACAAACAAAGTATGAAGACACAAGTGATGTACTAACCAGGCCTGACGATGCGGTTGAAAGGGTGCTTGTGGATCTGGTTCGTCTTGAAGCACCGTTCACAGAGGTCGTAGTTTCTGCAGAAGCGGCACTTGAACCTCGACCCAACCAACGGGGTGGCATCACACCCGTCACAGCTGGAAAAATTAGAGAGATCAATCGGACAAGTCTTGAGTACAATCTACAGACCAACCCCTACCAAATGAAAGTTTTTTTTATTTTTTGCGGTAAATACTTGTTCATACAGCCTAGCCCCGTCTATTCAGTCATGGGCTCTCAGATAGCTTCTGCCAACCTCCCAGGGTTCCCACAAGCGTTCCTGAGCTGTCAAATTTCCTCGGTTGTTTCCGTTAACCGTGCAAAGTAAATACCAGTCTGAGAACCCGTGTTCTACACATAACCCATCATTCCTATTAGGGGGTGCATGAATATTCCCAATTTTCTAATAGCAAATCGAATACTAATCTATTCAATTAAAATGAAAAGTGATTTTTTTCGTCTAATAACTTTTGAATACACTGTAAAAGCCTTTCCCTGGTCCTGATTTTTCGCGAAATTGGTGGCGGAGTTTTATTAATGTGAAAGCGTTAACTGTCTCACGGAGCAAACTGACCTCATCAGCTTTGACGATGCGCCAGACGGCACCTAAACTCCCCTCTCCCAATGGGGTGAAGTGAAGCCGCGACCTGATGGATTGGCTCCCATTGGCTGGCGCGCGTCTTCAAGGAACGAGGCTCCCATTAGCTCTCGCGCGGCGTAGTTCCAAAAAACGCCACCAGAGAAGCCCTCTCCATGGCGGCGCAGCGCACGCAGCGGCACGGCCGCCGGTAAGAGGTGCGGGCCTGGCCGCACAGCCTGCTCGGGCAAACCCGACAGGCTGCACGGCAGAGCTCAGTGCGGCGCGGCCACTTCACGACAGTGCCCGCTCGGCCGTTGGCCGTAGCCTCTGCAGTAGCGAAACGTGGCCGTCCACACCACTACACCGCAGACGAACGAGGGGAGCAAGAAGATGACTTTCGCATTTACAGCTCATAAGAAGTGCTAAGGTGCCCTCGAACTTTTTCACTGCCATTACATTTTGTGAATTCTAAAGGCTGGAATTCGCCTCTACAGACAATAGAAATATTCGTGCCCACTAAAGTTAGTGAATTTTACAATTGACAAAATTCGTGAAAATTAGGGGCTCGCAAACATTAAGGGTTTTATACAGTTGAACCTCGAGTTAACGAAGTCACTAGGACCCGCTAATTATTTTGTTAGATAGGGAACTTTGTAAAATCGAGGAAGGGAGACCTCATGCATAGGCTGCACAGGGAATCCGAATTTGTTCGTTAAATCGGGAAATGCATAAAATCGGGTTTCGTAAAATTGAGGTTCAACTGTAATAACCTTTGAATTGCATCACGAGTTTTCCTTCCCTTGTGAAGGAAATGTCCTCGGCATAATGGTGGGCCCTTGCAGGGAAGAGGACCTACCGTTTTGCGACCACTTACATAACATTCTCGTGAAGGGTGGGCACACGCTCCATCTCGGAGACCAGGCCCATCCAGTTGGACTGCTGTGGAAAGTCTACGGTCACGTCTCGCCCGGTGCGGCTTATGCCTGCAACGGATTCGGGTGGGGTCGGCCAAGACAATCCAACTCATTTGTACAAAAGTAGACCTTCGGAACTCCCCAGATAAATCAACATTCCACACAAAAACTAATCATAAGTTTGGTGGGATAGCAGGCAGTAATGAGCGGGCAATGCTGTGTTAAACATTTCTAGAAGTGTGAGAGGGAAAAATTACACTGTCAAGTGAACCCGATCTGTAAAAAGCAATTTGCCTCGTACGAAGCATCAGTATGATAATACGTCTAAGCTAGTTTCAGTAACCGTGTCTGATTGCGAGAACATTTCTTTTCAACAAAACAGTATGTGACAATTCTACAACTTGCAAAAATAGAAGCCGGCTGGGTTGAAGAGAAAATAAGACCCCGCAAAGACAAATGTCAAGTTAACAAGCAAAACCACCAAAACCGAAAAGAGGAAATTTAAGTATACCATCTTGGGGTCCCTGCACCGAGAATTTGAAGCAACAAACTATCCCTCTTCGACATCCTAGATCCAGTATAGGTTCCCTATCCCCGATGGTGCCGACGTGGCGCTGAATCTTTGTAGAAGGACAGCAGTGGAGGCCGCAAGTGTCGCAAAATCGTCGCTTTTAGATAGCATTGTTCACCCGTCGGCGGCCACTAAGTCCTCGCGCCGCTCAGAGCCACTAGATAAGGTACGCTTAGAGTATCGGCTTTTCGTTACCCAATTTTCTTGTCGGCGACGACATTACGGTAGTTAGCGCATGGCGGGTGCAACTGGCACCGGTTACGATCTGAAAATGCGATTTTCTAAGCTTTGGATATGATGTCGAGAAGCTCGGGCGATATCGTTTCACGCTGCCGCAGACTGTCTCCGAGTCTCCGGAGGCCGGAAAGCCAGTTTCCCGTGATTTCAGATCGAGCTTCAGGTAACTGGCAACAATGATTTGAAGCCCTCTGAAGCGTAGCCTACTAGGGGCTCTGACGTGACACTGACCATTGTGCACCGACGGCTCTCCCTCAATGAAACCTCAAGAGAGATGATCGAGAGACCCTTCAAAGCGTCCTGCTTCTGTCTCCGGGGCAACTCACTCAACGCAGAGCACTCACTGGTGACCGTGCCGACGCTCGAGCGCGACACCGACCCCCACTTGTACTTGGGCTGCGACACCGTCGGCCGCACCCGCACCCGGTCGCCGACGCGGAGGGCGCCGGACTGCGTTGCAGACTGCGTCGCTGTCGTTAAGGGGACCGGAGTGGCCGGAGCGGGCGTCGGCGGAGGGCTGGACGAGTGCGAGTAGCCGAGGAGCTCCACGTGGATGTAGCGCACCCAGTAGACACCGCCCTTGCGCTGCCAGTTGACCAGGACGTTCAGGTCGTGCAGGCCGTCGCGATCCAGCTGTGTACAAAACCCCATGTGACACTTTGGCCTTGAACCTGTGACCTTAAAGATAAGACCCTCCAAAGTTTTGATACTAAGCCTAACAGTTTTTTTGGGCTCCTGAAGTCAATGCCAGCCAACTTAAAGGCCGTCACGATCCACCTGCGTCCAAAACCTACGCGACACCCTGACCTTGAACGAACTTGCTAATATGACCTTCCAAAGCTGCATGCAAAGCTAAGCCTAATGGGTTTTCTTGGCTCCTGAGGAGAACGGCAGCATCTTAGAGGCTGTCACAATCCACCTGCATCCAAAACCTGCGCGACAGTTCGACCTTCAGCCTGTGACCTTGGAGTGTGACCTTCCAAAGTAATCACAATGATCCCAACAAGGATTTTTGGCTCCAAGGACAATGGCAGTTATTTGGAAGGACGTCACAATCCAGCTTTGTACAAACCCTGTGTGACCTCTTGACCTTGAACTTGTGAACTGAAGAGATATAACCGTCCAAAGTTTCTATGCTAAGCCTAATGTGTATTTTGGCTCCCGAGGTCAATGGCAGCAATCTTCAATGTCAAAGGTTTTTAACGTCACAAATCAAGTAGTCTAAGTGTAAGAAGCCAGGAACTCGTTAGGCCTAATGTCGTAACTCTGCAAGGTCAAATTCAAAGTAAAAAAAAACAGAAAAATATCATCCCTAAGCGCTTTGATCCTTGACCTGAGAATTAACCCTTTGGGGTCGTCTGTCGGTATCTCCGGTTCTGCAGAACTGCTGCCCCGACAGGCCCATTTCTCCTTTGCAATTTCAACCTGCGCCGTCTCTTGTCCGGTATGCATTTGTACTTAGTTTTTTTTTTGCTAGAAGCGGGGGAAGTTCAACGTGGCAGCCTTTACTCCATCTGCGTTTTACGGACTGTGCAGTCTGTGGACCGTGCAGTCTGCAGTTACAAGAAAGTTGAAGAGCAAAGACGTTAACTGTTTCTATTGTAAAAGCTGCCCTCGACACCCTGGCTTGCACCCCGGCATTTGCTTCGAAAGGTATCATACGCTGCACAAATACCACTATGGTATTTTTGCAGCTCAATCATTCAAATGAAAACGTTCAGGAGAGTGCAAAGTTGTTTCAAACATAACATATTGATCCTAGTACATATGCAGAGTTGAATTCGAAGTCACTCAGTGATTTCATAGTTTTTTGCTTAAACTAATCTGACCCGAGGGGCCTTCAAGGGGAAAGCTCACATGACCCCAAAAGGTTAAAAGGACACCAACACCCCCCCAATTTTTTTTTTTTTTTTGCCAGGCAATGTAATATGAAGTTAGGTGACTACTCAATCAATATTTTGCTGCAGAGTCCCATATATTTTTGATAAAGCCAAAAAAACTCAGCTGCTCAAAACCGAAACACGAGCACGGAAGCTCATAGCTGCAAGTCACGTGGCTACACCTGACCACATTTTTTTTTCCACCCCTTTTCCGGCGTGTGAAGTAAGACCGCTTGTCGTGCGATTGTTTTGCACTTATATCCCTTCCGCTCGGTGTTGTGCACTTGAAGATCGATTGGTCGGTACAACAAATGACATGTCAGAAGTAGCGGCCGTTTGTCCGTCACAACGTTGGTCCGTCATGTGCTGCCATCGCATCGTCCAGCCCATGGTATGTCGCCATATCGAGAATAATGAGTATGTGCACTTCCCGTGATCTGTGCAATATTTGCTCTTCTGAGCACCGTATTCGGAGCTCTTTGAAGGCCAAAACAAATGGGGTTCATATTATTGCGCATGTCGCCGAGGGAGTGCGAGCCTTGCCGAATGGTTACCGTGCTTGACTTTTGTACGGCGCCCCAAAGTTCGATTCCTGGGAGCGGCCACTTCTTTTATTTACTCCTTCAACTTAGCGTTCTCGTGAGTTCGAGAACCTTGTCTTCTGATCAAGGTATGAATGTTTTATGCGCCGAACGTTTTACGCCAAACATTCCAGAAACCCACGCAAGTACAAAAGCTTCTTTGAGTGGCAATCCGAGGCCAGTCTCACCCCAGCGCTCCATCCTGCTGTTTCGCCGACATCGACGTCTGCGACGCTAACCTTCTTCTATTTTGATTTTTGGGCAGAAGTGTGCCCCATTAAACATTTAGTTTCTTCAGTTATTAGCCGCCTCATCATTTGTCATACATGACAACATTCTTTTTTATTTTCAATATTGAATGTGTGCCTTAGATGACTTACGACTTTGAATATATTTTGCACACATAGTTCGAATGCCACGTGCAACCCCATGCCACTACAGGCCCCGCACCGATTAAAACGGACACAATGGTGCGCTCGGAAGCTTCTGCTCGTCTTGCCGCCAACCAACATGGCCATGCCTCTAGCATCCACATCGTCACCAGGCCTTCTGCCACAACTCGAAAACATTACTCGCGCCACAAAACTCCGCAAATCACTCCACGGCGTTCTATTTATGCTTACGCATTCGCAACTCATAAAAAGTGCTTATGTGTCTTTCGACTTTTTTTTTTTTAATTTTTTTATAGCTATTTTAAGCGAAGCTTGTAACTAAGTGTGGTGAAAAAACAGCAAGTGGCACAAACACCGATTCCACTACTACAGTATCGGAGTCTTATACTACAGTGAGACTTCCTGATCTCCCAAATCTTGATAGTATAGCCCTAGTTGTGCACAAATATAAGCTTACACAGCTTTATGCTGGCAAACACGGCTGCACCCACCTCGACCACCCGGCCAATGTCGCCCTCGTGAACTTCCTCATAGGTCCGGCAACAGCGGACCCACATGCCACGCTCGATCCGGTCCCGGACATGATGGGCGTAATCGTCGTTGTTCGCAAAGTCTCCTCTGCACAGATACGTCGTGCTTGTCGTTGCCTGCAACCAAAACAAGCGCACTACAGATAAATCAAAAACATTCGCTGAATCTACATCATTTACAGTGTCTGTAGGTGAAAGAATCACTTTTGCCACTACTGTGAGTAGGAGAGCCAAGAGAAAATTATACCTAAGGCAAGTCACTCTACCACACGCCAAGTTGCATATCAAAGATAATTTTGCTGTGGAGAGTATGTAGTGAGGATAAAAGTATACTATACTCCGCGACAACTTTTCTTGGCAATGCAGTGGAAGGTACAGGCCCGCGTCCTCCTCCCATTTTGAGTGTGCGCAGGCTCTCCTCCTCTCCCCAAAATTGGGGGAGGAGGAGAGCCTGCGTACACTCAAAGTGGGAGAGGGGACGCGGGCCTGTACCTTCCACTGCATTGCTAAGAAAAGTTGTCGCAGAGTATAATAAAGCAAAGTTGACACAGGCTTGTAATACTGGTATAAAAATTTGGGGTAGTACTGCTATAGTGACTTCACTATAGAAAAGTTGTAGTCATATTAAAAAAAAACAAGGAAAGAATGACATTTACTCTACTGATTCATTTACACCTGGATTGCATTGCCTTTAATCCAATACTGCACAGGACAGAAGAACAGTTAGAAAAATATTTTCCTAAAATAAATTAAAAAGAAACTGGCCCACCCTACCTCCCTGAGAGATCCACTGGCATCGCCATCAAAAAGGTCATCCGAAAAGGAATCCGACTCTGAACAGTTGTCCAGGGACGTTATGCTCTCGTCGTCCGAGAGGTAAGGCACCTGATCCTCGTGCTCCAAAAGCCAGGAAACAATCGCCTCGGGACTGGGCATCACGTGGAACGAACCCGCTGCTCGGTGAAAGAGAGAGAGAACAAGTCAAAGAATCCCAACACCGAATGCACAACACAAGTGGTACCCACCATAAAATCCCAATTATCTGCCCACCCACGACGAAGCGATACAGTATGGTGGAAAATGTTAGGTACGTAGGTGATTTGTGACGATGGGACAGCAAAACATTATAAAGAAATAAGCGATAAACACAGAGAGGGGGGTAGGGGCGCTCGCCAAAAACTATGTCTTGGGAACTGATACTGCAGATCGTGAATGCAGCAACTTTACGTTTGACGACGAAATAAGCACGCCGCAAATTGCCACGAACTCACTTGTCATAGAGACTGAAGATTTGCATCGCATGGTGCGATAAACACGCGTGAACCCGCAAAAAACTTGTAAGTCATAGAAACCATCGTTGTGCAAGCAGATCGCAGACACGTTAAATTCGAACCTTCGTGGTGCGACAAAAACACGCCAGAACCTGCTACCAGCTCGCATGTCACGGGAATTGAAACCGCGGATTACACAATTAAAGTGAATCTCGTCGGAGATTCCGCGATGTCCGACGGAATGGTAAACAATGTTACAAAACTTAAGCCAAAAAGAAAAAAGAGGAAATTGCAGACTGCAAGCCAAAATTAAAAAAAAAAGATCAATACAAAAAAAAATCTACATAATTAATGGGCCACTAATACTATCCCAGAGCCACTAATATAAGCACACGCTGGTTGCCCACTTTGGTCGAACCGGCTGTGCCGCAGCATGGTGCGATGCGCGCAAGGATATTTTCCCTCGCATCCGTCGTGCAGCTTCTTCCGAGCCATTGCAGGCTAACCGATCCTCCCCGGGTTATGTGTGAGAAAAAAGATGGCGCACCTAGAGCACTGAGGGCAACTTCGACGCCGTGTCTCGAGAACCCCATCTCGACGAGCTGCTGGACGATGGGCACAGACGACTGCGCCGCTCCAGCTGGTGTCGGCAGCGATGGCCGCCGAGACGTTGCTCCCTGCCGATACAGATCCAGACAAAATGTTAGCTGTCAAACTTTTGCCCGAAACTAACATCGCCCAAAGCTAAGGCTGCTCGAAACTAAGGTTGCTCAAAAATAAAACGGCTGTGGTACGAGGGAATGTAACCATACTGCTACATGACAATATCATCTATATCTTTCCAGGGGCAATATCGCTCCATGGAAAGGCTCCGTAAGCTAGAGAAGAGCTAGGGACCAACAGGAAATACGAGTGTTTCACGTATTAATGTTTTGAAATCGAAAAACCAAACAAGGGGTGGTTCACCGATTAATGCAGATTTGCACGTTTAGTGAAGCTTACCGCATTTAACCCTCACAAAATGAAGAGTGCCACAGTCGAAGAGAGTTGGCGGGGGCTAAACACCCGCGTCCCAACTCCATTGGCTATGCATGCGTGCAAAAAGAGGACGACAGAGAAAGAAAGTAGAAAACAGAAGAGACACGAGAGAGGACCTCGAGATGCTTCGAGAAGACTTCGGCAGCTGTAAGAACTAAAAAAAAAGAATAGGAGAAAAAGAAACGGTACAAAAGAAGAATGTGGCAACGCTATTGCAGCGTTGCATGTCTCAAGTTTGAGGTTGAAGCTAGCGTCCATCGCGTTCCTCATAAAATGGAATTCAGCATACGACTGTTTGATCGATAAATCGAAATATAAAACTGCAAATGTTTTTTTGGCTGGCAAGCAATTATGGAAGGGTCAACCTGCAAATGAGTTGACTTATAATAGTGTAAAACGGTCATGAAGAAAGATAGCACCCGCCCCGCACGAACTCAGCCTTAGTTATATGCAAACCAGGAATGTTCCGGGGCTACCCGACAAACGGCGCCAATGTGCCAGTGTGCTCTCTCGTCGCAAGAGGTCACGGGCGGTTGCCACAAAGTCGAGTGCACTCTGAGGCAAACATGCGAGGTGGTAATTAGAACTGAAACAGTTCCCTTGATTCGTGGGTGTACCTTTGCTTTGGCCCTATGGCTCCTGCTGGGCAAAACGGCCGTCGCATCGTCTGCCACGTGGTCTGCCACGCAGGCGGCCGTGGCACCGTCCTCGCTGGAGGGAGAGGCCATTCGCAGGGCGCCCTCCTCCTCTTCTTCGGCGTCCTCCCTGAACTCTGAGCAGGGCAGCTGGGCAGAGGGCGCCACCGCCACCTCGTGCCGGGTGCCTTCCGCCGTCAGAAACTGGACAAGAGCCACGGCGGCAGCCTGCCAAAAAGAGTCGAATAACAGTTATGACAGACCAGTTTTCATACAGGCCAGACTAAAACACAATCTAGACCCCATCGAAGATCTCGTAACCATCGGTAAATATGACAATTCTGAACCACTGTAACCTGGAAATCCTCTCTAGGAGCAAAGCTCCTTGAGTCTAGCCTTGCCTGTCCAGCATCCTTGCTCACATCGATCTTGCTGGTGCTCGTGAGCTCACGTGCTCGTGCAAGGCAAAAAAAAAAAAAAAAGTTTGCGCAGTTGACAGGATTTGAACGTGTGCGGGGAGACCCCAATGGATTTCTAGTCCATCGCCTTAACCACTCGGCCACGACTGCGGGACGAGTAGGGGGCTCTGAGATGTGGTAGTAACTCAAGAGCTGGGGTTTCTGTCATGGATGAAACGTTGCAGGTAGCCGCTCAGCGTCTATACAGGAGAGGGCGCTGCGGTCACATGCGTATATAATCGCGTTAAACTTTGCATGCATTGGCTCAACGTTTATAGATGAGAGGGCGCTGTGGTCAAATGCTCAAATGCGTATCTAACCGCGTTCCATACCACACATTGTCTTTCTGAAATGGATGAAAACGAATGAAAGGCTCGGCATGCTGCGGCTCAGCGTCTACAGACAAGCACCACCAGAGCTTCGCCCCAATCAACATCATTCACCACGTGGAGATGCGGTCTTTTTCATTGCCATGCAGTCAGATGCCTTTACAACGAACACCTCTACTACGAAAACGCCCGTTTATCGAAGCAAAAATAAATTCACGACCAATCTCCTATGTGTTCAAAGTGTTTCTCCGACAATTACAACAAATTTCTATTTCATGAATATTTCTGTTTAATGGAGTGCGCAGTTCCACAAAGCAAAAGTGACGGGTATTAAAAATTTTCTAGGTCAATAGTAGTCGACTTTGTGTAAACTGTCGCTTTCAATTGACGCACATAGAGGACAGAAATACTGCGACAGCGGCGACGGTTGACACCGCTCCCGCACCCCTTTGCCATTGCAGCACCAAACATTCTCGGTTTTGGGTTCAAAATATCTTGTTAGCATGCAACTTTGTGTCTAGGTGGCGCTATGGGACTACGTTGCTGCTAAGTCTGTACGCAGCAACCTAGTCACGTAGCACCATCTAGACACAAGGTTGCACACTAACAAATTATATTTGGACCGGGCCAAAACGGAATGCGTGATGCGGCGACGGAGGAAGCGGCGTGGCGAATGCAGCGCTGCCTCTACCGCCCCCCCCCCCCCTGCTGTGTGCACTTCTGCATACTTTTCTTTACTCTTGTTCTGCTTGTGCTGTTGACTGAGGATGCGCCACTTCGCTTACTCCGCTCCAAAATAAGCTTTTTCTTTTTTTTTTTTTGGGGGGGGGGGGGGGGGCTTTGTTTTGGGAATTGTATGCATTCGTTTTTTGATTTTGCATGTGCGTGTGATGTGGAGCTCTAATAATCAATTCAGTCGTTTTGCACTGAAAAAAGTGCTGCAACAGTCATCGCTCCCGAGGTTTATGCCTCGGTGAACGATGAATTGTTTGCTCCGAGTTGACAACAGACGACATCGTGGAAGTCCTCAGGGAGGCGAAGCAACCTTCCGAGGATGACTTAGCAGAGAGCGATGAAGAGCCTTCAGAGGAGCCAGAAGTAATAACAATTTGTGAAGTAGTCGGAGCATTCAACTGTTTCCTCACGACTCCTGTCACTAACAGCTACCTCAGTAAGAGCTACAACATTCATTGCCCTCCAGAAAAGCGTGCAAGGAACACCCACCTCCAACTCGAGCCTGGAGAAAAGAGGCCGAAGCGGTGACGGTTGCGTGGCGGCGGCCATCACTTGCTCCGTGAGAGTGACTGGTGCAAAGGCGTCGGCGGTCGAATCTTCTTCAGCACAGGTGCTGTCGGCCATTGACTGCGGTTGCTGCTGCTGCTGCTGTTCAGCGATGCTCTGCATCAAAACTTTTCTCAGCACAGACTGCTGAGACGCCAGCACGCGAGTGGCACGAATTGTCCCAAGCAGGAGGTGCTGCCGAGTCAGCAGGCCCACGTTGACGCTGGATGCTGATTGAGAAACAAAACGACCAAAGTAAGCGTCAAGGATCGGGCAAGATGACGCAAGTTGTCTCGTCTAGTTGCGGAACAAATGAAACGAAAAATGCTAATAAATACCGACCATCTGCCCATTCCACAATAAGCGCCCACCCCTCAATTTTATAACATTCGGAAAATACACAAAGGATATATCTTTACATATTGTTGACCCAAGGAGCACCCATTCCCCAGGTTTACATGATTATCTCTAAAATCTGAGTGGGCGATTGCTCAGGATTTTATGGTGGATACAAAGCCACCCGTATATTTCAGTTATCATTGCAAAAGGACAGCAACACACAAGATAAAGCTCATACTTCCAATTCCTCTTGTGCACAATTTTACCAGACAATGTAGATTATACCGTAATATCCCGAGTCATTGCCCACCGCCTGCTGCCTGAAATTCATTAAAAAGTGGGGGTAGGCCATGTCTCGGTAGGTAAGCACAAAAAGTTTAGAAAAAAACTGAAAAACACTTGGTTTCCTGAACATATCTAGTGCGGCTGCACAAGAGATACGTTAAACTCAAAACCAGAAAAGTACAACGTAGACTCTAACCAATTTCTTCAATGTGCCCGATGTTTCGACGCCAGCTCGGCTCCTTGTTCACGGGTGACAGTATATGGGCCCAAAGGTAGCAACCTGTCGTCGTTTTCTTCTCTCTTAGCTTTGTTTTCTTCTTCTGTTTCTGAGTGTGGCGCACTTTAGCCCGTGTATATAGCTGCTTGGAATCGGTTCAGGTTGTTGCTTGTATTTTGTATGTCCCAAGATTCTATTAAGAGCCGCTTTCTCCAGTTTCCTTCTGTGTCAAGGATGGAGCTGCTGTCAAAGCCAATGACGTGGCCGGTCTTCTTTACGTCATACTTATGTCTACGGAGACGTTTGGGAAAGTTCTTTGTTTCCCCCACTTAAGAGGCGTCGCATTCGGCATAAGAAACGTCGGGCACATTGAAGAAATTGGTTAGTGTCTACGTTGTACTTTTTCTTATTACTTACCTAACCGGGCAAAGTTCCGCCGCAATGTTTCCATTTAAACTCAAAACCTGAATGACTTTCATTGAAAGAAATACTCATAAAGAATGTTTTACTCTGGCAAACTTTGTTGCTTGCATATGAACACCGCCAATCAGCATCCAGCACAAACGTTTCTTCCGTGAGAGTGTGCTTCCAACACTGCCTCTTCACGTGTGAGAGCAATGGGCGGGAACCCATCGCTCTCATGAGCAATGGGTTCCCGCGTGGGACTGGTCGGCCGCTTGTCTACGCGGGAGCCCATTGCTCGCGAGTGGTCGACCAGCGCCATCCGTCGTTCGACCACATTCGGCCAGGTTCGGTAGCATCATCTGTCGTTCTGCACCAACGGTGTCCCAATCTTAGATTGCTTTTTTTAATACGCAAATTGGCCGCACGGGAATGCAATTTTGGGTTTCTTAGGATGCTTAGGCCTGGTAGACTGAGTTATGACCACAAAACGAGGATCTCAAAAAGCACTATGGTGCGCCTTTAAGAATTGCCAAGCAAGTCCTGACTATCTTCTTACCTCTCCGCAGTCAATGAGATTTCAGTCCAACAAGAAAGCCAAGAAACTAATCGCAGTCACACCCTGAGCTTTTACAGCGGAGCTGTTAAAAGCTAGGTTTCCCAGGATCGTGTCCGGTATGTCGACACAAACCTACCTGGACAGCTACCGCCATCTATAAGCGACGGTGGCAAGCACACAACCAGTCTGGTTTCCTCCAACGCTCGTAGATGGCGGCAACCTTTCCAGCTATAATAGAAGAATGGATAGTTGGGCGCATTGGTGGGAATTCATCGTAGAAAACAGCGCGAAAAACAGACGATGACGACGAAGAAGTATATCGAGTACAGCTCCGCTGGTCTTCCTTCTTCACGGAAAGGCTGTGGAAAGGCTGAACCATTTTTCAGGTGTCAGTGACTCCAGGCTTCCCCACACTGAGCAAGCTATGCATTGTAGCCAAAACCAGAGCTGCCATTCTGACACGCCTTTAGATAAAGACCAACGTTAAGGAAGCATTCTTTGCAGAGAAACGGGAGGGTGCTGTAGTCACCTTCATTCCCGGCTGCGAAGTGGGAGGGGCGGTCGAGGCCCAGCTTGGGTAACACGGAGACGGCCCGGTTCAAGAGCACGGCCCAGGTGCGAAGCATGCCGTCGTTCAGGGGAAGCTTCTGCAGCTGGAAGCTGTTCTCACCGCTCTACGAGGAAACAGATACAAGAGACACTCTTCAGAGCTCGAAAGAAAAATTATAAGAGTTCTATCATTTTTCTCAAATGTTCCAGCTCTAAGGGATATGTAAAAAAAGCTGTAAGAGCTCTAAAATGATTTTAAGAGGCGTAAAAGAGTTTTAGAGTTCTAAAAGATGTATGGAAAAGATGCAAGTAGGTTCTGAAAGAGTTCTAATTAAAAAAGTCTTTTCTAAACACTCTAAAACAGTTTAAGACAGAGCAACAAGCTCTAAAATGAGGAAAAAAAAAGTCACTCTTCATAATGCCATAAAGCGTAAATCGGAACCGAGTGAACCCAAGCTGGTAAAGAGCTCCGTACAAATACATTTAAAATAGCTAGAAGGAATACTGTTCTAATTGCAAAGTCGTTTGCAAAGTGCTCTCTGCCATATATAAACAGAATATGCGAAAAAGCACGTGGTCATGTGACGCAAGATCGCGTGACAACTTGGTTTCCTGATGATTGTGTCAGGAAACGCTAAAGCCACGTGACACCCCGACACTGCGCCGTCACGTAACACCGCCACGTCAGGGCGTCGCTTGACGTTACGCAGGACCCATAAATGCTAAGCATTTAGAGTGCCTTTGGGATATTACACCGAAGAGACGGGCAGCTTTTGAGTTTCAATTCTCGGTAAAACGAGTGACCGGGCTCTAAACTCACGGGAGCAAGCTGTTCGAGCGGCCGCTTGACGAGCATGTCTCGCGTGTGGCAGTGCACCAGGAGTTTCCCGCGCAGCGAGATCCCAGCCACAGTTCCTTTCTCCGAAGGACACTCGGGCAGGTGCACCGTTCCGCCCAGACGGACCCTGTGGTCCACGCCTCCGAGGACGGCCAGCGCCGCCAGGGATCCGCTCTGCTCAAGCAGGAGCGCATCCGCGGACTGGCACGCAGATGTCTGCAAAGCAAAAACCAGCCGTGTGGAGCTTAAAGGGAAAACCGTCACGAAAAAAGTGGGTAGCGACCAACGTTCCAAAGAATTTTGTAACCTTACCGTGTTTCCCGAACTATACGTAAAAAATAATGGCGTGGGTTAGCTGGTCTAAATTTACGCTTTTCTTAAACCACCCAAGACTGGGCAGAAAACGCTCCCCACCCAGTCTCAGTTGGTTTAGAAAAATGAGATATACACGTTTCAATGTTGAAATTTTATGCAGTGAAGGTGGTGCAGGCTATAGAGTTATTTTCTTCTAATATTGTTCACTATGACTAGACAGGACAAACTGAGTAACAAGTATCTTAATGATCATTGATGTAATTTGCAATTTTGCTGCTATAAATTTGCACGTAACCAACTAAACTACCAAAAAACATTTTTTTTTTAAGGGGGGACATGGGTCTTTGGAGCCAAAAACTTCCTGAAACTGCCATCTTTTGAAAATGGCAATGGCTGTTGTTCTTCTGAATCTACCAGGCTTACAATTTCGTGAATGAATATTTGAGCTATAAATCAATTTATAACATCCATGCGGACTGAATGTGCATTGAAGTTGACTCTAAAACATTGTTTTCACAAAACACAATTTTTGGACTTGTTGAAAATTTGCAGGAGGGATATCTCGGCATCTAGAGCAGATAGAAATATAACCGTACTTGAAATGTGTAGCTGAATGCGTGAAGCATACAATGTTGAGAGCAGATTTTTTAATATAAGTCTAGAAAAATTTCTATTTGATCTTTTTCTATATTACTTGTTAGCCGTGCATTGAGCACTGAACTTCAGTGTGTGGTAAAATCACTAATAAAAAGTTTATCTTAAAAGTGCTTCCAACATTGTATTTTCTACACTTTGTAGTATCTAGCCATGTGTTTAAAAGAATATTTTGTTGAGCAGTTTTTTTTCTATCGTTTTTCCAAACAAAGGCAGTCAAGCTTTAATTATTTCTAGGACAATTCTACTGACTGAGAAAATGACCAGATATATGAAATCAGCACAAAAAGTTGAACAAACTTGTGCAGTTTCATTGGGTTTGGTCATAAAATAAGAAAGAAAGCTCCAAGACCAGTGTTCCCCCTTAAGGGCCGAGATGGGTCACGTATGCCATAAAATAAAACTTCCTTGGAAACAATAATTTTTAACGCAATATTTAAAGAAGCAGTGCAAAGACTTCAATTCTAAAAGAATTTACAGCTTGTATTTTAAACTATTTATCTCTGCGCACCTGAGGGAAAATGTGCCACATTGCCCCGAACTACTGCAATTCCGCCGCAAAACTACAAAGGAAGAAAAGCTCGAGGTAAACCTAAGCACTTCTGATGAGTTGTGAATGCGAAAGCATGAATGTGTGACAATGTGGATGCTAGAGGCGGTGCCATGTTCATCGTCGGCGAGACGAGCAGAAGCCTCCGAGCGTGCTCCAACGTGTCCATTTTAACTTGCACGGGGCCCGTAGTGGCACGAGGTTGCGGCGGTTAGTTTTATCAGCGCGCTGGCGACACTAGAGTGCCTTCATACACACGCACGGTATTGCTTGAGTGGTGACATGTCAGCCATTTTTTTTTCCAATCATCTTTTTATGCACTTTGAAGTGCACGGAATCCCGTGTCACTCAGCTCGAGCTCGTAGCTTTGGCTAATGCGTAGACGCCATTTTACTACCCAAGTCACGCACCGAGTGCACATTCAGAGCAACAATGGATGTCTTCACCCTGAGACAGACAGACATGTAGGCACCCTAGGTGGCACGGACACGCAGCGCCATCTGGCGGCGGTCGTTGAAACTGGCGCACACAGCGGCCAATGGGAGCCTCGTTGCCGCGTGGCAGCCAATGAGATCTTTGGGATCAGGGAAACTAGGTGCTGTTTTCGTGCTTCAAACTGATGACGTCGGCTCGCTTCATGGGGCCCAGTTAATGCTTTCGCATTAAAACACCTTTTTTCCCTATCTACGGCTACGAGTGGCAATCCCGGGGACCACAGTGTCACGTCACTGAGGGTACACCAGATAGTCTAGATTATTAGCGGCGAGATGTTTTGGTGGCGCCCTCGTATGGTTCCCTCTCGTGACGTCATGACCTTGCAAACAACAAGTTCGATGCTGTTTGTAATGGGCATGGTGGAAGCTCGAAATCATTACCCTTTCAAAGCAACACTGCGAACTTGGTCGAAATTGAAGTTCTTACATTACTCTTATTTCTGTCAATGAGAAATCCTTTGCTGACGTTTTAGTCAGCATTCGGCCAATCGTGGAAGGCCAACCACAGCGACGCTTTCGATCGTGCACGTCGCCAATAGAGAAGGTTGGTCTCAAACCATGGGGAGCACTTGCAGTTTAATGGCGGACACGTCCAGCGGACATTGGTCGCAAGCACGCATGCGCTGTGTTTTCGTGTGGCGAGGGGGAAAGCGGGTGGAAAGGCAGACGCTCGTAGACGACAAACGCGTTGGTCACCTCCTCTCAGCTCGTATTCAAAACGTGGCCCATAAACCACGTGACCCTGATCGAGAAGTTGGGCTCTCTTTGTAATACGGGCCTTCAGAGTACACAAGCTTTCGTGGCACCATCTACGGGGAGTCAACAAAACCATTTTCTCCTCGCCGCCGCCTTTCCCACCATTTTCGTGGGGCTTTTGTCTCGATTTCTCGCCGCAACCTTCGAGGCTGCTGAGCAGGTACAGTGCTGCATTGTAGCCGAATCGGACCTTGAGAGGTCGACAACCGCGGCGGGAGGGCCGAAAGGGCCCCGTTGAAAGAACCGAATGTGCTGCTCCGAGTGCCGTCACTGCATCCCTCGCTCGAAGGATCGTGCGAGTTGAGGCATACCCCGACCTGCCATATGTTTCATTTCCACGCGAAATGTGCTTCGTCTTATCAGGGAAGGTCTAGAACTTCTGACTGCCTACACACACACCGAGGGCGCCATTTGAACGTAGCGGCGCGCGCACGCCGCTGCTTGGATAGTTTGTCGCAACGTCAACGACGCACTGCATTTGCCGCACCGACTCCTCCTCCTCGGTATTATCGGCAGTGTTGCCAGATTGGGCTATATATAGCCAAATTGGGCTACATTTTTTTCTAGTTGGCGTCAAAATTTCGTGGTTGGCTATGTGGCTATTTTGGGCTATTTCTAAGAATGCGGCGAACTTTTGTCGAACCTCGGGTTCGACGCCGAACTTTGAGGTTCGGCTTGTTAATTTTCAGACTTTTAATCAGTTTCGAAAAAAAAATGTTTCTTTTTTGGCTAGTCGAGAGGAGAGAGAGGAAGGAGAAAGGCTTCAATCTTCTACAAACTTCGGTGCTTTCACAATGCGCAGTGAAGCAATGCTTGCAGAGTTCAAGCAGCCTCCCTGCAGCGCTGCGGAGCAAACCAAACAGATTGCACTATTACCACAGGCTCGGTAGTGCCCCTTCAACCCGGACGCATATGGCTCGGACGTAGACTGAACTCTCCAAATGCTGCTTTGGTGCCCATTGTAAAAATCCTTAGGCACTCAGGTTTGTAAAAATGAGAGATCCGCAGTTTCACCGCTATACAATTGACTACCTTCCAGTCGCTGCCCACCCCAAGAAAGGACAACACAGTCGAAAATCGCGTGAACATGAATTTTTGACACTAATATTCTTCACAAAGGAGAAGAGACAGGTGGGATATTGGTAAAGACCTGGGATATTGGGGTTCTGGTTTGAAACATCCAGTGTTCTGACTGTTCTCCTTCTGTATTTTGTTCTTTTACTGTATGATCATATCTCCCGGGCTTCACAATAAAGCTGTCTTTGTGTGTTTTGTAATTCTGAAATCTACGAAGCAAGTGCCAGTTTTGTATGGATTTTCATCATTCCGAAGCTTTTTTTGAGAAATTCAGAAGTAACATAATGTACATAAATGTGGTGCATCTGAGGGTTGAAACAGGGATTGTAACGTGTATGTATGAGTGTGAGAAATTGGCAATATAAGGCTTAAAAATCATTGTTTTTAGTCTTAACTATTTTGGGCTATATTTTTTTAACGGCTTTGGCTATATTTGGGCTATACCTCCCAGTCGTTTGGCGGTTTTTTGTGGGACCATCTGGCAACACTGATTATCGGTAGTGCTACGCGTGTGATCGTAGTTCTTTCGTGTGTCAAACTGCCTTGCATGAGTGATGGCTCCAAACGCTAAAAAACGGATGTCCCTGACATTTGCTGCAAAACTGGAAGCTATCCAGCGGGTTGAAAATGGAGACAAAAAGTTGAGCGTCGCCGAAGCTTTAGGCCTACCAAGAAGCACTTTGAGTACTCTAGTGAAAAACAAGAGGGACATAAAGGCCAAGGCAGAACAGAACCAGCACTCAGGCGCGCGGCATGTACGCAAAGCTCCCTTTGCAGATGTTGAGAAGTTGCTGCACAAATGGTCCACCGACGCAGGGGTCTGGAATATACCTGTATCTGGACCGATGTTACAACCTTTGCATTCATTCTCGGCGCCAAGAACTTCAATGCCAGTAGGCTGCAACGTTTTAAAGGGATACTACAACGAAATTTCGGCACTCATTTTTTGGTCTATATGTGTTCAAAGCAGCAGCATCACATCGAACATACCAATATCTTGTTAAAAAAGTCACGAAAAGGAATTTTAAAATGAATAAAACGATTAGAAAAGAGCACCTGGTAGATGTCGCTAACGCCTCGCTTGCAATGCCCGTCTAGGAACCTTGACAGCTAGTGACGGAGGTTGTCTCGCCTTCGGCCACGACAAGAGAAGAAGGGAAGGAGGAACTCCCCTCTTCCCGAGAATGCCCCTTGTGTGTCGCAGAAGTCGCTATTGTCCCCCTACAAGATTATAGAAGATTAACTCGTCACTCAAAATTCGTACAAAAGCAGCCGCTTCAGTGGCTGGAACGACTAGGCCATCCTTTCGACGTCAGCCTCGCCGTAGCTTTGCTCATCTTGAGACGACCTACGTGACGATTGCGTTGGATGTCACGTGGTCTCCGCTGGGCCTTCTTCGAGCACTTGCCAAAGTGGGCCGTTAATAACGAAAAATACAGCCACCAGGCTCAAAATACAAAAGTGTGATTGTCATTTACGAATATTGTGGATCACATTCAACCTATTTTTGAACACGACGGGAATATTTCAAATATTGTTGAAGTATCCCTTTAAGGCCTGCATTGTCGGCAAGACAGTCTCGGGGGAAAGTGAGGACGCCAATGAAGAGGAAATCAAGAAGTGGCTTGATCAAGAGTGGTCCCAGGTTCTCGCCAAGTACGAGCCACACCAGATATGGACGAAACAGGCCTCTTCTGGTTAATCCCCCAAGCGCTGATGGTGCTCCGACTTCAACTGAGGCTGTAGCTGCTTTGGCCCTTCTACGCCGCTACTGCGGCGCAATAGAAGGCCTATCGCTTGTTGATCCTTTAGACTATGTTGAGGACGCCTTAGTTAAGGGGGGACACTGGCTAGAGCTCAAACTTTTTAACTACTCAAGTGATCGGAATGAAATTTGCAGGGGAGATTTAGCTTCAGATGTTGGTGTACTGTGCAAACTTTCAGCTCTCTAGGACAAATTTACATACCTGCATAAGATGCTGTGTCACTTTTCATTAAGAAATCTATGATATGCAAATCAAGCTATTAAGCACCATTTTGACTGCTTGAATATAAAGTGGGGGATATGGGACATCGGGCTATCTAGTTTTAATAACTTAAATGTAAATATTTCAGGAAGAGTTATAACCTCAAACTATGAGATGCATATCTGTCCTCTGTCAATTTTTGAAAACTTGGCTTTTTATCACTGAGGACTTCAACCTAAAAGAAAATAAAGTAGATAGCCCGATTCCTGAGTAAATTTCAGTTCAGAAACATCTTGATTGTGGTATCAGAATACTTTCACCTTCGAACAAAAGATTCCTTCGTATGAAATTTGCAGCAAAAAGTGGAACTGAGAAAAATGCATTCAAACATTGCACTCCTTTACTTTGTTACTGCCTCACACTGTGTTGAAAATATTTTATATCAACATAACTATTTGGCATACGGTTATCAAATTTGGTGTAAGGGTGTATAATTAGTTTCTAAAACTGAAAACCTCAAAATTAAAAAATGAATTTTTTCAAAAAAATTTAAAATTTAGGCCCATGTCCCCCCTTAAACACGCCTTTGCCAACAAGAAGCAGGCTACCCTGCAGCAGTACTTTCAGCCAAAATAAATACTTTGTTTGAAGCTTCAAGTCAGCATTTACTGCACCACAATTGGTTCATTGATTGATTTGTACAGTGGGGCATTCTTTTTTTTTCCCTTATTTTAATTCAGCCTTCGAGTGCGAGATTTCCCAGCTCCCGCAAGCTGAGCGGTGTGCCGTAGCAGACGACACACGGCTGCTCCCGCCTCTGCGGTCGGTCGGCGCGCATGTGCCACCTGTCGGCGCTTCGCAAAGCGCGACGGCCACGCGCTTTTAACAAGTTTTTGACGCGTTTATTATGTGACTTAATATATCGAATTCTGGCTATATCGAACTATTTCGCCATCACCGCGCAGTTCGATATATCAAGAATCGACTGTACAAAATGAAGTAAGAAAGGTAAAAACCTCGGTGGTTGCGGTGGCTGGTTCTTCCACCAGATTCTCCAAGCCAATCTGCAAGTGCCTGTTGATGGGCTGGCTCCAGGACGACACCGCATGGAGCTCCCGGAGTAAAGAGATGCACTCCTCTGCCACGGTGCTGCTGTGAGATGCTGTGAGGGATATCCGTGCGCGACCCCTTTTCCTCCCTTTCCAAGCCAGGTCTGGAAGACAGAAAAAAAATACCACTCAAGATGGACACAATGCAATCTTGCAATCTGCGTCTCTCAACTTTCAAGTTTTGGCTTCACAGACATCACCACTGATGGGCCCCTTAATGGTGACGCCCATTCATAATCTTGAAAGGAAACGGGACTGTAGGGAAGAAAGTGGCAAGACCAAGACTGAACCAACCTGCAATGTGGAGTGTAGGGTCAGCACTGCAGGAGACCAGCACCTTTCCGAGCAGGCCAATCATCTCCTGCACAAATGTGCTCCTCTGCTTGGAGTAGTCCTCGGACGTCCACGTCGGCAGCAACATCTTCAGGAGCCTCAGTGCCTGGATCTAAACATGCAATAAAAAGAACAAAAAATGCCGACTTTGGCAGGCGAATCAATACACTTTCCATTTTTACATTTTTTGTTGTTGAAACAAATTGTGAGAGTCATTCATTCTGTTGCAGGCTATGGGCTCACATCTTCTAGCGTTTTTCTTTCGCATACAGTCACACTTTGGAAACTTGCGTAATGAGCAAAACATCAGCAGGTTCCTTTAATTAAGAGCTCCCCAGCTTTGAAAGAAACCAGCAGTAGGCAGCCATTTAATCATTTTCACTATAGAAGATTTCCCAAAATTGAACAAAAGCTTATGTGCACAATTCTGGCCCGTTGAGAATAATGCGAACCTGAAAAACGATTGCCTTATACTGAAGGATCCGACATGAGAACAAAGAAATTAGAAACAAACCTATCCCAAATTGCAGCCATACTATACTACCAAACAATGACAAAGCATTTCACAACATAGACAGAGATGGCACAAAATACAATCCTTTCTAATGTATAAACCACTTATTTATTTTTTTTTTCGAAATTTCCATTAGTGCATTTTATACAAAGGTGAGACTTATTTACCAACTTTATCGTAAGAATGGCCGTCAGCTTACAGATTGAAAAACACGGTATACGAGTCAATTTTCCCTTAACAAAAGGCCAAAACAACAGGCTGCACTTCCTGCGCATCAGCACAGGGACGTAGGGAGGAGAAGCGAACCCTCACCTGGGTGGGGAGCGTGGAGGGAGACGAGACCGAGAGGCCGGTGTTAGACCTCACGGTCACTCCCGACGCCACCTGGAGCAGCAGGCTAACCCAGGGGGGTGAGCTGAGGGCCCTGCACAGGGCGGGGGTGGCACACGTGCCACGCAGGAACCCCAGTGTCGCCCACTCGTGGTGCTGTTCCTCGAGCAGCCACTTCGGAGCGAGCAGCAGTTCTGCGTGGAGGGTCAAGTCTGTTTCACACATGTGTGGGTGTGACCAACCACGTTGCAACCGCTTGTGTAGAAAAAAATTGCTTCTCTCTTTGGAATTTACCAAAGGCATTTTAAAGGCATAGCATGTATAGGGCCTTTTCATGCTCCTCCTTTTGCAAGCACAGTAAGGAAACCACTGGAAGGCATAAGGCGGGGGTTATGTACATGCACAGGGTGTATCTTTTTAAGGGGGGACATGGGTCTAAGTTTCAGAATTTTTTGAAAAAATACATTTTTAAATTTTGAGGTTTTCGATTTTAGAGACTAATTATACACCCTTACACTAAATTTCATAACCATGTGCCATATAGTTACGTTGATATAAAATATTTTCACCACATTGTAAGGCACTAACAAGGTTAGGAGTTCAATGTTTGAATGCATTTTTCTCAGTACCACTTTTGCGGCAAATTTCATACGAAGGAATCTTTTGTTCGAAGGTAAAATTATTTTGATATCACAATCAAGATGTTTCTGAACTGATATTTACTGGGGAATCGGGCTATCTACTTTATTTTGTTTTAAGTTAAAATCCTCAATGAGAAAAAACTATGTTCTCAAAAATTGACATAGGACAGATATGCATCTTAAATTTTGAGGTAATCACTCTTCCTGAAATATTTACATTTGAGTTTCTAAAACTAGATAGCCCGAAGTCCCACATCCCCCACTTTATATTCAAGCAGTTAAAATGGTGCTTAATAGCTTCATTTGCATATCATAGATTTCTTAATGAAGAGTGACACATTTTGTTATGCAGGTAAGTAAAGTTGTCCTAAAGAGCTGAAAGTTTGCACAGTACACCTACATCTGAAGTTAAATCTCCCCTGCAAACTTTATTTTGATCACTTGAGTAGTTCAGATGTTCAACCTCTAGCCAGTGTCCCCCCTTAAGCATTACACATCTGCTTTGGGGAAGCCATGCTACACTAGTGCAGCTAGGGGGACATAGTATAGGGGGCTAATCGTAACGATCAGTCGGCTAAATAACTAAAACATGTTGATGTTCTAATTATTGAAAATAAACATACCGTTCAAATTACAAACTTGCCGAGTCACCAGAAACCACTAAATCAGTCAATAGTAGGAGGAGCACTATAGTTACTACTCATGCAGCAAAAGCGAGGTCATCGGCACGATAACATGCTCGCACAATTTTTTTTGTCTCTTATCTGCGTTTTCTCACACTAGTGTCAGTCGCACTGTACGAGTGGTAACTTTAGTGCACTAGTGTGCTTCCCACATGCCGTCTTTCTACAATCGACAGATTTAGTGGTTTTCGATGACACTCAGAAAGTTTCTAATTGGAACCATCTGCATATTTTCACTAATTAAAAGTTAATTACCAATTTTAGTTCATTATTTGACTTATTGTGGCCCTGGCCGTATAACTCACCTGCACAAACCTTTCGTAGCTTTTTATAAAGAAAATCTTTTAAGCTAAAAAATTGAACAGCCTCATATTTATCCACAGTAGCAAAGTCGTCGTACAATGGCATTACATTCACACACTGTGGACTGCGTGAACATAAGTGTACAGAACAAAATGGAACTCTCACCATTTCGTTCCAGACGCTTTGTTTCTTTCGTGTTCCGAAGCGCGTGAAAACGAGTCTCCCGGCACGAGCTCTGGGCATTGGCAGCGCTACGACGGCTTTTTGTTATCGGCCATTTCTTTCCAGAGAGCGTGTGCAGTGGGCATCGGGTATTACGGAAACTCTAAGTATTGAGAGTGTTCTAAACGCTGTCGCATAGCTCGGTGGCAATGCCTCCGCTTCACGCAGCGGATCCAGGTTTGATTTCCGTGGGCCATGGGCAATCTTTTTCGAGGACATGAAAACACTGACTATGGACGCCCTACATCGCCAACTACATATCAACAATGACAACAATTATTACCATCAACAACTACAACATCAACAACGGACGTCATTTCCTGTGGTGAGAAGGGCCCATAAGAGCCAATGCTGCATAAAGCCATCACAATGTCAAGGGACCATGACATCATGGTGCTAAGCGACATCCAGGTTGCTCATGACGTCACAATGTTACGTCGCGATGTCAACTGACGTCGCATGACCTTATGGTGTCGCCCAACATGACGCGACTGCGTGACGTCGCAAAATTACGTCACACCACGCGCCACCACGACGTCGCAGAAGACCTCTAAAGGTTACGCATTTTGAGTGCTTTAGCATTTGCGGCAGGTAGCCTCGATAACGTCACGCTACCACTCGACATCATTGAGGCCACGTGCCACGAACACAAAATCCCTGGCCCTATAAGTGCTACGCATTTAAAAAAACATTTTTTCCTTCGAGTCGGGTAAAGCTTGTATTTTCATACTTCCAAATAATTTCAACCGGTCCGGTATCAAACTGAAGACGAGTTCACTTGCCCAAGCAAACAATTAAACTCATTAACTCAATCATGCTGACAAAGGAACATACAATGTGGCCTGTGCGGCGCACAGGACACTAGCACAAAGAACACTCTGTGCGTGTTTTTTTTTATTGTGCACAGCAGATGCTACCTTACATGACTCTTGCGCGACGTCGAGGTGGCAACGAAGTGAGCAGTCACACGCTATACCGTCGCACCGTTCTTGCCGGCACGTTTTTCCGGGAGCCCAATCTTTAGAGCAGCTGTGCTGCGCAGCTCAGTGGTTATAATATCCGACTGCCACCGCACTGACCCGGATTCCACGTACATACTTTATATATAACCTCAACTTGTTTGTGACCCTCGTCCACATTGTTCGTTCACGACGCTCATTCCTGGTGTCTGTTCAAGACGCTTGTTCATGACAATCTCCTCGTAGGAAATGACTCGTAAAACACATTCTGCGTCAATAAATGCGCTACCTATGGGCAGTTCGAGAGTAAATTGTAAAGAAACTGGCTTCTGCGGAAAGGCCAAGCTCACCAACCTGTGAATACTTGAAAGGATAAAATACTGAGGACAGGGACAGAAACTGGACTTCTTTCAAAAAGAAGTCCTGTTTCCGTCCCCGTCCTCAATGTTTTATCCTGTCAAGTATTCGTATCTGTTCACCAACACGCTCGTTTTCAATTATTACTCACCAAAGTGGCCAGCCTGCCCCGAGGTCACAATGGACCTCAGGAGCCCAGACATGACAGCCATGGCCTTGGGTCGGACAGAGTCGGAGTGAAGTCCGAGAGACACGGACAGCGAGCGAAGGAGGGTGTAGCACGCCTGCTGCAGGAGCACCGAGGGATGCTGGCCAGTGGGTACCGTCGTCGTTGCTGCATATATCAAAGGATAGGTCGGGTGAGTTACCGCTTAAATGGGTCTAGTTGTAGGGTATTCACGCCAGAGAGAAATATGCCCCTTTGCTCCGCGGAGTGTGCAGTGCGTGATACCGACGCCGCTCCGTTCTGAGGCGGCGCGGTGATGTCGAGCTCGGCGACGGAGGCGCGGGGGAACTGCTCAAAAGGTACAAACGCTCCTGGACTCCGACACTGGCTCCGCTTTGGAGGAGAGGGAGGAGATGTGCCTCGCCGGCTGATGTCATGCAGCTCCGTCCTGGGGTTTCACCCTTATGTGAATACCGCATTAACAAGAAAACAGAAATGAACTTACACGTGAAAGAAACTGGCTGTCTCCTTGGCATTTCCCAAAGGCATTCTAAATACCTAGCACATATAAGGCCTCTTTGCACTCCTCCTCTTTGGCCATAGTAAGAGGGGACTCGAGGTAATATTGTGAGGGTTTTGTGAATACATAAAGCCGTCGCAGTGTCACGTGACATCCACGTGGTAGGACGTGATGTGTGAAATCAAGTAATGTCGCGTGACATCATTAAGTCACGTGACACTGTAACGTCAATGAGGCTATGTGTCACGAACACAAAATCCCTGTGGCTGGACCATGCTATGCATTTAAGAAATACAGAAAGAGAAAAATGTACAACTGTAAAACTGTAGTTGGAGAATATGAGACGGTTAGTTCCTACGTCCTTCTGGCTACTCTCAAATCGGACTAGTATGAATACTTCACAAAGCGTACAGCCAAGGGAAGACTGCGACTGCTTAAAACAACTGCCGATCCCTTTTCATGTCCGAGGCGCTGTGCACTCTGCTGCTCTAAGAACCTACACATAACCATTCTCCATCATCATTCAAAATATGGCAAAGGTGCAAAGGTTATTGTATTAACACAATTGTAAGTCGACCCCCCCCCAACAATGCACATCAGAAAAAAAAATTTTTAGATGCGCATTTTACTGCAGACACGGGAGAACGGCAAAGTACCTGTTTCGAAAGCCGAGCCTCCAACACGCGATTGATGCCTTCTGGCGTGCTTTGGCTGTGCATGCACGCACGAGGTGCATGATATAACCAGGCGTTATCGAAACTAGGAAGTTCACGATGGAGGCGGGACAACTGAAGCTGCTCACTGTCGTTCTCACTCCGTCCAAGACTAGACTACAACTCTTCCGCACTGGTGATGTCAGTCTCGTCGTCATCACCGCTCATTATCGTCGTCCAACGAAATCTTGCACTTCGCAAATGACACGATCAAGCGCATCTTCCGCGCTTGTTCGGCGATCGCGTTGGACGTCACGGGTAGGGACCGATTGCACACTTCTGCGGCGTACATTGCAAGCCTGACTTCCAACTCCGGAACCAGACTTTGGCCTACGGAAGCCTCTTTGTTTGCCGTCACAATTTAAGATCCTGCGCCACTGCAGACTCCACTGGAGCATCACCCGCTCCGACGGGTCGAACTTGCGTCCAACAGCGCAGTTGTTGATTACTTCTGAGTGAAGAATGGCCATAAACGAGCACCGAAAACCTAAACTGCCCGGATCACGCGTGTCAATACGAAAAAACATAGCGCTCCAGCATGATCTCGTCACTCGAACAAACAATGTGCTACCGTGTGCGAAAAACTGCAAAGAGAAGCCACGGGGTGAGTGAGCTGTGAGGTTGTTTCAGCGGCCTCCGGAGTGGCTCTTGCAAGAAGTGCCGCCACCCCCCGCGAGCCGGGTGCGCCGTTCTCCGGCTTATATTCGGGTTAATTTGCCAATCGCTGTCAATAATACTCGTTCGCACAAATAAAAAAATAAATAATTTGTAAAATAAGCACATAGAATAGTGCAATGCTAGAGGTACAGCTGGCTTAACTCGTAACAAGCCGGGGTGTTCATGATATCGCGATTGTTTGGTTTTTGCCGGAGGTGGAATGCTTTGGTTCGATTATAAGTCGACCCCCAAAATTAAAAAAAAGGGTCAACCTACATTCGTGTAAATACGACAGATTTTCACGTAATGTCACAATTTTCCTGCCAGATTTAGCAGGAAAATGCAACACGTAACAGTGTCAGGTGACGTCATTAGACACGACGTCAAAATTTCTCCACTAAATTTAGTGAAGGCTTCACACAACATCATCACTGTCCCGTGATGCCATGTGACATCACAATTTTCTTGTTAGATTTAGCGGGGAAACACTCCACGTTAAGTCACGTGATGCGACGTGACGTTGCGTGATGTTATACGACGTGTTTGTTAAATTTAGTATTTTTTCCTAAAATTTACTAAACAGACACTTTAGTAACATCAAATTGTCACAAGACACTAAGATTCTCTGCTAAATGTAGAGGGAAGCACTTTCAGTTAGATTTAGCGGGCCCCACCATACATACCCCGGAATCCGCCGTGATACCTCGCCAAGAATGGATGTCGGTGTAAAAGTGGCCGTCAATCGCGAACGAATCGGCGAGTGTTCCATAAAACTGCCATACTGCACAACAGCGAGCGCTCATGCCGAGCTGCTAGATCCTGTACCCAGGTGCACGAAGTTCACGGGCAACATCCAGACAGAAATACAAAACAAAACGTTGGCGGCTCCTGCAGAGCCCGCTGCTATGTACGCGCCGTTTGAGGTGACTCCGGCACGGCCCCTTGGAAAGGCGGCACTCGCCTTCTTCGTCCTCGGAGTCCGAGCTCGACTCCAGCCGGGGCTCGGGGGGCAGCTGTGCCATCCTGAGGTCGTACTTCCCCTCCTTGCCCATGCGGTAGGAGTTGGTGGACCCATTGTCCCACTGGACCCGGATCCAGCCGTCCTCGCCGAGTTCCCCGATCACCCTGCCCTCGCCGGGGGCGGGACCGTCCTGCGAGCAAAGTGTCTCACCTTCCTGAAGTGAGGTGCCTTGGACGGCTGCCACTGGCCTCTTTTTCCAACGTTTCTCATTGCCTTTCGGCTTGCCTTGGCTGCGCACACAAGGCTCACGAAAAGTGCAGCTTCTCGTGAGCTGCGCATCTCGCCAAGGTTAGCAGCTTGCGCTGGAGGCGGCACAACACTCCTCCGTGTCCTTCTCCTTTTGTCGGCAATAATAGTCGGTGCCTCTGGTTGGCCAGAAACTGTCTCTTTGGCGCTTTCCAAATGCGTCCTAAACGCGTGGCATCAGAACGCCTCCCCTCACACCCACCAGAAAACATGGTCTGTCGCGCGCATCACACGCCACTTTGAACAAACTGCCTGCAGACTGGCGCTCGGACTGCCGGTGGGGGCTGCCGCGTGACGGCGACCGGTTGAGTCGTCGCCGGGCTCGGCGCCCTGCGCCGCCCCAGTGGCGCGCAAAGCCCGCAGGCACAAGCCTTCGCAGTACGTATTGCCCGCCTCGCTGCCGCTGAGCGCGCACCGAGGGAAGTTTTTGCTCCAAGAACGGTCGCCAGTCACACGCAGAATGAGCGATCCGCGACTGTGAGCTCCACGCTGCATGTTCTATTGAGGTTACGCCCTACACTCAAACATGAAAGTGCCTAGAGCTGGCCCCAGAAATGCGAAGCGCCTAAAAATCTAATCTCGGCCCCCAGAAAAACGAAATGGCATGGCACGTTACCTGGTCTCCCCACTTCCAGTCGGCTCCGCGGATGACCCTGGTGCCGATCTTCATCATGGCTGCCAGCTCCGGGCCGCTCGGAACGGGCGCGAGCGGCTGCGGTTTGCGCACGGTCTCCTCCAGGACGGCGTAGAGCCCCGCATTTTTCTCGCGCGGGGTTCGAGTGGGCCTGGGACCTGCGAGAACCAAATTGCGGCATTTCCCGCAACCGCGCGCTGTTGCGCGTATCCTTAAATTGGGTTTCTAGAAACACGAGATTCTCCAGAGGACCCTTCTGGGTACTGCACTGGCTGAATTTCTAATCTACAGCGGAGACGCCTGAAGACAATGGGGGCCAACTAAAATTTCCAGCCGTTTATACATATGCGCAACACAATTACCATATTTTCCGTTCTATAAGTAGCACCGTCGCATAAGTCACACGCCTCTATAGATGGCCGTTTCCACAAAGAAGCTGGTAAGTATATGAGTCGCAAATAGTAATGGGGCAACGGAAGAAATGGCATGTGAAGTCGCTGAGGCCGCAGATCTACGTTGCCTCGTTTCAGACTACCTTCAGAGTGCCAGAAGAGCAGGGCGTCGGCACGTGTTCTGCCAGTCCTTCTCCGTCGTAAATGTCAATACAGCCTACATCTTGTGCAATTAGGGTACACACTTATTAAAAATATTACAGGAGGGCACTCAAGACTGCTTATGTGTAGGAAGGCGATGCCCTAAACATCGAGGATGATGCCGAGGACGATCTTTCGGACGACGTCAAGGATGACGTCCAAGAGGAGGATGCCAAGAATGACCTCAAGGACGACCATAAGGATGACGTTGAGAATGACACCTAGATGATGACGTTGAGAACAATGCCTAGAGGAGGACACTTAAAGGCCGATGACCAGACTTGAGATTCTGCAAGGCAGAAGATCCTCCTCACCATGGGAGAGGAGGAAACAGGCAACGGTGGACAGGGCAGAAGAAGGAGAGGAGGAAGGAAGAGAAAAGTGGAAAGCATGAACTGGTCGCTGGTCTTTAAAGGGGAACTGCAAAGAAAAAAAGTGTATTTTTAAACAGCCTAATTGAAACAAGCATGTCACAAAACAATTTTTCCAGCAAAAACAAACATGTTTTTACAGCAATATTTATTGCGCGGGACTGATTTTAGTTTGCGGCTATTTCGTCCGTTCTAAATCGAGTGCCACAAAGTTGGTATTACACGTCATGTAGTGGCTGCTCCATGTCACAGAGTGACGTACAGTGTAGACCGCATATAACGTATGTCTCGGGAGTCACGAAAATCCGCACTATAAGCGGTACCGCACTATAACCAAAACATCAATTTTTAAGGCCAAAATACATGCCATGAGACAACTTACCATTGTAAAACGATTTATTTTATATTAGATGAAAAAATAAGCTTAGTTTGAGGAAAGTCTTTATTTCAATAGACTAGTACAGTTATGTCTCAAGTGTGTCACACATTTTAAAAGAAATTAGCGGCTTTTGCCTGGCACAGCCTTTTAACGGCGTCGCGGGTTGCGGACGGACGTTGCGAGCGTTCAGGATTGCTAACCCTAATCACTTTTCTCCGGAGATGAAAACGCGTGAAAATTCGCATCCTTTATACGGTACGCGCCAGTAATACCTTGAACTTGAGCACACGCATGAAATGCGCCAAATAAGAAATCCGGGCGATGTTCGAGGACACAAATGCTTAGAAATCACCCCTGTAGTCGAAGTAAACAAACTTGACGACACGGGCGTTTCTGCCGTCTTGAGAGCGCCGCCACGACATCGCCGCACGAGTAGGTGGATCTTCCCTTCTAGTACGTGCTGGGTTATCATAGCGACACACAACGAAAATTCAGAGTCAAGGATAGCGCTTTTACGCAGAACGATGAGATGCACGCCGTCTACGACGACGATCACAACCGACGCCATGTTTGCGGAATAGAAGCAGCCGGCCTGCGACCGGCACAACCGGCATGCAACGCGCGCGAACACTTCTCCTCAACCTGCGATTGGTCTGTCGTTGCGGTTGTTTGTTTCATTGTTTCCAACGCAGCGGAGGGACGCACGTATGTGAACGACTCGTGCGTGCGTCCCTCCGTCGCTATGGCAACTGAAGCCTCTCTTTTCGCTTTTTTTTTTTTTGTGTTTGTTTCACTTTGTGTTTGTCTGTCCTTTCTCGTCGCTTCTCCCCGCGTTTTCGAGCAACCTCCTTGCCCCGCAAGTGCAGCTTGTGGCTCGCACCGTCATCGCCGTTATCTAGTGTCGCACAGGGAAGCGAGCTCGCTGCTCCGGTCGTCGGCGCGGTCGGCGGGCTGTGCCAAAAACCGCACTATAACCGGTATTTCCCTTCGCGCGCCTGCATTTAAAGCGGTATGTAATTACATGGAGTTCTATGGGAGGTGAACCGGTGGTTTAAAAAAACAGCGTTATACCCGGTCCTGCACTATACACTCCGTGCGACGCGACTGGCGCGCCGCCGCGCGGCCGGTACCGAAAGTAGGCTGTGAGAAGCCCAGGGAAAACGAAACCGAAACCACGCCACGTACGTTGGCACGCATTGAAGTCGGAGTGGTGCGGTTGCGCTGGGTTCACAGCATGAAGTGCTGCCTGTGCTGCGTCATTAAGTGCTTCAATAGTTATGCGTCGTATCTCGTGGAGACAAAGTTTCACAGTTTTTCACCTCGCCGATGTTTTATGGGACAGCGACAACGATGGAGTCGTGCCGTGCGACGCGAGAAATTTGATCTCCCGATCATGTCTGCCACTGTGTCGGCACGGCTGACATATTCTACACTGCCTCTTTGCGCTCTGCGTTTGTTTTCGTACCAGTAACGCCTACATGTGTCAGCGCCGATGGGACGAACCGAAATGCCATCCCACACTCGCAGGTATGCAGTGCCAATTTCGTTGGAGGAATTCCCTCCAAAGAAGTTTCGCCCCTATCGTACGTGTCGATGATATTTCCGGACAAGTATGGCACGCAATCTGTACTTCATGAAGAAAGATTCGAACGGTAAAAAAAGTGACAAATATAAATCTAAAGAAAACAACAATGAAACTCGGAATCACTGGAGAATGGACGTTTGAGTATGGAAGTTTATGTGGTGTGCTTTCTTTCTTGATCAGCCTCCTTTTGGATGTGGAAACACTGACATCCCGAGTTCTGTAGACAGCAATTTTTTTTCTCGGCTTTAGAACCTCCTATCGCAAAGTGGTTCGAACTGAAGTACCGTCCACTAGTCCCTTCCTACCTGTAAAGTGTGCACCTCCCGCGATGAGTGGTATTATCTGACAGCCTTTGACGGTCAAAGCCAGTTCCTACTTAGTTACGCCGCCCAAACTAAATTTCCACCTGGTTTCACTATGCCAACTCTTTTTGTTATAAGTGTTATGCCAAGTGACGGTCATGTCAAAGTACCTGTGCGCCGAAAATCAGCACCTTGCACAACAGGTTATTACACAACAGCTGACCGCAAAAGCCCTTGGCGGCCAAACCGCGTTTTGGCCGACAACTTTGTTTTCTCGGCTTTGGAAACACCTTTCGTAAAGTTGTTTCAATTGGAAGTACAGTCCACTAGTCCCTTCCTACCTCTAAAGTCTCCACCTCCCCCGACCAGTGGTATTCTCTTGACAGCCTTTTCATGGTCAAAACTGGTTCCCATTGAGTTACGCCGCCCAAACCAAATTTTCACCTAGTTTCCCTATGACACTGTTTTTTGTATAATAAGTGCTGTGTCATGTTACTGCCAAGTCCAAGCACCTGTGTGCCCAAATCTGCACTTTGCACAGCCCGCTATAACACAACATTTTGGGTCCAATATTGGATATCCCGAACAGCTGTATTTCTTTATTCGTTAGAAACCTAACTTTCACATCTGCTGTTTTAAAGAAACTTGGCACTCGTCGTGCACAAGTTTCGTGAACATCTCACTCGCCTCCAAATATCATCGTTAAAACAGTCCTAGGTTTACAGCGACGAGCGAAATAATTTCCCACTCGCAGCAATTAAGGTGGCGGCCGTCTTGTTTTTCGGAAAATTGCTCCAACTCCTTTTTCGGCCGCAACTAGAGAAATTATCCTTAATAACGACTCAAACGCAATATATAAGAAGTGGAGAACAGCTAAATGCCTTTCTGCCCCAGCACTCATGCAACGTCACCCTCAACTTATCGGCTCAAAAAGCAAAAGTTTCGTCCGTGAGCGCTTCCGCCACCACAGCTTGGCATGCGAAAAGGCGCCGCAGGCTGCTGAACGCGCCTCACAGTCGAACGCCAGCTCCTCCGCTAGCGGCGCTGCGCGCGTTTTTCAAAGCGCCCCCTATAGTTCCCGCACGGAGCGTATAAGCGGTTACGTTGTAAGTGGTCTATACTGTATCACAGCCACTCCGCGCGCGTTGAAAGAGCGCGAGTTTCAAATGTGGAGAGGTTGTGACTCCGACTAAATTATGTCCTGTGGCATAAATATTGCTAAAAAAAAATTTGTTTTTTCGCGGAAGATTTGTTTTGTGACATGCTTGTCCCAATTAGGCTGTTTAAAAACACACTTTCTTTTCTTTGCAGTTACCCTTTAAAGAGGCTGTGGTGTATTTGCGTGGACGGCCACGTTTGCCTGCGGAAGCCGCTGTAGATGTAGACGCTGCTGCCGATGTCGAGGCCGTAGATGTAGACGCGGTCGCCTCACAGTCCATTACACAAAGCACACAACGAGCACAGATGAAGTCCGAAGCGCACCTTTTGCACACGACGCTCCGGCGGTGACATCACGCTCCCGCACTTGAGCGCGAGCGGCACGTGCTTGATGACATATTCTTTATGGCCATCTTTCAGGCACAATGACGCCGCTTTTTCGTGTATTGGGACAAGTAAGGTCACCCTAGAGCAGGGGTTCTCAAACTGGGTTCCGGGGAACACAGGGGTTCCACGAGCTGGTCTCATGGGTTCCGCGAACACCCATATTGTAGCCTCCCCATGCCGCAGGGTGCGCGGCAGGACCATGCAAAGCGCCTTCATCTCACTTTGTACTGACATCACGATTGATATGGCGGGGATACTGGGGAAGCAACACAAGCAAAATTGTCTACAATTGTGCATCTGTTGCTTTTCGGTGGGCAAATATAGAGGGGGGGGGGAGGGTTCCGCGACCGTTTTTGAGGCTTCCTGGGGTTCCGCGAGACCACAAAGTTTGAGAATCCCTGCCCTAGAGGTATAAGACGACCTCTAGGATGACCTCAAGGACTGCATTGTCTTTGAGCATATGATTGAGCAGCGTGTGACGCTCAATCATATTTTTATGGCCATATACAGTGCTTTTTCAATCAATGAAATGGTAAGGCTTTCGTCTTAATGAAGACATATCAGTCGCACTGTTGTACAAGCCGCACCGATAGAAATTCTGGACAAAAAACCCAGAGTTATGCGCCAGGTATATATTACCGGAAGACGTTTGTCGGGAGTTTTGTTCTAGGGTGGCGGTTGGCCAACACCCACCCAAGATGCGCAGCAGCGTCTGCAGGTGGGCGAGCAGACCCGAGCCAAGCAGCAGACTCAGCTCCCGACCCTGGTGGTCTCCTGAGAGCAGGCCCAGCACCGAGAGCAGGAACCGCGAGGGTGCTGCGGGGGCACCCCCACACGTCGACGATCCGCTGTCCACGCTGGCCTGCGCCCAATTAAAAACCCGCTTTCGCTCAGATCGCGAGTCTGCTCAACAAAACAAACGGGATGGCGGCAGAGCTTCACCGGCAACGACTCTCCGACTGGTGTGTTTACGGCGCTCTCAGACGCTGCCCCTCGATTTCCGTCCGACAGCGTCGTACGAGCGTCGTGCCGTTCCCTCCCGCGCCTCAAGTCCCACGTCCTCCACCTTATATTGAAGCAGTCAAAATGATTATCATATATTTCTTAAAGAAGAGTAACACATCTTCTCATGCAGGTATGTACCTTCAGCTCCTAGACAGCTGAAAGTTTGCACAATACACCTACATCTTATGTTAAATCTCCCCTGCAAATTTCATTCCGATCACTTGAGTAGTTCAAAAGTTAAATCTCTAGCCAGTGTCCCTCTTTAATGTTAGCACCAATGCTAGATCTGGACAACTGAATGTGCCTAACATTTAGCTCCTACTACATTCAAAGCAATGACATTCCCTCATTGTTGCAGCATCACCACCAACAAACGTCCCAAAAGCCCTCCTAACCGCGAGGTAGCAAAGTCCTCACCCAAACTTGCGCAGCTCTCCTACGGGTTTTTGTGATCTTTGAAATCAGTTACACATAGAGCAAACTCTAACCAATTGGCTATGGTTTGGCTGGTTGGCTCTAGCCAATACACAAAGCTCTCTCTCTAAAGCAAGTGCCCATCTTCAAAAGTTGCATTCTATGGTTATTTTGAGCTTTTGGGTGGCCGCTTCTTGGTATTTTGCAGTAGACATAAAATATGAACACTACAAAGAAAGTTTGAACCAAGTCTTATGATAAGAGAATGCTGGCCCACTGTCTAGAGGTGTGGTTCTCAAGTGGGGGTCCACGGACCCTTTGAGGTCCCCCAAGCCCTCGAACATCGCTCGAGATAAGCAATAAAACTTTCTTTTGTTAATGCTGGCGGTCCCCCAAAGATCGGTTTGCACGCATTACCGTAAGTCTTCTTCATTTACCCTTTTGTTATTGTAATTGTCCAATACCCCCCTTCCCCCGTGAAATAGTCCAGGTTCCAGACATAAAAACTATAAGCAAAGTGAAAGTTTAAGATGAGCATGGAAAAAAAAAAAGCTTTACTTATAGAATTGTGAAAGGTCTCATCACCTTGGAGACAAGGCGCCGTGACGAATGACCAGGATGTGAATCCACAGCCGAGTCGTCCCCTTCGAAGCAGCAGCAGTCGAGCACCAGCGATCGCAGCTCGGCAACGGCCCACAGGGCAATTTTCGAGGATGCCAACTCGAGGGAAATGCGCTGGTACGGTGGGATTAGGTTCACATTGGAAAGGCAGTGGACTGGTCGCTCCCTGCATCAATGCAACATTGGGTGTGGCTGCTGCCCCATTTCCTTAAGAAAAACACTCCAAACAGTTTTCTTGTGCCGAGATAGAATGTGTGTGGAGAGTTCCAGAGGAAAGAGTTTCTCGTCCCGGGTAAATAAACTAGTATGCATCGGAGAAGACTCAAAGTCCGTCAGAATGCAACTCTAGTGGTTGGGACAGATGGGAAAGTCGGAGAAAACCATGTCGCTCTGCGCCGACGTCCACCTAAGCCTACTATCGTCAAAACGAGAACCGACATTGTGGACGCTTGTGAGATTCATATCGGTGAAAAACACTTGTCTGCGAGAAACAAAAAGCAATATTCTCTTTCTTGCTCACAAGTGTTTTTCACCAATATAAATCCCCCTGCATTCACAATGTCATTTCTCGTTTTGACGATATTAGGCTTATGTGGAGCTCCTAAAGAAATTTCGTTTACCTTCAATTATCTTTTGATCCGAGTAATATCATGTTCTCATATTTTTGCATTCTATCCCAAACGCCTCATTCTCACGGAGCTTGAGCTTTCTGCGAAGCATAGTTTAGTTACCCAAGCCGAAAAACACCGTTCACTTTGACCCCCCTTCCCCCCTCAAAATATTTTTTCTTGCCTAGTATTCAGGCTGACTCATTTTCAGCATTGTGACATCCTTCTATTGGGTCCGTCTAGTAATTAGGAACAAAGTGCCAGAACAGAGGCCTGTGTTGGAATTGCTCCTCACTCATACTGAGTCTCACAAGATTGCACTAACATTCCTTTTCTTCTTTAAGTTTTTTTTTTCTTGACGTATGACTGCAATCCAGGCACTTAAAATATAACTTTTGTGAATTCAGTGTCTCTAAGAGCATTACCGAAACACGTCAATCTTAGGTCAATGAGCCCAAAGATCAGACTTGCTCCCCACTGGAAATGTGGCTCACAACGTAAATACTGAGCTGATTTTTGCTTCGTTTTCTTCGGGGAAAGGTTGTTCTACGACATAAGTGTCCAAGCACTTAAGGAATGTTTTGAGGGAGTTTAAGGTTCCTTTAATGAGGGTCTATGTAGACGCACCATGGCATGTTTCCAAAGGGCAGAAGCCCCTGCCATCCGCACTGCAGCTTGTACTTCACCGACGGGAGGAGGGACGATTTTTCCAGGAGCACAAGAACGCTCTCCAGTCCGCTCTGCCTCACTTTGGCCCTTTCCATCTGGGGAAAACAAGAATCGTACATCTTACGAGTCGCCCAAAACGTCCCAAGAGCTGGAAAGAGTAAGCGCAGAAAAAGCATAAAGTTGCCACGAATAAACATTAATAGATGAATGACAAAACTCGAGTTCAAAAGCATGGAAAGCAAATACTGCAACAATTATTAAACAAAAATAAGTTTTCATAAAATAAATCTCGCTTAAAAGGGGTACTCCACCGGTTTTTTCATTGTCTCCGATTTGCTTGAAATTTTGCTAAACTAACCAACAAACATTGCTAAAATAGTATCCCAAATATTAGGTCAAAATATTGTTTTTTTCGCGAAGTTATTGAATTTACAGTTTTGGTCTTCACCGTGTTTTTCAAACTGAAAGTCTCTACTGGCAACAACAACAAAGTGATGTCAGTGGAAGGCAGGGGTTAACTTTTTGGACTACAGAAGCTGTACCCAATGGATTTGAAGCAGTTTCTTGGTGTCAAATGAGTGCTTTAGAAGCTCGCTCCCGTATCCGCGCTCCAGCACGGAACAAATGATTGTCATATTCTATTTTTAGACTACTTGCTCGGATGGCAAGCCTGCCTGCCACTGACGTCACGGCACTGAAAAGGGTGGGTATATTTGAATGTTGGTTTTTGCATCATTTCCATTTGCAGATTTCACAACACCCATTATGAATTTCGCGATGCTAAATAGCATACCGGAAAGGCTAAAGGCCGGGGAATCAGAAAATATAGTTAGTTGAGGTAGCTCAAGAAATCGGTGGAGTACCCCTTTAAAGGGGGGACACCACCCAGAAAAAATATTTTTTGTCTAATATTTTAATATATTACAGGCAAAATTTTTATACACTTTGGGATGTCTTCTATAACAACTTTTCTTCCTACATGCCCCACCTTTTCTGTGTTTTTCACCAGAAATTCCCAAATTTAGGAAGAAAAATAGTATCATAAATTACAACTTGAATACCATAATATCCCGAGTCTTTGCCCATCCCCGAGTCATAGCGAACCCCACTTTTTGGGTGAATATCAACTTCCAAAAAAACAGTGATTGTCCGCCCCTCCAAATACCCCAACGCAGACTCTGCAACTCACAAACATTCATCCTGCCCGAATGACGCAGCCGCAGACCTTACTGTTGGAGGACGGGCGTGACAAAGTAAAACGAAAGAGGGACTTTGCTTTGTTTGCGCATTTCCTCCCCGATTTCCGCGACCCCGAAGTCGGAGTAAATGAGTCCGAAACGAAAACTATGCACAGAACAAAATGAAACTTCGTTTTGCTTATAAAAAAGTTTGTTCGGAAAAAGAAACAATGTCGGAAAGATAACACAAGCAGTAACCCCATTCAGGAACCGAGGGGTCAGCAAACACCAAACCGTGGAGTGTACGGTCGAAGATGTAAAGTCAAAGTCCATCTCCACCGAAGTAAGGTCACCACAAACTCACTTCTCCCAGAATTGCGCGGCCGTGGTTGGTAAAGTTGTGCATTGCTTGAGACAAGGCTAACGGGTAAATGAAGATTTCCTGGAACGCCGCACACAGACTTCTGTAAAGTGTCCCATTTTGAGCTGTGTTCGTCCTAGCCACACAGAAACACCGTCTCTAACTACGTTAATAGCATGTTGCGCACATACACATGCATGTATGTACCAAACAAGAAAGTTGCCCACGAGCCTGCTTTCGACGTCAAAGTATGTGCAAACGCAATCGCCGGTTTTGCTGTTTCACCCCCCCAGCATCGCTCTTCTTCGCTTCTTTCACCCGCTCGCTCGCTTGCTGGCTGGCTCGTTGCGTCTGGTTGGTTTTTCTATTTTCTTGTTGACTCTCAATATTTCAGGGGCGAAGCTCCTTAGGGGCTAGGCATGCCCGTATGTCCGTCCGATGTCCGGCGTCGGGTGCTCGTACTCCCAAGCACGTGAGCACGTGCTCCCATCCTCGTGTAGGGCAAAAAAAAAAAACCGCATCTCCACGTGGTGAATGATGTTGATTGGGGCGAAGCTTTGGTGGTGCTCGTCTGCGTAGACGGTGAGCCGCAGCATGCCGAGCCTTTCGTTCGTTTTCATCCATGTCAGAAAGAGAAGGTGTGGTATGTAACGTGGTTATACACGCATTTGAGCATTTGACCGCAGCGTGACATGGATGAAAACGAACGAAAGGCTCGGCATGCTGCGGCTCACCGTCTACGCAGACAAGCACCACCAGAGCTTCGCCTCGAGCATCCAAATTGCTCGAGCATATCATGTTCTCCCACACAGTATCTCATCTAGAAAATAACTATTTTTTTTATGAGAAGCAGCATGGTTTTTGTAAGGGGTTTTCGTGCGAATCACAACTAATAGAATTCACTCAAGACATTCACATAAACATGGACCAGTACACTCAAACTGATGCCATTTTCTTAATTTTTCCAAAGCATCTGATCGTGTTTCTCACTGCCGACTACACGCTAAACTCTCTTCACTTCACATTGACTCTCTTACACTTTCCTGGATACGTAACTTCTTAACGCTACGACGCCAATACACAGTGTGCGGTAATCACCAATCTAACATGTCTGATGTAATTTCTGGTGTGCCACAGGGAACCGTGCTCGGGCCTCTACTTTTTTTTAATATACGTGAACGACTTACCCGATTCTATCTCGTCCAAAATACGCCTCTTTGCGGATGACTGCGTTGTTTACAGGCGAATCACTAATCCCGATGATCACATAATTCTCCAGCAAGACCTAAACTCCATCAGTGCTTGGTGCGACAATTGGCTTATGTCTCTTAATGGTTCAAAATGTAATGTAGTAACTTTCAGTCGGAAACAATCGCTATCGCGTCATTCATATCTTTTATATAACTTGCCCCTCACATTCTCATCCTCTTACGAATACCTTGGTGTTTATCTCTCTGACAACCTATCCTGGTCTAACCACATTAACACTATTACAAGTTCTGCATCCAAAACACTGGGATACTTGCGACGCAATCTTTTCTCTGCACCCTTCCATCTACGCAAGTTAGTGTACGAGACATACGTTTGCCGTATACTCGAATTTGCTTTCTGCTGCATGGAACCCCCACCAAAAATACCTTATCAATCAGATCGATACATCCAAAATCGTGCAGTTCATTTTATAATATCAACCTACTCTCGTCAAGCAAGTGTCTCCTTTCTTAAAAACTCTATCCTCGTACAACCACTTGAAATACGTCGCACCGCCGCCCCTTTAAGCATCATTCATAAAGCACGCTATTCTAGCCCTAACGTTATCACCCCCCTGCTTGAGCCTCCTAACTGAACATCTCGTCGTTTGACTAACAGCCGAAGTTATAAGCGCATTTTTGGTCATACATCTGCGTTCAATACTTCCTGACTACCATGCGCAATCATGCATTGGAATTCTCTTCCTGATCACATAACCACACTTTCCGACCCTACAGCATTCCGAGTAGCTGTTTTAGATTTTTTAAGTACCAATTAGTTTTCGTTTACAGTGATATTCTTGCCCAGATAATGAAGTGTTATATGTGCTTGATTTCTACAATTTGTATAATACATAATTTTGTTATAGTGGTTTTTCAGTTGTGATATTGCTATCCTGTTCGTACTGCTATTTTTTCTTCTTTTAAGTGTTGACTGTAATTTGACAAAATCCCCCCCTTGTGTAACGTCCAGCAATGAACCTTCAAGGTGTTACGAATAAATAAATAAATCAACATCATTTACCACGTGAAAATGCGTTTTTTTTTTTTTTTTAATTACGAAAAGAAACGTGCTTTCAGACAAACGTTTATGCTGGATGCCAATTCCTTGCACGAGTGCAAGCAACAGACTTTGTGACAGTAAAACATTCTTTCATGAGCATGTCTTGCATAAGGCAATATAGAACCAATTCGAGTTTTGAGTTTAATGTATATCTTGTGCAGCCGCGCTAGATATTACAGAAAAATGGGCGTTTTTCTAGCTTTCTTTTTAACTTTTTGTGCTCACGCATTGAGACATGGCCCTCTCCACTTTTGTGATGAGTTTCAGGAGGGTGGGCAATGACTCGGGATATTACGGCAGTGTGATGTTTCAGATTGTTACCTCCGGAGAGCTGAGAGAACGAGGTACGTGCTCAGAGCATCCATTGGCCATCCATAAATTATTGGCGCCTTATTATCATCAACATTATGTCTTCTCTGCCCAAACACCCAATCATCTACAATGTAAGACAGACTGTACAGAACTAAAATACATAAAGAAGGGGTACAAACTACATACTGAAAATGACTTAATTTTTGCAAAAATCAAATTTTTATATATTTTGCAGCTTAAAGAATATAATACATTTATTGCATGAATGTATTATGGTAATGAATACATAGCATACCACAACCAAAACCGAAAATTTGTACCCACAAATATTTCAAAAACCTACATTTTGCAGATATATTGAGCCTGCAAAAATAGTCCTTTACAACATATTCGGAATATTTGAAAAATCAAACTACCCGAACTTTTTCTCAGAGTTTTCCAAAGACACGCGAATAATCGGGTAACAATCTAGAAATTCCTCGACTCCTGCATTGTTTTGCGTATGAAATCCCCCGAGAATTTTAGGTACAGTCTACAACAAAGTGAAAGACACATGTGACGAGGCAGTTTCAGTCCGCTGTGCAGGATTTGCTTTGGCCAAGCCCACATTGAGCGAGGCAAGAAATTGAATAAACCTTCGTTCCATTCTTGCTCCAAAAATAAAGAGCCTAGGGCAAACATAATGCCTAGCACCGCCATATAAACTGACCAGGCAAACGGGTCTTTCATATTGTGGGAGGCTGTACCATTTGCTTGACAATCTGCACTCCTAACCAGGCACACAACTGCAAAGAAAAAAAACATATTCCAACACGCGTTCAACCTTTACCTGGCAGTACATGGCTTTCCGGACAAGCTCCACGTCAACCTCCTGCATGACAAAGTCGAAAACTTGGGAGAGAAGCTGGTTGGGATCGGTATGAACTTGTTTGGCTTCGGGGAGTCCGGCTGCACCCTGAAAAGTTATGAGGGTTGTGGTCGAGCATTAGAAAGAGAGTCCATGTTTCACATTTTGAACACAAAATCTGTCATAGTGCTCAGTTTCATGAGTGACATATTTTGCTTGATTGACACACCAGTCAAGGTCATATAAACGATACACCTAACCCCATGCCATACCGCTTAGATGACCTTGATGTCAAGGTGTCATGCAAGGAGGGGGCACGTTGCAATATTGGTGAAGCCTAGTTATAAAAAATTGACCACATCTCCACGTGGTGAATGATGTTGATTGGGGCGAAGCTCTGGTGGTGCTTGTCTGCGTAGACGCTGAGCTGCAGCATGCCGAGCCTTTCGTTCGTTTTCATCCATGTCGGAACGAGAATGTGTGGTGTGGAACGTGGTCATACACGCATTTGAGCGTTTGACTGCAGCGCCCTCTCGTCTATAAACGTTGAGCCAATGCATGCAAAGTTTAACGCGATTATATACACGCATTTGACCGTGTAGTAATTCCTCGTCGCCAAAATGTTGTATGAAAGAAAATGCGGACACCCATGAAAATAAAGAAGAGCAGGGCCTGTGTGGGCCTGCGTGGGCCTGCGGAAAACGAGGGGTCTTACATGCCGGAGTGGTGAACTGCGGGCCGGGCGCGAGAGCCCCGGACGGAGAGAGGGAGACGTCCGGCGAAGTCGGTGGTTGAATCGTAACTGTTTATTTAACGGTCAACAATGTGGGGGTTGAGCGCCACGGGGACACAACTCTGGTAACACGGGCAATGGTGTAACAGTGGCGCCATCTGGTTAGTGTGGCGAGAACTACTTAAATGAAAAAATTTAAATACTACAGACCGCAGCGCCCTCTCCTGTATTCGCGACTCCAGCGATCTATAGGGGGCGCCACCACCAAACAAACATGGCGGCTGAGTCCAGGTCGCGTCGGCTCGGCCGGGCCGCCTGAACAGGTGGCGCGCTCAATTTAACAGATTTTCTTTTGTTTAATGCCCAATTTTATAGGTATTTGAACTCAGACGGTTAAGTGTAGCCGGTGCACATAAACTTGCAAAGCATAGTTTTGTTTTCCCGGTGTTTTTTTTGTTCTTTTCATGTCAAACTTTCGTTTCGGAGATTTCGTTCAAAACCGAAACTATGGGCTCCGGAGACACGTTATTAGGCTCTAATCGGTTTTGATCATCTAAGGAAAGCGGCGATGACTACAGAATTGTTGCACCGAGAGTAATTTTCAGCTAACCCGCATGCCTCGACAATGCGACCTATCTGTCCGCGAAATCGAGCTTGTGTGCGTATCCGCGTTTAAGAAACAGCTCCAGTCGTCTGCTCGGTCAACAACACAGGCTGCAGGAAAATTACGAAAATTAAACAAGCGCTTCTTGAGCCAAGGAACACGTTAATCCGCCCGTGCCCCACTAAGCAGCTGATACTCGTATTTCATTCAGGTTTTAGTAGCAATCGAGAAGTCATTTTGACGGGCGGGTTATGTATTATATTACGTATTATGGGGGTCCCACTAAAGCGATATTAGTATATTCTTCGGGTTGAAATATGAGCTTAGTTGACTAGCTATTAGTTGAACTGCTGAATGAAAGCATATTTGGCAGACAGAGATACTACTTAAACTTAGCCAAATGGTTCTATAGCCGGCAGCACGGAGACAAGCTGAAGAGAGTTCATCGGAGATTCACGCGGAACTTCTCTGCATTGAACTCTGCTTCGAATCCTGAACGGAGAAAATGAGCATTTTTTGTGGCCGGTCAACCTGACCAATCTAGACGTATATTGCTGCTGGCTTCGACGGGGGTATAATATAAATATTGGAGGCACGATAGATAAAAAAATGCCGTGACAGCTTCTAACGTTGCGAGACTCGTCCCCCACCTTTTGAAAACAGATAATTTCCCTCATTCATAATTTGCAGCGAGCAGGTTTTCCTGAATCAAGTAATCAGTCAAACTCCTCCAGTGCGGTCCAGAGGCTTTTTCAGCGAAAAGCAGCCAAGATGAATAGCCAACGCACCGACCGGCGTGGGCGGCTCAAACTTGAAGCTAACCGAACACAACCAAACCCAAGAAAAGCAGCTATCGAACCTTCCCATTCACTTGACTGCAACATTGATGTTCCCTCCAGTGAAATGCCTCGTCTGTCGTCCTCAGTCCACTGTTCTACATGCTTATAAGGAAATCACTTATCAGTCACAAAGTATTCGCCACTTTGAATGTGATTCGAGACACACAAGAAATCAAAACGTTTTTCCGTGATTCCTCCTCATTCAAGAAATCGAAAGCAGGCGACCGTGTGCTGTGGAGTAAACGGGCTTTCAAACACGTGATAGAAGACAATCTACTGAGGCTTCACCACACTAATGATCGCTCGGGCAAACTTAAGAAATATTCGGATCTTCGTCAAATTACATTGTTCGCCACCGCGCCGACAACACGTGTCGAAAGCCACCAGAGACGCGGAGGGGCGCGGAGCGACCTGGTCCGGCTGGTTCCCGGTTTTCCCGCTTGGTGGCGTCCGTTTTGCTGGAGTCGCGAATAGACGTTGAGCGGTTACATGCAACGTTTCATCCATGACATCTCCAGCTCCTGAGTTACTACCACATCTCAGAGCCCCCCACTCGTCCTGCAGTCGTGGCCGAGTGGTTAAGGCGATGGACTAGAAACCCATTGGGGTCTCCCCGCACAGGTTCCAATCCTGTCGACTGCGCAAACATTTTTTTTCCGTCATTTTTTAAATTTTTTTTTATTTTTTGCCTTACGCGAGCACGTGAGTACGTGAGCATGTGAGCACGTGAGCACGTGAGCTCACGAGCACGAGCACGAGCAAAATCGATGTGAGCGCGGACGCCGGACGGACAAGGCTAGACCCTAAAGAGCTTCGCCCCTAAAATGTTCAAACAATGTTGTGGCTAATGTGACCGTAGATCTTTCTAGCAATTGGTGCGCATGACATGTTACGTGTGAGATGGATGGTTGATTGTAGGAGGATTCCTTGCAGGCTTGCGCGCGCTCTGTCCGGTAGGTTTTATCAGATTGAAGGCTAGACGAAGGCTAGCTACGGTCACGCGATGGGGCCATGTTGGGCTGATAAGTGAGGAGAGTAAGGAGGAAAATGAGAAAGAGGCAAGGTGTCAAGGGAGCATGGCTTGTGGAGGCTACGCGGCTGACGTCATGCCCTCTCGTACCCTTTTATCCTCCTTGGTGTCATGGGACACGCTGACATCATGTGACCCCCTGTTATCACATAATGTCATAAGACCATGAGACATTATGATGTCACATGTCAACACAAGGTCACGTGGCACCGTGATATAACATGACACCATGACGTCTCTAGACGTCAAAATGTAGTGTGACTCTAACGTCACGGTTATCAAGATGCAACATGACATCAAAGATGTCGGATGTCATGTGTCACTCATGGTCTTATGACGCCTTGCGATGCCATTATGTCACTTGACATTACAAAATCGTGTGACGTCACAGACACACAGCAAATGCCCAGCTCATTTGCAACACAACCTGTGTGTCATAGAGTTAATCAGATATGACCAAGACCTTATCCTTAACAGAGATTTTGGAGGTAAACACAGGCTTAACATACATCAAAACAGGTAGGGCCGACCAACCTTTTTAGTAAGGGCGTGGGTCACCTCCTGCTTTGCTTCCAATTCGGCAAGCGCCTCATTCTGAGCGTCGTGCAGCGAAATCTTCTCGTTGGCTGTGGGAGAGCTGTTCTTTAATGGGTTGGCTGAACCTGCAATTTCACATGTCGAGCCAACGGGAAATTTCATTCTGTCAAGTCTACACTTTGTAACTCGAAAAACATAGGTAGCAGCGAGAAATAAAGGCGTTCTGAAGCGTCGTCCAAGGAAGGACCATTCTCGATTTTCCAATATTGTCTCATGTGTCGAGTAAAATGTTACAAGAACCTCTCCAAGATGGCCTTTCACAATAAACTCTAAAACTTAGACGATAAAGCAGCACTAAAGCTAGACATTGCAAATTGTGCTACAACATAAAGCAAGTGTACTATATTGAAAGTTGCATTAGGTTCCAATCTACATTTATGTTATTGTCACTCAAAATGGATGCCTTTTTAAAAAACCTCGCTTATGGCAAACCACTCTTTGAAGCTAAAGTTGATACTTAGAAGGAAACTACCAATGCAACAAAGAAAATAAAAAGTAAATACAAAGCTTACAGTGAAACTGCTATATTCTAGTATAGTAAAGTACCACTTGAATAAACCTCAGTTGAACAAACTATTCAGATGAACAAACACCGCTAAAATTTCACGGCAAAACCCTGTTGTGTACCATGCAATTAGTTGAGTGAACTTTCACTTAATATTTTTAATGTTTGTTCAAGTGACATTTTACCAAAGAAAAGCTTATATAACGGACGAGGCAGACATACTGTTGGCCTTGCGAGTTCTCTTGTCGTGGATTAGACGTCGAGCGACCATCTTCCACCGCGACGGAACGTTGATGAGCTGCAGGTTCTCGAGAGCAGCAAGCTCCCCGCTGGTAGCTGGCCGCAGCTCGTAGAAAAGAAAGCGGCAGCGTTCGAACATGGGACAGCACACCTCTTTGTAGGAGCCATTCAGGTCTTGTCTCGCCTGCGTACCAGACGAGCATGAAATGATCCTGGCTTAAACAAATACATACTAGTAGTAGGTATGTCCTAGAGGTTGAGCCCAATAGTAGTATGTAATGGCAGAATCTCATATTGCCACTTTGAAACAGAATGTTAATCGGTGGTATACGCAGACTAAGAAACTTGTTTTACCGGGCCTTCATACATCTTTCTTTGCCAGAGGCTGTACACATATCCTGCAGAAGTATAATTTTTTTTAAGCTAAGTAACTTGGGAAACTGAATGAAACTTGGAACATACATCAGGAGAAATAGACACCAACCCCACCAAGCGTTCGGTGCATGTGTGACGCAGCCATAATTTTAGTTCACAGGTGGCAGTGCATGAGACGGTTTGTGCTGTCTCTGCACGCAGCTCCAGTGAGGTTGTTGCACATGCAAAGTTTCCTCGATGCATAGCCAAGCTGGCTGGTGACACTAGTTTACTGCATAACCAGCCCAGGTGGTCGGGAAAATAAAGTGTTCTTAAAATCTTTTTGTATCTCAAAATCCAAAGGATCAAAACAACCCACTGAGGTTTCTGCCCTTAAAATGGCAGACAATTATTTAGATGCAAGATATATTTTAAAAAAATACGTAAAAAATGGTTGCATTTCAAATCCCACATACTTCGGTTGATATCCATTTGTCAGCCTTGTTATGATACACATAGCTGGAGCTGTTGCTGCAGCCGCAACAAGTTCTTCAAAAAGCGTGAATGAAGAGACAAACAAGGATTCCAACAGTGCGAGACAAGGAATTCACTGACGTACAAATGATAGGTTTCACAAAGTGAAAAAAAAAAGGAACTAGATAACAGAATGTTCCAAAAACCTCTATCAAAATAAAAAAAACTTTCAACCTTTCCACTCTGGCAAAGAAGGAAGAGCAGCGGAGCTGTAGCTTCTGTTCTCAGCGGTGGCTTTCCAGGCGAGCGATCTGCTCTTCGTTCGCAAGGGAATCCGAAGCGCTCGACCCAGTGGAACTTCAGGCGATAGCGGCCTTGCGGCGGTTGCAGAACCATTCGCGCTGCTGCGCACGTCACTGCTCGTTCCGCTCCCGCTGCCGCCACCTATGAGCGACGGCGGCAGCCAGTTGTCTCATTGCGGCCGTCGCTCATAGATGGCGGCAGCTGTCCAGAGTTCGGCGTCATCATTTTTTTGCTGGTGGACACGATCCTGGGGAACCTAGCCCTTAACGGCTCTGCTGTAAAAAAAAACTCACCTTGATGAGGGACCACTTGGCTTGCTGAACCATCCGCACAGTGTCCTGCAGCATCGGAGGCAATGTCACGGATGTCCTGGCTGTTGAGGCTTTCAGGAGTGCCTGCTCAGCGACGTTGAGGGCCATGCTGCCCAGTCCCAGGTGCTTCACAGCCACAACCAGAAGCAACCTGCAGGTTACAACAGCGGAAGGCACGAAGAAGACTCGCCTACGGCCTCAAAATTTGAGGCTGAGGGGCTCAGTTTCTGTAACCAACAGTGCTTTATGTCTGGCAAGTTGCATTTATTTTTATTCTTGTTTTGTGACATCTGCGGTACACCAACATCAAAACATTTATGGTAACATAACATAATATTAAAGCAGTGTACAAGCAAAAAGAAAGAGAACACAAAGGACAGCCCTCTGTCTTATGTATTCTCTTCTGTGCACCGGTTTAATATGGTGTCTTCATACCAACCAGCTGAATTCTCCACTTTACAAACCTTTATGGTGTTTTTGGGCACACAGTAAACATCAACATCAACACCAACTGGCACTGGTTAGAAACGAGTTACTAGACAGTTTATCTAGTTTGACACCTACGGTGTCATTTTATTATTTTGAAGAAAAAGTCAATGGTACCTTAGAAGAACATCCTTATTGGATAGATAATTGGATGAGTTGGTACGTATTCATCCTGAAACAGTGCAACTAGACACGGACAAAGAGAGAGATTGGACGAACACCGACCAACAGTTGCTAATCAACGTTTGAGTCGTCCAGTGTCTCTCTTCGTCTGCGTCGAGTATCGCTGTTGAAGATAAAGAAATTCCTCACACACATTTTTATTTCATGACTGGGACAGGTGCTCAAGCTGGTATTTGGCAACATACATCCCCCAGATGATGACAACCTCATGAAAGCAAATAACATGTATCAAAAACTGATCTATTCACTCTCGCAGACTGACACAAAGTTCAAAAATAATGACACATCCCCACCACGCGACAATGCTTCCTGTCTCCGCATCGCGCAACAAAACCAAACCATGTTTTTTTTTTTTCTTCATGTACCATGCGCGACTATTAGGCCCGCTTCAGACGGGGCAATTTCGCCCAGCAACTTGACGTCGCAACTCCAGCAACACGGGCCGCCCGCGTTCACACGCAGCAAATGAATTGCTACGACTTGTTATCATGAAATTTTTTTTTTTTTCACTCTTTAGGCGCCCAGTTAAGCGCTAAAAACATGTTTTTATATCTTTGAATGGTGTTGAGAATACTAACTCATCTTTCTGAAAAGGTTTATTTCCAAAAACAATCATTTCAAACCAGAACCAAGTTTATAGCTGTCATCATTACCACCACAGGGGTGTCACATGAAAATATTGCGTCCCTGATTGGCTGCAGCCATTTCAAACGTCTTGGAATTGCTCCGAGTTGCTCGCTCGTTCGAGCTGGACCCGATCTCAGCAATTCGTGTCGATCTAGGGAAAGCTAGGGAACAACCCGCCAGCAACCTCAAAATTGCTGGAAAAGTTGCCCCGTCTGAAGTGGGCCTTAAAGAACCATGGGAAAACCGGAAAAACCACGTCTGCACCTCGGATGGATAGCGGTCATACCCTTTGGAATGGACGGCAGCTAGCGCCACCTGCCGAATTTGTCCAAATTAACCGTACTGCACCGCGTTCCCTCCGAATTAATAAGCGTTTGCTGCCACTGACTAGTACATACGTTTGACGGGACCGGATCGGCAGTTCAAATTATCCGAATTTCCGAATTAGCGGGGGTTGAATTAACGAGGTTTTACTGTATATACATGCTATCATACTGTACTACCTAATGCTACTGCTAGTATTCTCATAAAGTGCCAGAAGTGTCAAACCTGCACTGTATAAACTTTTACAATTCCAACTACAGTCTAAGCTCACTACAACAGACCTGGTTACAACGGACATTTGGATATAACATACCGACTTGTGAAGTTTGCTTGGTCTTCCTCTCTGTACCATTGATTCAACTTCATGGGAACAAGTGGGCATGGGAACAACCATACGATGCGGACGGCTAACGTTTTTCGCTTCTTCTGTACGCAGTTGACGTTCAGCAAATGCCTCCTCCCAACAGTGGATTCAAGCTCTGCAGATCTACTCGCAAAACCTGCCACAGCGGCGGGTAAACTGCCAGTCATCAACAAGAACACACCACTTTGTCTCCCACCGGACATGCCTACCATCCTGCCAAAAACGTTCAAAAGGCAAGCCTCATCATCAGCGACGCCACACGATATGAGGGACTGGCCCATTGCCTACGCTTTCACTGGGCATGGGAACAACCATACGATGCGGACGGCTAACGTTTTTCGCTTCTTCTGTATGCCGTTGACGTTCAGCAAATGCCTCCTCTTAACAGTGGATTCAAGCTCTGCAGATCTACTCGCAAAACCTGCCACAGCGGCGGGTAAACTGCCAGTCATCAACAAGAACACGCCACTTTGTCTCCCACCGGACACGCCTACCATCCTGCCAAAAACGTTCAAAAGGCAAGCCTCATCATCAGCGACGCCACACGATAAGAGGGACTGGCCCATTGCCTACACTTTCACTGGGCATGGGAACAACCATACGATGCGGACGGCTAACGTTTTTCGCTTCTTCTGTATGCCGTTGACGTTCAGCAAATGCCTCCTCTTAACAGTGGATTCAAGCTCTGCAGATCTACTCGCAAAACCTGCCACAGCGGCGGGTAAACTGCCAGTCATCAACAAGAACACGCCACTTTGTCTCCCACCGGACACGCCTACCATCCTGCCAAAAACGTTCAAAAGGCAAGCCTCATCATCAGCGACGCCACACGATAAGAGGGACCGGCCCATTGCCTACGCTTTCACTGGGCATGGGAACAACCATACGATGCGGACGGCTAACGTTTTTCACTTCCTCTGTATGCAGTTGACGTTCAGCAAATGCCTCCTCCCAACAGTGGATTCAAGCTCTGCAGATCTACTCGCAAAACCTGCCACAGCGGCGGGTAAACTGCCAGTCATCAACAAGAACACGCCACTTTGTCTCCCACCGGACACGCCTACCATCCTGCCAAAAACGTTCAAAAGGCAAGCCTCATCATCAGCGACGCCACACGATAAGAGGGACTGGCCCATTGCCTACGCTTTCACTGGGCATGGGAACAACCATACGATGCGGACGGCTAACGTTTTTCGCTTCTTCTGTATGCTGTTGACGTTCAGCAAATGCCTCCTCTTAACAGTGGATTCAAGCTCTGCAGATCTACTCGCAAAACCTGCCACAGCGGCGGGTAAACTGCCAGTCATCAACAAGAACACGCCACTTTGTCTCCCACGGGACACGCCTACCATCCTGCCAAAAACGTTCAAAAGGCAAGCCTCATCATCAGCGACGCCACACGATATGAGGGACTGGCCCATTGCCTACGCTTTCACTGGGCATGGGAACAACCATACGATGCGGACGGCTAACGTTTTTCGCTTCTTCTGTATGCCGTTGACGTTCAGCAAATGCCTCCTCTTAACAGTGGATTCAAGCTCTGCAGATCTACTCGCAAAACCTGCCACAGATGCAGGCAAACTGCCAGTCATCAACAAGAACACGCCACTTTGTCTCCCACGGGACACGCCTACCATCCTGCCAAAAACGTTCAAAAGGCAAGCCTCATCATCAGCGACGCCACACGATAAGAGGGACTGGCCCATTGCCTACGCTTTCACTGGGCATGGGAACAACCATACGATGCGGACGGCTAACGTTTTTCGCTTCTTCTGTACGCAGTTGACGTTCAGCAAATGCCTCCTCCCAACAGTAGATTCAAGCTCTGCAGATCTACTCGCAAAACCTGCCACAGATGCAGGTAAACTGCCAGTCATCAACAAGAACACGCCACTTTGTCTCCCACAGGACACGCCTACCATCCTGCCAAAAACGTTCAAAAGGCAAGCCTCATCATCAGCGACGCCACACAATAAGAGGGACTGGCCCATTGCCTACGCTTTCACTGGGCATGGGAACAACCATACGATGCGGACGGCTAACGTTTTTCGCTTCTTCTGTACGCAGTTGACGTTCAGCAAATGCCTCCTCTTAACAGTGGATTCAAGCTCTGCAGATCTACTCGCAAAACCTGCCACAGATGCGGGTAAACTGCCAGTCATCAACAAGAACACGCCACTTTGTCTCCCACCGGACACGCCTACCATCCTGCCAAAAACGTTCAAAAGGCAAGCCTCATCATCAGCGACGCCACACGATAAGAGGGACCGGCCCATTGCCTACGCTTTCACTGGGCATGGGAACAACCATACGATGCGGACGGCTAACGTTTTTCGCTTCTTCTGTACGCAGTTGACGTTCAGCAAATGCCTCCTCCCAACAGTGGATTCAAGCTCTGCAGATCTACTCGCAAAGCCTGCCACAGCGGCGGGTAAACTGCCAGTCATCAACAAGAACACGCCACTTTGTCTCCCACCGGACACGCCTACCATTCTGCCAAAAACGTTCAAAAGGCAAGCCTCATCATCAGCGACGCCACACGATAAGAGAGACTGGCCCATTGCCTACGCTTTCACTGGGCATGGGAACAACCATATGATGCGGACGGCTAACGTTTTTCACTTCTTCTGTACGCAGGTTAGTAACATTGATTCTTTGTACACTAAAAAATCAAGCGACGTTTTTCTTTTGGTGTTCCCATGCCCACGGGAGTTGTTCTCGATCGTCGGTCAGAGTATAGATGTTGTAAAATTGCTGATGCTATGCGGGGACGTCGAGGTAAACCCCGGTCCTGATACGCGTAACAAGCAACTTGACGAAATGTGCCAACTGCTTCAAGATGGTCAGTCTAAACTACTAATGGTTGTAAATGAAATCAAAACAAATCAAAAGCAGTTGGAAGACAAAATCACTGAGCTGACCCCAACCGACTCCAGAATGTGGAAACTAAGACTAAGGCTCTTGATAGACTGGATTGTGAAGTACGCACTACAGACCAGGTTCTAGAAGAAGTTAAAAAAGAAAATGCATTCTTGCGTGCTAGACTTGATGACCTCGAAGATCAGTCTCGGCGAGACAATCTAATCTTTCATGGCATAGATGACTCGCCCTCAGAAACCCAATCTGAGCAAACAGTACACTCGCTGCTTTCTAATGTCCCCAAGCTGAGCATTTCTGATGAGGGAATCACTTGCGCGCACCAACTTGGGACGTTTTCTCGAAACAAGTGTCGACCAGTAATAATAAAATTTGTGTCATCCAAAACTAAAGAGAGCATCCTCTTAGCTGTTTAATATCAGCATCCTCTTAGCAAAACTAAAAACATGGAACGTCTCCGTCAATGAAGACTTGGCACCAGCCACACGTTATGCGCGCAACAAGTTGTTTGATTTCGCAAAATCTCAGAGTCCCGATAGTATATTTCAGATAAGCTACAACAGGCTTCACCTAAACAAGAAGTGCCTACTGCAGTACGAGTGACGAAGTTTATGAAATTTCTTGTGCTACTAATAGAGGTGCCGAGTCACTCCAACCACAACACATGCAAGAATCAGCAACCTCATAACAATCGTGCACTCTTCCAGTCAAAGATTCGACAGTGAAAAATGTTTCTGTTTTCTTTACAAATATCCGAAGCGTAATAAAGAAACGCGATGAATTGTGCTCCGCTCTTGATTCTGCTTCTGCCGACATCATTGTGTTGACCAAAACATGGCTCTCTAGTAAAATACGTAACAATCAACTTTTTTGTGATAAGCAGTAAAAAGTCTATCGGCATGATAGGGATTCGCGGACGGCGGAGGCGTGCTAGTTGCTGATTCCATTGAGTCATCTCATATTAACTTAGCATCTAGCTTAGAAATTGTATGTGTATGTTTCACTAAGTCACAGAAACATTGTTGTCTGTGCATGTTACCGCCCACCTACCTTCACTATGAATTTTGTGGAGTTATTACATGACACACTTAGCAGGATTGTATCAAGATTTCGCAGTATTTATTTTTGGCGATTTTAACTACCCAAATATTAACTGGTCACAAGATATTCCTATTTGCGTGCCTTATTCTTCTGAAAGCAACCATTTCCTAAATCCCTATGCAGACTTTAATCTTTCGCAATTAGTTACCGAGCCCACGAGAATTACGTCCTCAGCAGCCAACGTTCTTGATCTTATTTTAACTACGTCTAAGGACCTCGTAGAGCCCATCTCTTATCTTCCAGGTCTTGGTGACCATTTAGCCTCGCATTTTTTTCTCAAAATTCCCAAGAACAATTCTGCTGGGTGTGTCAAACACATCCGTGATTACGCTAGAGCCGACTTTGAATCCATAAACCGCGAGCTATGTACATTCATGGACTCTTATATGCAGAATTTTTCAGAGCGATCGGTTGAAGGCAATTGGTGTCTGTTCAAAGATAAAATTACTTCACTGATCATCAACTACATTCCCTCTCGTGTTGTCAAATCAAACTCGAAATCACCTTGGTATAATACGACTTTAAAAAGGCTGTCTAATAAGAAAAAGCGCTTGTTTCGAACAGCTAAATCATCAATGTTTCCTGATCGCTGGGCCGCGTACCATTCGGCAGCTGAAGTATACAAATTGGCCGTCGATGAAACTAAAAATAACTTCTTCAGCATAAAATTACCTTCAATGCTCACTAACAATCCAAGGCAGTTTTGGAACGTAGTCAACCCTGCCGACAAACATTTAATACAACTTAAAAATTCAGGCGGAGAGGTGATTTCCGGTGAAGATTGTGCTATGACTTTCAACGAATGTTTCATCAGTGTCTTTAGTGGTCTCTTAAGTGCCGACCATCCCATACTACCATCTTCCGATTTTTTGCCCGTGTTACCAATTGTGTTTGATCTACCCGGTATTGTTAAAACTATGGAAAACCTCAATCTGTCGTCGGCATCAGGTGTCGACGAGATAAACGCGAAATTTCTAAAGAATACCAAAATGTACTCATCGATCATCTCGTCATCATTGTTTCAACAATCACTTGATCCATGGCGTCTTACCTGAGAATTGGAAAGTAGGGAAGGTTGTTCCAATTCACAAAGCTGGTGACCGTTTCTCACCTTTAAATTACAGGCCAATATCTCTTACTAGCGTACCCTGCAAAATTATGGAGCACATAATTTCTTCACAGCTCTCGCGTTTCCTGGAGTGCAACTCCTTCTTTAGCCCTTTTCAACATGGATTCCGCAAATCTTTCTCGTGTGATACTCAGCTCTTGGTTTTCACCCACAACCTCCACTCGGCTCTGGACCGTGGATCTCAGACTAACTGCATCTTTCTAGACTTTGCAAAGGCTTTCGATACGGTAACGCATAAACTACTACTATACAAACTTAGCCTAATCAGTATTGATCCATACATCTTATCTTGGTTAGAGTGTTTCCTCACTAACAGATCGCAATTTGTAACTGTCAATAACACAAACTCGTCATCGTCCCTCGTTGAGTCCGGTGTACCACAGGGTTCTGTCCTAGGCCCCCTCTTATTCTTAATATATATAAATGACCTACCTACTAGCATTTCCTCCTCCATAAGCGTATTTGCGGATGATTGCGTTGTTTACCGTGAAATTACTAATGACTCTGACGTACACATAATTCAATCTGATTTAAATGCAATTTCTTCCTGGTGTCATGCTTGGCACATAAAACTAAACATTATGAAATGTAAGACAATGAGGATTTCCCGCAAAGCAGCACTCTGTCCTAACTACTTCCTATCAAATAACCTCCTTGAAAACGTATCAACTTACAAATATCTAGGTATTCATATCTCTTCTGACCTATCATGAAAAACTCACACCGAATATATCGTTAATAACAGTAACCGCATGCGTGGATATTTAAGACGTAACTTTTCTCTAGCTCCATCATCATTAAAATTACTACTTTATAAAACACTGGTGCGACCAAAGCTTAAATATGCATGCTCGGTCTGGGATCCCGGTGCAGAAAGCCTCATATCAGCGCTCGAAGCTATCCAAAACCGGTCAGCACGTTTTATATCATCAAACTGCCATCGTACATGAAGCGTCACATCCATGAAAGCTAGTCTCTCACTGCCCCTTCTTTCCACTCGTCGCACTATCTCCCGTCTCTGTTTATTTCATAAAATTTACTACGCCAATTCACTCTTGAAAGAGCAACTAATCAGTGCCCCCATCTACGTATCATCTCGCCTCGATCACTGCTGCAAAGTTGGTATACCCACTTCCATCTCAAATTCATTTGTCAAATCTTTCATCTCAAAAACATCTCGTGATTGGAACGGCCTTCCCTCACCCATTGCGAGCATTGGCGATTTTGTTCTCTTTAAGGAAGCACTAACAAGTTACTATTCATGATCTGTGCCGGGCTAACCATTTTCAGCGTTTTTGTACTCCTGTTGCCCACCCCCTCTGTGATGCTTCGGCCCTGAGGGTATAATAAATAAATAAAAATAAATAAATATGTGCATACAAATACTCCTCTTACAACAGACCGAATTCTTCATAAAATTTAAGGTCTGTTATAACGAGCTTGGACTGTATCTTCATCGACAGAAGTGCCAATATTATTTCTAGCTGAAAGACTGGAGCATGTACGGGCTCAAAGACACTCACAAGCTGTCTCAGATAGCTATTTGTTTGGGGTCATTGCAACACCGTGCTAGAAAAATGTAAGAATGTCTCGATAATACATATCTAACAAACTCGGATATGCACAGAATATGTTGCGAATGAGCTCGATCCAGGCTGTGTAGGTTTTTGTGACATAGCATAAAGTCATGAGGTCATGGTACTATGCACTTTAATTTGAGATCATAAAGTCACGTGACATTACATGACCTCATGTGACATCAGTGCCACGCAGTGTCAAGTGATATCATGACATTACGCGACACAGTGACTTCACGTGACACTGTGATGTCAAGTGACTTCATTATATTGTGCAATGTCATGGTGTCACGTAACACCCCGATGTCAAGGTCATATAAGCAATATATCCCCTATGAGGCCATGTTTCTCGTATGACCTTGACCTGCGTGACAATCGAGCGTAGCAAGTCACTTTTCTCACGGAGCCCAGCCCTATCGAACAATCTGAATTCCTGAAATTCAACCGAATTGAGCCCATGGACCACCCACCTTCCGACCTCCTCGACGGGATGGTCGGCTGCAAAGTCCATCCTCAGGGCCAGGTGCTGTTCCTCGCAGAAGGCGTCCACCGTGCGGAGGAAGCTGGCCACCAGGGGCTCGTCCAGCCGCCCCTCCCCAATGGCCTCCAGCAGCCCTTCCTCGCTCTGGACCGCCCCACTCCCAAAGGTGGGCGAGGGGGTCGCCGTCCCGCTCGTCGTGCCCTTGGGTTCCGTCGGAGTCACTCCGGATACTGGCGCCAAGGTTGAAACAACCGTCAAACTTTCAACTAGAGAGTACCGAGGATAAACGCTATAGCAGGTGACGAGTTGAGAATGCGGTAGGTGCTCTGCTTCCAGCACGAGCCATGTGCCTGCGATAAAACTTTGTCACACGCACAGTCCAAGTCTGGCAGAGGACAGAGAGCCTCTACTGCATTCTTGGCCAGTCATTGAATAAACAAACATTCATAGAGCATAGAACAGAAATCAGACGACACGATGAAAAACAGTGCAGAGAGGAGAGGACAACAAGAGAGAAACACATAGAACACAAAAGCGCTGACTTGCAACTGATATGAGAGGAAAACGACATTCATACATCAAAAACAAAAGCAATACATTCACACCGTGAATAGGTATTTACAAAAATAATAAGAAACTAAGAAAACTATAAAGGCACACGTGCAGGGCAGATCACAGGGTCAGATAACAAGCACTTCCTTATCAATGGCTTGCTAACAGAACACTCTCTTAATTTTGCTATATATTCCTTCCAGAATTTTCCTGCTCCTCCGATCTGGAAATTTTCCTAAGATTGTTGTTTGTTCAAATGATGGAGTACACTGGCAGGTCTGACAGTGCTGTGGAAGGTGTCTTCCTATGGAGGCATGAAGGGACTATACTCCGCGACAACTTTTCTTGGCAATGCAGTGGAAGGTAGAGGCCCGCGTCCCCTTTCCCACTTTGAGTGTACGAAGGCTCTCCTCCTCTCCCCGGAAATGGGGGAGGAGGAGAGCCTGCGTACACTCAAAATGGGAGAGGGGACGCGGGCCTGTACCTTCCACTGCATTGCCAAGAAAAGTTGTCGCGGAGTATAGTAGTGTTTTCAAAGACGGTCGTTGACACACTAGTCTGTCCTACGTAACTTCTACCACACGTAAGGGGTAATTTATAGATAACAACTTGTGTGCATGGATTGAACTGTCGCTGATGTTGCTTCGAGTTGCGATTGAGCACTTCTGTGTTCTAGGTTTCTCTCCTGTTGCCCTTTGTGCACTGTTTGTCATTGTGTCGTCTCAATCCCAACTGGCCCAACTCACCACACTGCTCAGACAGAAATCAGTTCTTGTCTACATGCACTGTTTGTCTTAAAATTATACACGCTTGATCATAATGATAAAGGGAGCGCGGAATGCGTCCCGCACAACCCACACTCCGTGTGTGGTGTTTGCTAGATTTTTACTCCTTTTGTTACCTATTTTTTTATTTTTATATTATTATATATTAATTTATTATTTTAATATATGTTTATATTATAAAAAATTTATATTATTTTTATTATTTACTCTACTAATTTATTATTATTATTCAATATTTGAATTCAAAACATGCCATTCTTGCGGGCACGTCTGCATTTCAATAAAATCATTTCCAGAGCAGCTGCGCTCGCAGCTCAGTGGCCATAGTACCAAACCTGCGTCGGTGCCACTACATTGACGCAGGTTCGAGCCCGGCTGGGCGCCTTGCTTACGCCGATTTTACGTAGGCCCTTGTGAGCTTTACGCACAACCTTAACGTTGAGTAACACTACCAGCAAGTCGTTTGCTCATGACGCTCATCCCCAATGCTCGTTTGTCCCCAACGTTCCTTTTCAAATGTTTTCAGATTCTCAAGCGACATTCTTAACAACAAAGATGGGAGAGAAGAAGCACGCAGGATGAGTGCGCTTGAACTTCTTTAACATATTCTGCGTTCAAATGCACTACCGTATTACACAACCCTTGTTCCTAGACATCGAGAGAAAGGGAAAACGGGGGAGCGTTAGCACACCGCTCGCCCCCGCTCCCTCCACGTGATGCCATGCCACTGGTGTGCCACGACACCGAGCCAACAGCTGCACTCTGTTGCCGACACCCGCTCCATCCTGTGGCCTTGCAACGGTGCGACCGAGATCAACCCGAGCGAGCAAGCTCCGTGCAGGAATCCCATATAAAACTATAGCTCTAAAATAACTAGAGGAGACAAAAAAACAAAAATTGCCCGGCTTAGATGTTTTATAAAATGTTATGAAGCTGCGTTAGCACTAAATTAGGTTTTTAACGACCATTACCTTTTATTGGAATTTAGGATAGATACTTTCCCACTCAACTTAGCGGGGGAATTGACATCAACATGTGGCCGTGACATTGCGTGACACCGTGTCACATGACACTTCAATGTCACGAGACACCTTGACATCACACGACCCCGTGACGTCACATGAACCATGATGCAATATAAGTGATGTGAAGCCACACGACACCGTGACCTCATGTAACATTGCGACGTAACGTGATGCCATCACATCACGCGGTGCCACGACGTCATGCAACGCCGTCACGTCCTGCGACACCTTGACGTCACCCGACATTGTGACGTAACGCGGCGAGAACGACAGGAGCGAGAAATGTCCGTGGAGGCTTCCAAGATCAAGCTCTACAATGACTAAAGCAAGGGCCTGTTCTCGAGCCAACCCACCTGGAGTGGCCGTGCTTGATCCCCCCTGGCTGCGAGCCTCCCCCTTCTCCTCGTCATAGGGGTCCGTGGGTTGCAGGCCCCTCAGCAGGCCCCCTCCCCTGAGAAGCGGGCTTTCCAGCCAGGTCCTCAGTTGGGCCTCGCAGGGTTGCACGGGAGCCCCGCAAGCCCGGTGGTGCAGACCCAGGCCCAGCAGGTAGCCCAACGAGCGCTCAGCGTCGCACAGCGGAGACGACAGCGTCCCAGGGTCCACCAGCAGCGGCGCGTCCTGCTCCTGCTGCAAGGTGTGGCGGGCAGCACGACCCACCTTATTAGGAATGGTGATGTGACCCATTAAATCTTCCAGATCTTTAGTGGTTGCTGTCAGGAGTGAAGCCCCCATGAAGCACGGAGGTTTTCTTTAAATTACAGGATTTTTTTGTGTACAGTTGAACCTTAAAATGTGTTTTGGGCCGGTTCCTAAGCCTAAAGCATCACAAAATGCAATGGAAGATGATAACATGGCCAGCTGTTTTTACAAAAGACTGTCTCTGGGCAGAAATGAACCCATAAAGATTTTGGTCAGTAATGCCATACCTATCCCCTGCGGTAGCTGCCATAAAAACGCCTTCACTTTAATCATGGGAGGAGCTCAAAACATGCTGCACATTCTGTCCCCCGATTTTATCCGTAGAAGTAAGATGCGTTTCAATTTCGTACCGATGCCTTCTCGATTACCTCGCACACAGTGCAGTTACATTCTTTTTTCTAGTGGCACCCTCACACCTCTGTTTTATGCAGAGTCTCGCATAGTTTGTAAGAAGGGACCTGACACTGCAACAGATGTAACTCAGCAGACCAGACAGAAAGTTAAAATCAATTCCTAGGCTAGTTGATTAAACATCATAGTACAGGGTGTCACAAAAGAAAATTTACACGGTCTTTTTTACCGCAAAAATAAACTAGGCATCGCCGAACGCTCATTCTCCGCCCAAAGGTAGAGCTAGAGGTCACAACCAGATGCCAAAGTTTCAGCCCGATCCGATAACTTAATCGAAAGTTATAAGTGATTTTCTGAAAATTTCAATGGGAAAATGGTGGCCGACGGAGTTTTCGAACACATGGGGCTCTATGGCACCAGAAACCGAAAACGAGCAAAAATGGGCTCCATTTTCCCATTGAAATTTTCAGAAAATCAGTTATAACTTTTGATTAAGTAATCGGATCGGGCTGAAACTTTGGCATCTGGTTGTGACCTCTAGCTCTACCTTTGGGCGGAGAATGAGCGTTCGGCGATGCCTAGTTTATTTTTGCGGTAAAAAAGACCGTGTAAATTTTCATTTGTGACACCCTGTACTTACAATAGTGCAAGAGGACAGGTCCCATCCCTTTCATGTTCCTGTCCATTTGCACTACAGTATGTATAATAGACATGAAGCTCGTCCAAACCCAAAGTATTTAGAAACTTCCAAAAAAACACTAACATATTTCTCTTTAACGCAGAATGTGTTTTATCAGCTGATTTTAATAGAGATCTGTAATGTTTTGGGTGTAATGTATGGCTGTAACGAAAAACTGACACCGAAAGCGTTACACACATAGGAAACCATGTACACCCGCCGGCAATATGAAGGTGAACACCTTACCTGGTTTCTTGCCTGTTTTACGGCTCCCTAAAGCTATATTAACTTTCAACGTCTCAAATGGTACGTGGCCAAGGGTCTAAACTTTGCATTTTGGCCCTCTTCTGGAACAGAGCTTGTTCCAAAACTTGTAGGAGCGTTAAAAACAAGAAGAGGGCTGTTCGCCTTCATATTGCTCACGGGTGTACACTTTGTGCGAGAAATATAGAGGGCACTTTGAAAAATGCACCCAGTGCCACTAGCAAAGAAGCTGGGGTTCGACAGTGGGACTCCTTCTGCAGCCTGTGGCACCTTTTCGTGTGCGAAGCTGTGGCAGCGGAAACGCGCACGAACAGAACTTTGGTTCTTCGAGTCGTCATGTTGCGGATGACGCTGCATGAGGGTTGGAGCAAACCTAAATAAAGGTAATCTGGCTATTCTCTGCTTCTGATATATATAAATATATTCCAGGAAATAAAATTAATATACATCAATCACACTGCAGGCTGGCTTCAGATGGCAAACCCCGACTTCTAGAAGGTTAAACCACTGAACTTTCTCACAGAATCGGTGAGGCATTGATATCCTGAAATTAATCTAGTACCAGAAATCCATTGTGTTCATCTCCCCCCTCCCCCAAAATTTCCCGAGGGGGGGGGGGATGGGAAGGGGTGCAGCCCCCCCCCCCCCCCCTCTCCCCACTGGCATTGCTAGGCTCCCCCCCCCCTCCTCTCCCGAGCTCTTTGGAAAAGCAAGTACCATCGCTTCCGAAACCTCTGAGTGCACCTCCTTAACCTCATCTGTGCGCCCTAATGCCCATACGATCAATACCATGTGGCACTGCAAAATGATTTATTTAGTATCATTATTCGCTAATCACATTTGTAACTTGGTAATGAGTCTTTATGGGGGGGGCTCTGTCAAGCTTTAGCCCCCCCCCCCCCCCCCCCCCCAGGAAATAGAAAACTTTCCGCCCATGCTTCAGACGTCGCTCTGTTCTTGCCACAGTGGAAGAAGAGAGAGGTGAGCTTATCGTAAACATAAGAAATGGCAGAAGCTGCAGGAAGAGTCTTCACCAGAGACACATTCTGTGCTTACCAGTCTGTCAGCATAATTAAGCTTGTAAATTTTTTGTAAAAATTTCAAATGCAAACAAGTCTGTCAGGTTCTCGACACAGCATTACAAGTTAGCTGTGTTGCTTCATGACCTATATATATATATATGAAAATCCCACCCTTGCTCAAAATGCACCCTATATTGGAACAACCAATCAGCTTGCCAGGACAAACCATACTCTAACCCTTAAAAAGCGTTAAATTTAAATTTGGGCTACTGTTTTCAGACAAAGCTTTTCAGGAAGCACACCTTTCATTAAAGGAACTGTGCGACGATTTTAATGTTGAAAGAATTGGCATCTTCTACTTTTGAAACTGTTTATCTTGTCACAAAAGACGGAGAACACACCTCCCCCCTTCGAAATGTTGCGATTCTGCCGCATAATCGCGAGCCGAAAATTAGAATATTCCCCGACCCGCAGCCGCAAGTGGCGGCCATGAGAACCACACGGCATGACGTCAATGGAGGTCTTGTAGAAAAATAGCAAGTTGTGCGAATACCTGCTCGATAGAAGGTAACTTTTCTATAGATCTTGTCGTTCCAACATAAATAACAATGGGTCAAAAACCTGGTATCATCGACAAAACTTTTATTATACGGAGTTTTAGTGGCGCCATCTATCCTAAGTCCAGAAAACCGTCAGCTCTTTCTGCTACTGCAAACAGCCACCAGAAGCCAGAGGGGGACGGGGATGGCCGGACCCGGATGAGACCTTCCTCCTTTCACCATATTGTTCGCGCTGCGCCAGCACGTGGTCACGCGATCGCGAGCGGATGAGTTCTTGCTGCTCACTGATGGTTCTAGAAAGAGAGCTTCACCGGAACCCCGCGCAACCCCCATTGACGTCACAGCGCATGTGGCTCGGAAGGTGGTGAAGGAGTTGAGAGGTGCCGAAAACCTCAACCTTTGTCTATTTTTAAAATAAAAATTAAGACATGCAGGTAAAAGCGTTTTTTTGTTTTTGACTTCAGAAAGGTCGAGGCACCAAATCCCAAATTACCGTATTTACTCGAATCTAGGCCGATAGTTTTTCCAAAAAAATTAAATCCGAAACTCGGGGGTCGGCCTAGATACGAGGATCCGGCTCCGCCATGACCGCGGGACGCCATCTTGTCTACGTCGCTTCGGGAAGATACCCTGTGTACCACGGAACGCACGAAACTTTCGTCTCTACTTGACGCTATGGCATCAACCAGTCGATGCCACTACTCTGTGGCTTTTAAGAGGAAAGTTGTCTTGGCTGCTGAACACTCGTCCAACCTGCAAGCCCAGCGTGACTTCGGCGTGGACGAAAAAAATGTGCGCCGCTGGAGAAAGCAGCGTGGTCAGCTCTTTGCATGTGCGGCAACAAGAATGGCGTTCTCAGGACCGCGGAAGGGAAGGCACCACGAGCTGGATCGCGGCCGCATGCGACGACATTTCGGCGGAAATGATAGTAAAGTCCTTCCGAAAGTGTTGCATCTCGAATGCCCTGGACGGTACGGATGACCACGCGTTGTGGGAAGTGGACAGTGACAAAGATACCAGTGAGGACGACGAATGATCAGGAAAAATGCGGACATTAACCGTGAGCATACCGTCGGATTCGTGACCGAAATAGTGCTGTACATTGCAGATAAATTCCGTTCTGTGTTTAATTTTATGGTGTTTTCCCTATACTTTTTGGTCGGCCTAGAATCGAGAATTTTTTTTTTATTTTATTTTTCGGCCCTGCCGTTTTCGCGGGGTCGGCCTAGAATCGATGCCGGCTTAGAATCGAGTAAATACGGTATTTAAGCAAAGCACTGAATTTGTTACACAGCTCCTTTATTGTCAGGAAGCTTTAAGAACAGCAGACACATACATTAAAGAATTGTGCCCAAATTTTACTCACATCCACAAAGTTTCCAACGAAGAAGGAACTCAACATTTCTTTGGCTTCCTTGGAGTGGCATGCAGCCTCGAACGCCTGAGTGGCATCACGACCTGTGGCGTAGATGCACAAAGTTAGCTTTCTTCTAACAAAGGCAATTTGCGAGCAAATCAGAAGTAAAATGCATATTTCAGTAACTCGCGCAGTCCCTCCGGCAACAAAGAATTTCTCCACTATATCTCACCAAGCTCGCGAGAGAACGCTACCATTTCACGCACTTGCAAGCAATTTTTAACAGAATTTTCTAGACGCCAAAACACAAAACAATCTCCCTTAGCTCATTCCATGCGAACCAGTTCCTGTAAAAAATCATCTCTTCCTACAGCCAGGATGAGCGGTAGCAGGTGCCGAGTTGACATGTGCAGCATGTTGACATTGATGTGAATGTGCCGCATACATTTTTTTAACACAAAATGTGTTATAAGAAATGACACGTGACATTACGCTTGACTGACACACAGGTCAAGGTCGTATAAGTAATATAGTCTCATGGGGGCTATATTGCCCGTATGACATTAAAAGGGCACTAAAGTGCTTTTTGAGATTCTCACTTTATTGTCATAACTCAATCTGAGAGCTCTAAGCGTGCTAAAAAAACTCGAAATTACATTCACACGCGGCCGATTTGCATTTTAAAAAGGGGATAAAAAAACTATCAGCCTTTCCACTCTGGCGAAGAAGGAAGAGCAGCGGAGTTGTAGCTTCTGTACTTGGCGGTGGCTTTCCTGGCGAGCGATCTGCTCTTCTTTCGCAAGGGAATCTGAAGTGCTCGACGCAGTAGAACTTCAGGCAATAGCGGCCTTGCGGCAGTTGCGGAACCATTCGTGCTGCTGTGCACATCGCTGCTCGTTCCGTTCCCGCTCTTCTTCCTCCGAAGAAATGTTGCTGCCATCTATGAGTGACGGCAGCAAGCAGACAACCGGCAAACACAACACTCTGGACAGCTACTGTAGAGACTGCTTATAACGAAGTCAACGGGAATCGGAAATCACTTTGCTATATCCGTTATTTCGTTATAACCGACTTTCTGTTATAACGAAGTGCAAAGGGAATGGGCAATCGTGATCGCTTCGCTGTAGCTGCTATTTCATTATAACCGACTTCGTTAAAACCGGTCTCGACAGTACCGCCATCTATGAGCGACAGCAACAACCAGAGTGTTGTGTCAAGATTTGTTTGGTACTGGACACGATCCCGGGGAAACTAGCCCTTAACAGTTTAGCTGTGAAATTCCGATACTTACCGTTGGTGCAAAACAACAGATGGCGCTATTGACAGACGGCGCTTGTCAGCCACTCGCAAGCGATGGGTTCTTGCGTGGACGAGCGGGACCGGTCGGCCGTTCGGGCATGCGGGAACCCATCGTTCACACACTGACACATCATGGTTTCACATCATGTGACGTCATAATGTCAAGTGACTCTGCGATGTCACGTGACATCGTGTAACACGAAACCACAACGTCACATGACACCGTGAATTCACACAACGTCCCAGACACACACAGCCCAGTTCATTCGTACAACATTCTGTGGGTCTCCGAGATTATCATATATGATTGAGCGATCGTACATGCATTTTGCACTGCACCCCAAAGACTGCAGCAGATGCTTCTCGAAAGTATCGAAGACCACAGACGCAACGACCGGCTCTAGCGCGACAAAAGGCCCCGATGGGGCGTTCACTCGAGCGTCTTCTATGACGCTGTACTCACCTGCATATCTGACGAAGACGTCCGATCCGCAAGGCGCACGGAGCCTGAACTCCTGCACGTCGTACACTTTGCCCCTGATGACCAACCAGAAGCCACCATCTCGATTGTGGTTTTCGATGTCCACTCTCCTCAAGGTCATGATGTCGTCGGACATTCTTTGGCTAGGGGGCGGTGTCAGTGTTCCACCTGCGTGAGAGGAAGGTCAGCAATGAGCTCTTAACCACCCTTTCAGGGTCATGCAAATGGCATTTTAAGAGTAAAACTGTCTAAGCACCGCGACTAAGATCGGCATACTTGATCGCGACTTCTGGATAGGAAAGGCTGGAGTTTGCTTTGTCGACACCAAGCAGAGTTTTTAGAAACTCAACAGTCCGAGCGAAGCTGGCTGTGCAGATCTTCAAAGCCCAAGAAGCAGAACAAAGAAAACATTGACCAACATCTAAAAAAGTGTAAAAAAAAACAAAAAAAACTCGTGGGACAGAATTGACAGCTTTTAACTTGATAGACCCCTGAAACTCTCTGACTAAGCTTCCACAGGCAGTCAAGCCAGAGTGGGACTCGTAGCAAAATGGGCGTCTGCCGCATGTGCACACGCCGCCGTTCCGCCGCCGGCACCGTGGCGGGCAGTAGGGCGACACCCTTTCAACATCGTTTGGCGGGTATTGAGGGACCGTGTCTAAGGACGCGGCAGACGCGCCGGTGGGAGATGCACCGTGGGCGCCATCACTCTCCCCAGGGTCGAGCAAACACCGCATACCTCCCACCCCGGGCCAGGACAGGTCTTGGCTGTCCTCGAGGTGCGAGCCGGGTGCGAGCCGGTTGAAGCAGTCCAGGCTTTCCAGGAGGGGGGAGAGGGTGGGCACCACTTGCGCCGCCTGCGTGGCTTCCGGGGCGCTCGTCTCCAGCAGAATCAGGGACAGCAGGAGCTCAGGGAGCAGGATCCCTGAGGGTGGCAAAGACATCCAAAGTCGTGGCTAGAGCCACCCGCTAGGCTATGCTCGGGGTTCTCAAGCTCTTCAATCTCGGAGAACCCACACCGACCCTCAATGGCAGCTAGAGAAAGATCCCCGGAAGGTCGCTTACCCGTGAGGTCCCGCTCCAGCACCGCGGCAGCGAGCGCAAAGTGGCGCGGCGACAGAGTGGCCAGCACCGACGCGACGGACAGGCAGTCCTCGGCGTGGGAGGAAAGGAGACCAATGTATTTCCGCAGCAAGGACGCGGCACCGTAGCCCTCGGCATCTGCGAAAAAAGCGCTTCTTGTAGTGTTGGATGACAGTTATCAGCAACTACTTAACGGTTAAAGAAAAATGTTTCCATCGTCAATGACAAAGAGGCAGACTAGGTATACAGTCAAATCTAAGTCAATCTTCAATTATTCGTCAAGCAACTCAATTGCCTGATTCCTTCCCAATCGTGTTTTCACTAGATCCAAGGACATCAATAACACCTTCAACATTAAAAGCACCAACTGAAACATGGACGAAAGAAGAAACGCAAGAACAGGAGCTACTCACAACCGATTTAATTGATTCCCTTAGCCCGACTGTTGTTCACCAGAACAGGTCATAAGCCGATAACATAACGACAGTCTTACATGAAGCCACCTAAAAACCGTTTCCTTATCCACCAGTAAAATAGACAGCATGGTCACACACTCCTCACCCACACTCTTAATAAAAGAAGCTTTAACGATTTCTCTCTCAGTCTCTCATGCGAATTTGAGTCCGCCTGAGAGTGAAGCAAGCAAGGACAGTCCTATGTTCAGAAAGATGGGATCTGTATTGGGTCTCCGAAAGCACAGGTATTGAGCGACATTTCCTTTCTGGCCTGGACGAGCGCATTCCTGAAGCTTTGGTCGGCATGAATGTGGTGAAAGTTTTCCGATATGTGGACGACTTCCTCGTTATTTTGGGGGATTGTACATAGATTAGTTTCAATATCGCTGTCACAGAAACAGTTCACCCGTTTACTTCACTCTCAGGTGGACCAAAATTCACAAATTCAACATCAATATCCTGAAAGCGAAAGGACAAAACAAAGCGCTCAAAGCAAGGACTGACCGAGACCATTGGCAGGTTCGGCCAGTTCCTCGCGCGGGTAGAGCTTGCCCAACAGCAGGCGCTGGAACCTCAGCAGGAGGTCGAGGGAAGCCGACATCTCTTTGTGGTCGGCGTTCAGCTTCAACGAGAAGCACGAAGATTGCGGGGTTGTGGTTGTGTTCTCCGGAAAGAAGCTCTGCAGCTTGCCCATTGTCTGTACGGCAGTGTTCCTGTAGGCCAAGCAAAATGCACCGAGTAAAACAGTAATGCTTCTACACCTTCAACTGCCATTTCCGTTCAGACTCTTTGAATTTGTAACATGGCTGGCACTGGACGATATCCGGTTAGGTGCCAGCAATGGAAGTCGACGGGCCGACGGCCAGCCGAACGCCGATGCAGCGCTCGTCTAGTCAATGATTGGACACCCAGTCGAAACTCTTCTTCGAGTGCCTTTGTATCACATACTGCCAGTGGGAGAATCGGCCTAATGCAACCCCACTACGCTATACGGCGCAATGAAGTTGCATTGGGCCAATGGTAAAAACATATTCTTCTCGCTTTTGGAAAATGATACTTCATAATAAGATTTGCTCATTTTGGTGTCCTAGCAACAAGCTACCTATAGGCATAAAGTATGTAGCTTTAGACTAAACACCTTTTGGTTTTCGTTTTGAAAACTGTGTATTTTGCAATAATCTCAATACTAGCAATTAATAAAATTTTAAAACATTTTCACTTTTAAAAACACTTTTTCTTTTAAATTTTGCTTGTGTTGTGTGGATTCTATACTGTCTATAATTGGTGAGTATATAGTGTGTTAACATGATAGCTTTACCCTGTTGGTACCATTTCTCTATTTCACTCTCCAATAGCAACAGCCACATTTCCAAAATGCCACCAAACAAATGTTTATGTTCTCCATCTGGTCCGAACACTTTCTTCACACAATGTAAAAATATGTGAAACAAAATGTTCTTTGCTCAGCCTAAAACCATTCCCACAGTTTAAGCCATACACCAGAAACTTCCAAGTGTCCGAGCAAACGTAGGCAAACTTGTTGCAAGTTTGTCTTTACATTAACAAAGAGAATGTAATGTCTACATTGTAGCATGGTGAAAAAGCAACGCAGCATAAATTTCTATAAAAACCTCGGAGGTCCCCGTAATAAAAAAAAGTCGGAAGGCACCTAAGCACTTCTTACGAGTTGTGAATGCGAAAGCATGAATGTCCAATGGAATGCCGCGGAGAGATCCGCGGAATTTTGCGGCGCGAGTAATGTTTCCGAGTTGTGCTGCGGGGCTTGTTTCCCTTCGTTTGCATGTTGGCTGTAGGCCTGAAACAAGGGGGTGTCCAGACGAGCAGAAGCCCCTCCGACGTTTTGGATACTAGATACATGTTCGTCGGCGGCAAGACCAGCAGAAGCCTCCAAGTGCGCCAACTTTCCGTTTTAACCGGTGGTTAGTTTTATCGACGCGCTGGTGGCACGGACACGCAGCGCCATCTGGTGGCGGTAGTTAAAACCGACGCGCACAGCGGCCAATGGGAGCCTCGTCGCCGCGAGTTTTTGGGATCAGGGAAACTGGGTGTCGTTTTCGCGCTTCCAACTGATGACGTCGGCTCGCTCCACAGGACAGTTAATGATTTCGCATTGAAATTGAGCAGTCCTGTGTTAATCCACAGAACAGCTACAGCGATAGCTGAGGCACGTCACGGTGAAGTCGTTGGGCATCGGTGCCGCGTTCACGCATTGTGGGGTGCGTGAACACTAACGTTAACAAAAGTGACAAGTGGTAATTTTGTTCTCAACGCTTATGTTTCTTTCTTTGCTCCGAAGCGCGTAAAAGTGTGTCTCCTGGCACGCGTTCTTGGCTTTGTTATCGGCTATTTTTTTATCCCCAGAGTGCGTGCGGTAAGCATCAGGTCTGTGATAAAAAAATAAACATCTGACCATTTTGTTCCGAACGCTTTTGTTTCTTGTACAGCGATAGTGTCACGAACGACTGGCAGAGAGACGGTTAGTGCAGTAGAAAACTAAACGTTTAATGGGGCGAACTTATGCCCAAAACAAAAATATAAAGAGGTAACGTCACAGGCGTTGAAGGTCAGCGGAGTAGCACGATTGAGCGCAAGAGCGGAACTGACTCCGGGCAGGCACGCGGAGCACCTTTTGTACCCGCGTCGGTTTCTGGAACATTTGGCGTAGAACGTTTGGTGCGTAGAACATTTGGACCTCGATCAGACGACAAGGTTCTTGAACTTACCAGAACGCTAAGTTGAAAGAATAAATAAAAGGAGCTTCCGCTTCCTGGGATCCAACCTGGGGCCTCCGCGCAAAGGGCAAGCAGGGTAACCATTTGGCCACGCCTGCACTCGCTCAGTGACGCGCGTGGCAATAGCTGTTATCAGATCTTCCCACCACTGGAAATTTCGTCTGCTGTTGATGTTGTAGTTGTTGTAGTAGTAGTTGTCGTTGTTGTAGTTGGCGATGTAGAATGTCCGTCGTCGATGTTGCTAAATTTTTTAAAAGGACTGATCGCCGCCCATGGGAGTTGAAGCTTGGTCCGCTGCATGCTAAGTGGAAGCACTACCCCTGAACTACGTCACGATGTTAACAACAGACTCCATACGTGAATTTTTGCAGTACCCTATGTCCACTGTTCCGTAAAAAAGAAAAATTTAGCAGTCCCGCGTTAATCCACAGTACAGCCACAACGATAGCTGTGGCATGTCACGGCAAAGTCATTGGAAATCGGCGTTGCGTTCACATACCGTGAGGCAGTAGGGTGCGTGAACGAAAGCGTCCTGAACAAAATAGACACCTGTTCTCTTTCGAATGTTTTTGTTTGGTTAAGTTTTGCTCCAAACAATTTTGTTCCTGTTTTGTTATAACGCACGTGAACGCGTGTCTCCCGGCACGAGCTTCGCGTCGACAGTGCTACAACAACATTCTGATACAGGCTATGCTTTTTTTTTTTTTTTTTTCAGAGAGCACGTGCAATGGGCATTGGGTGCTACAAAAACCCCAAGTTTGGAGAGGGCTAATTCGCTTAGTTTCATAATCTGCTTCAGGCTCCTCACTGCCAGTTTCTTAGAGCTACAAAATTATATGGAACCTGGGTATTTCGAAATATCGTCTATTTCGAAAGGTCGTAACATCCTCTTGAAGATCCCATGTAAAAGTATAGGCACCTTGTGCATCTGTATTGAACTTTGCCACCAGAGACATTTAATGCATCGAACCGTGCCCCTGGTAAGAAGGCTTTCCCCAAACGCTGCCGTCGCTGCGCAGTCTGCTCGCGCCGAGGATAAAGAACTTTTACCACAGGCAGTGAGAGGAGCAAACAGCAGAGCAGAAAAGCAACGCTTTGGCTGCCTCGACTCCTTAGCTGCCCCAATGAAAAAATAAAAGTCTTTAGCTAGTCAAGTGTGTCCACAATGATTGTGCAATCGTGCTTCGACCACATTCGTAATTTTCGTTCACCTCTTCTTTTGCCGTTTTTTTTTTTTGCCTTATTTTGTCGTTTTCGATTTTATGCCAATTCTTTTTTTGTTGCTACTTTGAGTTTTTTTAATAAATGAAGAGAGATTTGCTTTCTTTATTACGTGTCCTGCTCTTTGCAGTCTTTTTACATTTATTTTAATTTTCTTTTTCTATTTCGTCGCTCATGGTTTTAAAATGGTCAAGGTTGCAGCCACGTGTGCGCATAGGAGCGGAGAGGTGCAAGCGCGAGCAGCGGCGCCCGTGGTTCCCGCCAGATACATTTTAACGAGGATCTATTGTATTTAGTGGCACTTGGACACCTTATCTCGTATGCTCCCTTTTGTCCCGATCTTCAGTATTGGCAGAGACGTGCTGAAATTCCAATGCGAGCTTACTTTCGTACGTCAAATTATCAATACAAGGTGAAACAAGGAGACGGCAGGCTCTTTAAATCGACCGCAAAATTCGGTTTCTTAACCTATCATGCTACGACTTTGTGCAGTGTTGCCCACAGATGGAGCATTTTTTTTTGTTAAATTTGCAAAGAGCGAACTTACCTGAGGAAAAAGTAAAGAAAGAAAAAGGCTTAGCTCCTATGGAAACGCAGCGACGCCACCGGTCTTCAAACAACACGGCGCCATTTCGCACGGGACACAAGAGATGGCGCAACGAACGCCACCAACGAACGAGCATACGGCGCCGAGAGCCAGCGTCTTTAGCAGACAATCTTTTCGACTCAAAAGCGGCGCGCGTTCCGCAGGAGGGCGACAGTCGCAGAAACAAAAACAGGCACAGTAACAACAAGGAACTGCAGTTCCTTGTTTGCTAAATACGCCAGCTCTCGGCGTCGTCTGCTCGTTCGTTGGCGGCAGTTGGCGTCCCGACCGCTTGCGCCATCTCTTGTCTCCCGTGCGAAACGGCGCCGTGTTGTTTGAAGACTGGTGGCGTCGCTGCGTTTCCATAGGAGCTAAGCCTTTTTCTTTCTTTACTTTTTCCTCAGGTAAGTTCGCTCTTTGCAAATTTTACAAAAAAAATGCACTATCTGTGGGCAACGCTGCACAAAGTCGTAGCGTGGTAGGTTAAGAAACCGAATTTTGCGGTCGATTTAAAGAGCCTGCCGTCTCCTTGTTTCACCCTGTATATTGAACTATTTTGCGCTGCCCATTGCATTCTGTCTATCCGAGATCGATTGTATGCTTCGAAACAACGACACTCGAGCCATCTCGGTGCTTAGGACCAGGGTGCCTAGTCATCCGAAGCTTTAGCTGAAATTTCAGATAACATTTTTCCGCCCTCCAGAAATATTAAACAGTCCGCGACGAAGCAAGACGGCATCGCCCAAGTTTTCTGACACCGCATCTCGAGCCGAGCAAGTTGCATTTCCGGACCGTAACGCATTGCCGATTGCGCCCGCTCTTCACCAAGGTTCGAAATGCCAGCACTTGCGAGACAATCGGGGAATGAAATGCCGCCGCTCTAAGCGTAGCTCATTTAGCGGCTCTACAGTTTTTGCTTCGAGGTTCCTTTAAAATATCGAGCTCAGTGTTCCTCGGTGCACAGAGCAGTTCAAGCACTGAGCTTCAGCGTACACATTCCGAAACTAAAACGTTGCACTAAATACCGCCGAGAGAGTGGCAACGCGAACGCACCTGAGCAGCTGCTTCACGAGGTGCAGCAGCGGGATGGTGGACGAGGCGTCCTCCGACAGCACCTGCGTCCGCTTGGTCTCCGACTCCAAGAGCGCCTGGTCGGACATCAGCTGTTCTCCGCTGGATGTCATCTCCTTGGAGAGCTGCTTGCCCGACTCCTTTTCCTGGAAAGGGGCGGCCAAGACGATCCGGGGAATTGCAATCGTGCTGCTCCGAACCGGAAGCTTTAAGATTGCAACCTTTCAAATGGCGACCGTCACGGTGGCTGAAACGAGTTTCCCAATGGTGTGTCGAACGTCTCGCACCCAAATGGCCCCGAAGCGGCAATAAATGATGCTATGAGAGCCAGCGTGGCACGCTATCGGATGCCGCAATCCTAGCAGTTGATTCTACAACTTCCAGCAAGAAGTACCGGGGAATGTGAATGTTGTTGATGCTGTGTCCTAACTCCTGGCTGCTAAAGCCCCTGTGAACTGACAAGCTAGCATCTGGCATCTGCCATACCGACCACCGTTCCTGCGACATTACCAGGATCGTGACGGGCAATGGCATGATGCTAATATGATGCCATCGGGTGAAAATCAAGAAGCCACAATGAGGATACGGTTAACGCACCTGTTGGAGATGCGTTCTAGGCATCGTGGCTGAGGAAGTGCAAATTGTGCCACCCCTAAGTGGGAGCATTTGTACGACAGCCTTTCGAATGGTGTAAAGCGCCATTGAACTGACCCTTGCGTCTTCCATGTCTTGAATCTCCACCTTGATGGCCGTCTGCAACGAGGACTCCAGCCCGCCGTCTGCCATCAGGCTTCCAACGAGGAGGTCCATCATGAAGCGTCGTCCGGAACCCAGGTTGGTGTCTGATGCTTGCGATCCTACAAACGTGACAAAAGATTGGACCAATTTTATGCGGGTGGTTTACTTTGGCGACTGTCTTCGCATTCTGCTTGCTGTCAGCATCGAGCGGATAAATGGCAGTAGCTACGATTCTTGTATCGTGCAGTAGCCTGCATCACCTACCAGCCTACACAAGGCTAGTTGATTAGAGTGAAAGCATTGCCTGACCTCTCAAACCCAAACGAATGCTCAACAAAAGGCTGAATGGAACGCTAGACGAACTACCGTATATACCCGAAAATAGGTTGACCACGAAAATAGGTCGACCCCTATTTATTGAGCCCACCGAGAATAAAAAAAAATAATTCAAATATAAATCGACCTTTCTTTTTTTTTTTTTTTTAAGGAACAGGGGAAAGTTAGGGCAAAAGAAACAAACCTTTATTTACAGCACTCTCAGCTAAATCACAGGGCGATGTCAAAAAAGCTTCGTCAGCTTGGTAGACATCCTCGCAAATCGGCAACAATACCTCACTGACACCGCTGTAAAATGGATGACGACAAGAAAAAACGAAAGAAGGTGGAGACGGGCGAGCGACGAAAGATCAAACACAAAGACACGAGCAACGCTGCGAGCCCCGTGAGTAACACGCGACCCGCCGAAAAAAACAAACTAAAGTAACTCCGTTTTTTTTTTTTTTTTTTTTTTGTTTGCGCGTTTGCGAGGGAAAGAGGAATGGGAGCGCATAGGAGGGCAAAGTGCATGGTGCATCGCGTTCCTCTCCCTCCCCTTCCCCCTTGCCCAGCGAGGGGAACGCTACAGGCGTGATGGCGAAACTCGATGCCTGAGGAATGTGCGCGAGAGCCGTAGCAGGCGGCCACGGGCTGTCGGCTGCTGCTGTTCGGTTGTTTTTGTGCATCAAAAGCTTTTTGAAACAAGAAGCCGCGCGGCTCTACCGCGACCGCCGGCTAGGTGATTGATAGCTCCAGACCCTCGGTAGGGTTTCAAATTTTGGTCGCGAATTAGGTCGAAATTCTTTGGTCACGATTACAGTGATGTGATTGGCCTAGGCCATTTTGGAGCACCTTTTGGAGCAGCCAAAAGGGTGTTTTGGAGCAGCCAGAACAGTGTTTTGGAGCAGCAAAAGTGGCTTTTGGAGTAGCAAAGAGAGTGTTTCGGAGCAGCAAAAGTGGCTTTTGGAGCAGATATTCTTAGAAAAATAAACATATTCGTTTTAAGTGCTGTACGAACGAAGGACACTTCGCTCGCCGCAATAAACAAACTATGGTCAAGTTCGACCACCTGGGAGTCATTCAACATGTAACTGAAATGCCAATGACATGACATAAGTTGCAATGCTTCAGTTAAATTATACATATATATGTACCGTTATAGATAAATAAGAACCAAACTGCACATATTAAAATTTATTTAAAAATGACCAGCTTATTAGTAAATATCACAGCATTAGGTTGACTACCGTAGTTATATAATATAATAAATGGAAGCTGTCTCCAACTGATGATACACGTAACTACTGCAGTACAATGCGAAATTGTACACAAGACAAAGGTGCATTAAGACTAGTGGGGGCTTTTCTTTTTGCCTTCCGAAAGTTTCTACAACTCTGCTGCAAGCCTCACTTTGCCTGTGGCTAGTAATGAATTCCCACTTTCAATGTCTCCAAGAAGATATTGAGACATCCCACAAGTGAACAGTGCTGTGGGCGTTGCCGAGCATTTCCGAAAAACCGCTTGCCACCATTTTACTGGTTCCCGACGAGCCCGATTTTCGTCAAAAGTAAGCAAACGTAAAACAATGGGTTGCAAGCGTCTCGGCTAGTGCTTCTGTCGTGCAGTCATGTTCGCATGCACATGAGGGCAACTTCGGCAGGCTTGCATTTACACGTGTTTCGTCGCGCGAGCGGAGATGGCTGTTCGATCAAAACAGACACCATGCCACTCCGCTCCGTCGCCAACTGGTTCCCAAAATTGTATGCAAAGTGTAATTGTCCAGCATATGACAAAAAACTGTCCAGCGGCACGTGCTTGCCAGGCCGGCAGGCGAGGCACAAGCTAAACACACAGAAAAAAAAGAACCTGAGCGAGTCAGGTCAAAACAAGACATCGCGAGTCAGGGTCAAAAATTACTTGGAGCGCCTTGTACAATGACTGAGGCACTGAAGCGTCAACACACGCCCGCGTCAATCGTTGATTTTTTTTTTTTTTTTTTTAAGGCGCGATTGACGAGACACATTAACGACGAGAGCGTAAAACGAGAGGTGGCAGGTAAAACTATGCAGCCCGGATGGACGATTGACAGAGGGTACTTTTTGTTGGGCAGCCGCTTGCGCTACCTAGCTCACACATGCTCAATTACGGTACTCAGTTTAGTTCCGGTTTCAAAAGACGACCAAAATTGGTCTTTTGGCGCAGGCTTGGCGCAGATTACCCATATTTTGGCAAAGTGTAGCAGGATGTAGCAGGGTTAGCCCCTTGTCGCAGTTTGGCGCAATTGGCGCAGCAATCACATCACTGCGATTATAGGTCGTCCCCTAATTTTTGACAACATTTCCAAAAAAAAAAAAGGTCGACCTATATTCGAATAAATACGGTACTGGACGGAGTGGTGAATGGATTGCTGAACCGAATGCTGGACAGAATGCTGAACGGAATGCATAACAGCATTAAAGATGTCTACCAGGGTTTCTGCGTCGTCATTGAGTGCAACTGAAGAAGAGAGAGTAGGGGAAGCCTCGAGCAGGGAGGCGAAACAAATTTTGAGTTGCAAATATTTCTTTTATGGTTGCTAGGAACTTGTGCTTAGTGCTTCCAAAAAAATCTAGGGCATGCCTAGAGGCCTTATCAGAGGCCTTTTAGAGCATTAATAAAAGCAAAGTGGACACGAATGGCGAGAGTGACTCACCTGAGCTCAGCAGCAGGACCGAGAGCGCTCTAGCCCTTTCATCAGCGGTGGGAAGCAGGAAGCTCCAGCCTGCTTGGAGGGTCTGCTGAGCAGCGCGCTGAATGGTGGGCAGCACGTTGGAACCGCTGGCGAGGGAGACCACCCTCTGCTTCAGTGAAGCCAGCAGGCGCGAGTCGGGCACCATTCCTAGCTGTTCAGCGCCCACACCGTTGCTGATTGCTGCATGGATCTGGGTGTAACAATGTGATGGCAGAACATGCATCAAACACACGAAAAGACCGGATGTAAAGAAACTATACATACATGGAGTCTAGACTTTTTAGAATGAAGATGTGCATGCGGCAGCAGGCAAGGTCTAAAAGGGACATTACAATCATTATTAAAGTGTATGGGCTAGTTCAAAAGTTCTCGAGAAACACCAATCTCCCTTTAATGGCAGCCGAGAAACCACCCTCTAGTTTTGGCAGGGATCAGGGGTGGAAGCAAGCTTCATCCATTTGTAGCAGATCTGGGAGCACCAAGGATGCCCCTTTGGAGCAGCTTTAGAGCAGGAAAAGTTCTACTTTGGAGCAGCTCAGCAGCCACAGAAATTAAGTTTGGAAGCAATAAATCTTGGAGCTGGCCACGCAGGTCAATATTAAGGCTATAAGTGCAGAGGTGTTTTAAAGGTCATCTCCATGTGACGTTCCAGAACCAATTCCAAACATACCCTCTTCTTAAAGGGCCCATGAAACGAATTTTGGGCTAGAATAAATCTATTTATACTGGGATTTTACAAATACTAGCACATCGTTCAGTGGGCCAAAAGAAAAAAAGATAGAAAGTCAAAAGCCTGACTTTCGGTATGAAAATTTAAAAACACAGCAAACTATCTCTTAACTCACTCCTTTTCTTAGCTCTCTGCCTTTTCACTTTTGTACAACCGTGGTCCCCAAAGCGCGTCACCGGGCCCAAACGCACGTCGCACAGTACCGGACCTCACTTAATCCCTTCACTCCTGAGTTGACATTGTGGTGGAAGCTACGCCCTTGCCGGACCAATCAGCCGCCTGCCTTTCATCACCTGACCTCATTCTCTGCGCGTGGGTATGCGCGAGAGAGTGTGATCACATGGCAAATGTGTGGCTGGCCCAACAAGCACATAGCTTCCACAGCACTTTCAGCTTTGGGGGAAAGCAACTTTTGTCAGAATTTTGAGCGACGGGCTAATCTTCTAGGGGGAGAATGGCTGTGCCCGTGTACACAAAGAGTCCGAGCAAGAGGGGACTCCCCCCTTTTCCATCTTCTTGAACTGTTTGGTAGAATGCGCGATTTATGAGTTGAGGAGGAAAGCTAAACAGAAAAAAGTTGGAAAAGCGTTTCATGACTCCTTTAAATATAATCCAGCCCATAGCATAAAAAGCTAACACCCTAATTGCCCTTTATCTTAATGGCAGCTATTGAGAACTATCCTGGATTTTCAATAGAAGGCATAGTCAACTAAAGAAGCACAACTTAAAGCTCATGAGAACAAAACGCTGTGCTTATTTGGCAACTCAGATCACAAGTTCCCATAAGTCTACTAAAACAAAACCATTTCAAGATGCAATGGCATGGTATGAAATAAAGTCCAATACCTACTGACTAGTTTTCATTATTAGGAAATACAATGTTCCCAGTCCTCATTTAGCAAACAAAAACATTACAATACTCAAGTTAATTAACAGAGTACAAACCTACTCAATCTGATAAAAAGTACAAATGCAAAATATTGAAAACTCTATGACATCATCCCTGCTCATACATATGTGCTCAAGCCCTTACTAAAACAAACATGACTGAAAAAAAAAAAAAAAGAGCTTGGTCAAAAGTTTGATAAAAAAAAGGGACCGACAAAACTAGCAATTAAGACGATGAAACAGAAGGCGTTTCTCGCAAGTCAATTGCTTGGATGCGTCCTAGCACAATGGTTTAGAGCTTGCCTTGCTCAGCAGGACATTCCCACTGTTCTCCTCGTCCTCCCGCCGGCTTGCTGTTTGTGTGCCAGCGCGTGTATTCGCCACGTAAGTCATTTACAAGAAAGTTTACAGGTGAGGCAACCAATTATCACTTTTATTATTAGGTGTACGACACGAATGAGGAGCGTGTAAGCGGAAACATGCAAGAAGAAAGTAATGTCAAATGTTTGTTTAATTTTGTTGATCAATTATCGCTTTCCCAACATATTAGATTATAGGTGAACAGACGCCAGCAGGCTTTTAGGTTGGTTTCTAAATCGCAGCCAGAAAACAAAATAGATGTGGGAAAGAGTTAAAAATTTGCATGTCACGGAAAGGGATACCGCAGATTTCGGATGCTGCAGATTTGCGTGTCTAATTTACTCGCATATTAAACGCACTCGCATATTAAATGCGCCCCCCACAACGGGCATCAATATTTTGACTTTTTTTCTTCCCTCCCGTAATCAACGCACCTCCAACTTTTGGATCCGAGAGTCTCGAATTGCGTTTAATTTAGCAAGCCACCAAGCCAGTTTTCTTTTGCCGCCAAGCGAAGTCAAGTAAAGGCAAGCCAAGCCAGGCTGCTCTCGTAATGGCCGCAAGTGCATAGTTGCGGTAGTTACGGAAGTGATCAACCGTGAAACCGAGTGTCGTGCACACTTGACGAAGCTTGGGTCGAGGAATTGCCGAACCCCAGACAATCTTCGCCTATCGGATGCGTTGATATCAACAAACAAGCCGTCGTCTGTGGTCCACTTTCGGACAGTGAAATCATAAGTGGTTAGGCCTAATTTCACATACTCCGGGTGAATGCATTTATTTAATCCCCAACAGAAAGGCACGAGGTGCACACTGCGCTGTAGGCTGGGAGAGTCTGGTAGCCTCACCGTGAACGAAACTTGATCCATGCGAGCAGGCTTCAGAGGTCGAGGGTTGGACTTTGTACGAGTTTTTATACGCGTAGTCGTGTGATATAACTGAGCGTGCTCACCAGATACTAGCAAAATATATCGCCTAAGAACAGTCGTGTTGCTTTTCGTGCTGAGTGAGCTTTGTAAGGCGCTTTTCCTTCGGCAAAAGGCACCCCGAAAGTGCCCTAAAAAGGTTTGCAATTTACAATGATGATGATCATTAGGTGTTTAATGGCACAAAAAGCAACATAGGCCATGCTGCGCCAAGTTTGCAATTTTGCAATTTATAATGCATGGTTATTGTGGCACACTCTGACCAGCCGTGGGTGTGCCTCTATCACTGGAGACGTGCCACAGTACCTTGCCGTGTCACAGTGGCACCTAATATGACATTCGCACGAAGTGTGTAAACGCAAAAAGTTTACCCCGTGTAATGAACGCCCCCCTCCCCCCAAATATGTGTTTTCATTAGGTGAGTAAATACGGTATATGCGATAAGTATGACTGAAACCGCGGCGAACATGCTTGTCACATGTACCAATACTGAAGATTTCGCGGTTGATGCGATTCCCCGTTAGACATTCAGTGATCAATATTTGGCGGGAATCGGTGTGGGAGCAATGTTTCGATGCCGAAAAATCGCCTGGGATGGGCGATTTTTCGGGTTGCGGGCGTTTATACAAGACTTAACGGTATATGCGATTTATTGCATGCGGTATTTCGAATACACACAACCATGCTCAATGCCACTGTCGAAAAAATATTAAAAAAAAAGGAAGAAAATGATGAGTTAAAGACAAAGCCACCTATGCATGTACCATTTTAAAAGATGAGGCACCTACAAACCATTGTTTGCTTAGCTGTGGCACTGATGGCACAAAGTAACACGCCCAAACAAGTGCTTTGAAAGCACTTGTCTCGGGGACCAAAATCAACATGCAACTTTTATTGTACGCATTATTTATATTCATTGAAATACAGTATATTTCTGAAAAACAACAAAAGCATTTACTTTTCCTCGTGCTCCAAATAGGCGACTTAAACAACCAACTCGCGCAGTTCTTCCTCGTGCGGCTGGTGCCTGACGGCTGATCACCATGAAATGAAACGAAACACTGCGTCGATTTACCTGGTCCGAAATAAATCACGATCATTCTTGTTAGATGAAAATAGGCACTTGGCACCTGTTTTCATCAAACGAGAGTCACCGGTCTGCTTTATTGTTGACACAACCACATCAATATGGTGGTTCCAGAACATTGGTTCAGAATTATCTAAATGAACAAAACATGGCAAACCACTGTGGCCAGTAAAGAAAAGTATTCTAATAAATATAGCTGAAAAAAAAACAAACTGTTTTTTCGCTTTGATGAAGAAGCTGTACTATGGTGGGACGACCTCAAGGACGCCGCCGAGAGGACAACTTCTAGGACGACCCCAAGGACGACGCCTAGGACGACCTCAGGGATGAAGTCTAGGACGACCTCAAGGACGACGCCTAGGACGACCTCAGGGACGACATCTAGGACAACCTCAAGGACTTCTAGGATGACCTTAAGGAGGACGTCTAGGACGACCTCAAGGATGACTTCTAGGACGACCGCGAGGACGACGCCTAGAGAAATGCAGCTTTTCCACTCTGGTGAAAACCAGAATAGTTTTGGCACAAAATTTGCACTTAGGAGCAGGCTGGCGCGGTGAGGGTGGATTGGCGCACAACGATGCAATCGGTGCAGCCCTCAAGTGATGCAATAACGCACCGCAGAAGCCTATAGAGAATAATGTGCATGTAATGAATCATGCAGGGCATGTCTTTCAAATGCCCATCCTCCAGCACGCGGTGGTTGCCTTTCGCCATGCTTTGGCTGCACGTGCACGCCTACGAAGCTCGTGCCGAAAGTGGGGCAACTCCTCTCTGCAGTTCTCATCCTGTCAACGACTGTGGTGCGTAATCAAACAACGGGTTGTCGCTAACCTGCAGCCTGAGGAGGTTGAGGGCAGCTGTGGCGATGCACTCTTTCTCTTGAGGTGGAGGCGGCCACGCCACATCAATTCCCTCGCAGGCCCAAGTCAGCAGCTCGTCCACGTGCTCCACCGTCGTGGGGCACACGTCAACCACGAACGGTTCCCGCAGATGCAACGAGCCGCGATCCACAGCTGTCCATCCATACATCTGCACGACAAACCCAGGAACATTAGCAAGATTGAACAGCATTGTCTCTCTAAAGAGGATATCTTTGTTACATCAATGTTTCTAAACGCATGGCATTTATAGGGCCAGCTCCTGGCTTTTTGCGTCCATGGCAGGTGGCCTCAATAGCGACGTCACACTGCTGACATCATGGTATTCGCGTGATATTTTTAAAGCGGTAGCTTTATAGGGCCAACCAACCTCATGAGTCAAGTAAGCACGAAATGTGTAAGTCGGTCAGTCTGTAACCCCAAAACAATCTTGAAAAAAAAAAAGGCAACCGATGACAGGTATTGAACACCAGTCTCCGGCGTGGAAGCCAACTGCGCTGCTGACTGAGCTACAAACCCAGTACGCAGGAACGGGAGGAGAAAAACCAGATGGTGTGAGAAAGCGCATGGAGCAGAAAGGGATGAAAAGGGTGAAAAAGAGAGAAGCAGAAACAGAATGTGTAGAAAGAGTGTGGGGAACGAGGAATAAAAAGGACAGCAAAGCACACTTCTCTCTTGGTGACCCACAAAATTCAGCGCAAGGGGTTTGTGTCTGAGTGGTGCTAAAGAGAGAAGAGTGCACAGTGTCGCAGGGAGACAATGGTAATCTGTTTTCATACAAAACACGGTTTTTTCTCTGCAAGTGCCATTTAGCCTCTAGCGTTCACAATGCCACCAAGGGCCCACGCCTCGAGATCAGTCCTGACGATCGGGAGCAGAAACGACCTCGTTGATTGCATCTTCGCGCGAGGCGTTCCCAGACTACGCTGCCTGGCCTTTGCAGCATACTTCTCAATGCAAAACATTGGGGCTCCAATCCATGCTGTGAAGGTAATTGGTCAGCCAAGCTGTGGTGTCACCTGCAACGGTTGCCTGCTGCACTATACGAAATGCTGCCGTCGGTCGCAGCACGCCCCCGTTGGTCGGATTGCCATTTTTTTTCCCTTTGCCGCTCCTAGTCTTCACGCCTTGGGAGTGCTCACTGTGCGTGGCCTATTCATCGCGGTGCTGCAGCAACAATGAAATCAGTTGCTATACTCTCTTTCATTGTAAGTTTAAGCGCAGCGGATGTTACGAGCCATCGGAGCCAATCGGAGGCCGTGTGAGTGTCACGTGACCTCAGAGAGGTGGCACAGCGATGCGTGGAAAGCGTATCACGGGCCACGTCCACAGAACGGGATTGGCTAAGATAGCTCGCAGCATCCTCTGCGTCCGGACGTAAGCTGAAACGGGGTATAGGCAACTTCTTTAATATATGAAAGGCTAGTGACGTCACTCCCCACATCGCAAGCTGCCGTTGGCGCGGCAACTTGGGCAACACTAATCTTCACCGGGAAAGTATGCGGTCAGCGCTACATGCTTTGCATTGTTTTCAGGAGCTCCTTATCATTCATTATATGGTTAGGATGCTTGTTTTGTGCTTATTCTATATTGAAACGAATGTTGTATGCGTGGTGTTTGTTGTATGTGTGGTGTTTGTACTTTTCGCTTCAATCTTCTGGAGTCTTTTTTATGTGAGAACGCCGACATGAAAACAACTGCGGAGAGAAGGAACGTGCTTCGCATTGTTCGCAGGTGCCGTTATCGTCCATTATGTGCTATGCACTTCACACGAGGGCTTTGAATGACTTGAACCCCTTTCGAAGCAGCTGCAAGCCTAATCTTTACCGGAACGCGTGGGAGGGTGTTCCTATTGTTCACATGTGCCTTATCATCCATCATGTGATTTTGATGCTTGTTTTGTGGTTTTCTTTAATGAAATGAATACTGAGCTGTCTGCCTGATTTCAAAGGAGATATGCTGTTTTGCTTTCAATTGTCTGCCGAGAGGTTTTTGCTTACAACGCTGACGGCACAAAAATTTCCTTGGCTGATAGAGGTATACAACTTGGTTGTAATAAACTGTTGCTTTGTATGACGTTAAAATCAAAAGACAGTAGCAACAACCTCAAGAACAAAAGCAGCGACAACAACCACGACAGCCACTGCAGTGCCACCGACGATTGCCACACTGTGTGCTGCATGCATGCAGTAAAATTGCATAATCACTCCAGTAACAATGCTAAGGTTAAAATACTTGTGAAACATAGGAATTTAATCAAATTTTATTTCGCTTCAAGACAGTTTTTGCCAACAATGCTATAGCATTTAAACACATCTTTGCTACCGCATTTAAATGCGTTTGGCAAAATAACCAAACATGCAGCTAAATGTTTTTAGGGTTTGCCATGACATGATTACGAGAATACTGTGATGATGCCACGGTGTTCATGTGTCATCATCCACGCGACGGACGTCATGCGACACATGACGTCACGCGACACAATGACGTCACACGACACCCTGATGTCACGTGACACCATGACATCACGTGACACTGTGATGTCACATGGCAGGCACGTAGCCAGGATTTCATTTCGGGGGGGGGGGGGGGGGGGGGCACCCATGACAAACTGCTGTATGAGGGGGAGGGGGGAGAGGAGGCCCCAGCAAAATGGACGATTTTGGGGGGGTCCCCCCCCCCCCTGGCTACGTGCCTGTCACATGGCACCATGAAGTCACAGATGACCTATGAATGCTATGCATTTGGAACACCCTGGGCGACACGGTGTCACGTGACACGGTAATGTCATGTGACACTGATGTCACATGGCACCATGAAGTCACAGATGACTTATGAATGCTAAGCATTTGGAGCACCCTTGACACATTTACTGTATCAGTACCTGAAATGCCCATACCAACATAACAGGCTTACCACAAGTTTCCTTCCAATGTGACACTCGGACACTCAGAAAAAATTATTTGGTTTTGTTCCTCAGCTTTTCATGCCCGAATCAGCTGTGCTAAGCCACACCGTGAATGTCATACAATTAAAACAAAAAAAAGGACTTTGTTTGTTTTTTTATCATGTAAGCTATCATAGGGGCTAGTCGCAATCGCCATTAAACCTCGAGGTAACCATCCCACTCTGCAAATGGCCGAAACCTGGGAGATAGAATTTCAAAGGAGTAGTGTTTTTTAAAGCAATAACTTTACGGGTGGCACTTTGCAGGGATTTTGGTGTGGGCGTTTGTTGTTGTGTCGTCGCAGCGAAGAGAGAGAAGTCGGGTGTTTCCATTGCCTGCATCAGGCAAAAAGAGGGAAGAGAGGAGAGCCCCGACAACAATGACGTGATGACATGGAAGAGTCATTCGCTAACTTAAAAACAGGTATTTTCAAACATTACTCATGTTATACGAAATTCCACTTTGGTAGTATCCAGTTGCTACGCATAATATTGGAGAGTTTTAGAAACTTTCACCGCATTCAATTTCACTATAACATCTCAACTTCTCGAAGCCAACTTGAAACATACAGTATTCACACGAATGTAGGTCGACCCATTTTTCAATTTTCAAAAATCTGAAGTGAGGGGGTCGACTTTATGGCGTGCATTCCCGAGGGCGCCCATCAAACCACTCTGGCACAGTTGAGGCAGCCAACTAGCTGCCTCGCCTCAGACATGATCACATGGTCGTGTCGCCGCGGGGTCGATCGGGATCTTGAATTCGGCTCCCGACGTGCCGCTTTCTCTCCTAGCCACTGAATGGCACTGCAGGCGTGGCGGGCGAGGAGAAACCTCCTCGCCCATCGATCGAGATATATACTTGGTGGGCCAGGGGGTGAGAGGCCTCTTAGAACTCCGGACGAGACACAGGCACTGGCAGGCAAGTGGGTGGCGACTGGACCTAGGGTAATCCAGGACACGATGCCTGGGGGCCTTCTTTGTGTTTGGGCTTAACGTGCGTTTGTAAATATTTGTGTAATGTCGTGTGTATTTGTAGTTTAGATTGAGTGCTTTGTAGCGTTGTGTTTTATTGTACGAATAAACGGGGAGCGAAATCCCACTCCCGTGAAAGAACCAGGCTGGACTCGGGTTGTTGACGGACCACATGGGAAACGGCAAATCGGCGGCGGTACGCGATTTCCTACAACTTATAATCAAACCAAAACATTCCATTGCCGACAAAACGAAACAATCACAATATCAAAAACACCTCAGCTTGTTAAGAGCTCAGCCGGCTGTACCTGTAGCATTGTACTATTCTGTAAACCCATATTATAAAAATTTTTTTTTTTTTTCTCTGCACGTGAGTATTACTGATAGCAATTTGCAAATCAGCCCAAATGTATGGCGGTGAACGGCGCACGGTGCGCATGACTCCCGGGGGTGGCGGCACTTGATGTAAGAGTCACTCTGGAATGAGTACTGGAACAGCAGCCTCACTTCCCGCTGCTTTTTTCAAACAATTCACAGTCACACACTGTTTGATTGTGTGTCGAGATCATACTGGAGTGCCAACTATGTTTCTCTGTATTGACACGCTGATCCGGGCAGCTTTGGTTTTCAGTGCTCTTTTCGGCGATGATCATCCAAACGCAACCAAAAACTGCGCTGCTGGACGCAAGTTCGACCTATCGGGTAGTGCTCCAGTGGTGTCTGCAACGGCGCAGGATCTTAACTGTGGCGGTAAACTGCAAGAGGCTTCTACGGGCCAAAGTCTTTACAGGTCTGGATGCCTTCCCGAGTTCAAGGTCAGGCGGTCAGGGTTGCAACGTACGTCGCAGGAAAGTGCGATCGGTCCCTACCCGTGATGTACGACACGATCACGGAGCAGGCACGGGGGATGCGGTTCATGCGGTCATTTGCGAAGTGCCACATTTCGTTGGACGCCGCCGATGATGTGCTTTGAGAACGTAGCACTGATGACGACAGGAACGACAGCATTAGTGCTGAAGAGTCATAGTTTCTAGTTGCAGACAGAGTGAGAACGACAGGGAGCGGCTTCACTTGTCCCGCCTCCAGCGCAAGCTTCTTAGCTTCGATAACAAGTGGGAATCTCATGCACCTCGTGCATGCATGCGCAGCCAAAGCACGCCAGAAGGCATCAAGCACACGCTGGAGGCTGGGCTCTCGAAAGAGGCTCCCTGCTGTTTTCACATGTTTGCCGTAGAATGCATCCCTAAGTATAATTATCTTTCTTTTTTTGTAGATGTGCAATGACTCACGATTGAGTCGACTTACAATCGTGTAAATACGGCATTTTGTTCTGCAAAAGCTCGTCGCCTAGCACCCGCTTCTCCGCAATGTTCTGCCTTGTTTCTCTGCATACGTCCCACTCTCCGCTCATCGCTGAATGTCAACATTACCACCTCCTTTCAATATTTAACAACACCGGCAAAAGATGCACTTTCACTTGCTTTGGCGCAGGTTTTCCCGTCAATGTGCCAAAAAGTAAAACTGAGATCCGGAGTATGTCTGCGCAATGCGGGCAAAATGGTGTCGTTACGCGCCATCTTCAGGTACGTCACGACACCATTTTGCTCGCATTGCACGAACGTGCTCTTGCTTTTATTTCTCGGCACAATGTAGCCGAACAAGACACCCCCTATATTTTTTTTCCGAGGACAGAAAACTACTGAAAACAAGTTTGAGATACCTTTAGAGGTGTATGAATGCGAGAAACCGGTGAAGGAAGACACTAGGAAGCAGCGTAGAGTCAGCACTTCCCCCAGCCTATTTTCCCCTTACCTGAAGGTAACCACACGCAATGCCCGCGAGCGTCTTTCCAGCAGGGGGCACGACGGGGAAACGCCTGGCCTCCGCGGTTGGAGCGCGACCTGCCGAGTCGCCACAGCTCCACACGTACAGCTGTCCGTCCTGCGTGACTGCCACACAGTGCGACGACCCCACCGAGAGTTCGACGACCCTGCGACCTTCGAGACCCCCAACGACCTTGACCCGACCTTCTAGGTCGTGCTGTTTGCCCATGCCCCTGCAAAAGCAAAAAAAGAAAGTAGCGGCACCCATTTTTGCTCGACTGACCTCCCGTCGAACGTCGATTACAATCGTGAAGCACCTGGAGGCACACTTGAGGTGCAGTCGAGTCAACTGAAACCGCTCGTAAACACTTACGACGAGCGAACAAATGGGCGCCATCCAACCCCTAAAGCACTCCCAATCTGCATATACATTTATTCACTTCTTTACTTATCGTTCTTTCACCATGGCTCCAAATAATTCCGACAATGTTATCAGCGAGCACTTATCATGAATAGCAATTACATTTGATCTCGAAAATACTGAAAAACCTTGTCTAGTTATCCACAAATCGCGAGTGTTTCCAGGGCTACCTGATAGGTGGCACCAATCTGTTCTCTCGTCGTAAGCAATCACAGGCCGTCGCAAAGCAAGACCTTCAGACACAAATCTGTGAACCAGCCTCGAGTGATTGGTGAATGTGTGCAGATATAAGCGAAATTACACCAAGTCCTGCTCACCACATGTAAACGGTGCCAGCACGTGACAGCGCCAAGTTGTAGTGCGTGCAACACAGCACGCGAGCAACCTCCACGCCTTGCAGGCTGTCGACGAGTCGAAGCGAGCCCTTCAGGTCTTCAGAGTCACCCTGGCCCGGTTTGCTGTCCTCCCTATGTCCAAGTGAGAAGACGAGGCCTGTCCAGGACATAACGAGAAAAACAAGTAAAGAAAACACAGCTTAACCCCTTAGCAGTTTTTGACCACAATCTAATTTTTTGTTCATTTCTATCATCCCTGTGGCTACATATGTCTCCACAACCAGAGACATTTTTAAAAATGTGTACAATAAAAAATTGTACAGCCCTTCCACTTCACGTGAAGATGAAGGACGATTTCTAGGACGACCTCGAGGACGACATCTAGGACGACCTCAACGACAACTTCTAGGACGACCTTGAGGACAACGTCTAGGACAACCTCAAGGCCAACTTCTAGGACAACCTCGAGAACGACGCCTAGAGGACGACACCTAATATGACCTCTCGGACGACCTCAAGGACGCCACCTAGAAGACAACATCTCGGATGACCTCAAGAAGGATTTCTAGGGCGACTTCTAGGATGACGCCTAGGACGACCTCAAAGACGACATCTAGAACGACCTCGAGGATGACGCCTAGAGCCCGACGCCTAGGACAACCTCTTGGACGACCTCGAGGACGATGCCTAGAGATGATAACAAGGGATCAGAACCTCGCTATCTAATAATGCCAAGGAAGGCTGACTCACGCTGGTTTCCCCCTCTTTTTATTTTTATTTATTCATACTTGCCACAACTAATGGAGTGCTTTCTGTCAATATCCGCGGATGCATTCCCACATCCTAGTGCATTACAGCTTCGCCGTAAAACCATGTGCTGCCGAGAGACGGCAGCGCTGCAAACTAAGCTGTGAACGAGCCTGGGTAATCCAAAACAGCTAAGAGGTGAGTGAGGGTGCGCGGACAAGCAACACTCGTCCTAAACAGTTTGGGGACAGCTCTAAGTGAGGGAGCTAGGCTCACCAAAACGGTTGATACAATAAGGAAGCTTATTTGAATGGTGTTACCCCACTGTAGCTTCCGAATCACATCCCTAGTTCCAGAACTGTCCCATTTCAAACCTTTGTTTCTAAAAAGTGAAGCTTTCCAAGCCTACGTGGTTAAATCTGTTGAATGCCCTAAGCCACCGAAACTTAGTGTTTTTATCACCAAGAGGTTCCTCCGATTGGAAACAATACATAACTCTCCCTCAAGCATCCTCAGTGTGCATATAAGCGAGTGGGTAAGTAAAACATTGTCTCACTGAGATATTTCGTCAAATGCAATGAAGGTGCTATCATCCTTGGTGGAATTTTCATAGAGCGGCACATGCTATTGGAATAATATGCAATGTGACACATGGCAAAAGAATTGTGAATGTATAAACATGGGTGGGACAGATCAAACTGGTTTTGGAGGCATTTTTATTGCAGAAAAGCCTGCATTTTTGAGTAGTTTAGGAGCAGAAAAGTCCATTTTGGAGCACTAAGGATAAAAAAATCTGTATTTTGAACCACCTTCGGAGTAACTGTGACATAATTTTAAAAAAGCATCTTAGCAAGTTGTACATGAGTTACAATTCAAGCAAACTAGGTTTATATTAGTGTTGAAGAGTATTGAATAGAATTTCACTGTGAAATACTTGAAATTGCAAACAGAAATAGATTTGATTCTAGGAACAAATTTCTATTAAAAATTAAGGGGCAAGACTCGGGAACATTAATGATACATGCTACAGTGTAGACTGCATATAACGTATGTCGCGGGAGTCGCGAAAATCCGCACTATAAGCGGTACCGTGCTATAACCAAAACATCGATTTTTCAGGCCAAAATACATGCCATGAGACAACTTACCTTCGTAAAACGATTTATTTTATATTAGATGAAAAATAAAGCTTACTTTGAGGAAAGCCTTTATTTTACCAGACTAGTACACTTCTCTCTCAAGTGTGTCACATTTTGAAAGAAATGAGTGATTTTTGCCTGTTGCAGCCTTTTAACAACGTCGCGGGTTGCGGACGGACGTTGCGAGCGTTCAGGATTGCTAACCCTAATCACTCTTCTCCGGAGATGAAAACGCGTGAAAATTCGCATCCTTTATACGGTACGCGCCAGTAATACCTTCAACTTGAGCACAGGCATGAAATGCTCCAAATAAGAAATCCCGGCGATGTTCGAAAACACAAATGCTTAGAAAGCACCACTGTACTCGAAGTAAACAAACACGACGACACGGGCGTTTCTGCCGTCTTGAGAGTGCCGCCACGACATTGCCACACGAGTAGGTGGATCTTCCCTTCTAGTACGTGCTGGGTTATCATAGTGACACACAACGAAAATTCACAGTCAAGGATAGCGCTTTTACGCAGAACGATGAGCTTCCACCTCGCCGTCTACAATAGAGTTGGTCGTGACTACGACGACGATCACAACCGACGCCATGTTTGCGGATAGAAGAAGGGGCGTGAGAAGAAGCCGGCACGCGACCGGCATGCAACGCGCGCGAACACGTCTCCTCGACCTGCGATTGTTCTGTCGGCCCGGTTGTTTCCAACCTTTCCAACGCAGCGGAGGGACGCACGCACGTGCACGTGCTTCAGTTGCACGTGCACGACACGTGCAACTGAAGCCTCTCTTTGCTTTTCCCCGCTTCTTCGAGCAACCTCCTTGCTCCGCGAGTGCCGCTTGCGGCTAGCGCCAAAATCTAGTGTCGCACAGGGAAGCGTGCTTCGCCAGTCGGCGGTCGGTCGGATCGGTCGGTGGGCTGTTCCAGAAACCGCACTATAACTAGTATTTCCCTTCGCGCGCCTGCATTTTAAGCGGTATTTAATTACATGGAGTTCTATGGGAGGCGAACCGGTGGTTTAAAAAAGCCGCGTTATACCCGGTCCTGCACTATAAGCGGTTACGTTGTAAGTGGTCTATACTGTACGTTGCATTATAACATACTGTATTTACTCGCAGAATGAACGCACTCTTTTTCCGAAAAATCGATGCAAAGTTGGGGGGGGCATTCATTAGGCAAAGTAAAATTTTTGCGTCTGTATTTACTCGCATAATGAAGGGACCTTTTATCCTGAAAAATCGAAGTAACTTCTTATCTCTTTGCGCGCGGCGCCCGACACCGTAACTAAACTAAGCTGTGAAAAAAAAAAACTCCTCTTTGTTTTGTGTTTTTCTCTTAGTTCCTTGTTGTTGTTTTTTGTTTTTTTTGCAGTTTTTTGCAAGCTGTCTTGTTTGCTTAGGCGAGGGCTCTCCGCTTATCTTTCTTACCTCCTTGCGCGGCTCGCCACGCCACGCACGGCCCCCGTAACCAAACAGCGCTGTGCAAAAAGAAAAAAAGAAAAGCTCTTTTTATTTTTTTTTATTTTCTCAGTTCCGTGCTTCTTTGTTTTTCTTTTCGCTGCCTTTTGCAAGCTGTTTCGTTTGCTTAGAGGGCTTCTCCGCTCCTCTTTCTTACCTCCTTCAGCGCGGCGCGCAACCCCCGTAACCAAACTGTGCTGTGCAAAAAAAAAGCTCTTCGTTTTTTTGTTTTTTTTTTCGTTCCGTGTTTTTTTGTTTTGCCACCTTTCGCAAGCTGTTTCGTTCGCTCAGAGCGCTTCTCTTTCTTACTTCCTTGGACGCGGCGGCGCGCGAACCCAAAGTCCAGACTGCGCTGTGAAAAAAAAAAAGAAAAGCTCCTTTCCGTGTTTTCTTTTTCTTGCTTGTTGGATCTTTACGAATTTTTTAACGCATTTTGCAAGGCGTTTCTTGTTCGCCCACGCTGCCCATGCATTCGCGAGCTCGTTGCACCAGAATAGAAAAGTGCGTTCATTTCGCGCGCGTTGGGGGGGGTCAAAATTTTGACGTAAGAGTTGGAGTGCGTTTATTACGCGAGTGAAAAAAAAAAGTCAAAATTTTGAGAGCCGACTTGGGGGTGCGTTCATTACGCGAGTGCGTTCATTGTGCGAGTAAATACGGTACATCATAGCACGTTTGATCCCTCGGATGGATAAAAGGATGAATGGACAGATATGACTGAACCAAAAAATTGGGTGGCGCCGTGCGCCACCTGGTAATAAAATAGTCATGGTTGCCAACCGAGCTCTCACTTTCTGCTAGATCTAGCGTTACCGTAATCTTTGGTGCAGCATGGTGCAAGTTTAGTTGATTTCACGCTCTTGGCGCCGCTAGGAGCAGGAAATTATAAATGTATCAAAATGGTGCAATTAGTGCAGCTGTCCTCTCCCTGTATAAAGGACTCTTCTACCCATGCGCCTTTTCTTTGGGGGCATTGCATCATTTTCTCTAAAATTTGCCTTGCATACAATTTGACCATGAAATGCCTCTATGCCTATTAGGATATTCTAGTATGCAGTTTCTAACCTGCTACATAGCACTGCTTCTATGCAGTGGGAGAAAGCGGGGAGTGTTGGCACACCACTCACCCTCCACTTTGCGGGACACTACACCACTGGGCGCGTACACTATTAAGTCCAACCCACACCTGCGCCTTGTTGCCGACACTCTCTTCCAAGGCCCCGCTACGACGCGACCAACACGGGCAAGCAAGGTCCGTGCAGGGTTCCCGCACAAAACCTTCAAAAGCAAGCAACACTTCTCCACGTACCAGCATCTGTGACTGCAAAAACAGCTCCAGACTCTCCGGTTCCACACGCCACGCCCACCACCTTATGTCCCCTCAGCGGGGCCAGGTGAACCGCAATGTTGTGGTCTTCGCTGTTGCCTGTTAACGAGACAGCCGTCAAGGAAACCTCACCCCATAGTCGCAGTACAAATAAAGACGAAACGAGACTATAGTGATTGGCACGACGGGAACAACGGGGAGGTCCTTCAGTTGAACCGCCCTTTCGCACAAGCTTCCCACCTTTGATCACATTTTGGCATCTCGCGATCCTTGAGCGTGCATACACAGCCAAAACAGTGCGGAAGGCACCGGGTGGAGGCGGGGCACTCGAAGCAGACGCCCCGCCGTCCCCGTCCCATCAAAGGCGAGGGCAACTTACCGTGGCCCCAACAGCTGCGACACCCCTTCGTCCAGACGTACAGCTGACCGCCGGCGGTGAAGGCTGCGCACTGCCGAATGCCGCACGAGATTCCCTTCACTCCTTTTCCGCTTAGTGCATGGATCAAGACCGGTGTTTCCTTTGAACTGCAAGACCAATCCAAATGTGCATGAGAACTCAACATTTACACTTATACTCGTCAGATCAAGAAAAATGAAAGACGTTTACAACTCCCTGTAATGCCGAATTAGAGCGCAGCTCTTGAGGAGGACGAGGGGAGGGTACGGGGGGGACGGGATGCCTCTCCTCCTTCCTCCTCATCTAATCCTCCCATGCTCCTCGCCTCTTTCCCCTCTTCTCCTTCCTCCCTCCTTCTCCCCCTCCTCCCTCCTCCCTCCCACGCGGTGCATTATGGGAAATGTCCCATAATGCAACGCGTGCATCACCGCACAATTACACTGACGCCGACGCCAACGCGTTACGGCTACGCTGACGGCGACGGTGACGCCACTCAACCCGGAAACGGGCGCTAAGAGCTGCGCTCTAAAAAGCAAGTTTCGTGGATTGCTCATACGCTGTGGGAAGCAATCCTTGCAAGATCTCGTAGTCCGAGGAAGAAGCAATGACTTTGGCGTAAGAAACGTGTACGTCTTGGTAAAATAAAACATAGCTAATCTGAATTGCACTTCAACATATCTTAATTCTCTACAAAAAGGGGGTAAATTAGTAATGCTCAGCAATGAGAGGGACTTTCTTTATTGCGGTTCTTGGTGTGACAACAAGTATAGCCTGCATAATGTTCAAGACCCAGTTATACTCAACTTTTAAAATCGTCAGAAGGTACCAGAGTGTAGCGTAAAAGCTCTTGACAGTCTTTCTTGTGCATCTACTGCAGCCCATAATCTTTGTGCAGTATCGAGTGTCGGGCACTGTGTCACATCTAAACCGCTATTATGCAAATGGGCGACTCGTTCAATGTCCGACGATGCAATCTTGCGTCGCAAGTGTGGATTGGCTTTGAGGTAAATACTAATGGCCCCTACTGCCTCCAGTATGGTTACGAGAAAAAGCTTGTGCACGAAACGCAAGATTGCGACACAATTCGTCACTCTTAGCGAAACTCACCCTTCGTCACCATGCAGGAAGCAGCCGCCGTCGCCGCAGGAGAACACTTCCCCGTCGGCGGTCATTGCCAGAAAGCCATCTGCCAGGGGGTGACTCGAGACCTCCACCACTTCGCGACCATCAAAGCCCTCGATCATGCGCGGACCCTGCAACACCGAGCACCTCTCGATACAGTTAAGAATCCCGATTTCAAAAGTTTATTTTTAGCAAAACTTGGAGGGTCTCTTCCACGGTTCATATCTTGATGTAAAACTGCATTTAACAGAATTTACTCGCATTGAATTACCATTTGTTGAAAATCTAGTGTCCGTGGGAGTTTAGTTCTATCGTATTTCCGGCTCCCGAAATCTTTCGAATCGGAAAAAATATTATCCACACACACTCACCCGTGCATTAGGAAACAGAGAATGCTGTCTAAATTGCAAGCAATATTTAGAAGAGATCCACGGCATGTGGCGTATGCCGTTCTAAAAAACAAAAAAAAAGTGCAAAAGCCAATAAGCTTCTGCGCATGCGTACAGTCTCTCCCTAGGTCTACCTTCCCACTGTCGCCATTTTCGCAGGGCACCGTCCAGCACGACCGACATTGTCGGCATCTATCTTCGCGCATAATTAGTCTGTTTTGACGCTTTGTCCTTTTAGTGCCAATAGTATGAGGTATAAAAAGCGCCGAAAACCGACACGACGGCACAATGTCAATGTGTTCTGACAGGCGGAGGCACGTTGGGCTGCTCTTCATCTGTGGTTCGCGGACAACTCCCCAGATGGCGCCCGTTCCTCAACAAAGGTCCCGTGCGACGGCTCACTACCATGCACCTTTAAACCTCTCAGGATCTCTTACTATGAGAGATGACACAATGAAAAACAGCCCACAAAGAACAATGGGAGAGAAATACATAGAACACACAAGCGCCGACTTGCAACTGATATTTATGAAAGGAAGAAAAAAATGATGTTCTTAGATAAAAAAAAAAAAAAAGATGAAGCACAATAAATTTACACCGTGAGTAATTAAAAAACTAATAAGAAACTTATTATTTCTTATCATAAATGAGGCAATAGACAAATATTAAATAAATAAACAATAAGTTTCTTATTACAGTGGAACCCCTTTATAGTAAACTTGTTGGGACAGGCAGTAATTATACTATATATCATGAGCACCTTAAAAAATTTGTTATTAATGCTATAAAAAGGGAGTAGAAATTAATAAAATGTTAATTAGACCCCCAAAGACAGACACCACAACTATAAAAATACCACTTAAGTTACAATAAACATTGGCTTGTTTTGTAGGTGCTTTGTGCTTCACAAGAAAGCTCTTGAAACTCGTCACGTAAGCACAGCGTTGCCTGTCAGCATCTGCTGCATTTAGAGCCCTCCCAACTGCCCAAAGCCAACAAGAGTTCACGTCTTGTAGGGGTGGGTTCAGGTTCTTCCTCTGGGCAGCACTTGCTCGGTTCATTATTCAACAAACGCGTCAGAAACAGCGCCTTTGTCGCCCGACCTCCAATGAAAACTAGGACAGTCCCCCGCCTTGAAACGTTCAGACTATCCGTCTGATGCCTCGAAGTCTTTTTCTCTCGTAACAGGTCCACTGACTGGCACGTTTGCAGCGCACGCTTGTCGAAACCATACGAACAACACTGTACCAACGTTCTCCTTTTTGGAGCTTTTTGCAGTTTCCACTGTTTCCATAGGCAATTATGTTCTCAATACGCTTCCTGTTTTCCCCTCAGGCCAGCACAGTTGCCACAAAAATGCCAAATTCATCTGCAGTTCGCTTTTGAGTTCGGTCGTTACCTGCTTTTTGAACATCGTAGTTGAAGCCCGACGCAGATCGGTCGTGATGTGCAGTTCAGCCCCAAACACCCCAAAAAAAAGCAGCCCCTTCTCAGTCTTGTTAGGCCTATTGTTTTGATATGGCAGACGACTGTGGGCCTCCGAGAATGGAAACAGTCATGAGCAACCACAGCACCACTCAGAAAGACATCATCGTACGACATAGCACTGAAGCGCTTTGGTAATTAATGCACACTTTGAGAGTTTCTAGGAGCCGATCTACACCGATCTCACCAAGAAATTATGCTAATGCGGGGAGAGAATTTTCATTGGCACTGCTGTGTCTTACTACAACCGCTATTCCCAGTGTTGACGGTTTACTATATCAGGATTTTGAGCCATAGAGGAAATGGGAATTCGCTCAGGACTAATGCTTCCTTCTACTATAACCAGAGTTTTACTATATGCGGAGTTACTATAATAGGGTCCTACTATTTTTGTAAATACACATGGTGTGAATGTATTGCGCTTTGTCCTTTTATTTCTTTTTATCTACAAAGACCATTTTTCTCTTCCTCTCATAAATATCAGTTGCGAGTCAGCACTTGTATACTCTGTGTTTCTCTTCTCTTGTCCTTTGTTTGTCACTGTCTCAGTACTAACTCACCCAACTCGGCACTTTTCTACGATAAGAGAATAAGAGAACACGCATCTGTCGGGTAGCCGTGGGACACTAGGCATTTCCGTCCTACTGTCTTCGCCCATCATTCTTTCTCTCTTGGCCTACTTTGGACAATACCACTTCTCATAGGTGAGGACACATTTAATCTCGCAAATAGCGCAAAACCTTCGCTCTGGTCAAATGCAGTTCACTTCAAAGATGATGCCAGTGTCGTCTACCAAGAACTCAACCGTAAGCAAACGCAAGTGCGTGAACGGACCTTTAGGCTGGTTTCTGCACGAGCCAGAAATGGGGGAAATGTTGACCCGATGCTTCCCGTGACAATGTTGCGCCAAGTGCGGCAGACCGGGAAGAGTGAGACTTACGCAGTTGTCCTGTTGCAGAGCAAACAGCCTGCCCGAACTGCTCAGGACGAGGAGGCCGTCCCTGAAGAAGCGCATCTGGACCACCGACAGGTCGGCCAGGTTGCCCAGACTGACCGGCTCGGCACCCTCCCAGGAAGACCAGCTCCAGGCCAGCACGTCTTGGGTGGAACTCCCGGCAGCGCTCTGAAAGAAAAGCGGAAGGTATCGACGACCGCTCCAAGGGAATTGCGACGTCCCCAGAAAGAGCCCCTCTCTTCTAGACATCGCCCCCTACCCCATTTTTGTTCCTTTTTGAGAAGATGTAAAGCATTTATTCTCAAAAAAAAAAAAAAAAACGAAAAAAGACGAGATTTGCATTAACACGGTTTAGGCAATTCGTGCAAAAGGTAGGCAAGAAAAGTTTTGAGAGCAATGGCATCCGCTCTTTTAAGAGGAGGCGCACCTCAGAGCCCCATAGAGAATACATGAGGTCTTTCACCAACTTAGAAAAATTCGCACATAATAACGGCTGCACGGATCTTCTTGAAAATTTCGGCTTTAAAGACATAGAGTCATTATCCAGACATTAAGTGGAACAAATGTTTTATTATAAATTTAATTATATTCTTAAAAAAATCATGAAAATGGTCAAAATCGGCTAATTCGACACTCTTGCGCTCGGAGCGAATTTACAAAATTATCTAAATGCAAACAGAAAAAGTGTTTTACTTAATGTCTTTTAGATTTATTACGGAATCGAATAATATCCAAATTATTCATGTAAGTCTATCTGTTCCGTAACTACAGCGAATATAAAGAACCAAGGTGTCGGTGCTTGTTTTCGTTGATTTTAAGGTACCTCTCTCTCCTGTGCGGTGGCGCTTGCTGTCCAGAAAATGCGAAATCGTCCGTTCGGCGATCGGCCGGATCGGCACAGTGCAAGGTGTTCTTCCGCGGCCGTATTCCGCGCCCGTATCCTGTTTTATTCTGCACGCCAAGGCGTCAGTGTGCGTGTCTTGCTTTCCTGGTTCTCGGTGGGTAGGTCTCCGTGTTTTCGCACGTGGCAGATTCACCTCGGAGCTATGGTTCGAAGACAACCGTCCTGTAGCAAGCGGACCGCGAGGTGTTCCATAACCTCGCAGTCTGTCAATGCGTTGTGCTTGTTTGTACTTTTTTTTTCTTTTAAAAACAGGCTTTTTTGTTTTACACAAAGTTTTATTTTATTGTTATCTTTCATACAAACGTCCTTCGGCCTTGGGGTCGTGGAAATCGGGGATGAAACGTGCACACAGTAGATCATTCTCTGCCTCCTTTTTATTTTTTACGGACATCCTGTGACCTCCGTACGGTTCGTGGTCACCGCAATCTAACGCGGGGAAAAACGGGTCACCTGCTCTGTAGTCAGGGAATTCCTAGGGGAGGGTGATAACTCGCTGTTCTTCTGGAAATTCACATATTGCCCAAAAAAAATGACATGGGTAATGATTAGGGTATGTTTTTTCCGGTGTTTATTTTTGAGCAAAAATCAGCGCATGTTTTTCGGTGCCTATTTTTTTAACACCAGTGTATTATGGTTCAACAACTCGTGATGACGCTAAAAGGCGTTGATAACCAAGGAAAAATGCGATTGGACAAGAACATTTCATATTTCCAATTCTATTCACATATCTCATACGCTCTTCTCGTGGGAGAATCTATCGCAACGAAAAATTCATAAGTCATTGAGCTGTGAATGCATACGCAGTGTACAATCTTTCGGCCTAGAGAGGTATTGCGCACGCTCGAACGCGTTTCACAGCCCAGTAGACGAAGTTGGTGGCACCCAGAAGGCGAGTTTTTGAATGGTCTGTAGTAGGCAAAAGAAACAAATAACAATCAACGCATATCAGTTCTCCAAGCGAAGAGGCGCGTTTCTAAGGTCAATGGTTCTGGACGGCACTAATGTTGTTGGCGTTGTCTTCCAAGAACCACACCGACCTCTGAATAGGCACTGGAAGGATGGAGGATCGACGAGATAAAATGTTTCACAAACTTCTACAGAGGAGGCGTTTCGAAGAAACTAGCCGTCGCTAGGGCAGGAACAGTCACCGACTCGAGTGTTTTGGTTTCATTCAGACCGAATATTTCCAACCACCGTAGTTTTTCGGTTGTAACCAATTTAGTATTTTCGTCACCGGCGGATGCTTATTAACTCCGAATAATAAAGTTTGTCCTGAAAATTATGGCTTTTTTTTTTTCTTGGTGAATAGAGGTGATTTGTTGAGTTCAAAACTTTGCATTATGAAAATAACAAACATTGAAATGCTGAACACCGGATAATGAAGTTGCTAAAAGGCCAAAGCGCCGGAAGGCAACCCTGAACCGCAACAATATTTATTTACTTCGACTTCGAAACATATTTCTGAAAGGAAAACTGGATTAGGGCAAGAAAGAAGGGAGCATGGAAGGACCGGGAAGGGAAAGGTAGTTTGGAAGAACAGAGTGAGGAGAATAGAGAGTTTCAGCAGATCGTTTCCGCATCATCCGCCCTGAGAGCTTGAACTACACAGAAAAGACTGGAGGCGTGCATGCTCAGTTGCGGTGCCTTCTTTGGGGATCCCGATATGGAGGAGAAAAATGGCCTGTTAAATCTCGCTACCTCCAAAGCTGACTGGTAACATCACGCAGAGGAAATGGCGGCCAAACGTTCCGGGTGTAGCAAATCAACCCCCTTCCGAGATACGCTTAAGAAGGTGATGCTTATGTTATGTTTGCAGCGACGTATAGCAAACACCTCAACGATTCCTTTAAACCCTGACCTATGCAAATGATAATCTACAACGCGGTCAAAAGCGATGTCTTGGGCACCCAGATACGTTGTTTTTGTTCGCACTGCAGATTATCGGTGTCCCGAAGTTAGCACAAAGAAGTTCAAAGTGGGGAGTTTCTGTGTGCCTAACAGAAAACGAAGCACCCTAGACATTCCATAGCTTCGCTTAGTGAAGTGGCCTATTAATCCTTGGGGTCTCGTGCCTGTTCTGAAAACGGGCAAAAAAAAATCATGTAATCCTACGTGATAGCGTGACACGAAAACGTCATCTTACGTAATCCCTTCATACAAACTGACATCATCTTACGTGATCACGTGACACAAACACGTCATCTTACATGATCTCGTTACACGAAATGACGTCATCTTACGTGATTACGTTACACGAAATGACGCCATCTTACGTGATCACGTTACACGAAATCACGTCATCTTACGTGATCACGCGACGCGTCATCTTACGTGATCACGTAACACGTCATCTTGTAAGTCAACCTCTCCCCACAGCAGCGCGCTCTGCGCTTCCCGGGCCTGTGCAGTGCTGTAGTCGAAAGCAAGCTCCCTATGGCAAGCGAAAGCTTCTGAAGTCTCACATTGAGAATACTCGCAAGCGACCGTCTGTGGAAGCTTCGCACGTTGAGGTTTTTGGTGAGATTGAGCCATCGTGTTCCATTAACTATTGTTGAAGTTATCGTTCAATAAAGCCCTAAAAAAATATGAATGCAGTTGGTATAGACATCAAGATCTAATCACAAATGTGGTTTGACGTCGTTTAATTAACGTGTATATACAAGTGTAACAATAAATGAGTTATTTGTGCATAGATGTTTAAAAAAAGTGTTGGTTATTCGACATAGTACTTTGGGAGAAGGATGTGTTCAGGTTTCTTTTCATAAGCGCAAATACACCTGACGCAATAAATAGTGACGATTTCGTCGTTCCAGTGGTGAGGAGGTGATTTCTTGCTCGAAAAAACAATGCCATTTCACAAACCAAGTTCTGTGACATATGCTTTTCCAATGTCTGGCCACTATTTTGGAAACCTTTCAGTCCAAACGAGTATACTTCTGTTTGTTTTCCGCAAAATATTACGCCATTATTCGCGTCTGCAGCTCGACGCTCGCCCTCCAGCGGCGAAAACGGGAACCGCTCTAGTGAGGGTCCCCCGATTCTCCTGCTCAGCGGGCACGGCGGAACTGCTCGCGATCATGGCTCGCGAACTGTCATTTCCGAATGCAAACAACACTCTTCACTATGCCAACGTAGTGCTGCAGCCGGTATGGGATTGCACTTAACTGGAGAGTTTTAGTATTGAGCATAGAAGCAAACGCAAGCGGTGTGTGTTTGCGTTAGAGTTGCGTCCCCCACGTTGTGCGTGCGCCTCATCGCCATCCGCCATCCAAGACCGCAATTTTGGGCTCCGCGCACACGCAGTGTGGAACACGCAAGGCTAACGCAAGCACACAGCGCATGCGTTTGCTCGTATACGCAATACTATATATACTGTTCCACCCGCTTCCAACGCCAACGAAACGTGCTGCAGTGAGCAGACGTGCAAGCAGGCAGGCGTTCCTTCGAACTGGAAAGGCTGAGATTGGCAAAACGACGGAGCGTAGAAATGAAAGTAACTAAATGTTATGAAAAGATTGGTGATTAAATAAAAATATATATTTTTTGCCATTTTTTTACTTTTGGGCATTTGATTTAGAAGGATATTGGCGGCGACTTTGGACGTCTTGCCGATAGTCAAAAGTCGCGACTTTGAGAGCAAAATATATTTTACCCACAATTAATGTAATTTTACATGGGTTTCTCACATTAGCTAGAATGTTTTTATTGATTTTAAACTTTTTTATTTTCTTACATGGTAATTAAAAATGCTGTGATTGGCACCAGTGATGATAATTAGCACACTTTTTATTGTCATATTTGTTCGCGCGTTTGAAATTAGATTATAAGCATCAAAATATATTAGAGCTTAAAAAATTGTGTATTAAAATATCTGAATGTTATTATTATTATTAATACAAATCGCGGCAATGTATGTCCTCAATTAACGCCAAAATAACGAAAATACGCCATTTAACCATAATAGTCTTTCCAGAAAGGTATTATTTTGTTCTCTTTTTAGCATATGAAAAACTCTGAGATCGTTATCAAGATAGACAAACAGTCAAAGACTGAATGTAATATAAAGTCATATGCGTCACGCGTTCCTATGAAAAACCCACACACACACACACATCAGCTGTCTGACTAGGATTTGGTCTTTCGATTGTTGCAGTGAGGACAGCGTTTATTAATTTATACGTTTTGTGGACATATTGTAAAAATTGGAATTATTCTTTTATTCTTGTGCTGGGAATAATGTTAAACCAATTAATAATCTAAATAC